GTGAGCCCCTAAAGGCAACGTCATTGGCGAATAGCCTCTTGCTGAGATCATGAAAGGGTACATTATTCGCACCAGGTGTTCGCCCTGTGATGTATCCCGGCGCCAGTCTTCCGCGGGACGGGTGTGCCATGCACGTGTCCTTGTCGTCGTCACTTTTCTCCCATTGGTGTACCTGATCGAAGAGCCGCGAGGGTAAAAGGGTATCCTAGCTTCTGGGCCCCTCGACGATCTCCCGGTTATGACCCCAGGACCCAGGCCGCGATGCCGTACATGACGTACTGTCAGGGACCACGACCATGGGGAAGGATCTGGGTCTGTTTATTTTTAGGAGTCTAAATTAAGAACGTAGCCTCAACTGCAGTCCCTGGGGGGCCTGCAGAGTGCTTATTGAAACGTCAGGTCCCGAATAACTCATAATGTTTCCCTCTTTCAACACTTGCTCTTGCTGTGAAAAAAAAACTCTTTCACCATCTGTCGAATCTGTAAGTTGTTTTTAAGCGCTCATGAAGTGTAATTCTTTTCTTTCTCTTGGGACAACTGGAAATACTTCCATTCCTTGCTAGTTCCAGATCCAATGAGATCATCCCATTCTCCACCATCATCTCCATTTCTCCATCTATTTTGGGATCCTATTCGGCATGGTGACGTTGTCCGCTGCATTGTTGCCGCTCGTGTTTCTTTACTTGTCTCCAATCGACACAGATTCAGGAACATGCAAGCGGCTGCGGACTAGTTGACGTGGAGTTCGTCACGGTTCCATCACATGCGTACCTGCCGCCGGGCGTGTGCGCACTTCACCGCGTTTCAAGTGAGATAAACGAGGCCATTGTACCATCGAGGATAGTTACTTTCGTATCTGGTGCTCCTTGTTACAGGTAAGGGTGGTTGGGTGCCAACACGATCATGCTTACGACCAAGTCTCCATGTATTCCAACAAGAACTCTAATCGGCCAAGCAACTCATATAGGCAACCTTGGTCTGACAACCATCAAGAGTGCTGATATCACGATGGTGTTCTAGCGCGCACAGAATCCCTGTTAACTCAATATGGCGAGGCTCGTGGTTCCGCGTTGATAGATTCCGGAAGTGTCGAGCGTAAGACAGCCTTACGCTGAGATTGACAGCAGACGAGGCTAGGGATTTGCTAATTCACATTGCAGTGCCATATCGGGAGTCTCTGTTTCTGCAAACCGGATCTATCATTCCCACCAGATCCCCATGGACTTGCAGAAACTTCAGGGAACGATCGTGGAGCTCAACTGGAGAGAGCGGATTTGAATGTGCAAGGCACTGCACATCGATCCCAGTCCTGGCAACTTTACAAAATGGAGAGAGTTTCCACACTTCACTATGCGTACGGACCTGCCATTGTTAAGTGAGGGTAAAACCAGCGTATGTACAATGCGTTGGGCCTCCCATCCTACAAATCTGGTCCTTCTGGAGAGAGTAACAGGATAATCTTAACACATATTGGAAGGCGTCCCGAGAAAAGAAACAGAGAAGGAAAAAAGGGCTGCTCAGCGCGAAGCATCGTGAGCCAGGTATAGTTGATGCACTTGGTCACTTTGTGTCGTGCCATTTCTGCATCACCATATTATGCGTATACTTATTCCGCGAGCTGAAGGACAGTCACACAAACATCCAAGTCGCTCCACCTACGGCTTATGCAACTCCATGTGCTTCGTGTACTTGGATGAGGATAACCAGCAACACCGATCACCACGGTGTACACTTATATTCATCTCCTTCATACTCCTATATCATCTAGATACTCCGAGGAAAAAGAGCTTTTGTCATGTCTTGAAGCTCGTGAATGACTTATTATGCCTTAGTGGAGGCGCTAATGCTTCATGACTTCTCTGATGTGTTTAGTCAACTGGGATGAGAAGGGTAAAAAGCTGGAACTTGTATGCGTAGGACCTGACGATCAGGTCAGGCCAAGGCGAGGTTATTCCCAAATTTGTCTTGAAATTTGGTTCGGTAGGACTAATAACTGCTCAACCTTGATCTACAATGTTCCTCTGCCTTCAGCTGCTCGGGTTCCCTTTGTAACCCCTATTACGTACCTGGTGTCAATTGTTTCTGGGTATGATAGAATACCAAAGAAGCTGTCTAGAATGACGACTGAGTTGTTTCTGGATACGGTAGAAGAAACAGTGATGCCGCCTGAAGAAACGGTTGTTGCTATTTAGAAATCACCTAGTAAAGGATTTCTCGGGGAGGAATCAAGGAACACCTTACTTGCAGCTCCAGCAGCAGCCCAGCAGCAGCGCCCTGCGAGAAAGGAACACAGCATCTGATGGAGGATCGAATCGCATCCACTGTAAATATAGAGTCTTGACTTTGACCACGACCATACAAGTACATCTGCAGAAGTCTAGAAGTGACTCCAATAATTCCATCCGTACTAAGCCTATCAATGAGGCATCTAGAAGCGAAAATGACTGCGTCAAAACATAAGTTCCATATTCAGGTACAGTTGAGCTCCGTGGTCCCTTTTACATCTTCGAGTCCATGTAACATGTTCTTGCCTGACTCTGAAAACTTTTGGAAATGCTTTTGTTTTCCAGATCAACACCAGCTGCAGGTGAGAGCTCTCTCTCACCTGCACCACTCGCGCTCCACGAGAAGATGTACAGTCGGCCGCTTGAGGGCAAATTTGAGGGCCTGTTATCTTTCATCAATCACCAAATGACTCCCACGACCTGCAAATGAAACGGGGAGGTCGCGTAGATAGGATGACTAGTCGCGTTAGAATTACATTGCGATGCCCTTCCCAGTCTTGTGGCGCATTCAAGTTTATCCCAATTCGAGAGACACAAGAGTGTTGCACTTCCTTGGTTGAATATGGTCGTTTTGCACACATTGCGAGTGTGCTGGTGCAGTGGTGGACGTTTGCCAAAGCTCAATCGTGCGCGATGGACCTGAAACTCTGCCGACTGTCTTTCCCAAACCACCACGATGCCAGTCAGAGATGGGAAGGCATATATTATGGATGTACGCCAGATAGGCCGGCGTGCTGGATCCTGGAACGGCCAACTCCTACGGCAGATTGAGCTCAGCTCCCTGTCGGCCTAGCCTCGTGCTCCGCCCCCGTCTTTTTACACCAGATCGACACAACATCTCTTTGAAGAACGGCATAACATGAGTATTATGCCAAGGTGGCTATGTGCATTAACTCAGAGCGCACCGCAATGTCGTTGCCTTGCCAAACCCAGCATCTACGTTTGGGCAGAAGGGAGCTTCTGTATTACCTTCCGGTAACCCAACGTTGGGAGGACTGCTGGTGGGCTGTCGGTTGGGACGTAGACTATGATGTTGTCAGGAGATTGGGCTCACTGTCACAAGAAGCTTGCTTGCTCTACGCTGTTGTTGCAAAACATCAGGTCTTACCATATCTCCAATTCTTGTTCGTCATAATGAGAGTCACGCCCGTTGCCTACTATCGCCATCGCGTTTTTTTCCTGGAGTATGCGAGGATCGACACCGGCTAAGTTCTTCTCGGATATGTGGGATGCTGGTTCAGTGTCCGTCATGCTGCTGATTATCCTTCAACGTTTTCCAGTCGCTTTGCTTCGTGCTGAACTCCCATGCTCCACTTGGAGTGTTCATTTGTGGCCCCCTTGTCATTTTCCCTTGTATTTTACCCTTTACCCTATCCTACCTATGGAGTACCCTCCTCTTCGTCGGGGAAACCTTCGAGGATAGAAGCAATCAACTTGTCTCGGGAGACGGTTGGTAGGTTCATGGTTGATACACCCAATAACAACGGAATCTCAGAAAAAGGAAGGAGAATGTGGCCACACTGAGCTCGCTTAGTACACATCTTCCAGCCCTCACAAACCCAACACGGGCGATGGAGTACGAGGGAGCTCGTGCCGAGTGGGAAGGACCAAGGTCGAAAAACAGGTAGTCTGGTAACGCACCCATCCTCTGGAGGGTGAGGTAACAGCTCATGGTGGTGGGGACCATGGGGAACACGAGGCCATGGATTTTCATCGGGGAGCTGGTCGGGAAAGTGGTCAGGATATTGGACTCCTTGACATACAAAAGCAGACGCATTTAATCCCGACTTGCCGTACAATATAGTTTCACTTGCTGCGGAGCCGCAGTGGTTCTGGTGGTATCGGCCCGATGTCACGCACGCTCCTGGCGCTTCGTCTTCGACATAAGAACGCGTCTGACAACTGGTACTCCATTGCTATCTTCCTCTATTGGGCAGGAAGACACCGCATATCGGACATGTCGACTCACTAGTTGCAACCAGACTAAATGGACGAGAGCAGCTTTTAAGGTCCATACTCTAGATATGTGGTGAAGTCGAGGTGTTGGTGCAGCAGTCGTGTTGCAGCTGTTCCATACAGATGGGGGAAGACCCTGTCTACATTTTTGTTGGGTCGGCATTAATCTACGTAACTGCGATGACATAAACGCAATGCTGTCAGGTTTCTTTCTTTGCTTTGGCGTGAAAAGTGGCTTGGGCCAATTGCTAGATTAACCCCCAAGCATGTATGCTCTTCATCTCGAAAGGGATCAAGTGGTGACAGCGGAGTTCTGCGTTCTTATTTACTTACTTCTGGTATTTTGATGCTGAGTACTGAATTTCGAAGATTTTTAACATGTGAGTAGGTAGTACGTAGTACGATCTGAGCCTTGACACATGGCAGCATGGCTACATGTCAGGCAGTGTCGAAGCCATCGTGAGAACCCGAGGCACCCGATGCCGAAGTCGATCGGTAAGCTCAGTTGAGGGGCAACGTCTTTGGTGAAAATGCGACTAATGTTTGCCCCGCGCAGAGTCATGCGCCGGAATCAAACCTCAGGAGAACTTGGGCCGCTGATTTTGCGCACTAATAAAGGACCGGAACCAGCTGTAGCTGGATGCCCCGTTTGGCAACAATGCAGGATAGGGAAGAAAGCGAACAGGAAAAAGTAGAGCAACCGAGGTTGGCACAGCAGAAGGTGTCGGGTGGTATATACAAATGATATTCGTCTTGATCTCATGATTCTATGTCTTCCGCGCTATATGCAGCCTCGCGATCTAGTTTTAAATGTCTTGCCGCGTGAGTCCGCGGTGGTGGTTTGGGATAAACTCCCGCTTCCCCAAGGGGTAAGTTGTCATTAAGCCCCAGTTTGCGAATCCTAGGATTAAACTGGAGTCGTCTCGACAAATCTCGTTGAGTCGTTTCTCTGTCCCATTCCGCAAGCTGCTGTGCTTCGCCTAGCGGAGGCAACTTTGTAATGGGTCGATCCGTTTCAAATTGAGGCTGCTTGCGAAAGCCTAGTTTCTTCTCCTCTGGGTCCTGTTTGGCGCTCAAAGACAACTGCAACAACAATTTGTCAGGCTCGACGGGCTCCTTCCTCGAAGCTTCCAAAAGCGCCACCGCATGTTGCCTGGCTCGCCTTCGCAGATGCCCAAAGGCGTCAAGAGTGTGTTGATCTGGCTGCAAGCCGGAAGCTTCCAGGTAACGCATGGCCTTGACGGCGCCTCTGGCATTTCCAGCTCTCGCAAAGGCGGCAATAAGTGCATTCCACGTATGTAAATTTGGCTGCATGCCGTGAGTCATCATCAGCCGGATCATGGACACTGCACCATGGGGCAGCTTGTGGTTTTTGAAGCCATTCACCATGATAGTCCAGGTATGAACTGACGGGGGTGGGTGTCGAATTATCTTGCCGTGTTCTAGATGTTCATCTTTGGACAACTGCAGCATACGTTTGACAAGTCGAACGGCAGGATCAAGGCATTTTCGAAACTGAAGCAAGCCTCTTAAAAATATGTCGTAGACGAGGGTGCCGTGTCTCTCAATGAGTTGCAGGGCAAGCGGGTCCCTAGCATCGAGCATATTCAAGAATCGGTTATACGTGCGGAGCATTGCGTCTGGCTGATCCAAAGATCGTATGTTGGCTGCCAACATGAGTGTCAGTGTAATAGTATCCGGCTCTATCAACAAATGGTCTGGTTGTGGCATCAAGGCAGCCGCCAACTCGGTAATCGGTGTCGCAAACTTCTGGCCAGGTTCTGCGCCCATCCAGCTCAGTCTGTCCTCGAGGGGAAAGGGCCAAAATTTCTGCAAAGGGGCCAGTCGGAAAAACTTGGCATAGACCTGTAACATTGGTCGAAATGCGTTATTCGTTTTGCGTTGCCGTCTACCAAAGGGGAAGATGCCTTCGCTGTTGGGTTCAGCCATACGTTCCTTGTGCATGTAGAGAATGTCGAGGAAGTCGTTTAGTATGATTGGACTCCACAATTTTTTGGAGTGAACTGTGGACATGATCAGTCGGATGGATGAAATATCGAGTTCCTTTTTGGATGCCTTGAGCAGGATCGAATAGACATGTGCATCTGGCTCGATTCCACGTTCAAGTAGAAGGTCAAAGATGGTCCACGCTGTCTTGAGATGGCCGCGAACGCAGAAGTTCCTCATCAAGGCTGTCATAGTGAAGAGATTGGGTTGGAAGCCAGCCTCTAAGAGAATCTTGAACAGCTCATCTGGTGCAGCCGCACCATCGGGAAACGGATGTCCCTTCTCTATGGTGAGCAAAGAGGTACAGACGCTCGCAGCAGAAGGAGAATTGATATCGAAATCTCGGTGTCTCGCCGCATAACATAAGTTCTCCGCAGCGATGACTTTGTGTTCATTGCTCTTGGCAAAGCGGCTGGCAAATTGCAGGAGTGTTTGTGAATTAAAGCGGTAATCGTGCGTCTCGAGATAGTTGAACAGATCCGTAGCTCTGTCAATAGTCGATAAGGATACGATCCTGCCTATGATATCTTGCTCTAGCGCCAAATTTTTGGGTGGAACAAGCTGGAGCAGGAACACGGCAGTGTCCACCAGTTCTTGCTTCTCAGCTGCTTGCTCAGCTGAACCGAAAAGCCTGACTCGAAGCATGATCAGGCGCACAATATCTTCCACGACATATATCGGAGACCATGAAGGATCGTAGGTGGCTTGCACAAAGGCCGAGAAGACGGCTGAGCTGGAATCCAAGGCTGCCAGCATCATCCGCGGCCATAGTTTCTGGCGCAGTACCTCGTCTAGCTGTAGCCAAGCGGTTCTCATGATTTCGACAGATGGAGTTTCACTGCTGTCAAAGTCTGCCCAGCCAGCGTTTTCGAATAGGTCTGATGGGATAGTCCTTTCGCTTGGATCTTTGCTCATCTCTCGTCTTATCAGGGCATATTCCACTTTCCAAGCGTGAAACTCATCCAGTAATTCCCCTGCCTCCTGCCGTGAACGACGCCAGAACAATCTCTTAAGTTGATTGACAGCTTGACGGCCGGCGGGGGTCGGAAGTCCATACACTGCCATAATGGCTGGCTGCACATAGTCAAGACTTCCATCTATACTCAGAATCATCGACCTGAGCTGTGCAGACGGCCCGCTGCCTCGCAGTCTTGCCTTAGATCTGTTTCCCCCGAAGTGCTTGCGAAAAGTAACAGCCGATCCAACATTCGGGACTTGGGAATCGAGCTCTGTTGTGGGAGAGGCGTGGGTGGAGAAATCGAACTCGTTAGACCCCGAGTTAGACAAATCTAGCCATCGTCCCGTCGTAAGTGGCGTATTCTCCTGGACTGCCTGGGTGTGAACTCGGGCGCGGAAGCCTCGTGGGGTTTGTGACAACGATCCGGCAAGGCGAGACAGACATTGTCTGCATATGAAAGGAGTTTGCATGACTCCAATTCTCAGGGAGGTTGTAGATGCTGCTGCTGCCAAGCTATATAATACATCGCAACATGAGGGCTAAATTACGGGCATAAAGCCGCTGGTGAAATCATGGTCGAGCGGATCTTGAACCTACGCAACGAATCGCGACATCGCAGGCTGGAAATTTCACGAAGTCGCGAAGCTGGGGTGCCTTATCTGCTTATCGTCTTGCAGGGGTGGAGACAATAAGCAGGGAAGCTCCGACTTGAAGATCAATTAATTCCAAACCAAACCAAACCAATCCTCCACTTCAAGCACTCTGTTTGGAGGTAATATCGAGCTACAAAGACGATAAATACTACAGCTAAAGAGACTTTAGTTACTCGTAAATCGATAAACGCATTTCCGACACGCACAGTAAGATGTCATCGAAGGCATCTCTCAGCGCTGCGGCAGATGACCGCAAAGCACGCCTGGCCAAGCTCAAAAACTTGAAGCGCAAGCAACCCGACGACGAAGTGGTCGCGCCAGAATCGACTCGATCACCATCACCCCCCACAGAACCCGACGTCGCCAAACTGCACTTGTCAGGCCGCAACTATGACGTCGAATCCAAGGGTCCCAAGCTGGGATTCGAGGCGCCGCCGACGCTGAACATGGAGGGTCCAACACTAGAAGAACAGGCAGCAGAAGTGGAGGCGGAAGTGCGGCGGAAGGCAGCAGAGGAGGCGGCTGAGGGGAACAACGGCATCGACCTGTTCAAGTTGCAGCCAAAGAAGCCAAATTGGGACTTGAAGCGAGATCTGGAGAAGAAGCTGGAGGTGCTGAATGTGAGGACGGATAATGCTATTGCGAGGCTTGTCAGGGAACGGATTGCAAATGCGAAGACAGCACAACATAAGACTGTGGAGACTGCTGATGGCGAGGCAGAGGCTGTGGGTATGGATGGTATTGCGTTGGTGGAGGGTCTGAGAGTACGGGAACGGGAAGAGGTGGAGGAAGAGAGAAGAGAACATGAGGATGAAGATCTGCCATAGGTGACTTATACGGTTGAGGGGATCTCATCGAAATTACACGGTGTTTGGATACCGGTGTAGGGAGTTGGTCACATTAGGGCTGTCAAGACTGGAGGTCAGAGTTGAGTTGAATGCATGATACCCGTTATTATTGACTCGTATTATCATGCTAATACATTCCAGGCATACGGTATCGTTCTGTGACGTGTGAAAATACGGCCTGACAAACCCCGTAATGATACGGTACCTCAGTACAGGGTGGATGCAAATAGTTGCTGAGGAGATGCTCATTCGCATGTTCTCCATCCCCACTGTACACTCATGAAAAGGCAAAACACGCGAGGCATCCAAATACTACAGACTATTGTCCCTACAAAGTTTACTCTAACTAGCAGCACTACCACGAAGCGTCCGACTTTAATATACGCACCTAGCATAAATTAGATATGGTAATAATAATACCCCTCCTAGATACCTATCTCGTCTATATTATACTCGTTATAGGGTTTAATACGATGCTGTGAGAAGCTGTGGCCTCAGGTATGGAGGTGTACGAGGCAGGCAGGCGCGGATTGTAGTATTTAGGGTCCTCTTGGGCCAACTTAGGATTGGGGCCTCACGAACCTTCGTAGTACCAATACAGCCCGCGGTGGCTGAAATCCGACAGGCACTGTATTTAGACGCATTCGAGGAGGGGCTATGAGTATCGGATCATATTCGAATCTAGCTAGCGTCTACCATGTATTTAATTTTAGTACGTATCTACGGATAGCGGCTAACGAAGGAATCCACCTAGTCTTAGCTGAGTATATCCCATTGGGCGAGGAGAATCTCAACGGTAAAGTCGGCTATATAACGCTTACTACGAGCCTATCCGTAGAGTGCTTCGTGCATAATCTAGTTGAAAATAACTTCCTCTTACTCCGGAGTTAACTTTTATAACCCGGTGGCTGCGTTACGGTGTGAGTCGCCGTTACGAATACGGTCGGGTAATGTGGTCTCTGTCGGAATCCAAGTACTATATTCTGTACTTCTGCGAGCTACGTGTCGGATAATACCCCGGCACAATACGGAGGACTAGATAAGATATGGATGCCTGCGCGCCTGCGAAAGTGTGAACGTATACGATAGATCTTAGCCCAGTTATGCCTCGGAAGCACTAATGAAACTTGTATGACACTACAGCAATTCATACCATTGGCAAGACAGAGTCTTCAAGAGATGTTGAGGGACACACAATAGAAGTGATGTATTGTGGTGAGGAAAGAAAGCTAGGCTAGTGTTGTTGGTCTGGAAATAAGTAGTGGTCGCTGCGCAGGTACCACTTCTGACACACCCCCCCCAGGCCAATAGAGCTAGTCATCTAAAAAGAGCTACGTACACGTACAGAATAATCCGTTTTTCATCAACTTGACTTCCAATTTTATATGCGTTTCTGCCACCTGACACCGCCTCAATCAGAATCACCAAGGACACGGCGTCAGACGGAGTTGACGGACGAATTTCAGATGATTCTCTTTCGTTAACGGCTTCGTGAGACCGTCTGCAATCATCTCTCCTGTTCTGGCGTATTGAATATCGAAATCTCCTCGTTGGACGCGATCTATGATCCACTTGTACCTTGTGTCAATATGTCTGGTTCTGGCTGCATTGTTTGGGTTAAGTACGATTGACTTGGCATTGAGACTGTCAGTCATGAGAAGAGTTGGAGTGTCTTGGGGAAACCCAAGTTGTTGTAGTAAGCGTAAGATCCAAACAGCGGATAAACCAGCTGGTGTGAGATTGATGAATTCAGCTTCGGTGCTTGAAATGACCACGAGGGTCTGCTTCTTGGACTTCCAATATATCGGACCACCGCAGAGGAATACAACATGAGCTCCTGTTGACGCTCGAGTAGCCAGGTCATCAGCGTGTGCCGCATCAGCCCAGACATTGAGTTTCAGATCATGAATGGGATACTTTCCGCCGAGAACAATACCGAGATTAGGCTGTCCTTTGAGATATCTCCAGAGATGTTGAAGCAAGTCCATATGAACCTTGGTTGGCTTGCTTTGCGCCTCAGAGAGTGCCTTGTTGGTGTTGGTCATATCTGGTCTGCTGCCAATACTGAGATAGTTGAGCGAGGCCGTCTGTTTGAGGTAGTTTGATTGGTCATCCAGCTGAATCTTAGGCCATACAGCTGGTATTTTGATATCTGATGGCCAGGGCACAGCAGAAGGTTTGAGGTCTAATTTGCCGAATTTGGTGAGAATCTTCATCGCATACTTCTCTTGTGAGATAAAAACCTTGTTTTCATCTTGATTTCTTGAAATATGCATGCCGAGAAACTCTCGCACATCTCCCAGCTCCTTGAGGCGGAAATAAGCAGCGAGTTTCTGCTTAGCGATCGTAATGTCTGACTTGTGATGACCCGCAAGCAGAAGATCATCTACATAGACAAGTACCATAACTCCAGTCTTATCATTCTTGAAAAGACAGAGGTCGGCTTCAACAGGTTCATATCCAATCTCCTTCATTGCGGTAACGAGGGTATTGAACCACCAGATTGGTGCTCGCTTGAGACCGTAGAGAGCGGCTTTCAGGCGCCAAACGCGTCCACTGCCGTCATCATATCCTTCTGGTTGGCGAACATAGATGTCTGGAGTGTCCTGAGGCTTCTTAGCATTTAAGAAGGCTGTTACTACATCACAGTGCTCGGCGTGTAGACCTAGAGTGGCCATAAGAGCGAGAAGCACTTTGAGAGATGTAAGGCTAGCGACTGCAGCATACATTTCTTCGACCGAAAAGCTGCTTGAGTCTTCGAAGTTCCCCATAGCTACAAGCCTCGCTCTGTTTCTCAAATGTTGATTGGTAACTGGATGGAACTTCTGGTCCGTTACCCACTTCGTCGGCAAGGCCTTCGCTCCAGGAGGGAGATCTGAAAGCTCAAAGACTTTACGAGATACTAGTTCGTTTATCTGATCGTCGAAAGCTGACTTCCAAGTCGGCCATTTCTCTTGCTTTCGAGCATCCTTGTATGACTTGGCTGAAGGGAAGTCTGATGCGGTTTTGGATTGATTCAAGAGTTTTTCAACCTTGATTGCAGACAGACATAGATGTGTGGAATCACTAATCTTGGCGTCGAGCTCAAGATAGCGAGTTTTGTTGATAGATTTGGAGAAATTGACCGAAAATAATGACAAATGGTCTGCCTTTCTCTTGTTGTATGTGCGTATGCCAGCGAGATGTCGATAATCTGCAACTGATCTGGCCGAAGCACGACGAGGGCGTGAATTTGAGGTTGTCGATGATTCAGGATTCGGTTCGGGATTCGGCTCAGGATTCGGCTCAGGACTCTGGGGACCTAAGGGATGTTCGGCATCAATGTCATCTAAATCAGTATCATCGGAATCGAAGCTTAATTCTTCGCGTGTTCGAGTCAATGGCGCTGGACTGGCCATCTGCTCAGGCCCAGGTGTGGGATAGAGTGGATCATTTTCAACTTCGCGCTGCATATTTCCTTTTGTCTCTTGATTTTCCCTATCATCGGCCGGTTGAGAGGATGGAAAAGTAGATGGTTGGGTTATTGTGTGCGTGACGACTCCGTAGTCAACGGGGTTAGCTATCAGATCAGAAAATTCAACGTCAGCATTCTCATCTTCGAATTCAACGATGAAGTCAGCGTCAGCGTCGTGATCTTGTTGCGTATCATCCAAAGTCTCCGCAAAACGAACGTCACGCACTCGCATCATGCGGTGCTTCTCGGGAACCCAGATCTTGTAGAGTTTGGTACGAAGGTCAGCATAGCCGACGAGCTTGCCCTTCCATGCCCTGTGCTCCACCTTGTCAGCTTTGGCAAGATCAGCTGGTGTTTTCTTGTGGACATAAGCTATAGCTCCGTATTTGATGAGATTGGAAATATTGCCATTAATGACCTGTGCTGTCATGTTGAGATAGAATCCAAGACGCTGGCGAGGTGACAGGCTGTCTTTTCCATTTGGTAGGAGATTATGTATCGTATCCGCTGTCTCTTCAGCCCACGGCCAGAGAAACTTGGGCAAGTTACCGCCGATGATGCCGCTACGAGCTGGTGTGATGAGAGTCTGGACTGAGCGCTCTGCTCTTCCATTTGGTTCGTGAGTGTTAGCAGGAGATCGATGCCATTGAATGCCCTTCTTGGTGACGAATGTGTCCATTTGCTTTGCATCGCCAAGAAATTCCTTGCCATTATCCGAGTGGAATATTTGGACTTTCAGACCAGTTTGAAGCTCGACCTGAGTAACGAAGGCAATGATCTCCGCATGTATATCACCCAATTTGCGAGTGAAGCGAGTCCACTGCATGTCAGTAAACCCATCTGTAAAGTGAACGCTGTAACGCCAGCCAGTAAGGCCTAGCGGTTGATGATGAATAGTGTCGAAATAGATGATCTCAAGTGGTCTACTCGGTTGAATAGCCGGATCTCTGTGGATGATTTGTTTTGCTTTCGAGAGCATACAAGTCTCGCAGGGTTTGATTGGTTTTGTGACTTTTAGACCAGCGGCTTCGCAGGCCTTTTTGACTGTCTTGTAGTTCGCATGCATAAGTCGCTCGTGCATCAATTGTATATCAATTGTTGCTGAGAAGAGTGGAAGGTGCTCTGCGGGAGCTGTTGGCTTGCAGACGAGAGGAATAACCTTCACGTTTTTGAGCCAGTTGATCTTACCAAGTTCAACATTCGATTCCCGAATGCGAAGAGTTGATGTATGTCCATCTTCAATGATGCCATCTTCCCTCAGTAAGCCAGGGCTGATGATGTTAACTGGGGAAGATTCGTTATAGAGAACACTACCGATAGTCCAATTAACCTGTTTACTATCAGTTCTTTGAGGATGAATCTTAATGGTGCCAACAGCTGTGGCAGTAGCAACGCCACCATTAGCTGTGTCCATGTAGATTGGTTCAGGAAGTTGACGTAGTGAGGTAAACCACTTCAAATCATTGACTACGTGTCCTCCAGCACCAGAGTCATTGATGAAGCTGTCACGAGTCAGGTAATCTGTTCCATCACCATCAGTTGAGATTGTGTTGGCTGGCAAACACATTAGATTGCCGAAGAGATCCAGATTGGTTGGACGCTTCGCTACTGAATCTGGTTGAAGACAAAGTTGGCCAAGATTCGTATTGACATCAAGTGCGTCTTTTGAGGCATTTTCATTCGATGAAGGCTTCCAGTCTGGCATATTACGTTTGCGCCATTGTTCAGATGCCTTTTCTGGGAATTGTCGAAAACAGTCGCCGGTGTGGTGCAACTTGCAATAGTTACAGAGAGGCCAAGTGGTTGGATGTTTGCGTTTGCAAGTATTGCAGTGTTCTGTCTTGCATTTCTTGTCTTGGTTGTCGTTTGTCTTTTCCTTCTCTTTATTTGCCTGTGAGCCTAGAGTTGAATTACCTTGGTTATTTTTGATCTGTAACATGATCTCGGGGTTGTGTGCTTCTTCATTTGCCTTGCGAGTGATCTCTTCTTGCATTTTCTTCCACGTCAAATTACCCTCTTCGAAAGATCTGGTAAGAAAACCATGAACCAAGGGATAACGTTGTTGAAATGCTTTGAGCGCGATCAGTGTCAGAGCTTTGTCGGACATGCCACATTGTAGGGCAGTGAGACGATTGATAAGATAGTTGAGTCGAGATGACCATTTCTCGAGCTTCTGGCCTTCAGGACTTTTCATAAGGCCGACGAGCTCATAGAAAATTGCTGGTACATTGTTCTCGGACTCTTTGGGAATGGTTCTGAGAATCAAACTGTAGAGAACAGAGGGATCTTTTTCAGTAAGCATGTCCCATCCTGCTGATTCCAGCTTTTCATGAACCTTGACGATGCTTGAAGTAAGCAATGACATAGCGTGGATCTGCTTTTGCTTGTATCTGAGTTTCTCTTCAGAAGGCGCGCTTTCATGTGGTGCTGTTGATGTGCCATCGAGGAAGGCTTCGAGGCCAAAGTATTCGGCATGTTGAGTTACTTGCACTTGCCAGAGTTTGAGGTTCTTCTCGCCTTCCAGCTGAAGAATTGGCGCCAGCCGTACAGATGCTTCGGTCGCCATGATGCGATCGTGAAGTCACTGCGTTATCAGATGGACGCAATTTTGTGTGATGTTAAGTAGTGTTGAAGCTTGAGGCAGGCACGAAGTTTTTTTCGTGACCCACTTCAAGGTAATGACGTCGGATACGCGTTCCTTCCAACAAAGTGGAAAAACTGCAGAAATCAACGAATCCGAGGAAAGTGTGTAGTGATGAGCTGCAAGGCCAGAATCAATGATTTAGGCTCGTGCAGTCACTATTCTCAATGCTGTTGTTGTGATCAAGCCGTGAAGTTGGAGAGTGACCGCGCTGCTGCAGGTTGCAGCAGATTCGTGCACCTACCGGAGCGGACCTTCGAAGGCCAACTTCGCGAAATAAAGGTCGAATCAGATGCCGAAAATTGTGCAAATGATCGAAATGATGATGATGATGACGAATAATGCTTCAGAAATGCAATTATTCGTGATGCGCGTGAGCGTGAGGGCTCATAACCTGTTGAGGGACACACAATAGAAGTGATGTATTGTGGTGAGGAAAGAAAGCTAGGCTAGTGTTGTTGGTCTGGAAATAAGTAGTGGTGGCTGCGTAGGTATTACCTCTGACAAGAGATTTCTAATCCCTAACTATGTCATATAATTATAGACACGGTTACCCACTAGTATAGCTAATCGATAAGCTATTAGAAATGAATGAATGAATGACAGCTTAATTGATTCTACGATATGGACTACCTATGGTTAGACAGACTGTACATGCGACCTTGAGGACCAAATTATTATGGAGTGGTCGTATAGGCCATCTAACAAGCCATTACGAACCTAATCACTTGTTGAGGCCTTCAGGCCGATTGCGAAGGCTTGGCCCCATAACCATAGCCTTGACATAAGCCCCTTTCTGTCTCCAGTATCCATACTTTGTGTTGCGTGCCCTAGACATACCGCCTGTGTGCTGAGTGCAGCACTTGGGTCAATTGCCCATAGATAGCCCTTCCGTAGCTGCAGCCTTCGAGACTTAGTCCGATCATCGTCACCAATACAACCCTCGTGCCTATATTGTCAACACTTTTGGTTATTCCCAAGTATCCGGCTTGAAATCGCTAGCGTAAATCTCACAATTCTACTACTTTATCCTTCTAAGTCCTAGAAATAGCTTTGCTATAGCTGTGCGTATGTAGAAAGAGATATAGTAAGGACAGGCGCAGTAGTTTAGCTAGAGTAAGGCATATAAAAGAAAGTATTGCCTCGAGTCAGAGAAATTACAGAAACTCAGATATTAACGGTCCAACCTAATTACCTACTCTATGCACCTGATTTATTGGCCATATCGCATCAAGTCATGGTGTCCGGGAGTGCTTTCTTTACCAGGAAAAAAACTCGCGTTGAAATATTTAGGGAGTGTTTCCTAATCCTGAGAACCCTGGTTTCTGCCCCCTCCTTCGTTAGAACGAGTGTTGGTCATTTCCTCTGCCTATTCGTGAGAGGTCCTGACATCGGCGCCTTTATGCATTTCATATCGCTCACGTGCCCCCCTGTCCGTTCCCTCTCCGAAAATCCACAAGATATGCCTGTGCCAGACCAATTTTCCATATTGGAAGTCCCGTGATTTAGAAATTTCATATAACCGTCAATAGGGCTACAAGGCAGTCCAGAAGTGCAGCACGTATACCACACGGGCTGCCTAGAGGCATGTCAAACAGCCACAACCATGATTCTCGATACACACGCCGCTGCAGCAATCGCGACGATTCCATCACTCATCTGATCAGTAGTCATGTTATTCATATTATTTCCTCACCAAAGGATACAAAAATGACGTACTTCCGCGAGCAATGCATCTCGGCTCAAGCATGGCCAACAACGGGTCATCACCGGAAGGGACCGCGAGAGCGACGGCGCAGAAGGTGTTGAGGAGTGTGAGGGTGAAGCGCATATTAACAACTGGGATTTTGGCAGAGGTTTGTTGGAGTTTGATGCTAGTAATACCAAAGCTAGTCTGAGATATCTGTCTGATACTAGATAGATAAGTGTAAGATAGACTCCGAAAAACTAAGTATATAAGGTAGAAGAGATGGGGGTTTTATATCTCTTGGATAATTTTTCTCAGGGAGCTGCATTTTTTACTCGAATTTGGTGTTCTGAGGTACAGCTCCTGGCTCCGGCGATGAGATTCTCGAAGAACGACATGTCCAGTCTATCTGCAATGCGCGTACTTGTCCGAGATACGTATTACCTGCTTGGTTTATCTTGTGTTCGGAAGGAATTCCAATATTTTTGATCAATTTCTGTACTCATTTCCGGAAGATGCCTTCAGTCCTTCGCAGGAGAGAGCATAGCGATTTGTCGATAAGTGTAACGGGTTGCGAAATACGTTTTGCGTTCGTTTTCTTGTTGTGTCTCAATAAGCCATTATAGCTTGGTTTATCCTTGTCGTACATCTTTATCATTGGTCTTGTCCATTTTATGATACAAGTCTTTTTTCTTGGTCTACTAGACCGCCACTGAACCTATCACCTCAAAAGCCTGATTATACCGCATTACTTAAACGCCTTGGGTATGCTTACATGGCCCAGCCAGCACCTCGTGGACACAAGTGAATGAGGCCACAAAACACACAATTTGCAAAAAGTAGTATCTTGCAGAGATTCGACATGCGGCTTAGAAGCCGCGAGGTTCAGTGTCTACTCGAATTTGGAATTATTGCCACTACGAGGAAATATTGGCGGATTTCTCTTGATCTATACTTGCGGTTGCGATAGGTGGGATCATTGGAAACACCTTGAGGAGAGTCACTGCTTGAGGGAAAGAGTAGCAGTCACCGCCGTTGTATAATGAAGTCATATTCATGTTCGACTTGCACACAGCTCATGTGGTCGATAGGGTATACCCTTCGGCGGAAGACACTTGACCCCATAGAAATGCAATACGTCAGCAAGTAATGAAGATATTTTACTGCCATTGCAAATTCCAGTCTCTGATGCCTCGAGGTTTTGATTCCTGTGTGCCCGCCGAAGCCTATTTAGGCTCATGAGGATCTGGGTATACAATCCTTCTGCTGTGCCAAGCCCTTTAACCCAAGTTTTCGTAACACAGATAGAGGCGCAGCAAAGCGCGTCTTATTAGTAAGTGCCTGCTTAAGATATACGAGGCAAACAATACGGGAGAGGCTCGCTCACATGCTGGGCTTGAACAGGGTGTTGGAGTGTCCGGGATAACGGCTCGGCGTTTGCCAACTCGTTATCTAGGTATGGAAAAGGGACCCAGGATGCAGAGACCGTTACTATTAACAGTGCATCGAATTGCATTGCTTGTCGTGAAGCAGACCTACCCAAAATTGGCGCGTGTCACCCTTTTCTGACACCAAGCTGACGGGCTACCTGCAGATCGTTCTACAACGGCAGTCCCAACCGCATGCGAAGCATCCCGTCCGCGCCTTCCAAAAGCTGTGCCGCATCAGACACGAGCAATAGACGAGACACCTGCACCTGTAAATGCCAGTTTGCCAACAGATTTGCTGACAGACTGATTGATTTAGTCAGCTTGTCTCCATCATTAGACTTGTCCCCTTTCCTAACGCGAATTTTCATCTCGCCTGTTTTTACGTTACTGTCGCACTTGGTCTGTTTCATTCTAGGTTGTGTCTGCTCAATTGCCCTACCGTCATTACCGCCCTTTTGCCCCTGCGAAGAGCATTCTTCTCATCAAAAAACTACCGGAGAGTCGGTCAGCTGTTGGATTCTGAGTTGTTCAGCCATAATTGCCGAGCCCGATTCTGATCATTCGGGGTCAAGATTGTTTTGAAAGCGGCAGCAGGAATTCTTCTTGTCGTACTGCACCTCTTTCCACCCACTTTTGCGTGCCGTCAAACCGCATCATATGCGATGGAGCGGCTCCTACTACTGCTTATCCTCATGATCAGCACGGTGTTGGGACGACTCGAGGTCGACTTAGATGACAAAGGTGCATACCATCATGACTTCTTCAAGCCCATAATTAACTAAATACCACAGCCTCTATCAAGCAAGCAGCCTCTCAGGTGGCCGAGGACTTGCTCACATTCTACCATGGGGACGAACCCGGCAACGTACCCGGCATTCTCCCCGGCCCACCACCTGACGGGCCCTACTACTGGTGGATCGGAGGTGCCCTTTGGGGGACCCTTCTCGACTATCGTCTGGTAAGCAGCGGCATCACTGTTTGCAGAGCTTGGATTATGACATCAAAGGAGACTAATAATCCTGCCATGATAGTATACAGGTGACACGAAATACGATGACATTATCATGGAGGCCATGACACACCAAGTAGGCGATGACAAGGACTTCATGCCATTAAATTGGACCGCGTCCATGGGTAACGACGACCAGGCCTTCTGGGCTTTCGCCGCCCTCATAGCTGTCGAGTCGCGCTTCACCAACCCGCCGGAGGATTCGGGGCTCGACTGGCTGGCCTTGGCGCAAGCTGTGTTCAACGAGCAGACCCTTCCGGAGCGGCGTGTCGCTACAGAAAACTGTAAAGACGGACTGCGGTGGCAAGTGTTCAGTTTCAATACTGGCTGGGATTATGTAAACACCATCGCCAACGCCGCGTACTTCAACATTGGAGCCCGCCTGGCCCGCTACACTGACAACGGAACCTACGCTGAGGTGGCTGGAGATACGTGGGACTGGTTGACAAGTCATGGGTACATCGATGACCAAGGGAATGTCTATGACGGTGCTCATGAGCCCAAGGACTGTAGAGACATCAACCAGTTTCAGTTCTCGTACAATGCTGCTGTACTCATTCAGGGCGCCGCATTTTTGTACAACATGGTAAGTCCTTCCCCCCCACCCCCCGCTGGGGCCAAACGCATTTTTTACAGTGAATCTGCTTGAGAAGTCAGTTTAACCATCAAGACTAACCCCCCGATAGACCGAAGGCTCGGCACAAGAACTCTGGAAATCCCGCATCGACCTCCTACTCAACCGCACCCTTACAGCCTTCTTCCCCAACGGAACAGCCGTCGAATTCGACTGCGAGCGCGGTAAATCGTGTACGGTCGACATGAAGTCCTTCAAGGGCTACCTGCATCGCTGGCTCGCCTCGACCACCATCCTGGCCACCTACACGGCCCCCAAGATCCTCCCCGTGCTGCGCACCTCAACCGAGGCCGCCGTCGCCCAGTGCACAGGAGGTAACAACCAGCGTCAATGCGGCTTCAGGTGGGAGACAGGTGTCTTTGACCCCGACGGTTTCGACCAAGCAGGGGCTGTGCAGCAGATGGATGTGCTTGGCGCGCTCCTGAGCTTGCTCGTCACGCCCGATGCAGTGCCCGTTACGAATAGTACAGGCGGCACGAGTAAGGGGGATTCGGGCGCTGGATCGAGTCTGCCGCAACGTACGCAATATAGAGATATCACAGCGGCGGATCGGGCCGGGGCAGCCATTCTAACGGTGGTGTTGTTGATTTCGGTGGCGGTCGTATTTGGTTGGATGAGTTTTTGGCGAGACTAACTAGCTAAAGATTTGTAGAACTGAGCCAGTGTACATATGATGTTCATTTAGAAACCAATGGAGACATATTGGTTGTTTTTGTGAATCGCATATACGTCTTATACAGTGATATCTGTTCTAACAACCTCACCTAGAGAAAAAATGAACAAAAGCGAATTAAGACAAGTCTTCGAGATAAAGATATGTAAATATGTGTGACGCTGTAACCTATGGTATAAGAAGGGCAGGGAGAGGGGAGAGGGGAGGAAGACCCGGGGGGAGGTTATTCAAAAAATCTCGCTTATCATTCTGCCTTATAGATGCCTACGGCTTGTTAAGGCAGTGAGCTCCTATATCTTATAACTAGTAGATAATAGGCCCTTTGGTATCCTTAAGCGTGCGTACTATACCTAAGTTAAAATTCAAGTACTTATCCGATTCGGCCCCTGTAGATAAAACTAATTTTATCAGAGTCTATTCTGAAGTATGTAAGGCTACCACTAAAGAGATTATAAAATCCGGTCAGAATACGACCGGTAATTAGCCTGTTTTACGTTGTTTAAGCCCTTTCACACCTAGCAATCTAGTAGGATAAGGCTATATAGCCGGGCACAACCTCTGACCTAAAGTGCAAGGGAATGCACATAATAAAAGACTGGATAAGCCCAGATTCGAGCGCGAAGTGCTCAAATTGTTAGATCTTTTGGTATATATGGGGCAGTTGGTTACGGGCAGCCATTCCTAACGTAGAGGCCCTAATAGCACACCTACCATAAGTCGTCAAATCCGTAATATGGCTAGAAACCAGAGTCTAACATTAAAGCCCTTATTTTAAATGCCGCTAATGGTATAGAGAATAAGGAGATCGAATCAGCCGCTGAAAAGCAAAGAATACCTCCTTGCTGGAGGAAATAGCCCGGCTAAAAAGGGGTACGAAGCGTAAGGTCATCCCGAACCCGAATAGGCGGCTTACGGACATTGGAGAAGCAGTGGCGGCTGTATAGCCAATCCCTGAGAATATAATATAAATCCCTGAAGCTCAAGGGCTAGTGTTGTGGTTGTTGAAGAAGAAGATAGTGAGGTCAGCAGTAATGAAGGGTAGACAGTGAGCCGGAATCACTCCGCAAGAATACAAGATCGGGGTGCGTAATGAAGACACCAAGATGTATTTAGAAAATTTAGCTTCTGAGCTTCAGTGCATATTTATCTTGGTTTTATACCTACTGGTTGTCTAGTTGTATATAAATGAAGTACTAACGTACCCCACGGTCCAATTGAACACTTTCGCGCATTTCCGTACAACCTAGGTTTTATCCCTTATTTTCCACCTTCTACAATGGCACGTAATTGGGAAGAAAGCGATATTCAATTAGCGCTTCAAGCGCTTCAAAATAACCCCAAACTAAGCGTACGATCCGTAGCACGGATCTATAATGTCCCTCATACAACCTTACGTCACCGATATCGCGGCGGTACTTCACGACAGGATATACGATCACCAACGCAAAAGCTTACCTATTCCGAAGAAGACGCGATCGTACACTACATAGTCGACCTAGATTCACGATCATTTCCTCCTCGAATAAGTGGTGTTGAAGATATGGCAAATCGACTACTCCACCAACGCGACGCAGGACGCGTCGGTATTAACTGGGCTTCGAGCTTCGTACGACGACAACCAGACCTCCGGACGCGTTTTAATCGAAAAATCGACTACCAGAGAGTCCTCTTCGAAGATCCCGACGCGTACCGCGCGTGGTTTTATCTCGTATGGAATACAATTAATAAGTATGGAATTCAAGAGGAGGATATCTATAATTTTGACGAGACTGGGTTTCTTATGGGTCAAATCTCATCCGAGATAGTTGTAACGACCTCTGGTCGACGTGGAAGACCTAGAGCAGTACAGCAAGGGAATAGGGAATGGGTTACAGTTATCCAGGGCGTCGGATCGGACGGCTATACTATCCCTCCGTATATCATCTTTGCTGGTAAAACTCACCTATCTTCGTGGTACGAAAATAGCCTACTACCAAAGGATTGGGTTATCGCGGTTACGAAAAATGGCTGGACTACAAATGAAAGCGGCGAGGACTGGATTCGACATTTCGACCAACATACAAAGCTTCGTACGAAAGGTGTTTATCGCCTCTTAATTCTCGACGGCCACGAGAGCCACCACTCGACCGCTTTCGAGCTCTACTGTAAAGAGAACTCTATTATCACACTCTGTATGCCTGCTCATTCGTCGCATAAGCTCCAACCTCTCGATATCGGCTGTTTTCGTGCACTGAAAAGAGCGTACGGTAAAGAAATTGAGGATCTTATGCGGGCACATATTACCCATATCTCGAAGGAGGACTTCCTCTCCGCGTTCTTAAAAGCGTTTCAGGCAACTTTTACGATATCAAATATCCAAGGAGGTTTCCGAGGGGCAGGACTCGTACCGTACGATCCGGAATATGTGATTTCACAGTTAGATGTGAAGTTACATACTCCAACACCTCCGGGTACCTCGTCTGGCCTTCCTATTATCTGGGAGTCGAAGACCCCAAATAACCCAATTGAGGCACAATCCCAGACCAAATACGTGAAAAACCGAGTTATACGGCATCAAAATAGCTCTCCGACAGCTACACTTACTGCACTTGACCAGTTTGCGAAGGGTACGACGCAGGTTATGCACCGGCTTGCTCTTTTAGAGGGTGAGAACGCCGCGCTTCGAAAGGCAAATGAGATACTTAGCCGGCGGCGTTATACGAGAAAAAAACGTTTACAGTATGGAGGATCACTTCGTATACAAGCTGGAGAAGATTTACAGTCTCAGAAGCTAGTTAACGGAGAGTTAGATAATAAATCGCGCTGGAGTCGTAGTCGTACGAGGAGGCCAGAGATACTTCAGCAACGCTGTAGGACGTGCGGAGAGCCCGGTCATAATATGCGTACTTGTCAGAATAGTAAAGAGATATCTGAAGAAGATAGTTCCGAGTAGTTTTAATTATTTTTTTACGTTATAGTTGAATTGACTTATGTCTTATTGTACGAGGTCTTAAGAAGTGTTCAATTGGACCGTGGGGTACGTTAGCATTTTTTTACGAATTCATCGATGACAGCCACATCAAATCGAGATGAAAACCATGCTATTCAGGTAGCTGAGAACTTTAGGTTGTACAGCCAGATCTGTGGTTATTCTCTAGAGTTCTAGGTTTCGTGTATTCTTGTGTCATTAGTATCGCTGGAGTTAGGGTAACAAAGAATATTTAAGGGCCAAGCCAAGTATTATCTCTAGTCTACAACGCATTTTCGAAGAACACATAGCTGCCAGGAAATATTCAACTGCAATAAAAACTAAGTACTCAGGATATTCGCATGAACATTTCCGAGAAGTAAGCACCCCTGGGGCGGCGGGTTGTTATGCAAATTATAGGGGAGTTTTTAGAGTTCCATTTCTGGCTAGTAGTACTCGTGGAAGAAGACGAATCGGCCCACGTCGAAGCTCTCCTAGTTGAAGAATTTGTCAACCGTAAAATGTAGGGCCGTGATGGGATTGGAGGTATTAGATCAGAGGATGGGCTTAGGTCCTGCCAATAGTGCTACCGAATTCCTGGACGACCTTGGTACAATGCCCCTTACGCATTTAAGTAACGGAATGCAGCTCCTTGAGTGTTTCTCATGGTACATCCCACAACTTCTTTTGCCTGTAAACGACCTTTTTAAATAAAGGTTGACGCGTTGGAGTTCGCACGTTTAAGCTTAATCTTCTGCCAGTGTGAGTTGATTGAAAAAAAAAAGTAAAGTACAGAAGCCTAGGAAAGTGAAGACCCAGTGAGAAGTTATTCAAGCACACCGGCCATCGTCCATTCAATACCCTGGAGGAAAAGAGGCTCTTTGGGCTGGTTATCCGTATAGGCTGTCAAGCAACTGATTATGACGGTGTTGAACCAAAAAGCGAACATGGTACTACAGTCGCCCCACATCGTCAAGACATGGATGGTTGTATCTGTACGACTTTTATATTGCAAGCCTAATGTCGCTTCTGTACCCTGGCCTGTGATGTATGTCTTATCTTGCCCATATCGTTGATTGGTGGTTGTGCGAGATGACCCGCAGGAGGTTGTTTTCCATACAGAGTACCATTAATTTCGACTCGGCTCTGGTCATTTGAATATTATCCGTTTATTGCACTGTTGACATGTTTGAGGTCAGATACCCAACGGAAGATGCAGCTGTCTGCGATGGGCGAACTATAGAGAACGTTTGCGAGTGCTGCTATCAATCGTTATTCGATTTTATCTTGGAGTACGTACCTTTCCTGGATTGGTCGGTTCTCAGGCCGTCAAGTAACATGTCATCTGTGACTTTTTGTTGAATCCAGAAACGAACATCTTGAAGGTATTCTCTGCCGAGTCTTCAAAATTTCCGAGGAACTGGATTACCAGTGGCTTCTGAGCTTGGGCCGACAGCTGACTGTTTGACAGCTTATGCAGGGCGGTAGTTGCGTGCATTCGGCTTTGGTGACTCGCTGGTTATTGTAAGACGCATGCTCTGGCACATTACCTGTGGCCCAAATGGGGGAAACCTGTGCATTAACTGTATACGCAAGCTTGCAACCAGAAAGTTTCCCACAGGCTTGGTTATGTTTATATTGCGGGCCGTCCCTCCGCAAGTCGTGGTGATCAGTACATCCCTGTGTTCTCCAATTTCGAAAGTTCTGAGATTCTCGTACTTCGAGGCCGAAGTTAGGTTAACTTCGTATTTGTTTCACATGATGGCCTGAGTTCCCAGACTGGTCTATGCTTGACACAAGCTCGTAACTGCTCGCAGATCTTGGGACCGTCCAAGCCAGTCTAGTAGGTATGTCATGTGTCTGAGCCTTCTTGCTTCATTTCACTGTTTTAGTTAAAAGTTCCGTACAATAGCAAGTGAACATATAAAGTAGGTTATGTAATGCCGGCTTAGCATGGATTATGCTCTCGCAATAGCTGACCACGCAGAGTAACAGAACAGACGAAGTTTTCCGGTAACTCGAATGGAGCAGGCTCTCCTTGACTCTCAGGCTGTATAGGGAAGGATACCGCTGCTGTCAGTATAGAAACCTACCCGCAAATCAATCCAAGCCGAAGACCCCAGGAGGCACCACAAAGCTGACAGGGCTCAACTGCAACAGCAAAAAAACCGATACCAAGGCTTGGAGGCCAACTGCAACAACCCCGGCATACCTCTTCCAATGATAGCCTGCACAGTACAACACCCGGAGTAATACTGATCTGACAAGTGCCACTTGACTCCAACGACATGGCACTGAGGTCCAACAACCCAATAGTCCAAGATAGGAATGGCTTATGCCACACCTCGCTCATGACCATTGTGACAAGATCTAAAGAAAATACCCGAAACTCTTCTCTATATCTACATATTTCCGTGCCATTTTCGCTTTCCTTTACGGCCAGTACCGACCCATATATTCCAAACCCACGACAAGCGCAGATAGAGAAAGCATGATTGCCCATGGAAGTAAACCCTATGCGCTTATTGTGCGTTTGGAATATATGTGTTAGGGGCCGTAAAGAAAGCCGAAAAAGGTGTGAAAATGGGTGGATGGGGACAAGGGGGCTATTCGCGGTCCAGAATTTCGCAAGGCGCTGCGTGTTATCTGTTTCACATCTGGTTTTCCAAGTCGTCAGTTTGGTTAGTTTAGGAACATCTTAGAGCACAAAGCTTTTTAAGGCAAGGCTGTACTTGTGTTCATTTTGTTCTAAGGGTGCGGCGGAACTGTTAGTTTGGAGAGGGATTCTTATAATGATAATGTACTTATGAGATCAGGTCTGACCATCAGCATTGTGATTAGTGTGATGCTTTCTAAGATTAAACCAGTCTGACTACAATTGCCAAACATTTTGTGTTAAGCTGAAGTATAGGCAAGAAAATATGTCTATGGTACTGAGCTGAAAAGAGCTCCCTGGAAAGTATGGGGTTCTTGAGTGAGTAATGTTGGGCATTAGAGGAGTGATAGCTAAGAGTCCTGAATAATACCTTCAGGCTCCATGACAGCTATCAAACTTGAGGAATTGGACCCCCAAGTGTCTTTCACTGATGGGCCACGGGCATCGGCTTCCATAAGATAACAAAGACATTGTACTTTTATGCTTAGATAAGAGTTAACGAGATATGTAGTGTTACTGTATTTCTGAGGTACGCCGGCCACATCGGCGATATCGTAGCCAACCATGTTCTGTAGTTGTTTGTTGGCTTTGCAAATGTTGCCTCCGAACCACTGATGCTGTGCACGCGCCCCAGAGGTGTCATGAGCATAGGGTCTGTTCAAAATCATAGAGTGTGTCAAGGTACAGAACGAATGTCCTCACACTCGGAACGAGCCTAGTTGGCATTGGTTGCTATGCACCTGCAAAGTACATGTTTATGTTATAGTTCTTAGCTAGGAAATTTGACTAAGCTGGTTATTATTATCCTGATTTTCTTGGCCACCTGCACTTGAGGTGGTGCAACACAAGGCCAAGGGCACCCAGAAAACGCTGTGTGACTGGGCTCAATCTCAAAATCCAACTACCGGCCTGTGTTCATCGCTTGTGTCAACGCTAAGCGCCTGGAGAATGGACTGAGGCTGCGTTCACGTGGCTCCCGCCTTGGGGGTGGTGCACTTGGTTTGTTGTCTTCGATATCGCGACCTCGTGATCCTCTGGCCGATACTCTTGGGCTTGGGCTTCTGGGTGGTTGGCGATGACCACGTGATGATCTAGAGCGGAATCGTCGCTGTTGCCTTCGCGGAAGTGATCTGCTTGGAGAGTCCCTTCTGGAAAGCCTGGGGCGATCTTCTTGTCTTGCAGGTGAGAAATCATCAGAAAGTGATCTAGACCTGGAACGACGATTTATTGGCGGGCTCAACTGGCGCGGCTTCGAGGATTGAGGCCGAGTCGGCCGCTCATCGTCATTGACTGAATCGTACGACTCTGCTCGCCCCAGCGGTGGCGGGCTGCGCGATTCACTCCTCCGGGAGGGTAACGGCGAGCTGCTAGGAGCTTTCCGAGCTGGAGGCGGTGAAGGTGATCTGCCTGTGGAAATGGTGGACACAGAGTCGAAAGACGCCGCTCTACGCCTCTTAAGAACCTGCCGCGCTGGAGCCTTTCCATCGTCGGAGTCCTCGTCAGCGCGCTCCAACTCGCGCTTTCTGGCCCTCTCAGCCTCAAGTTTAGCTAGCTCCTCATCGGCAACACCCTTTCTGTTTGCAGGTCAGTGACTGCGGTTGCAAATCTGGGCGAGTCAACTTACTTGCTCGACAGAGCATCAGGTGTGTCGCTTGCTAACTTCGGTATAAGCTTTGGATTGAGAAGTTGTTGAGTCCGAGATGGTCTCGGGATATATGGTCTTTCCTGAGCGCTGGCTTTGCACTCATATGAGTAGTGTCGTGCTGAGTGAGTTAGCCCGGGAAGTTTTATATTGGGAGCAAGCCCAACGGTGACTTATCTCGTTTGAGGCATTTTTGGCATTGTACGTTTGCCGGCGTAGCCTTAGAAGGACCTCGACGATACATGGTGATGTGATAAATCGACTTACGATGAAGGCGATGAAGCTGTTTAGCAAGAGTTGAGGTTGACTTGAGGCTTGGATGATGATCCGCAAAGTTCGGTTAGTAGTAAGTATGCGACTAAACGGTATTAAACAAACACTAGGCTCGGCTCTTAAAACCTTTGTTACCTGAGCTTCCAGACATCATGGGGCACAATGCAAACAATTTGATTTTGCTTCAAGAGCTGAGCCCCACTTCTCTCCCAGCTCTCGTCAACCTCCTCCAACAGCCCACCGACTCGGCTCCTGCCGGCAGACAAGCACAGGTGGTTGCGGCGCTAAATTACTTTACTAACGCCCCCTCTAGAAGTGCTAGGCGTTTCTATGCCTGGCCTGGCAGTTGACCGTGCTGAGACTGGTCGCAAGCGAGAAATCTGACTTGAAAGCCTTGGAACCCTTGAACCTTTTTTTTGGATCGATTTCGACTCCGTACTGTACGTCAATCCATCCAAGTCTTTCAGTTCTCACATCTTATGCCGCAAAAGTGCATTGCACGGCGTACCGCATCTCCTCTTGTCTTGATCCCGCTCGCACGCATTTGTCACCAAGCCTCGTCATTGTTGCGAATAGGGTATCTCGGGACGAGCATGGCACTTCTCTGACCGTTACTCGACCTAGGCTACGCTACCCTCACCCAATCCCCGAACTCAATCCGAAGCTCACCTTGCCTGCCTCACTTCACCCGCCTCACCTCACCTGCACCTCGAACCTCGTCGCCAGATCAGCCTTTCCCTACGCCGCACAGCGACAGTGTGCGCCTGACAAAGTCGGCGGCTGCAATATTCGTATCACCGATAGCCGCGCATCCAGCAAATTCGACACCGACATTGCGGACGTTTGATTTGCGACGGTGTTAAGAGTCCTCGTGCGACGTCGACTTCCTCGCCCCCCTTCCACAGACTTACTTCTTTCAACGACACCAGTTCTCGGTGCTGCTTCGTCCACAGTCACTCGCCACATTCGGACCTCAAATCTTTTAGTGTTAGGCATTGGGGGACTTTCAACAGCGGGACGGACCAGGAGACAACCGAGAATATTACGACGCCAACGACTAACTGAGATACCCTTACGACAATGATTAACCGCATTTCGTCTTTCTTGAGGGCCGCGTTGATCCATTTTTCTTTCTGAGGTTTGGTCCTTTGCGCCGTTGCAGCTTCCTATTTGGAGGGAAGGGTACTATAACAGCTTCTCGTTCATTCAATCCTACGAGAACCGTTGCCCTACCACCTTTACGCCTGTCGTTACCGACGGACAGCCTACCTGATTCTTTACACTCGGTTCAGACTTGACTGCTAATGATGACTGCCGTGCCTATGGCGTCTGCTCCTAAGAAGATGTCTTTTGCCAAGGTGAGCCGACCATCTCGTTAAGAGCTATTCCCCTGCCTCCTCTAGTTGTAGCTGACCCAGTTACACAGGTCGTAGCATCCGGTCCCAAAGAGAACATATCCCCAACTCAGGCTTCTCGAGTGGCTGTTCCTGCCATGGAGCACCACCGCATGCACTCCAATACTGTTGCGACTCCTGCCGCAACATTCAAAGACACCCCATCGATCGCCGTCAAGCCGGTGAGCCCAACTGTGGTTGGGAAAGCACCTTTTCATAATAGTTCCGCCAACGAGGGTTCCAGCCGGTCCATCGACACCAAGATCGCCCAGAGCATGAAGGATCTTGCCCTATCTCCGGGTGCTGCGAACGTAGCATCTACACCGAGCCTCGTGGTCAACGGCTCCTCGCCATCTGTCGGAGAACCACAGGGCAAGGCTGAAAATGGGATAGCCGTGTCTGACGATGTCTCGCAGAGAGCTGACTCTAGTTCCGAGATTGGTACTAAGGCGCCCAGCCTCGACGGGAAAAGCATCACCTCTGGCACAACCTTCGCCTTGGATGAGAAGGAATCTCTCCGGCCAGACGACAGTGCCAGCGTGAAAGCAGCGGGCGAGGATGACGAACCCTTTTCAGTACGAGGCTCGCAGATGGCCAACTCAAGAATCGGCTCCGAGGTTGCTCGTGTACACCGGCTGCGTCTTGGTGACATGCCCGAGCGGCGAATTATCCAGCTTCTGCCTGAGTCTCAAGATCAAGGAGTAGTGACTCCCCAGAGTGGATCCTCCGGACCGCCCCCTCCTGTAGAGGCTCCGCAGATATTGGCAACTGTCGCTGGCACCCCTGATGCATTTAGTTCTATGTATGCTCAGAACCCCGATGAGAAGCTCATTGAAGCCATGTCATCGCCAAAAGACCGTCTATTCTTGCTTCGACTAGAGCACGATGTCATCAACTTCGTTCAGTCATCGACGTAAGTTCAAGAACCCCCCCTCCCCAATACCAGCTTCCTTGCGACACAAACTCATGTGAATACAGAGAGCCGTATATGGATCTGCCTCCAAACAACTCATTCTGCCGGATGTTGACCCATAAACTTGCCGACTACTATCACATGACACATTCTTTTGAAGCTGTCCAAGGCGCTGTGCGCATCTACCGAACCCCTTTCTGCAGGGTACCACCTTCTTTGGCTAGTTTAGTGGGTAACAAAGCTGAGAGCAATACCGAGACCACTCCTCCTGTCCTGCTGCCCAAGAAGATCATGCGTCGTGGCGAAGAAAACGGATCGGGCAATGCAAGTGGCACCTCCAAGGGCACTTCTGAAGACGGCAGTGACGGGAAGGACAAGGCTGGGCAATCCAAAGAAAAGTAAGTAACAGCTTTTACCATGACGGCATATGTACTTCGCTAATATCTCTCAAGATTGTCTCGTGAGCAACGCGAAGAGGCATACAACAAGGCAAGAGAACGGATTTTCGGTAGCTCGGAAAAGACGGGAGAATCAACACCAGGTATGGAAGCAGAGGGCCCTATTGGCCATTCCAGCCGCTCACACTCTGTAGATAACGAAGAAGGCGTATCTCGTGCCAGTTCTGTTTCGGCCAGGGAGAAGTCAAACCTTGGTAAGAGAGGCAAGACTGGCAAGCAGCGCAGGGACGACTCGGAGAGCTTCGATTCTCGTTCTCAATATCAGGCGTACTACAACCCTGGACAACCTGGGTGGACGCCACATTACATTCCTGTCGGAAACCCACAGTACAATGGACAACTCCAGCAGCCTTACCCAAACCCCATGGCTCAGGCTTATCCCCAGCCGGTACCTACTTATCCTCAGATGATGCCCCAGGTGCCCATGAATGGATATCCTCAGTATGGACCAATGCCGACAGTAAGTTTTATTCACGCTTCTTCCCACTTGCTTCGCCGGCTGATATTGTTTTCGCAGTACCCCCAACAGTCTCCCCAGCCTGCTCAGCCTCCCCAGCAACGATATCCTCCTGCGAGCGGGCCAGTGACAGGTTATGGATCTCCACTGCAGAACATGCAGGCTGTACCGGCCCAGCAAGGCTGGCAGCAGCCTGTCTACAACCAGGCGCCATCTCCAGTCCCTGTTCCTGCCGCGTTTCAGCAGCCAGCTCGTGCTCCCTCGTCCCAGCCTCAAGGCAACTCAGGACAGTCTGGCATTCCATATGCATTTGGACAACTCCCCGCCAACGCCAACCCAAACGATCCCAAGAGTCAACATCCAATTCCTGGTAGCTATAACCGCCATGCATTCAACCCCAAGACTCAATCATTCGTTCCCGGCAGTGGCATGAGCCCCGTTCAACCACCTATGGCACCCTTCAATATGAATGTTCCGCATGGTAGTCCCCAAATTGGATCCCCGCATATGGGCTATAGCGGATACAGTTCCCCTGCTCCGCCGCAGCCTTACATGGGAGGCCCGCCAAGTTATGGGATGAGCCGCCAGAGCTCCAATAATTCGCTGCCGCCTTATCACTCGCATGCCACGCCCCCTCAACATCTACCTCAGCATCCTGGCCAGCATCTCTCCCAGATGCCCTCCCAGATGGCACCCCCGATGGGTAGCCAAATGACTCATATGGCCCCCATGCCCCCAATGGCTCAGCCTGTGGGCCACCAAATGCAAAACAAGAATATGCAAGGTCCCGGGCCAGGGCCCCAACCAATGCATTCCGGTCACCCTACTGGTCCGCAGACCTTCTCCTCACTCCCGAACTACGGCAATCCGGCTACACTGCCCCAGAAACCCCCTACTGGTATCTAGATGACGGTAATATATAAGCCGGTGCATGTGGATCATCTGAACGGTGTTTTTCGGTGACCAATTTCCATGGTGGTGGGTGGTCTGTTTGGAATGCTAGACGGATTGGCAGCAACGGAACGGCAGCATTATGGCGAGAACCACAAGAGTAAAGCTACAGATCACGAACAGCGTATAGGAGTTTTCTCCTTTCTAGGCATGGTATGAGGCGTTCGAGGCGAGATGATAAGGGACGCTTTTGCATTGCAAACAAGCTCAGCGTAAAATGGTACGTACGGCTGGTGGTATTGACGGCGAGCAGGAGCTAGGATCAAATTGGCATTAGGTCCAAAATCCATCCCAATATCATTATAGTTAGATACGTCAGAAGGTTCTTTGCTGATTGCGATGCTTACACTAATGCCCGTAATGAATTTGTAGGTGCTGCCCAAACTGCTATATTTTGGGCAGTCACTTGGTTTAGATAGGCCACAACCTAATTCCGATTGTTTGATGTGTTTATGATTTCTTGCCGAATATGATGTCATCGTCTGGTCCGCTTTGCTGGACATGCTTGAGCGATGGTGTATCGCTTAAACTCAGGTAGACTGCATGGTCCCTTTCCCGCAGATATAGATACCTCACTTTGGACCGCACAGATCACGGTTTGCGTCTGGTGATACTTTTAAGCAGATTTTTGGTATCTGACTGAAGGCGCGACAAACTTCTTATTGTTATTGATGATCAACAATACGTTTCTTTAGCCCCTATTTTGTAGGACGGTACAACCAATACAGCGGAAACAATGCCAGGCTGAGTCGTTGCGATAGCTTTAGCAGCTGCATAGTACATCCCAAAGTGACTGGTAGTATCAGCACGTTTAGTGGCATAAGACCAACCTTCAAGTAAAGGTACTCGTCTTAGGACAACTGAATTCTGTGTTGACACAACTAGTACACCCAGCCAAGGCTACATCACAAATCACCAGGCAGACCACGCATCAGGAATGATGTTTAATCAAATCAATTCCAGTGTTCTAGAAGCCCACTTTTCGACCGGACAAGAACGCCTAGTATATCTCAGGTTCTTTTCTCTTGCCCAACCTCGCCATGCATAATCATCCAGCAGTTTGAAGCATAGCCCTGCCAATCACCGTCCTTCAGGGCGGCAGTGCTTCTAGAATGCTTCTCTCGTGCTCTTCCAACGATGGCTGGTCCGAAAATAGACTGCCGGTGCTGGTTGTGTGACGTGCAGCTCCTGGGATCCTATTACAAGTTCCTTCCTGTTGCCCTTTTGTACTTATTCGTCCTTGGGCTCGCGGGGCTCTCTCGGTTCCCGGGGTTCCCTATTCTCCCGGCCTCCTCTATTGCCACCACGACCTCCACGACCTCCTCGGCCGCCACCGCGTCCTCCACGTTCTCCGCGATCGCCCCTCTCACCCTTAGCATCACCATCCTTATCAGCCTTCTCGTCACTCAGCGCTGCCAGAGCTAATCGCTGGCTCAGGTCGATTTGTGTGCGGATGCTGTTGGCCAAGTAACTGACCATCAGCACGTCTTGGATATGGTTGTTGAAGTCGTGCTCGATTGATTCCGCGTCCACCTTGGGTGTCAACGACAGTGCCGACATCAAGTACTGACCTAGAGCATTGTTGGGCTCACGCTCCTCGTCCAGAATCTCGCCCACGTAGCCTGATACACGATCCAGCAGGTCGATGGTCTGTTCTAGAGAACGGGCAAGGCCTTCCACGTCAGACGTCACACCAGTGCTTCTAGACTCGGTGTCTTTCGCAGACGAGATCAGCTCGAGGGCGCTGCGCTCGGCGTCGCTGTATGATACGCGGTGCGGGACCTGGATGAAGAGACAGCTCTCAGCTGCGCGCTCGGCGTTGACCGCGACAGGAGCACTGATGTAAGCCTTCAACTGGACATCGGCACCGGGGTCCGTGCTGACGGTCAGATGGACAGCCGGATGTGGGAAAGTACCGGTCTCGGGGCTGGCGAAGAAGTTCTGGATCAGGGCGCTAAAGCTGTTCAGCTCATGGCTCGTCGTGTACCAGCCCAGCAGCGTCTCGCGCGGCGAGGCCTTCAGGTGCAGGGACAGCATAGTCTTCTGGTATTCGACGTCCACCTCGACTTGGTCCTCGGTCTCGGTGTGGGGGATCGCAAAGGCGGAGCTAACGTTGGCTTCGGCGCCATCTTCGGTGCGTGTTCCGATCAGGGCGCCGATGACGCGGGAGGAGGTTGTGGGTGTGGCGGGGTTGTCGCGGCGGACGGCGTGGTCGAGGATGGAGAGTATTGCCTAAAGGGACAAGTGAGGTCAGTCATATGCCTTGAAGTTGCTCTATACATCGGCCACATTTGAGGGCATCGCGGGGCGCAACTATAGGTACAACGAACTTGGGGTTGAATGTTGACGGAGAGCGGGGCAATGCTGCTAGACAGGTTGATGGCCGTCGGCGCAAGGGGCCGCGCCAGGTGAAGGAAAGATTCAGAATCCACGGCCATGATGGGCGCCAGTGAGGTGTTTGGAGGTAGACTGGCTATCGTTTGAGGTGTGGCTCGGTTTGGTGGAGGAGGATCTGGCAAAATGAGTGTGTATGGGTTCGTTCGTCACTCGATTCCTTGGGACCCGGTTTTCGCTCCCAAACTTGCGCCAGTTCGAAAATTCCTACGAATTTTTTCACTCTAGGAAAGTGCAGGTCGAGGGATCCAGGTTGTGCGCGCTAAGATAAGGCAGTGGAAGACGCTAAGATAAGCATTTTTGTGGCATGAGGCTGCGTTTTGATGGCAGTAAGTCATTGTGGCTGAGTAGGAACTTTTTCTCCAAGTCTACTGTCATATCTCGGAATCTGCTGCGACTACTTACATTGTCTTGTATCAAAGCGGAAATAAATATGCCTCTGAAAGGACTTGGAAGGCAAGGAGGCGTGAAACGGCGCCAGCCGCCTGGAAAAGCTGGAAAAGGTGGCCCAGTACCTAAGAAGAGAGGGTTTGGCCCAAGATTCGTGAACCAAAGAGTTGCAGATATCGAGTAAGTTTATATCCCTTGCCACAACATTTGTTCCATTCGCATATCTCTGACACCTTTTCCAGGGAATCAGATACTGATGCATCAGAAGATGTACCTCCCTCAGATGAAGAATCTGAGAGCAATATTAGCGATTCAGAGGAGGAGCAGCCGGCATCAAATGCCTACGCTGCTCTGATGCAAAGCTTCGCAAAGGAATCCGCCCCTCAAGCTAAACGGCGAAAACTGGGTCACACCGCTGAAGATGGTCAAACGACAAATCTCCATGAGCCAGAGAGCGAGCCAGAAGAGGATCGAGATGTAGACCTGGTGGAGGAACCTGAAGAAGGGCCTGAGGATGAAGTAGAGATTGACAGTGACGATGATGACGTCCCTGATACCTCAGATCCCTTCGAGACGCACTTCTCCATGCCCGACCAGACGGAACTTACGAACAGACTCAAGGCAATCAAAGCCAATGACTACTCGTCGCACCAGTATGAGCTCAACAAGTGGAGGCTTGTGAGAAGTTTACCTGGTAAAGAAGCCGCACAGTCAACTCGAGCATTCCCGAAAATGTCAGGGCCAGCCGACCTCAAGCTGAAGCAGAAGTTGGCGGAAACCGCAATGGAGAAATTGCCTGCTTTCAACCCCTTGGAACAAGTGTTATATCCTGCGACCTTCGGCTACAGCGATCTGCTGTTCTGTGGCCGAACAACCAAGAACGCTGATAGTTTGCGTCAAATGGTTGTCTTACATGCCGTCAACCACATTTTCAAGACTCGTGATCGAGTCATCAAAAACAACGCTAAGCTGGCCAAAGAAAGCGACAACACGGAATTCGAACCCAGAGATCAGGGATTCACTAGACCAAAGGTGTTGATGCTCCTGCCAACAAGACAATCTGCCGTCAACATGGTCAACACGATATGTTCAATTTACCCTCCAGACCAGCAAGAGAACAGGAAGCGATTCGACGATTCGTATCTCGACAAGGATGCAAAGTTCTCGGCGGATCGACCCGAAGACTTCAGGGAACTGTTTGAGGGAAATGATGATGACATGTTTCGTCTTGGCGTGAAATTCACCAGAAAGACGATCAAGTACTTCTCCCAGTTCTACAACTCAGACATCTTGATAGCGAGTCCCTTGGGTCTGCGCATGGCGATTGGGTCAGAGGAGGACAAGAAGAAACTGGACTATGATTTCCTCAGCTCCATTGAGATGGTCATTGTTGATCAAGCAGACGCTCTTCTCATGCAAAACTGGGAACATTTCGAGTTCATCTTCGAGCATCTCAACCTTCAACCCCGCGAAGCCCACGGATGCGAATTCACTCGGGTGCGTGAATGGTACCTTGAGAAGCAAGCTGAGAATTTCCGTCAGACTATGATCTTCTCGGCCTTCAATACGCCTGAGCTTTCAGAACTGCATCGGCAGTGTCAAAATTGGGCCGGAAGGGTCCGCGTACAACCCGAGTATCCAGGCACCATCCAGGAGATCGGAGTGAAAGCTAAGCAGACGTTCTCGCGCTTAGAGGCTACTTCGATTGCAGCTGAGCCAGATGCACGGTTTGCGTACTTCACAGGGGCCATCGTGCCAGCTTTGGTGAAGCGAGCAAGAGACATGAGTGGTACACTCATTTTCGTGCCGTCATATCTCGATTACGTGCGTGTGCGGAATTATTTCGCCACTTCACCCGCCGTGGCCAACTTGACTTTTGGTACCATCTCCGAGTACGCAGACGTCCCTGAGGCTTCTCGGGCAAGATCGCATTTCCTGAATGGACGGCACAAGGTCCTGCTTTACACCGAAAGGGCCCACCATTTCCGCCGCTACATGCTCAACGGTGTCCAGAGAGTCATCATGTATGGTCTGCCAGACAACCCGATCTTTTACAAGGAGATCGCGGGCGGTTATCTGGCCAAGAGTGAGCGCGATTCCAGAATCGAGCCGGGTACTGGCGCGGTGAGAGTCCTGTTCTCCAAATATGATCTTTTGAAGCTGGAACGCATCGTGGGCTCGAAACGGGTAGGAAAAATGATACGGGAGCGAGGCGATACCTTTGACTTCATATAGATAGATTGATAAACACAGTTCTAAGGTCGTAGGGCCACTGTAGACCTGTCAATTGTACATATATCTCGTACAGAATGCTGCAAGACCGACCGTCCCAATGCGTCAGATATGTCCATACAATACAGCCATTTCATCCTCATGTAACATCCGCATTCTTAGCCCTCCTACCGCAAGACTGATACCTTTTTCTTCCCATACTTACCCTCAACTTTAGCTCCTGACCTATCCTCCTGCACCACCTCCCCAACCCCCCCTCATCATACTCTTCCTCCTCTTCTCCCTTCGATTCCTCGACCCCTTCCTCCCTCGTCTCCGGGTCATCCAACCTCGCCGCTCTCATCTGCTCAACCATCTTGGCGAACTCGCCCTCGCCGTTGGCACGGTAACGCGTCACCTTCGCCTTGTTGAACAACGTCAGTTGTGTGGGGGGACGCCCCAGCTTCTCGTCTCGCGCGATCGCTGCTGCTGTCATGTGAAACCGCATATCCTTGGGCCCGTCAACTAGTTCGAGGATTGCTGAGTCGCCCTGGTCGTACGTCGACTTGGGTTCGGTGCGCAGGACGCGCGTGTACCCGCCCGGGCGGTCGGCGTACCGCAGACGGAGCTCGTTGAAAAGTTTGGGGAGGAGGTCGTGGGGTTTCTGTCGTTGAGAAGGAAGGCCAGAGGTAAGCGTTCATTTCTTCTCAAACAAAAGTAGCCATTGGCGCGGTCATCGCGTGGTTGCTAGTGCTATCATGCAACAACTGCCTAGCCAGCAGCTCCCCTTCGTCCAAGGAACGGTCAGAACTAGGAACCATGGGGCCACATACGAATAGTATACCCGTCGCCTTCCTCCTCGCCGTCTCATTATTGCGCTTTGCCAGCGTGATGAGCTTGTCAGCCATGCGCTGCGTCTCCTTGGCCTTGGCCCATGATGTGCGGATCGACTCGTGCTTGACGAGGGATGTGACGAGATTGCGTAGGAGTGCCTGTCGGTGGGCCGAGTTTCGCGACAAATGTCGGTATTTCACTGTGCCGCCTGCCATTTTTCACAATTAGACCACCCCAATTGGCAGGAGCTGAGTGGATGGGATGTCGTCGACTCTGAAGATAGATAGGACTGAGTGCTGGTTGCTGCAGGTGCGGGAGAAGCCGAATCGTCAACTTTTTTGGTCTTGGCAAAGATGAGGGAAGCTACGCTACCTGGAAGCGCGGGTCTGGCTCAAAAGCGAACGGCATTTATCATGGTCTGATCAATACCTCATTGTTAGAGCAACCTGGAGGTCATCTTATACATGTAGTCAATTGTATTTATCGTTCCGAGGATTATTCTTGTCTTGCATTTTCAGAACTGGATTATTTCCCTCTCGATATAATGCCGGACACCCCCAATTGGCTGTATGTATGCCTTCTCTCCACCTCGTTTGTACCTAATGGAGGCCGTTCCGCCTGAACAACAACACACTAATGTTCATCATGCAACGAAACACTTGAGAGTGTGATCAGGACAAATATATCGAATACTGGGCAGTTATTGAGGAACTTTGTTCGTGGCAGTATCGTTGGATTGTAATGAACAACCTCGGGAACCAATCATGCACCTGGGCATGCTGTGGCATGGTATTTCACCACGCTGCAACTTGGGATTGACTAGTACAGGGGGAGACTGCAATATGACAGCATGCTATTATTTATGTAAGACTACATCTTCCCAGTATTTCCACTTGTCATCTCAATTGTCTGCAAATCCCCTGGCTGAAGATTGTCCTAACTTCCCCAACCCTGACTACTGCAGTTGTCAAATGGTTGACTTCAGCCGTAGTACCTGGCAATTCACAATGTCTTTGTTTATTCAACTACCACGAAAGACCTAAACCTCCTTCCCTGCCAAGGCGAGAAGAGGACTTTGTCTTAGTCTGATGAGGGAGGGGGACCACCAATACTCCAGTCTCTCGGTTGGAAACTTGGGAGTGCATCGCAAAGTAAGGATCTGCAACTCCTGGCTGAAGGTCCACGTGATGCTAACAACGCAATCGGTAAATCAGACAGGGCTCCTTGTGGATCTCAAAAATCCACTGATGGTGGTACTTATCCGGTAGACGCCCTAATGGCTCAAGTCAGGGACCAAATAGATACCATATCACAAGTGGCATAACAAAATGACTATCTCTTCGAACCTACGAGAAACATTTGTCACGATAGTGGTCAGAATCAGCCCCAACCAAGTACTAGAGTCTTGCAAAGGCGAGAAACTCGACTTCTTTTTTGGACTGAGACATGCGTCTCGAGGATATGGTCGGCATCATGAAGGGCAAAGAGGTCGAGGCGACGTAAATACAAAAACCCCCTCACAAATAACTCGTATCAAAAACTCTTCCAGCCCTAAGATGTACAAAACAAAGCTCAGGAAATGGGGGTTTTTCAGAATAATCGAGAGGCCGATGTCGTCATTATTTTGAAGTTCCAACACCGGCGAACAGCAATGAGAAGGGAAGCGAGGTTTTGAAGACAGTGGAAACCCTTTAATGTGACGACACACTTGAAGAGGAAGGGCCACAACGACGAAAGCTCCGTCGCTACGACCACCTCCGGGTCTGCCATCTCACATCCGATGTTTGACCCCAACCGTCTGGTCCGGCGTATATGCGGTCGCCCGGAGTTCTTCGATACAAAGAAACTCTTGGTTCATGGTTCTTCAGTGAGAAGCAACGCCACCGAGGTACGGGTTGCTTGGCTTCTTCTGGCATTCGCAATTACGAACGCAGCCTGATACACAGCGCCATAGGAGTATACCACGATGCGTCCCAATACCTTCACAAGATTGGCCGCACTACTCGGTCTTCAAGCTGCTCGGTATGAGGATATTACGACCGAATGACGGCTTGCATGAGCAACTTAGTATCTCGCCGCTTTTTCCAAGATTCGCTTTGGAGACGACTACGTTCTCCACCAACTCTTGAGTCAATTGGCATAAATCTTTTCCTACGATCATAAGGAATACCCCGAGTTCATCTAATCCAGCTTGGCAAACATCATGGGAGCCACTCACGATGACGCTGAGTACCACGTCGTTCTAGGTCTGGGAACTTTGAACCCCTTTTCTCAGCAGAAACGGAAGAATCGCTACTACATGCATCATGGACGATAAAATGTTGTCTAAATTGCAAACCCACAGTTCTCTACCGCGAATAAAATACCGGACCCTAACTCCTTTCGCTCCCTCATATTGCTTGATTCGGACAGCAGCATGACTGGCGGAGCGAAGATATATACACTGCAGCCACGGTCCTTATCGACGCCAACGACGCAAGGAAGAGTATATCTGCCTACTTGGAGTAGCACTGCTTGTACGCCAACTCGGGATACCACCGAGCCCGGTGCGAAGGGGAAGTCGAATCGACGAGTCCTCGTCCTCGCCACGAACTCGCGAGACATTATTTGCTGCGGGCTATTGATCTTGGAGGAAACCACTGGCAGACGACAACAATTTATTGCGGAAGCCTGGATTTGCTAGAACAACAGTGCCAGAAAATAGAGGACTGTGTCTTTCTTGGGGAGGTCGAGCTGAGGAAACGGGACCGCCTCGACAGGCTTCTTGGAACTTGGAAGGAGTGATGTCTCTACGCAGACCATTGTCTCCAACGCAATTACAGTTGAGGACACATGCGCGATTTGGATAACTTCACGACTTCATGGAATCTCGACACTAACGTTTTAACAAGATGCGCAATATTTGATTCTTCATATGCTACGTACGGAAGACCACTATTTTTTTAAATTGTTTGTGGAATTACGTTATACATTACCTTTCATAACTAGAAATTAAATATCACCTTAGGTTTTTAGAGCTATTTTAGCTTAAATAAAGATAAACCTAGTTAGAATTTGTCAGGGTACGGCTAGGCCGAAGGCAATAGTACAGAGTGATGGGGAGTAATGGGCGTCCCTCCTACGTGTCAGGGTACGGCTAGGCCGAAGGCAATAGTACAGAGTGATGGGGAGTAACGGGCGTCCCTCCTACGTAGCACCGGGTGGTCACTGGCGGTCTCAGGTAGGGGTGCCCACGGTGATGCATTGATCTCTGCCCTCTCTATCTTCCTCCGTCTCGACTCCTTACTTATAGCCAGCCGAGGTTCTCTCTTGGATTCTGGATGTTTGCTTCCGTATGTCTGTGTTCCTCCGACTTCGGCCAATATCTTGGACAGCGGCTCCTTATCTGCAACCAAGCGATTCCCTATCCGCTGCAAACGGCTTCAACGGCTCTCATTCGCCACAAGCGGCTCTCTAGCCGCCACAAACGGCTTCCTACCTGGTGGAAGCCGGCCCGCCTCGGATGACACTTGTGGCTCTGACAACTCCTTCCCTATCCTACTTCGAGATGGTCCTTATATAGATAGCTAGGCCGCCGCTTGGACCCGGCATAACAGCAGGGTCGGCGATGCCAAGGATCTTGACTCTCGTCATCCCAAAGCTTCACATAGATTGTAATCATGATTCGGGAGTCTTTTGTCCGAAACACCCCTCCGGCGGCCCGCCGGTGTCCTGCGTTCAGTGTCCTGACACCCACTGGTGCCTATGGCATTCTGTTCTCTGACAGTCGGAGACTAAGTTTTTGGTCATTTTTGAGAGCTTGAAGGGCTAGTGTAACGGGGTAAGGCCGGACATCAGGGAAATAGGTTACGGGGCTAGGAGAAAGTTTATTTTCTCTTCTTTAAGAGGCACAGAGGCAGAGTAGGACACGAGTCCCCCATCTTCACGCATCATCATCTCCTTCTTATCTATATCTTCACCTTCGCTTTTCAGTCAGTTATTTAGTTATTTTAGTTATTCAGCTTATCTTTACGTTCGAGATCCTATTATCATGATACGAGTATCAGAGGCACATCCGACCAACTCGCGCACCAGACGTATAAGAGCTTCACTCTTATAACCAGTACCACGATCTTCGTCTGATAAGACCACCAGGTGGGATCTGTTGGTACTGGAGCCGTCTGTTCAGTGTGTTAGGTGGTAGGTATATCCTACTGACCGCCTGATCCCGTTTCACTAGCATTAAGTCTGCTTCGTTGTATGACTTTGCCATTATTGGTTGTTGAGAAAATCAAAGATTAAGTTGGCCGGTCGCGTTGGCGCATGAAAGTGGCCAGCTCGGTGTCATGGCCAGCTCGGTGTACATTCACGTTATAGCAATTAATATATTATCTATCTAGAGTTTTTAATAGACGGCTAATTCCCTTATATGTTATGTGACGGGCTCACTGCGAAACTATACAGCTCAACATGGCCAAATACTGTTAATTATCTAACTGAGGAGGAAAGTAAAATATGCGAGTTGTCCCGGGAACACGGACTATGTTTTGTGTGCCCTCGATGGTTCCTTTGGTGGATCCGGACGCACGGTCCTTGCAGCTCCGGATCCCATATCAGGCACAGCCTGTCACATGTTATGTAATTAGTAGCCTAAGGTTATAGCAAGGTATACCTGTAACGGATGCAGTACAATGTAACGAGCCTGTTGTACTACCCTGATGTATCTATCATACTATGCAGAGGGAAGGAGGAAGGGAAGGAATGGCGGTGGGGTAGGGTAGCGCTGATTTGTATGCTCTCTTAGGTAGTTGATCTGTGCTCCCCAGAGCCAGATTCCTGCGCACAGGCCAAGCCTGTCACATGACCCCCTTTGTAGGTTGTTAGTCTGAATACTTCCATGGCGGCTGCTCCCTGGCCGACAGCTCGTGCCTGTCGGTTATCTGTGCGTCAGGCAGCAGGCGCGTCCGTTTGCAAAACAACCATCATTCTGCTCCTCCCAAACGTCGCCCAGCCTCGACTTTGTGTACACTTTTTGCTCCCATTTTTCACCCATCATCCTCAGCACATCTACTCTCTCTTGACATATTCTCATATCCTGCTCCCGCTCTCTCGGTCACGGTATAGATATTATGCAGTTGTAACATAGGTGCGCCTGCTAATCGTGCTGTGACAGGCTTGGCCTGTGCGCAGGAGTCTGGCTCTGGGAAGCACAGATCAAACGCCCCACTACCTAAGAGAGCATACAAATCAGCGCTACCCTACCTCACCGCCATTCCTTCCCTTCCTCCTTCCCTTCTTCCTTCCCTCTGCATAGTATGATAGATACATCAGGGTAGTACAACAGGCTCGTTACATTGTACTGCATCCGTTACACGTGCGAGCAGATGTTGCCCCGTTTCAGCTCCTCCAGCGACAGTTCGTCCTCCGGGAGCGATTATGATGAGGAGATTGTCAACACCCCATCCTTCATGAGAATATCGGGCCCATCACGCTTTACCAGAAGGGCTGCTCCTGCTCCCGCCTCCACGGATGATGACGACGACGATGACCATGACGGTCTGCGCCCAGCTCCCATAGAGCATGAGTTATCTGCAGCGAAGGGCAAGCGCAAGGTGACCTTGCGCACACCCGTCGCCTCCGCCCCTACTGCCAAGAAGCCCAAGATAAGAGGAGCGCGTCGTATGGCCCGTTCCACTGCCCGAGTCTGTATCTCCCTATATTCGGCCTAGAGTTATTGCTAACCCCCTCTTAGACCCCTATCCGCAGATCTGCTCCCGCGACTACTACCAAAGGTAGTAGCAAGAAGGTGCCCGTGCGTGGTGCTGCGCGAGATTATACGTGTGACTCCTGTGTCGGTCGGTTGGGAAAGTCCGCCGCTGCCTGTTTCGACCAATTGGGCGTTGATTCCGGCCGTTGCTTCGCCTGTGCGGTGGGTAACCACAAGTGCGCTCCCCTGTAAGTGCTTCTATTTTCTACTTATCTGGCTTCTTCGTTCTCTAATAGCTCCCATTTCCCTCTAGTGAGGGAAAAGCTCTGAGGGCTTCAAAGAAGTTGGCGGCCGCCGCGGCTCGGGGCGCCGACTTTGCTGCTCTTGCGAGTCTGCGCGCTGGTGTTCGGGCCGCTAAGCGGGCGAGCAACGCTCCCGTCGTCTTGTCGAGTAGCGATGGCGAGGATGAAGAGGAGGAGGCGGAAGCGCTCTCCCAGTCGGAGACTCTGCGCGCTCTTCTAGTAGAAGTGCGTGGCTTCCGGGCCGACTTTGCTGCTCTGGCCGCTCGGCTTCGCTGAGCCTAGAAGCCCTTCTGCCCTGTGCTCTTCGAGGTTCCTGGTTCTCTGCGCCCTGGGGGCGTTCGCTTTCTGTTTGAGTAGTGGTCAGGCGGTCAGTAGGATATACCTACCACCTAACACACTGAACAGACGGCTCCAGTACCAACAGATCCCATCTGTTGGTCTTATCAGACGAAGATCGTGGTACTGGTTATAAGAGTGAAGCTCTTACACGTCTGGTGCGTGAGTTAGTCGGATATGCCTCTGGTACTCGTATCGTAATAGTAGGATCTTGAACGTAAAGATAAGCTAAATAACTAGATAACTAAATAACTGACTGAAAAGCGAAGGTGAAGATATAGATAAGAAGGAGATGATGATGCGTGAAGATGGGGGACTCGTGTCCTACTCTGCCTCTGTGCCTCTTAAAGAAGAGAAAATAAACTTTCTCCTAGCCCCGTAACCTATTTCCCTGATGTCCGGCCTTACCCCGTTACAGTATCTATCATACTATGCAGAGGGAAAGAGGAAGGGAAGGAATGGCGGTGGGGTAGGGTAGCGCTGATTTGTATGCTCTCTTAGGTAGTGGGGCGTTTGATCTGTGCTCCCCAGAGCCAGATTCCTGCGCACAGGCCAAGCCTGTCACAATACCTAAGATATTTTCAAGGTCTTTATATAGCTTAGACGTTTCTATTTTACTTACTTTCTTTACCTATGTATATATAGTTAAAATGTTAGTACTAGTGCAATCCTACCAAAAAAAAATCTTATTCAAGTTTACCTTTGAGTTTAGGAAAATGGGTGTTTTGGTGTAAAATTGGGCATTAGTGATTTTAGGCTCCCACGATCCATAGGCCACCGGGTTAGGGTCCTGGCTGGGGCTAGAGTTGGGGTTGAAGCAGGGGCCATCAATTATTGGAGTATGGAAGCGCGACTTTCGTCATTCTTGAATTCCCACGTCACCGCTCCGGCCACAGATATCAACCCCAATTGACACGGCCGCTACGCTTTTGCAGCTCAGATCCAGAACTTCGATCATTTGCCCAATCCTAATAGTTGGCAGCTCATTAGTACCCGCGCCAAGTGCGCAATACCCTCTACACAAAATGGGGTTCACCACCGGCTTCGTAGGCACCCCCCAACAATAATGATATCCATACTACCTTGCTGTTCCCAACTAACTCTAAACGCGACAGACAGGAGGCATAACCGTCACCCTCTCTCTAGCCTATCTCACAGTTCTCGCACACCAACGCAACCGCGATCGGCAATCCGCCGTCCTACGCCAACAAATAACGCTCATATCTGGGCTGACCGACCCGCTTCCACCTGTGCACCCGCCCACGCGCGCCGAGATCGTCGCCATACAGCGCGCCAACCTCGTCGAGTCAGCCAAAGACCGCTGGAACGCGGAGGTCGAGGGAGCTGTGAAATGGGTACAGAAAACGGATTGGGATGCGACACGCGAGGGGCTTGAGATCGCTGTCGGACGGTTATGGGCGCACGCTTTTGGAAAAGCGTCACAGGAGGCTGAGAAAGGGGAGCACAAGGTCGAGGCTGAGTTTGCAAAAGCAAAATATCTTGCGGGGGTGGAAGTGAGGGGTGCGGAGAAGAGAGTTAAGGGCATCGCGGAGGAAGCAAAGAGTGCTGCGGGCGAGAAGGCAAGAAGTGTGGCCGCCTCGGCGAAGAGCGCCTATGCTGATGCGAAGACACGGGGACTCGAGGCCGTGAGCAAGGGTGAGCAGAAGGCCGAAGAGACTAAGGGCTCGGTGTTCGGGGTCATTGGTCAGGGTATTCAGAAGGGCAAGGAGGCACTGGGTATTGTGCAGGTGAAGGTTGTTGGGGCGGAGGAGGAGGTCGATGCGAAAATTGACGAGAAGCTGGGTCTGGTTGAAAGGACGCTACAGCAACGGTATGAGAGGCCGGGCAAAGTGAACAAGAGTGTTGAGCAAGCGCTGGCGGAGAGGTATGAGCCCGTGAGTAAGAAGGAGAATGCAGTGTTGAGGGGCGTATAGACTTGTAAGTTTGCGCGCTTGCTTCAAGGACCGTGGCCGGAATTTCTCATCAGATACAGGGCGTGTATAACGACGATCCTCACAAACCTCTTGTACTACCTGCATAGAGAACTCGACTACAAACAATCTCATCAGGCTCAGCCATGATGTGAGTCAGACCCAACAGTGTTTCGGGCTGATGGTCTGGTAGTGTTTGGCTACTCACTGAAACTGAGATACACTCTTGTGTAACATTATAACCGCAACTTCCCAACTTCAAAACATACATATATGCCAGCATTCTTCCATACCTCATTTAAAAGACTCTATGACACGTTTGAAACCCGAATACGCTATCATTACTTTGTGCAATTATCCACACGTCCAAATCGTAATTGTATTTTACCCAACTTGTGGCTCACAACTGTCTACAAAATAAGTGAGTTTTGATGATCCTTAGCGGCATGTTCCCAAGGAGTTACAGACAGGATCACCGAAGCCGAAGTGGAAGCCCAAATCCACCATCACGGCGGAGCTACGATAGTTTTCTGGAATTGACACCTCCTCCGAGTGTTCGACAGTCCCGCCAGCATAATGAGCAAGTCCACAGATCTCACCATATCGATCACAGGAGTTATCGGTCCTCACGAAATCAGGAGACCAAGACCTCTATGAGAGAGGCCCACAAACAAGCACCATCTATGGAGCAACCAGATCAAGCAGCCTCAGTGGGAGACCTAGACGCATGGCCAGATCTAGAAACCACTGACCGACCAGGACGAAGTTTCCCAACAAACGACCGTGTTCTAATCTGGTTGGAGATGAATCGGCAGGGCTTCACCACACAGCACGCCACCGATTCTCTGGTGCGACAGGGGCTGATTCCATCGCCTCCACCGGATGCAAACCGGCACACGGGAATCCAGTGGCAAGCCGCAAACAATATACCGACGTACTTCCACCGCCCCCCGGCTGTGCCAAAATGTAAGGCGAGCGTTTTGCAGGTAAAGGCAACCAAAAGGGGCATGATCAGGAAGACTTTACATTCAAGCCAGTATGGCAGGAGTAAATGCGAGAGAGCAACTCGTCCTGGCCGGAGCCGGGCTCCCAGCTCTACGGATAACGGCGTACCGCCGTGTCGGGATACTATCCAGGCGTCCGGTGCGGCTCGTGCAGGAAAGTCGCGGCGCACGTCCACAGCTCAAGAAGGAGATCAACCATCTGCTCTGAACCGTGACCTGGGAGACAATACACGGACTGTGCTCTTGGGGGGGGATTCGCCTCCACGGAGTTCTAGTCCTGGGGCGGCGGCTGCTGCTACGTCGCAGAAATCATCTTCCTCAACTACATCAGCCTTGAAACGAGGAATAGGAGATAATACGCGGACAGCTTTTTTCCAAGCACAGCCGCCTGCTTTGAACCCCAGCCCTCCTGCAACACCTGCATATGCATCCCCGTCGCTGCCTTCTCCATCGTCTCCAGTCCAGAAACCCGGGATCGGAGCTAATCCGAAGACTATGTTCCATCAGGGACATATACCTCACGCCCATTTGCCTCGTGTGGATTCAACTCCGACAGCGCCATCAGTACCAGCAGATACCATCCCATTAGCCACGGCCTTGCCACCCGATACTTTGTTTAACCGTGGGTTGGGGGACAACACACGGACTTTAATACAGCATGCAGGTACGCCATCTGCAGCACCATATCAAGGGAACACGGCCAAGGATGCACCAGCACCTTCTCAGAGGCAAGCGTATGTGGTTTCCCAGAATATAGGACGCCAGAACGCACCTGCATTCCGATCCAAGTCTGTCGCGCAACCCACTGTTTCCCAGCTTAACCTTATTTCCCAACCCCAGGCATCCTCTGGGTTAGAGAAATCGCCTCTGTCGAAAAGGTCCTCCAGCCCACAGCCAACACCTCAAAATAGAACTCCTTCGTCTCCGCCGAAACTTAGTTCGAGCGCTCCATTCCCACCGAACCCTAGTTCTCAGCCTTCAGTTTCTGTTCAACTGGCTTCTCCTGAACGATCCAGATCTGCTTCTCGGTTCATACCTCCTACTCAGCATAAGACACCTAGTCAGTCATCATTAGTTGCTAAGCTGCGGTCCTCTTCCCAAACGAGGTCTTCAGCTCAGCCCAAGTCTCCGTCTAGTCACAGATCTTCTTCTAAGCATAAGTCTACTCGAGCTCAGTCCCCTTCCAATCACATATCTTGCACTCGACGAACATCATCTCGAGATAAGTCCTCTACTCAACCCAAACCTCCTTCCAATCACAAATCTTCTTCTCAACACACGTCCTCCACTCACAACACACATTCGTCTGAACCAAAGTCGTTTTCTCAACACAATTCCTCGCACAAGGCATCTTCTCAAGCTAGATCCGCCACACAAGCCGCTCCAGCATCCCAACCCGCTACTCAACCCACCTCCGCAGCTCAGCCCCCGCCCCAACCCACTCCCGCAAATCCTACAACCCCAAGCCGTCCCCTCCCCGCCGTTACATTTCCCCGACCCATCGCGTCGCGCCGCCCGGCGACGACGTACTACACGCCCAGTGCGAGGACGTGCAGTCCCGATCCATGGACACAACGAGTTGAGCATGGAGCACGACGGAGGAAGCAGAGGGAACCGGGTTGCTGGGTGTGGCTATGTGGACCGCCGGTGTCTAAGAGGCCACATCGAAGGGGGCGCCGGAGGGATTGTTCTACTGAGTATCCGGGCTCGATGCGGCGCTTGTGGGTGGGTGGAGACGAGAGGATGGGTGCAGGGCCGAAGCCGGGGAATAGGGGTTGGTAGAACGAGCCGAATTTTGGAAGACGCCTCAGAACTGGCTGGGAAAGTAACATTAAGATTGAATTGTAAGATACATGGAGAAAGAGAAGGAAAGGGGGCGGGGTTGGGTGTGTATTTGCTTTTTGGAGTGTGAAAGTTTGGTAAGGTTGATAAGAGGTTGTGGTGAGTTGGAATAGAAGCTTCAGATTTAATACACTATCTAGATTTCCACGGCTTGCATTTATTGTGTTTTGGAATATAGCATATGATATGTAATAGGTACAGAGATTTCGTCTGTCTTGCCCAACATGAACCGAATTTCGACACCCACCAACATGCGCATTCGCATTTACATTCGCAGCAGCGGCAATTCACTGCCATCAGCTTAACTCTAGCTGATGGACGCGCAAACCACAATTGGGACTTCCAAATCATGGCTTATATTTTATCCCTGGAAGTGGCAGGTACTAACTAACTAACCTTGGCTGCTGCAGTGGTAGGCTACTGCGGCAACGATGACCTGGATGGACATGGCAGAATCCTGCAGCTTTATACGCATCTACTCCGCCATCTCGACCCTTCCGGGCATGACGGAAATTGACTCGAAGAAGAAGATGAAGAAGAAGAATAGGAAGAAGGAGAAAGTACAAGAAGCACGATGCCGAGTTCGACGCCAAGTTCTGGGTCGCTTTTGACGGTTGCGGCCACCGCATCATGATCCCCCCTCCATTTCCCTATCTCATTCGCGGCTTGGCTGCGGACACGGATCACTTGTACCTGTAGTTCTTGTGGACACTGGATGAGGTCAAGCCCGTAAGTACGTTTTATCTAGTATTTGCCCTTTCCCACATCTTCTCTTTTCCCAGGGGTCTCTTTATCGAAAGTAATTCCATAATCGACAAGCACGGCGTTCGGCACGAATTATTCATCACCAAATATCAAGCCAACAACAAGTTGAGACCCGCCAGCTGCCACATTGGCGGCTGGGTTTTGGCCGACGCCCTGTCCCCGAAATGAACCCCGTCCTAAATATCTTCTTCCCCTTCGCATGTGGTGAAAACTGGAGCAGCACAGCGTTTTCTTCCTCTGACGGACCCGTCATCAACCTCAAAATCGCCCTGGCGCTAGGTTACCCCATTGTGCAGGATGGTTTGGCGGCCGAGGATAGGTACCAGGTTTCGTACTTGGATCACGCGGGGGGAGGGAGGCTGCCATTGTCTCGGAAACGGGGAGAGTGCGGGCTTAGAGAATGGCACGGCAGGGCCACAGTCACTGGTGACGAGGGATTATGTAAGTGAAAAGACAGAAGGAGAAAAAGCTAGTTGGTGGTTGCTTCGGCTTATTGTGGCCGTTGATGATAAAGAAATAGGGAATAGCTGGATGAAGATGCCCTTTCGAAATCAACGTCGCAAATTTATTTTGCCATGTTGGTTAATAAACGTAGCTTGCAGGCATAATGAGATGATCTTGCGGCCAAGAGCAGACTTAACAGTCACAGCTACAACGTAAGTACAACGAGTAATTGTGAGCATTCTGACACCTTTAATATTAGTCAGTCGAGGATGAGCATGTCATACATATCCACAAGTTGGACCACTCCCCGCTTTTGTATATGCTGTCATCAACGTCAGGACATCCTCATATGCGTCCATATCTATCCACAGGAGCTTGCAGTATCCTAACAGCCATGCTCATCAATATCTGCTAACCAGAGTCGTTTACTAGAAGTAAAAAGAGGCAAAAGTAGTCCGGGCAGCGATGATATGAAGCCTCGGTGGCAATTCGATGGACATTATGTCTGGTTCCTCTACCAAACCATCTCTACCACCACAGGGCGATACCGGTCGGCTCATACATCACAGCCCGGCCATATCTGGTCTTGGCGACCGAGTGCGCATGGCAAAACCCGCAATATACAGATGCAATCTTAGTTGCCTCGTCCTCGTTTACCCCCACGTCCCCTATCACGAGCCCTATTTCGACCTCTCTTGCTACTCGGTGGCGGTGCTCGGACATCGCCGCCGTTCAAGAGCGTGTCCGGTCGATGAGGTAGTGTTCCGGGGGGCGGAGGATGGAGAGGAGCACCGCCGTAGCCGGACCAGCCACCGGCTGGCACAAGTGGAGGTGGAGGACCCGGGGGCAAGGGGGGTTGAAACACTGGAGCCCCGTTGCCTTGTTTACATGTGGGCGCGTCAACAAATTGGTGCGGTGGAGGTGGCGGCGGAGGAGGGCTGGGTTTTGATGCCCCTTGACGTCTATGGCTGCTGCGGGATGGTCGACCTCGTTCTGATGGTTTGGAATTGTTGACAATCGACGAAGCGACCTTGATCTTTTTCCGTTTCTCTGATTTCTTGACCGGGGCGTGGATGAACTGTTCATCAGAGTCGTCACTAGAGACGAAGTGGATGTGGGTCTGCCTTGTTGCGTTGCCCCGAATATGGAAGTTCGACTGGCCTCGTATCGTGCCCGTGTCCACACCTACCCAAGCGACAGCAACATCAGGACTTTTTGAATCGACATAGAGGTTACGATTTGCCTGCGACCAGCAGGTCGGGCCAGAGACAAGCCCGTTGTTTCTCCCTGGCAACCCACACTCGGGCCCATAGTGGCCTTCGGCGCCGCAGATGAAGCAGAATGCTGGGATCGAGTTGACTGTCTTCCTTGTGGCAGTGAGGGGATTGAAACTCCTCCAAATCTCGCTGCACTCTTCCTCCGTGTGACCAAACCCGCAGAAAGCACACGGGTCCTGCTCGCTCTTCGGCAACTTGAGCTTTTCCTGGCAGGACTCTTTCGTGTGACCAACTTGGCGGCATTGGGGGCATCTTTGCTTGGTGGGACAGCCAAATCGCGTGTGGTCCCTGCTGCCGCAGAATTGACATACCAGCTGAGGGCAATCTTGGCTTTCGTGAGTTGTCACGACGCAGTAAATGCAGATGGAAGATTCTTCGGCGGAAGGGAAGTATAGTCTCTGTTGTCGGTATACCTCGTCCCGGTCTACTGATTTGGCATCCGTATCAAACTCTACCGGTTGGGACACAGCTTCTGTATTGGCATCTACGAGGGAAGAGCCTGGAAATTCTGCAGTGTCATGTTGTTCATGAGTGTCTGTCGACATTGGCTCCGTGTCAGGAACTGCGGATGAACCCGTGTTCTTTGTGGTATCCTCAAGCTGCTTGAATTTTCTCGTAATTTCTGGGTCCTCACTTGAACTCTGAGCACGAGCGCGGGCTCGTGCGAATATGTCATCGAAAGTACCCGCTTCCATGTCACGAAGTGCTTGTTTGGATACCCGTCTGGCAGTCGTTTGCAAGCCTTTTGGGCCCTGGAAAATGCGAGCGGTAGCACTAGATATATGACCCCACACCTCTGATATCGTTTCTCGCGTGATCTCACGCTTTTTGCGGTTTGCCCTGAGCAATACCGCGATGAATTTCTCAAGTTCAGTGGCAAAGTATTCGAGCCAGAACGCATGCTCGCGGGTTTTGCGATTCATTTCAATTTCTGGGAAGCTCGTCACGCCCCTTGAATACAACGTGTGACCCTTGTGAAATAAGTGGATTGCTGCCGGCGCATTTGGATCCCATAGCGTAGGATTCGGAACTTGTGAGGATGTCGATACGCGTGCTTCAGGAGAGTTATTGCTTTCTTGACTCTCGTCATCAAGTGACTCATCGGAAACACGGTTATTGATGTGCTCATCTTGAGAAGCGGCTGTCCTTGGTGCTGGTGGCTCTACCGCAGTGGAATCGCTGGCCGACAAGCGGTGGGCAGACTTCGGCTGTGAGATCTTGAGCCCGAACGAGGTCCGGATACCCAGTCCCATCTTGACCCCACGATTCCAACCACCAGGCACGAGTGGCGCGGAATCCGCTCCAATTCCAGTTTGAGCAACTCCATCTCGTTGCACAGACGAAGGATCCTCGGTATTTCCATGTGGGTGGGAAGCACTGGTAGGCTGTGGCTCGGCCTGTTGAGCAGCAACGGCATCCTGCAGGGCAGTATCGGGATCAGGGCTGGACTCAACGATCTCGCCATCATCCAGACTATCCGCTTTTTCGCTACTATCGAATTGCTCGCCATTGTCAACGTGAACTGCCTTAATTTTCTTCCGTGACGGCGACGATCTAGTGACCGAGTCACCCTTGCGTTCCGATGCCAAGCCGTCCGACACCTCACCATCCTCACGTGGTCGCTTCTGGCCTGATGGGCTGCCAAGCCGGGGTGCACTGCCAAGGCCGTTTTGTGCAGCCATATCAGCTGTTGTTTCCGGGGGTGGCGACGGTGAAGATGCGTGTTCCGAATGGCTCTCGTCTTCCGGTGTCAGAACCTTCAACACCGCACCGCCGTCGCGGGGTGCTTGCTTTGGTGGGTTGCTGCTCGCACCAGGCTGAGCTGGATCTTCGACCAGAGCGACATCCTCATTGAGGTGATCCATTACCATCAAACTGTCTCAATGGACTGTGCAGCATGGAAATTACTAAATGGCGAGACTGACACGAGACTGGAAATGAGATGTCTGACTGGTGTTGCGCAGGTCAGGCTCCCAATCGTAAATTTGATATTTTGGATGGAGAGCATGCCCGTGACTTCTTCCAGCTTTGGCAATGCTGGTAACGAATGTGCTGTTCCAGACAGCGCTGTATCCAGAGGAAAAGGTGTCGCACACGTAATATCAGGCCGTGAAGAGTCTAGAGTCCCGAAGTCGAACGGTTCTAGTTGAGCAATCTCAAATCTGAAGATTCACGATACCCCGTCAAAAAGGAAGTTGCGCCGGAGAATCCACGGCAAATTAAAGAATTCAGGGTCCATGACGCAACTTGGATCCCTGAGGCGACAGGTAGTGTACGTGCTTTGGAAGCTGTGCAAGGTGTCAAATACGAAAGCCTGGAACTACACCGTCGATTGCCGTGCGTCCAGAGAATTCTCGAATGCAAGGATCGGAAAATATCTATAAGAACCGAAGGACGGAGGAAGCGAAGCAAGGACTTCCCCAGACTCACATGAGTCTAGAAAACTTCCATAGCCGCGACCGTCCATCAAATATAACCTTACACCCACGGAAGCGAACCAAGGAAACCAACGAGTGATATGATGGATGGAGATTCGGACCAGGCCCGGATTACGCAGATTGAGGCTGTACAGTCCGAGTCATCATCTCTCAATCTCAAACAAAACTTATCCGGCAGGGTAGCTCGGGAGATGCCGACAAGACACATCTCACACTCGGATGATCGCAGGTGGGAACATGAATGGTTCCATTGAATTTCCAGCTCATAATCAGTTGTAGCTTCAAAGCGGACCAGCAGGCGGACGCAAAATAAATCACAGATGAGCAGTGCTGTCCAGACCGGTCCGTCGGTACCTGTTTAGACCAAACGGCCGCGTCCTGCCAAAGCGGGATCTCATTCTGGGAAGCGCGGGTCCCGAATGCTCCAATTGCTCCAATGCGGTCCACGCCAATTCGCAGCCTGCAGCGTAGCATTCCCCCCCACCCCCTGTAACTTGACTGTGGGTGTTCGTGTCTCCCAGCATCATCAATCCCCCCTGGACGGCCCGGCCCCAATACTCCAAACTGCATCAGCTCAACACGACATCAAAAGTTCCACGTAACGTTCATTATCGGTAAATTCTACTCTACTCTTCGACCAACAAAACTTGACCACGTCAACATCGTCGCTGCACCATCGTTGCCGTTTGCAAAACTCTCCCATTGCGCGGCAGCATCTCTACGTACTTTAACAATTCCTCCCACCTGTTTGCTGCATTCCTTGAACTGCCCAATATCAGTGATCCTACCCCCCTAATGCGGTTGCTGCCCCCAAGCCAGATCCAGCTTTTTGAACCTACGCGCAGCTGAGCTCAGCACGGCAGACACTGTGACATCACGCTGCTCCGATTTGCTGCGTACACGCACACGCACACGCCAGCCTCGACCCAACCATTGAGAGTCCACGAAGGCCCGTATCGGCTGCGTGGATGGATCACCGTCAGATCGGTATAGCGAACCTCAACCCCGACGACCCTCTGAACACCGCCAAACTGTCTTCCCCAATCGTCCTCCCCCGGACCGTCACCTACGACGCGGGCACAAATCCTCCCCGGGGAGGCAACCAGTTCCTCACAATGGGGGATGCCAAGTCGACGCGGAGGCGGAGGTCGAGTAGTATTCTGCAGATCTACCAGGAGCCTCAGGAGCCTATAGATCAATTGAGCGACCAGTCAGCTCTGCCGAACCTGAATGCGAATTGGGTCAACTCAAAAGGTGCGTCTGTTATGCTCTGGTTATTCAAAGTCAAGCTCTGGCCAGATAAGAAGCTCCCGCATCACGCCCAACCCCATAGGTAGTTGCGCCGTCAGAGTTCTCAGGTTGAGGCTGCTGGAGCTTACACTTGAAATCACTGTGCCGACTCCTTAAGGCGAGACAAAATACGAGACAATACTGACTCTTCTATACTTAACTCAGGTGCTTGGACCATTCATATCGTCCTCATCGCGGGCCTAAAGATTCTCTACGACGTGCTCCCCGGCGTCTCCCAGGAGACATCATGGACTCTAACCAACATCTCGTACATGTTCGGCTCGTATCTCATGTTCCATTATGTTCGTGGAACACCATTTGAGTTCAACAGCGGGGCCTACGACAACCTGAATATGTGGGAACAAATCGACGATGGAGCGCAATACACGCCGGCCAAGAAGTTCCTCCTCAGCGTGCCCATTATGCTCTTTCTCCTGAGTACCCACTATACACACTACGACCTGACATATTTCACCATCAATTTCCTGGCTACTCTGGCCGTGGTAATACCGAAACTGCCATTTGTGCGTCTAGTCCTCCAGAAGCCCCCCGGTGTTGGCCGAGAAACTGACATTTTCCCCTCCCTGCAGAGTCATCGCATGAGAGTGGGTCTGTTCTCAGGTGTCCCCGAAGATGCAAATTGAATCGAGAGAGCACGCGTGGTGGTCGACTATAATAATGGGCAATTGCATTGGCGTTTGGGGCTGGGACTGCAGGTTTGACACAAGCAATCGGAGTCGTCAGAGGGGGCGTGTAAGACCGGCAATGGCAACGGCGCAGCAGCATGGTGCGAATCACCGAGTCGAAGATGGACGATAGAGGTACAGACAGTCAGGAAACGTGCAAAGTTATTCAGGCTTCAATAATGACTTGTTGAAGTCTCGACTCCTTCCCTGGGCGCCGCTCAGCTTGTGATGACGCAACACAACGCAGTCTCAACTCCACCCATGGGGCTCCAGCCTTTTGCTGTGGCTTGGTTGCTCTGGTGTCGAGTCCGAGCTCGACTTCTCATCCTGTGTGTGAATCGACTATTTTTGGCAACAAACATGAGGTTATCTTCAGAAAGAAGTGGTACGTTGACGCCTCCGAATATCTTAACCCGCTGAGAAAGTTCTTATTGGGTCTTGTTGACAGTTGTATCCTTTTTATGCACGATTGCTATTTGCCAAGCGCGGGTTTAAGCAACGTTGACAGAAGTGAATTAGTCTCTGGCCCTGCAGGAATGCGCTCTAACACTTTGTTGGCCGGCAGCCTGGCATGGGACACTGGCAGGGGAAAGGAGGGTTGAGGAAAGTGGTTATCAAGGTGGTTGCAAAGTCGAGCAACTTGTTGTATAAAGTGATGGTCAACCACTGGACCGAACTGGACTTCATTCCTCCATCATTGCATTCCCTTCAAGACTCTCACTGCGACAGCTTTGTACAGCTTCGAGATCGAGTTTTATTCTGAGATCACAGTCAATCGTTTCACCTCAACTCTCGTTTGCGCCCCCAGTTGAGCAACAATGAAGTTCACCGCTGTCACCTTCGCTGCTCTCATCGGCGTGTCCTCCTCGGCCGCCATCAGCAAGGGCGATTCCATCTCGTTCGGGTTCGATTACCCAGTCACGGCCTCGGAACCCTTTTCCAGCAAGTGGCGGTCGGTCCCCTGCACCACGTCTACCTTGTGGACGTCGACCCCCTGCACCACGTCTACCTTGTGGACGTCGACCCCCTGCGCCAGCAGCAAGTGGTCATCAACCTCGTGCGTCAGCAGCAAGTGGTCATCGATCCCCTGCGTCAGCAGCAAGTGGACATCGACCTCGTGCGTCAGCAGCAAGTGGACATCGACCTCGTGCGTCAGCAGCAAGTGGACGTCGACCCCGTGCTCGACCAGCACTCCTTGCACTACCAGCACTCCGTGCACTACCAGCACCCCGTGCACCAGCTCCTGCACAACTACCACCAAGTGCACCAGCACCCCCCTGCCGCCTCCTCCGCCAATCACGACTCCGTGCACGAGCAGCCTCCCTCCTCCCCCGCCTCCGCCTCCGACTACCACCCCATGCACGAGCAGCTCGGCGCCGCCCCCGCCTCCCCCGCCGCCGACCACAACGCCTTGCACCTCGGCCGTCCCTCCTCCTCCTCCTCCCCCCCCGCCTCCGGCTACTACCCCTTACACCTCTTCTGCTCCGCCACCTCCGCCGCCTCCTCCGGCTACCACTCCTTGCACCTCTTCTGCTCCACCGCCTCCACCGCCTCCTCCGGTTACCACTCCTTGCACCTCTTCTGCTCCACCGCCACCACCGCCTCCTCCGGCTACCACTCCTTACACCTCTTCTGCTCCGCCACCACCTCCGCCGCCTCCTCCGGCTACCACTCCTTACACCTCTTCTGCTCCGCCGCCACCTCCGCCACCTCCTCCGGCTACCACTCCTTACACCTCTTCTGCTCCACCGCCACCTCCGCCACCTCCGGCTACCACTCCTTACACCTCTTCTGCTCCGCCGCCACCTCCGCCACCTCCTCCGGCTACCACTCCTTGCACCTCTTCTGCTCCGCCGCCACCTCCGCCACCTCCTCCGGCTACCACTCCTTACACCTCTTCTGCTCCGCCGCCGCCTCCTCCCCCTCCGCCTCCGGCCAGCACGACCTCTTCTGCTCCACATGCTCCTCCCCCTCCGCCTCCGGCCAACACGACCTCTTCTGCTCCGCCTCCTCCTCCGCCTGCGGCCAGCACGCCTTGCACCTCCAAGCCTGTCACTGTCCCCACTGCCGGCGCTGTCGCCATCGGTATCCACGGTGGTCTGGCTGTCGCCGCTGCCGCTTTGGCTCTGCTTTAAGCAGCTACGATGGGATCTTGAGGTATGCTCTGAAGTTTTCGGTTGGAAAGGGGGGGCATGATCGGTCCCTCGTCAAGGAAGGACCTAGTTTACGGTTTCGCATGGGATGGCATGTCCACGCGTCTACTCTCATTACCAGTGTCTTGGATGTTATCAAAGGTGGAAGAAACAATTTGATTAGGTAGTTTGGGGTTCCGGTAGATTGGTTTGGAAAAAGAAAATGAAGGAGATTACAACGACATTAGGATATAGATAATTTCGCTAATACTCGGGTAGATGGTTCTTTGTAGGCTTCGGGTCTGGTCGCAAGGTCGGACGGGAGTTCTTGTTAGTTAGCTATCATTCCTCAAATGTATCGGATTCCTTCAATTGATCGCGGCTCTCTTCACAGGCTGTGGTTGTGTGGTTATGTGGTAATGATTTGATGCTATCAATGCTATAGTTTTCCAGGGTGCCATTAGATTGGGACACCAAATAGAGCCCACGGTTAATTTGCAGCTCCAAACAAGGGACTCGATACTGCGTATAACTTGGGAGAAAGATGATGTAGGTAGCCCAACCGGTTGTTCATCGGGCAGTGGGGTCCAAAACAACCGGGAGAACAATGTGAATTGTAATTGGCGGATCGAGTGATGTCGTCGACTCCAGAGGTGTAGGCACCGTAGGTAGTTCTTGTTGATGCTGCAAACGGCGAGTCGATCTCTAGGATTCAGGAACTGGCGACGATAAGTCATGGACTAAATCCAGTGCTATCCTTCCTGTAAATACAGTTACTTGCAGATGTCGACTGCGAGGGAAGTATGGACTGTCCGTTATCACTGGTGTTTAACTTTCTAATTGATGTTACTGACAGGTTACGCTATGGGTCTGGGATGTGATCAACTTGCACACTTATACTTCGTCTAGATCCAAAACATCAACTTAAGACGTGCAACCAGATAGTTTATAAAAAAGTACCCACAACCATCACATCCCTGGCCTCTAACCCAACGACACAATCGCCGCTAAGATAACCGACTACCCCAACTCTCACTTCCTCATCTACTACCAAAACCCTTCCAGGCTACTATGAGAGTCCTCTAAGCAAGCCTTTGCCGATCACGGCATCATCAACATCGAGGTCGTCGTCGGCGATAGCCTGACCACTCTACCTTCTCTCCACCCCGAGGAGCCATAGGATGTGATGTTTCTCGACACCCGAAAGACGGTGCGTCCGCAGTACCTGGCGACGATCCTGGAGCAGTCGCTGCCGGGGAGTAAGGAGGGATGGTTGCTGCGGAAGCGGGGGAAGGGAAGGGAGGAGTCATTATGGAGGATCATGTGCTGTGGTGGAGGTTGGTTGCGGATGATAGTCGGGGGAACCCGTATCGGAAGGGGAAGGTGAATGGGGGAAATGCTGTGAATGGGTATGGGGGTGTCGATGGGGACTATGAGAGGAAGGACGAGACGGAGAAACTGAGGGAGTTCAACGAAATTATGCATCAGAATGAGCGGCTTTATATTTTCATGATGCCGCTTTGGGATGGGGTTGGGTTGGTTAGGTTGCTTGAAGGGGGTTGATGGGTGAGTGGAGAGCATACGGGTTTAATCGCTTGAGGTACATCCATTACTTGGGCTGGTGTATACTGGTGGGAGTGGAGTTCTTCTCAGGTTATCGAAGTCATGGTTTTTGCTAGTAATGTCGCATAGCCTCAACAAATTCCATGTTTTATGGGGTTTGAAATGTGATTTTATGTTAAGGTATCCAAACTACCTAAGCTGGGAGTCTTCTTTTTGCGATCATGCCCGCTGTGAACAAGTTCGTCCGCGCAGCTGGAAAAGCCTGTGATGACTTTGAAGGCTCCTCAGAAGGCTCCTCAGAAGACCCTCGGACAACCTAGATCGTTAAAGCACACGGGAGATCAGGTGGTAAGTAACCTGCCTCAACGAGCTTCCTCAGATGAGGCCACTATCGCAATGGCTTGACTGGATGGTGATTTCTACATCTTTTCAATATGGAAATGGCATTTCTCCGCTACCACGTGTCAAACTTTTGATTTTTTCTTATGACTGACAGCGCTAACGAATGTACCAGGACGACTCTTGGTCTGACGACGACGTACCCCTGAGTTAACAACAACGACTGATGGGATGGACTCAAGGTACAAACCTGCCCTCGGCCAATGCATCCCAGGCTTCAGCTATCCCATCCAAAGTGTGGGGAACGAAGAATGCTACATTCAACGACACCCAATCACCGGCAACTTCATACAGGTCGTCTGCATCCAGGAATGCTCCAGTCGGGTTGCCTGGGTCTCTCTCTATTCAAGCCCGGCAAGGTTTGGCCCTTACGCCTTCTCCTTATCCCGCGATGATCTTAGCCTTGATGATTCTACAGGATCAAGTGCGTACGCTGGAATGCCCATTAGAGGGTTAAACCCCTCAAACCCAGCTGCCATGCCGGCTATCCAAGGTATTTCTGCAGCCATGGAGTCTTCGCTGACCAGCCTTCGCCCCAGTCTTGCCGAATCAAGAACCTCGAATCAAGCTCACACCGGGCCCACCTCGGGTTGTCCTACAACCCCCCATTGCCAGCGCAGGAGCGACTTCCCGCAGCACCACCGACAGTACCCACCAGTAACGGCAGCAGTTCATAGTTCCACGAGCTTTGTACAAGCATCAAGTAGAAGAAGGCTATACACATGCCATAGATGGAACGTTCTTCCCCATCTGATGCGGCCCCGATGGGGACTAGGCACGGTTCCAGGCCGACGTGGTCCACAACAACGAGATCCTCAACTAGTTGCGGGCAAAAGACGATGAAGGTTAGGAGACGGATCCATGGAGTGGTTCCTAACACAGCTCATATCCGCGGGTAGATTACTGTTGATTAACATATTCATTTGCTAGAAAGAAAACGTGCTGACATGGTGTGAATTTGAAGCCCTCGATGCGACACCTAAATGGGCTACAGCACGCAACCGCGCGTTGCTTAGGTCGGGATAAAGGGCGCTTCTATATGACCGAATCTTCGGAATATATTGATTTATTCCAGCGAAGACGGGTTCTATGTCATATCGAGACCAGGATGTTGACCCAGATACGCAGTGGTTGTGCTAGCCCCCCGGCTAGTTTTGCCTTGACAAGACTATTCACGGACCGAATATGATGCTTATTGGGTAAAAGAAACAGAAGGCAGCTTCTTACCTTATATTAGATAAGTCACACGTCAGAAAGTGCATCGAGCCTTGTTTTATGTAGGCAGGAGGATATAGATGCCTACTGTGGATCGGCTTGAGGAAGATGGTCCTTGAGGCACATTTATGGGTTTAATAAGAATCCCAAGCTGGAAAACATGATGTTCATGTGGTTCGGCAATCTCGACTAGGATCCATTGTCACGTGAAAGGATGTAGAACCACACCTGAACACAGTACTTATGTGCCTATAGGTAAGACTCAGATCTGAGGTCCCGTAGGTAAAACACAGCATGTAAGAAGGCTTCAACAGGTAACATATGTTGGGTTCTGTTTTCAGAGATTGATTCAGTCCTGTACCGTAACGGCGGGCAAGCGCCAAATCGAGTTACCCGAACGAAGAATGATAATACATTGGAGGTATCGGCGTGACAAACCGATATCAGCCGCGCGATTTGAAACATATTTCTCAAATTTTGCTATTCACATGATACTCTCAACCACGCCAAAAGAGAGAGTCTGATCAAGCTAAGCATACACATGAATAGACAGGTAATATCGTTGCATTTGGCATTGACCTCTCGTTGCTGCAGGACACCGACCCCCGTCGGCGATCAACCGCGCAAAACTCAATCTAGCATGGTAGCGGCCCCCGCCCGCCCATCATCCGTGGATAACTAGAAAAGCAAGCTGGGAGGAGGGTTTTGCAGGCTAGCCGGAGGTAGGTAACACGCCACACCGTCCGGTCTTTTCTCTGCACGGCGGCTACTAGCATTCCTGCCGTCTAACGAAACCTAGTAACTAGCGGGATGGAACTAGGGAGCTTGCAGCGTGCAGCACCCGCCACATGGGCACTTGGGTCATGAGGCCACACAGTTGTCGCCATGGGCACCCGGATGGAAGGCCTCAATAGTTTTTCATGGACCTATGAGTCGGCACTGACGTTCTCTTCGTGTCACCGCCGTTGGTTGACTAGCGACGGCAGAGCGGATCTGAATAAGGAAAGCTACCAGTGGAGGAGGTTGGGGATAGGTGGCACGAACGTCCGTGACACTCCAACGTCGTCATTCTTTTGCAGATGTTCGTGGGTGTGCTTGGGCACAACGACGCGGGGGACATTGCGAAGAAAAGTAGGCGGTAGAATCTGTCGTCAAGATGTAGTCTACTCCATTGGACCGTTACTTTCGTATTCCAGGAGATTGTCAATGAAGCGAGCCATTTGTTTGATCTACTAGTTGCTCAGCCGGTCCATATTGAAGTATTAATGAATTCGCCATGCTTGGCCTCTGCGATATAGTTACAGTTAGAACTTTGACCAGGAACAGGTGATTAATAAGAGTGTCCCAATCATATGGGGCGGCGTAGACCATAGTCTAGCTACTATAGTACTCGATCGTGCCAATGCGGCGGCTTCACCTGGGCAGTGTCCAATCCAATATATGCGCTTCGTAGAAGTCGTAGGGGACACAAGCAGACAGTATTGAGAGAAGATCTCAATGTGCCACCGCTATTGTGTCACCGCCGATGTTATGCCAATCAATACGATAGTCGAAGTGCTGAATATCTCGAATGAGTCGTTGGCTCAAGCCGGCGGCTGAGGTCGACAATGGAACTGTTGGTAAAAGCAACTCGACTTCTGGCCATCGGCTTCGGACAAGTTCCGAGGGCATGTTGCGTGCAACTGCGTAAAAAGTTGCCAGGACCGCATCTGATAGTCAACGGACCTTGTCCTGCAACAGAGGATATATGGCCCGTGTGACGCTGCTCTTCTTTAGGGCAGGCACACTGGCTTGCGTGAGTAATGATGTTGAATTCTTGAATGGTGATTGGGCGGTGGTGGTCCAAGCCGGTCCAAGCCGAGGCTCTAGAGCTGAGAGCCTTGTCTCAGCCCAGCGGCTGCTCACCTGCCACCTTAGCGGATGGCGCGAGCTGTGAGATCTCCATGTGGAGAATAGAGTTGGTGAAGATTGCTTCTTGAGCTGGGGCACAATGTTGGATTTGGAGCCGCTGAAGGTCTGCATTGCATAATGACCAGCCGCGTTAACGAAGCACATTGATGTCGCGTTTATCAAAACCTAATTTGTCTCTCGTCGACATCCGTGACGACCAATATTTTTCTAGTCATAGTTGACGTTGGTCAAATCAGTTCTGCTTGTGATGAGCTCGTGGCAGCATAGATCGATCTGGTAGCCAGATCTTGAGTGAGTCGCCAACCCGCGTTATCTCTCTTTGATTAGTTCACTACTGCTAGCGGACCCATCGCTCATCAGCTCATGGAAGAGAAGGGCCAAGTGGGTCTTAGAACGACAGTCTAGTGACTAGTTGCTAGGCGGCGCTTCCAAGATGTGACGCCGCCATATGAGCCGGCCGCCGGACTGCAGTGAAGACCTGCGGGTAGATGCAGGAACCACACGTTTGATCCACTGCGGAACGGCCAAAGGCTAAGGAATGACGCCAAAATCGTGTGCCGCGTTAGTCACGAATCATGGCTCGCTCGGCTTTGATGAAAGCAGAGATGCGCATAAAGGAATCGTCCGGCGAAGTTTGAACAAGCTCAATACCTATTTATCCGGCAGTTTCCTCAAATGGGAGATGTCCACTGGCATGTATACCCTGTGGCTTGATTTCCCGGCCTTGCGTGATCGTCATCGCATCATCCAAAGAATGTACTATGTTCACGATTGGGAGGCCTGATTCCTGTAATAGTATGATAGTACGTATTCGCTTTGCGGAGAAATTGTTGATACATTGCTATTGTCCGTCTCAAAATCAAATCAGTTCAAACCTGCCTCGACCTGGAATTCCCATGTGGGGTCGAGATGCCACGCACAGCTTCTTGAACGAGCTGGACGATTGCTCTTCCCATTTTATTTTGAATGTAAACCTCGGTACCAAATGGTTGTCCCCATAACCTCAAACAAGTAACTTATAATAAGCAACACTCTCATATATGACCATTACTGTCTACAGTTCCATGATAGAGTTTGAATGCATCACACAGGAACAGCTCTTAATCTCACCCGATCCATCCCCAATGCTGCCGTAGCCTGCACGGCCCCTGAGCTTAGTCCACATTAGATAAGATATTGCTCGGGATTGGAAACGTGATTAAAGGCTAGTGGAGTGGCCATTACGAGAAGTTCGATGAACAACATCACCAATATATATACACAGATACGGTTGTCAATTGCTGGTAGAGATAGAAGTTTGCTATGAAGTGATCCGCATTTGCAAGATGCCCTCGATACCGGTATTTCAGAACAAACGACCGATTTACGGGAACCGTCTTACATAAATATTAATAAGAAGACAATGACCGGTCTATTAAAGTTGGGCAAGTCTGCTCATATGACATTGGAGCCCCCTTGCGTCGTTCATTGCCGTCAGCGCAATGCAGAAGGTCGAAAAGAGTAGGCACCAGAACAGCCGCAGTCCCATGTTGTCAGTCGATGCTATCTTTAACTGATCTCCGCATGAGCGTCAGCAACTGGCAGCTGTGTGTTACACAGTCTCTAAGAGGTTGACCAGAATATCCCTTCGCCCCATTCCCCATCAATGGAGAGTCAGGCGATGGGGGCAATCAATATCGACATCAGTGATGAGTCCGCGCCGTCGCTGCAGCCATCCTCACCGCTGACAATTTTACCGCTGCTCAACGGCTGTCAGGTCGATATTAATGTGTTGGTGACGGGCGAATGCCTTCAACACATGCAGTCACGCAGGACAAGTCGGATACTCCCCATTGCCTGCTCCTGCAAGCTAACAGGACAGTGAATAGCGGAAATACTAATAAGATAGTTGCGAACATGATGCTGAAAACAGACATATTTCGCCTCCCTTTGACGATCCATCGCAACCTCGAACTTTTACCGATAGCGACGTCCATGCAGCGCTAGTCTCTAGATAGTTTGGTAGCTTTTGGCGAAGTTCCACGCTGGCAGACCCCACATTGAACTCTCCACTCTAGACTCTTTCAACCTTTAACCTTCCCAATATCTATCAGGGTTACCAGACACGGCTCCCGGATTGTGACGTTGAAATCTGGCCAGTGCCTGCTTGCGCTTTAAATTTTTTCTTTAATTTTTTTTTCTTCAATTTTTTTTATTCGGGTTGTTGCAAATTGTCGCAGGCTGTTTCTGGGGACTGTGGACTTCCGGACCCTGCCCGTGCCTTCAATCTCCCGACCCAATAGCCGTTCTTCGTGTTCCTAGGTAGTAGCACCTATCATGAGTGAGTCGTGATTATTTGCTCTGGCCCGCATCAGCTCTCTAGCTTGGCCGGGTAACTCCACCGAAATACCAAAGCGGTAGGGCCAATTCGGAGCTATACCGTAGGAGGCATCACGTAGAGTTGCACATGCTCAGGTGGAGTGGTGTACTGCTGGCCAACTTCGATTTCTCACCCAAACACCTGGACACTTCGTCCCATATCTCCTCGTACTTTCTACTTGTGACTTCTACAGCTATATGTCGGATGCCCAGCTGCTGCGCTAGAGAGCGCCTCGCAGTAAACCATGCGATTGGGTCGCATCTGAGAGCTCTTCGTCAAAGGTACATCTCTTTTGAAGGTCTGCATGCCATCCCATGCATGCATAAGACCCCGGTCCAGGGGCTCACCCAAAATTTCCTTCCAGCTAACTAGTGCATTTCGTGCCTGGTCGGCCGCTCATCCCTCTCAAAGTCGCAATTCAGTTTGTTCTGAACATTCCCTTCCCAACAACTATATTCTACTCACCGTTTGCAAACAACGTTTATCCTGCTTAGCAAAAGAGTCCTATTATTCTTCATATCACCACATCTCCGGCTATTGACGATATGGTTTACGGATGAGATTGCCACCGTCGCATTGAGAAGCTGCCTGTGCGTGCTACTTCTGTCTGCTCCTGGCGACAACAACAATAGGGTACGTACTTATGTTTGCTTTCTATCCCTGATTCTATTCTATTACTGCGAGGACTGGAGAGGCTAGGTCCTTGCTCTGGGGAATTGCATTCTTGCGCGCGTTTTTGGGAGCTGGACTGCGACTGCCACGAACGGAACGCAACTGATCTGCGGGTGATACCAGCCATCTGCAGCACAGGAGCGAGACGACTGCATCCCACAGCACCAGCAGCAGCATTGTTGCCCGAAATAGGGGGACAATGACACAAGGCCTCCCCACAGAAGAACATCACAACGAGCACAACACTGCACCACAATTTCTATTCCGCATGGTCATCTTTCTCTAACAAGAGTGGATCACATCCACGACGGTCACAAGCTTGAATGAACCCAGTGGGTTCGGCTGTTGCACATTCAACCTGCCCGTCCGCCCAGGCCCCCATCCAACTGCCCACTTGGTAGCCATGATTTCTGTCAACTCGGTGGCCCACGCAGACAAAGCAGGTATCGCATGACTCCCATGATATGAATTCTGTTGGCCGAGGAAGATCTTATGTGCATTTACATAACTTGGGCTAGCCAGGCATTCCTAGTCTCTCCACGGGGCAGGGCGTTTCAGCTCCGAATAGTCATTTGCTCGAGTCCTCGTGTAGTTTTCTTATTCCCAGCGCAGTCGTCCGTCGAACCCTCCAATATTACAGCTCAACCTCGCACAAAGCAGACTACTCACGCGCTGATAGGGTAACCCGCCGCCACTGTGACAATAGAGGTTCAGCGGCACCCCTCCAACCCACTCGTTTGCCTCGTCCGCATTATCCATTTCTGCGGCCGTCTCACCTCATCCCGGCTGGGCAATCCCACCACAGGTTGCGCCGCACGCAGCAGTCAATTTAGCCAGCAATGACCCTACCAAACGTCCAAACCATGTCCAATTCCCCCATCTCTGACGCGGGTGTCGCCAACACTCCCCGACTTGTCCGCTCCAGAACTACGAGCGTCTCCAGCGACCGACCATCGACCATTGGACAGAGTCTAATGTTGCCCCCTCTATCTGTGTCGCCAGAGGCAGCCTTCATTGCTGCCTCTGCAGCCTCGCAAATTGTTACGAATGACCACGACAGCCACTCCGAGTCGTGGTACGATCAAATGGGATTCGAGCCATCAGGGCAGACAGCATTGGTCTCGAGCGGCGCGCTACAGTTGGCCAACAATTTCATTGACCAGATTCTATTCAACATCATCTCTAAAGCAAGATCCACGACTCTCTCCGCCTTGCGACCCGCCGTCAGCGAAGTTCTCAAGCCGAAACTTGCCAAAGATGCCATTAACCAAGCAGATGAAGAGCTCCGAGAGTATCTGGGAGGAGGCGAGGTCGAAAATCTAGTCCAGTCACCCATAGTGGAGTCCTCACGAGATTGGGATCTCGAACTCGTATGGAAGCGTACCCGTCTGCGATGCATGGTGTACTCGTCCTTGGGTGATATGGAGGAGGAGGACGAAGACTATTTCATGGAACAAGAACATCTAAGTGGGGAATCTGAAGACATCTTGTCAGAAGTCGTTTCCCCGGCGGTGGCCATATTTTTGACCTCCATCCTCGAGTTCATGGGCGAACAGATCCTGGTTGTTTCTGGCCAAGCTGCTTTCAATCGACTACGTATAAAGTATGAGAAGGAGCTGAAGGAGGGCGCGCGGTCCAAGGGAGACTTTTCCGACCGCATGGTGGTCGAGGAGCTCGACATGGAGCGCGTTGCGCTGGATCGAACTCTGGGTCGACTGTGGCGATCGTGGAAAAAGCGGATACGTTCCCCGGTTGAGCCGAACTTCGGTCGTAACTTTGCGCGAGGTAGCACGCACAGCAGATGTAGCAGCTTCGCTACCGACGTCCTGCCGTCAAAGGAGACATTTTCCCAACCCCAGGACGCATTCGAGGAAGAAATAACAGAACCGGAGGAGAGGGAACCAACTCAGAAAGGAGGAGCACGCCCTTCGGCCATTCCTCTACCCATGAGCAACAACGACATTGCCGAAATAGAAGTCCCCGGTCTTGTCTCCTACAGCGACGAAGAAGATAGCGAAGAAGATGAGGAAGAGGACGATGAACCCATCAGACGGACTCCGCGACCGAGGAGCTTGATGGTCCTAACATCGAGAGTCAAGCGCAACCGGCCCACTCCCAATGTATCTGAACCACAAACTCCCACACAGCCGTCACGAAAACGAGCGAATTCGCTCCCGACCCCGGCAGCTTCTCCGTACACATCTCCCAAGGGTAAAGGGTCACATGCGGAGGCCGAACCAGTAAAGCTTGCGGATGCACAAGAAGATGATGCGAGGGCTTTGGATACTGCCAGGGCGGTGACAGTGCCAACACCGGCAAGCGTTTCGCCGCTCACAGAATTCGAATCAGACGGCACTGACAAGGCCAGTGTTAGCCAAATGAGTGCAGTTTCCAAGATTATGGCCGGGGCTACTGCGGTTGGCAATGCTGCGGTTGCGGGCGTGACGGCCATTGCCCAAGGCTCCGCGCCGCAAACCAAAATCACACCATTACCAACACCAATGGAAGAGCCAGAAAAGGAGGACTTGATCGAAGAAGCACAGATTATGACATCCTCACGGGTATCCATTAGTGGAGCTAGTACTCCATCGATTGAGCCTAGAAGGCCACTCTCTCTTATGCCTGCGCGGTCAAACAGCTTACGCTCGGTTCGCATGATTGACGTGCAGCCACGAAGCCCACTTATCAGGTCTAGGACGGGTTCGTTTGATACGGATTCCATCTTGGCCTCCCGCTCCAATGTCTCGCGTGAAGGTAGCATTTCGACGCCGCCGATCGTTGAGGAAGACGGTGAGACGCCGTTCGCCAAAGCCATGAAGTTGAACGTCGGCGTGAAGTCATCTAGTCGTGCTGGGTCGCGGGAACCAAGCCCTGCCTCCATCCAGTCCCTGAAGGCAAGCTCGTCCAGGTCGTTACCACCCACCTCGGCTCCGATGTCAATGCCCGCTTTCGCCCCAGCTCCCGCACAGGGCCCTACCAAAGTAACGATCCTGAACACGACATCAAACGGATCCTTCGGCACTAAGCCTGAGGTTTCTCCGAAACCATCGGTCAGCTCAAAACAGCCCTCGTTGCCTGCCTTGCCTGAGAGAAGCACAAGTAGAGGGGTTTACAGCCCGTCTGCGCCAATGCAAGGACCGGTGGGGATGCCCCTGACAGAGGAAAGTCATTCTGCACCGCGTGCATCACCGGAATCGCCGAAGCTAGCGCGTGTGGCGCAAACCGAATCCCCATCTTCAACAAGTTCTATGAAGCTCAAGGCGGTACGCAATTCTGAGGACAGCGGCTCTAATCGGGCCGAGGACGTAGCGCGTAACTTCGAGCAGCTCCTACAAAACGATCAAACTTTGCAGTACACGCTTACTCCAGAGAACATGCGGGACTTTGACGTTAGCCCAATTACCCCTCAACTTTCGCGGACCGGTCTCGCCGACGGGCAATCAATAAGGTCGCTACATAGTGGCAGTCCTGTGTTGGCGCCTCCTCCATCTCGGAAGAGCCAGGATACCAAGCATCTTGAACGGTCCCGGTCGTCCTCACTCAAGAGATCCATGTCGGTTTCAAAGGCAACAGGGTTGAACTCGCACCCGCCAACTGATTACCACAGCGGGAAACTGTCCGGTCCGGTGCCCCGGGCGCCTCCTGTCTCATACTCATCAAAAACTCGCTCTGGCGCTGCCTCACAAGCAAGGGACGCCCGGATTCCCCGGGAGTCGCTCCAGGACTTTGCCGAGTTCATTCGGTCGACTGGCCCATCTGGTAGTGGAAACCGAGCCCTTCCTAGTGGTGGCACTCATACACGCAACGTCAGTGTTCCCGTGCCGATGAAGTCAAGCATGGACTCCCGATCTATTGGTTCTGTCAACCGCGCTCGTCTACAGGCCCGGGATGCTGCCATTAGCTCCAACAATGAAAGCTCTGAGCTTATCGACTTCATTCGCAGGGGGCCTCCTTCGACTGGCAACAACCCCCGAATTCCTCGCAATGTAGCTCCCTTCCGCACTACGATGGACTCGGATCAGTTGCACATGTCAGGTGCCGTTGGAGGCAAAGCCGTAGACGCTACGCTTCCCGATGTCAGGAGCAGCCAGGCTTCCACAAGCGTAACGGAGAACTCGGTTCAATCCTCCATTAACTCCCAGAGTGCCCTTTTGGGCAAGACAAACAAGCCAGCTCAGCACCGCAACAATTTCGATGATGACGACATGGCACCTAAGCGGAAGCAGCGAAGAATTCGCGACCCTTACGCCATTGACTTCAGTGACGAAGAGGGTGATGATTTTGAAATGACGCCGAAACCGAAACCCAAACCGAAGAAGGAAGAAAGCCTCATCGACTTCCTCAACAACTACCCGCCTCCCCCCGACCCGACTCCACCGACTCCGGTGCCCCCCGCTTCTAAAGCGTTCTTAAAGAAGAAAGCAAGTGCACCGAATTTGCTTACACGCCTGAGATCTGCTGGTAGCAGCTCCAACCATAATAGCAACAACGGATCCGTAAGGGGGCAATCTCGTAACGGTGTTCCCGCCAATGAGTCAAGATCTCTCAGCAGTCGCGCTGGCAACGTTAGGGGCTACACCCCGATCGTTGCCAACATCCCGCCTAGTGCAGAGCGAATGCCCAACATTGGGGTTTCCAATGCTTCCAATACTCCCAGAGCCAGTTCGAGCGGTGGTCGAGTGCTGATGAGAAAGTTTGAGCCTCGCGAACCAACATCAGCGGAGACCAAAACATCTGACCTCGCCAACTTCCTACGAGATTCAGAGCCCCCACCATCTGCCATGGCAACAATGCCTCCGCCAGTGGAAGAGAAAAGCAGTGGATTCTCACGTATGTTCGAGCGGCGCCGCAAAGGATCCACAGCTTATTAACAGAACACCCTTATTTCATGTACAAACTTAACTCGGACGGAACCCAACACATATCATCTCGAGAGACTCTGGGATATCATCAGATGGACCAACATAGGAATGTCAAGAGGGACACGGGTCTTTTCTAGAATATCCGATCAGAGCGATTAGGCAAACGCGAATTATATATTGCTTATCCTGGGCCGCATTTTTATCTTCTATCTTCAGGGATGGTCAGTCAATAGTAGATAGTCTTCGCACTAACGGCGCGGAGGAAAATATTTGCGCGGATATGGTTCAGCGTATTAACTTGCCGCGTGTTGAACGGCATCTCAGTTGATACCACGTAATGTTTCTTTGCTTACTCTAGGGGAAAATGAGGAGAGACCACCAAAATTTGACATGGCACAAGGAGGGTTCAGTCACTTGCAGCACACTGTAGTGTGTGACGAAGCATGGCTCAGGAAAAGCCCATGATAGTTACGGCTGAAATGAAAAACCATATCTTGTCTCTGAATTTTCTACTCCTTGAATACAATCCATGTCATCATCCAGGAGTTCCTTCGACTTTGGTTAGTTTTATTTCTATATTCCCTGGTCTTGCACAGTCCATGGTGTCCCTTCATGCACCTATCCAACCACCTGCCTCAAACCCCCCTTTTTCTCTACCATCATGACCTCCGCCGGCGGCTTCATATCATCGTCGTCCTCCGTCCGCGTCTGCTGTAACGAGAGGTTGCCGATGTCTGCTGCAACGAGAGGTTGCTCATGTCTGTCTCGTTCCCGTTGTTGTTTCCGGTTTCATTTCCTTTCGATTCCACGGAGCCGGCTCCTGCTTCGGCTTCTGTCGGGTCTCGCAAGCGGCAGAAATGCATGATGAGCGTCGCGCTCACGAAGAAGAGGATGATGATTCCGATCACGATGCCGGCTATTCCAATTGCAGGAATCTTGAGGGGGTCGACATCTTCCCACGCCATGGTGCCGAACGTTTGTCTGGATGCTCCCCAAGACAGTCTTCGCTCTGTGCAAATGTGGAAATATGGTGTTGAGGCTTGTGATACAACTCGATGATATTCTAGATGTTCCTGCGGATATGTATCTCCAACGGCCGGCGTTTCTGTTCTCAGTGACGTATAGTTCTCAACAGTTTATGCTTGCAGCACAGGAGGTTGAGGAAGTTGGAGGAAATGGGGGGTAACGCTTTTATGCATTCGCGAGTCAAGTCAAATCGATATTGTTTCACTCATTCCGTAGAATAAGGTGTCATAGTACATAGCTACCAGAAGCGGACTCTAAGCTTTCTCGCCAAGCGATGATGCTGCGATATGATACGCAACACCCGAATCAAGGCGAGAGGTTCATATTCGTTGACAACACGGGCCATTCCAGACTTTTTCGTCGGACTTCAGTTTGGTGGTTGGTGGAGTTTCATACTGCTGCTGTTTCTCTTTACACACGTGAGTCACTGGCAATGGTGGAGTTCATAGTCAGTTAGTGACAAGGAAGAAGATGAGTACTAAGTAATGTAGCCGGTTTGTCTAAAAGATGGTGAAGCACTTGGCTGCGTCTGTCTCATCATCGTCGAGAGTGCGCGTCGTGCTATACTTAGAGTCAGTTGACAGCTAGCAAATCATCAGCTGATGGAGCTATGATATTAGATATTAATATCAATAGGATCGACCGTGTCCCCTCGCATCTGCATAGTAGATCGGATCGGTTCCCGGTTTGATGGCATCCAATCAATGATTTATCTGTAGCACCCTTTTGACGTAGACCCGGGGTTAAACTCTGGGAAACCCAAGCTCACTTGACCACTCATGACACACACGAATCTTATTCCATCGGAAACCCTTGGCAACTCACCATGGGACCCCATGACCGTGGAGTCGGTGATTGTGACTTTGCGGGTTTATCCCACGAGGCATCTGCGCAAGAGCGCAACATAAGTACTTGACATAAAACTTACGGCCGTGAACCGATCGGTACACCAAGTGCTCACATTAAAGTTCCGTGAAAGGAGAGGCCTGGATCATTACGTCCGTCCTATCGCCGGATCCGGTCCTTGCCGTCCCAGCAAGCAAGGTTGGAAGGAAGCGAGCAAACAGTTCGGATATCGTCGATCGGTTATCAATGAGTATGCAACCATGCGACCAACTGACAGGTGTCCTACGATAGTACATGTACGTCTCGTGTAGCGCAGTCTGCTATCCGTCTTCAACCAGGAAGAGACTTCGCCGACACCTCCTGGCTTACATCTGTCCCACCATCGTGTAAGAGCAACTGTCAGATCTGGAACAATCTCAATGTGCGCCATGGACATGCAGAATAGTCTGGAAACTAGGACGTTTCAAAGAATGCCGGGATCTGAGGGTCTGATTCCTGTGTTTCTGAAAGGCCTTGTTAGTCTTGGCTCTACTGCAAGTCGACGGGTAAAGCCTCGCAGGACCCAGTCTATGAAGCTTATTTTGTCTTGGATATATAAAGGTCACGCGACCTCGACAGCATGTCATTTAATTTTGGCTTGTATTGGAAAAATATGTTGTATGTAGTTTTTCCCCTGTCGAAGAGGTCTATAAAGCCTGGGAGGTTTTCGTCGGAGACGAACTGCGGTGGTGATAAGAGTCTCTTTCACCGCACCGATGCGATTCTTATCGTTGAAAGTATTACAAAAAAGCAGTGTTTAGCATAGTAAGTTATATTAATTGGCCCATTCTGGTATTATTTTAATCTGCGCAATATGGAACTATCAAGAACCCCCAAGTTGTTTCGACTTGGTAAGCCATACTGGGAGTAATCCTAGTTACAAGTTCCACTTAACCAATTTTCGTCTTCCTAAGCTCCCGAGAACTCAACCCAAGTAATTCCTGACTTTGCCATGCCGGAGGTTGTCTTCAGGGAGAGGTTCACTCTTCCGCATAGCGGTGATGACCACCCAAGGACTACTGAGCAATTCGCTGTGACATGTTCCAATTTGTTCAAATGTCCATATTTGTTCTGGAGGATCCTCGATGAATAGTCAGTCAGATGCTGAAGCCAAGATTCGTGTGGCATCACTTTGATATATCGAGGACATGTGACGTATAGTATGAATCTCTCACGACGTCAGGAAGATGATACAATAAATGGCCTATGAACACCAGAGGTCAAAGGATAACTGCTGAAACTGAGTAGATATGCACCTAGAATTTCGAGTTGTATTAACAGCCGCCTCGAGATCTGCTCAGCATGATAATATTGCTTTTTTTGTTAATTACTTCCAGTGACAATAAGGAGCACCGAAGTTCATCATTCGTTGAACGTGGCCTCGGTGTCATGAATTCAAGACTGGCAGCCGGTCCCGTTTTTTGTACTTTCTGACTTGGCCCTGAACACTTGTGGTAGGACACAGCTTCCACCTGGATAATATTATATTCCAATGATTAGCGCTGCGTCGTCCCCGAAAGCATCGTACATGACTAAGAAATTCCCGGATAGATTAAAGCTAGCTTCACCTATATGCGGAGGATGGGTTCGTCAATTTGCTTTTGATGCTTCAAAGCTGGCATCCGACTTGCAGTCAAAGGTGTTTGTGGATATGAAGCAGGGAGCCCAGGTAGCACAAGCAACTTTTATGACTAGCTTGCAATAAGCAATCAAAACTTCTTATATACTAGCTGGATTGGTTTGTTTCTTGGCTTGTTTCTATGGTCCTGATGGACTCGGATTTTCCAAGCTGAAGACTTCGCTGAATTCCCCCTTGATCTTCACGCTCGACTCTCATGGGGGTTAACTGCAGCCCTAAGGCAAACTCTGGTGTGCATGGAACTTACACTGAGTTGTTGCTGTAATATCTCTGGTGCCAATCGTTCAAAGTCGCTTGAGACGAACCAGATACCGTCGGTACAGCGAAGGTGACCAAAGGATGACCACTTCATGCTTCAAGGCGTCTATTTGAAGAGGTCAGAGAACGGTACCTAAGCTGCAACATGATGGTTCACCTTTTGAACGGTGGTTGAATATGCACCTTGCACGCAGCACGTAATCCGAAACTGTGGCATTGCAGTTGCGAAGTGAAGGAGCTTGTTTCGCTGCACCACATCTGATGCAGTCATCTTACGAAGTACCGTGGGTCACTGTTTTTCCCTTAAGAGATTTCTCTGCAAGCTCAGATGTAGCGTATGTTTCCCCAGTTTTACCACGTTCCGCACCAGGCGTCATGAGGCTGACAAGGTTGCAACGATAAAACCTGACCTCGATGGTCCTCAGCTCTTTTGACAGCCGTATACCTTTCTCCACTATCTTCCATATCAAGTCGGCAACTTCTACTGAGAAGAAAATATGAAAGTGGATTCTGCATACCCGTTTGGATACTAATGAACTTGAGCTGCTGCTCAAGCCAAAGTCCAGTCTGTTCGCATTTGAATAAACAATCACGAGAATCACGACGCTCCCTTCGTAAATCCTTTCGTAGAACTTTGTGGGTTCGACCGAGTCGGTTTTAGATCCATTCCCCGTCGATATTCACAAAGAAGTAGAGCCCTTGCTTGCGTTGACCCCAGAGTAGGCGTCGATAACGCGCAGAACAACGCAATATGTGTGGCCTCTGGGTACGAAGAAGTGGGATCACGGGGTTGCCAAGCTCAACTCCTAGGAAGGCATTCAGCCGTATTGTTCGTCGGCCCAATATCTCCTCTCCCGTAAGTAACTTAAGTATAATGTAGCCGGTGTAATTCGTAGTGTTTGCTGCTTCATCCGCTTGGACTCCGTGACAGATTAAGTTGGTTTCAGACTTACGATTGATTCCATTGACGCCAGTCCATAGCCTAGGATCCTGATGTTTCTGAGGACTTCATTTTCTCTCTGACTGCAATCAATCTTACTGCTATCCATCCGTTGCTCCCCATTGTACGAAATCAAGTTGGGGGTTTTACCATCAAAGAAAAAGGGGTGTGTAAGTCGCAAACCGAGACTACTCATGCCAGCCCCGGTAGTTGCATAATTTTATCCCGTTGAGAAACTCAACTGAAACTCATCAAGTCCAGGTCACATTCCTTTGTCAGTGGGACTTTGTCAAATGACCCGCCAGTTCCTCTCTCGCAAACTCAATAGCGTCGTGAGACACTAGAAATTGGTAATACTCCTCCACCAACTCCCGGTTCTCCTTGCCATGACTAACCTCCCGACTGACCTCGAGAACTCTTCGCACTCGTGGCTTTCGAATCTTTTCGTATAGCTGGAGACGGTCTTGAATCTGGCTGGATTCCACGTTTGCAGGCAGGAGCACGCATAGTGTGACCGCATCCTCAATCGACATGGATGCCCCCGAATAACCGTACGGGACGACTGGATGGCAGGCGTCGCCTAGCAAGACGGTATGATTGACGCTCCAACGCGGGAGTTCGTCCATGTCAAGTAGCTTCCAAACACGGAACCCATTTGGGTCGGTGAGGTCGAGTATTCGCAGCGCAAGAGGATCGAAGTCTTTGTAGATTTCTTTGACTCTTTCTAGTGAGATTTTCTGGTTGTATGCTGAAAGAGAACGAAATGGTGGTCAGTACCGGTTTTGACTGCGGAAGATGTCCGTGTCTTTTACCAATGGTGTCAGCTTGGCTGCCCTCAGACGTCTGCTGAAGAGACAGTTGCTCTGGGTGCGTGCAAGTGAAGATCCAAGATCTGTCAAAATCGACCGCGTATGCAACAATGCGTTTGTCTTGTTGATCATTCCAAGAGAGCATCTTGAAACTGTCGTCGATCATACGAGATACAATTGGATCGCTTAGTAGAGTGTATGTAGAGAGCATGAAACGTACACAGGAGTGACCAGTTGATGGTTTCGGGTAAAGTATAGAGCTGTCGACAACATGTGGACGTATGCGCGACTATGATGTAAGATGAGAATTGCTGTCGTGTCGGAACGGGAAAGGTCAACTTGCATGTACGCCGTCGGCTCCAATGATGAGATCGACAGATGTGGAAGTCTTATCATCAAAGTAAAGTGTGTTGTTAGACACATCGACCGATATCACCTTGACACCTATCTTGACTTCAACTCCACCCTCCGATGCCTTTTCAAGGAGTTGACGTTGAAGTGCAGCCTACAAGGATCAGCATTCGCCCTCCGTCTTGACACAACACTGTTATAAGGTCTTACTCTGTACGCAAAAACAGAAGTTCCTTGCTTCATCGCCTCCAGATCCTCGTTTTCTTTCCACTCGCGGGTCACCCTGCCCTCGCGGTCCATCATTCGTGCCGTATTAGCTGTGACCGCTCCCCCAGCCACCACATCTATACCCAGCCATTTCAAGCAGTGATCTGAATTTGGCGTGATGCGGAAACCATATCCTATGGCCTCGACTGCAGTGGATCGCTCGTAAATGCTGACAACGTGACCGTTTTTCGCGAGGCCAATGGCTGCGGCCGGGCCCCCGAGACCGCCTCCGACTATAGCGATATTCAGGGGAGTCATTGTTGATAAGTCGGAACGGGTTCTATTGATGGAATGTGCTGATCTTCATGATGCTTTGTAAATTAATGAAAAAATCTACATACGAGAGACGTCGTATTCGGACGATGTTGACGTCATGACATTTCGGCCGAATTGCTGATGGAGTTATCATTTCAAGCTCAACGCACCTTTCACATGGCGACCTAGGATCTCATAGCCACGACATTTGGCCTCGCCAAATTATTTCAGATGAAACCATGTGTTACGAGTTCCTGAGCGATGCCAAACTTTGAATTTACCGTGCTTGCTTAGAACTGAGTGCAGAAGACGAAGAGCTTGCAATGCAGAAACACCAACCACGCACTTCGGTATCATAACGGTTAACAGTCCAGGTAGTATACAGCCCGGCAAGGGTAAAATAAAAGGCCAGTCCCTGTTTCCAATGCAATCTTAGTATTAAATAACCAGCAAATTGTTCTACGGGTCAACTGTCTCAACGAGTTATCCCGTCTTACAATGCGCTCTCTGCTCTCTGAAGTTGTTACAGCCATAGGAATGCCGAGGCATTGTACCATTCCTTTCGAATAGCATCCGGATACTCTACACACTTCTTACGCCCTCTCAGTTTTACGACGTGTATCATGGAATTCTTGGAACGACTGATTATCGAATTTCTCACCATTCCTGCTTTTGTTGAGATTGCTCAACAAGGGGGCCACAGAAATGGCACAATAGCCAGCTCGTTGACACGATCCACTCATAATCCTGACATAGACCATTATTCTCATAGTAACTCTATTCCGTGGAGATTTCAAATGAAACAGTTATTAAACAGTGGTGGCTATTCTATCTTATCGAAGCCTCAATTGTTGGTGATCCCACTTCTTCGTCTACCTTTATTCCCCATATGAGGTATTTGCTTATATCCGAGTAATGCCCAAATGCGTCAGACGGTCATCAGTCGACCTCCACCGTGTAAATGTTGCATGGTTGACGGCGAGGAGATGAGCTAGACCAGATAACTTTCGTTGCTTATATCTTGCGTCTCTCTTATGGGAAAAGATCACACGTGGTCAGGTGGTATTGTATGAGTGAGGAAATATTCCTGAGCGATGCCGTTCTTGGCGTGGCTGCGCTAAATGCACTATTGCGGAGTCAGTCTAGACCGTTGACCTAGCCAAAATTAGAGGCAGAAAAACCGTGAGAAAGATCGTCACGGCTTTCAACGCCTTCTACAAGCCAAAACTTTCACCTTTTATTCTCCGGAGCTAGACCGCCAATATCTATGAACTGTTGGAAGGGCACACGATATCGAACTTTAAATCTCGGGCTGCCTTCTTTACTCTAATTGTCTCTCAGCGGATAACGCCTGAAAGGACTGTTAGCACCTACGTCAGTTGCTTCACGGTCGAAGTATGGCCAGCGATCAGCCGGTGGTGGTGAACGAGGATGGCAACAAACGCCCAGCCACGAGTGCTGCAGTGGAGGCTGGCCATGACGCGCACGTGGGATACGAGAATGAGCGAATCGAGCAGGTGTATCGGAAGCTCGACCGCCGCATTATCCCCGGTAAGAACGACTCCATGACATTGAGCCCAACGGGAAATGGCTCATACTGATCGGATATCAGCATTTTGGATCCTTTACTTTCTGTGCTCAGCCATCCGCTCCAATATCGGCCTGGCGCAGACGATGAACGCGGACGTCGGCCATGATCTGACGACGGTGCTAAGTCTGTCGCCCAAAGACGTCTCCACGGCTCTGGCACTCTTCTACGTCGCCTATGTTGTATTTGACTGTCCTTCCAACTTGGTCATGAGTAAATTGGGCCCGAGAGTATGGATGGCTCGGATTGTGTTCGCCGTTGGTCTCATTGGCACTTGCTTCGCCGCCGTAAAAGCCGCATGGAGTCTCAAGTGAGTAACAAAACATCCCCGTGAACTTGCCGTCTTCTGACCCACCACAGCCTGTTGCGTTTCCTTCTGGGAACGGTCATCGCCGGAATGTGGCCTGGAATGTCATACTACTTGACGTTGTTCTACCCGCCGTCCCGCACTGGTAAGAGAATAGGCCAGTACTACACCGCCGCTCAAGTGTCGGCTGCCGCGGTCGGTCTGGTCTCGGCCGGCTTTCAGCTCATGGATGGCCGCGGAGGCCTGGTAGGGTTTCAGTGGATGTTTCTCATCTACGGCCTTCTTGCCATCGTCCTTGGTTTTACTCTTCTTTGGTGGCTTCCAGACCGCCCGCTGCCTCCGGGCCAAAAGCGCGAGAACAAGGGCTTGTCTAAATGGCTGCCTTCTACCCCTGAGGCCTTGACTGGGGAGGACGCAGCCGTCCACTACGAGGAGCTCAAGCGGGTATACTACCCCAGGCCTTGGACCCTTAGAGATCTCGGTTACGTTCTCATTGATTGGCGACTTTGGCCGTTGACCATGATGTACTTTGGGGTTGTTGGCGTCGGCATTGGTACGCAGCTATACGGCACAGTCATCATCTCCGGCATCAACCCGAATTTTACGGGAGTGCAGTTGAGCTTGCTATTTGCTCCCATTTGGATAGTGAGTTGGCCATCCATCTTCCATCTGTCGCCCAGTTACTGACTTTTGCAGATGGATCTGATTGCAATTCTGCTCGTCACTCCCATCTCTGATCGTTTCCATCGTCTCCGACCCTTCTTCTTCTCGTGTGCGGTATGCATACAGATTGCCGGCCTTCTCACAACCACCTTTGCCCCTAGTTCAGTGCCTTGGGCGAGATACGGCGGTCTCCTCATGATTGGTTTCGGACTTGGCCCAACTGTGCCCATCTGCATGACTTGGACCAATGAGATTTTCCAGAAACGACACGGTGAAGTTGGTGTAGCAGCTGCAGCAGCTTTGGTGTCGGGGCTGGGCAATCTCGGCAGCATCATGACAACATATGCCTTATACACTGGTTGGCCTGAGGACGCTGTAAAGGGGCCGCGCCAATACCGCAAGAGTAACCTCGTCATGATAGGCATCCTCTGCATCAGCATTCTGAGCAGTGTCGTCATGTTTGTCGCCCTGAAGATCGCGGGAAACCAGCCAAGCCACAAGATCCGCAGCAACAGTAGTTCGAGCACCGATGCATCAGACGAGTTCGAGGACGGCGCCGCCCGACGAGAACTTGAGCAACGTGGCTTTGGCCGTATGTGGTGGAGCAAGAGGGCCTAGTCCTCCTCCCCAGTCCCACGATTGATCTTCAACGATCGATTTCCCAACCCAAGGATTGCTTGCCGCTAGCTCAACCTACCAGGCATTCTTTCTTTGGACACCCTTTACTTTCGACATGTACATATCTGAATGACCTTTCATTCGTGTACGATCTTTACCCCATGCAGCGTCTCGAGACACTTTTCATCTGAGAATCGGCACTAGCCTCGACAGCGAAGGTGCTGCTACGCCATCGCTGGGAACAGCGTTTTCGGACCGGAGACGGGCACGGCGACAATGCTGAAACGCTGTCGTATGCTTACCCTCCATTTCATGAGAACGAATATCCTTTCTGCCTCCTGGGCGGTTTTGACCGAGGATTTGGTTTTTGATTTTTGATTTTGGCGCTTTGCGTATGATACCCATTTGTGCTTTGACCACGCTGTCATCCGAGGTTTCTTTGCCAACTCGCCAGCGACAGTGCTTCTACGCCATCGCTTGGGACGGCGTGTTGCAGCCGAGGCGGGCACCGGCGACAATGCTCTTGCGCTATCGTCTTGGTCCCGCCTCATGGGCTCGCTTTCACACGTTCTTTTGAGTTTTGGAGAAATGATATGACGGGCATATATACACATATAAGATAGCTTGAGAGGACTGGGCTGTACGCTCGTTGGATGGAGGCACCCGGTACTGAATATTACTCGGCCTTTTGATCCTTCGCATTTGCTTTCCACCCCGCCCCCATCTGTGCCATACGTGAACGGAAACGAAATAGGGATATCGCAGAATGTTGATATTTACAGATACCTATAGTCCAATGCTAATCATCTGGCTTTTCTTTCATCCTTTTCTCGTTATTGCATAATTATGAACTACCAGCCCAGCATTCCGCAATTTTACCAAGCCAGTTTCCGCTGCTTCCTCACTTTCCCCTTTTCCACAGTGCCATGTCCTAGTAGGTGGGACTACAACGAGTCCTATTGAGCCAGCCAGGTCTAAATGATACGCTGGTAGGCAACGCCGCTTCTGTTTTCCCAGACTCCAAATTTCTGACTTAATCGACTAGGCTTGGGTTGAGGGAAACAAGACCCAACGGAAAATCTGCAGCCACAGTAGAGACAAGGTACTGGACGTTCGTATACGTGACGATGATATATTAACGCCGGGTGATGCTATCTTCGTTACTCAAAAGGACTCGATGCGCGAATATTGAAAGGAAGGAATGAGAGAAGTAGATGATCGCATGCGAGGAGACGGTGTTGACTCGCAATGATAATGTAGTTAATTGCAAAAAATGCGGGCTCATTCCATAATTCCCGACAGACAACGACACCCGCAATGGCCTTATTTTATGCCAAGTCAGTCCGATATTCATACTGCAAACATGGTCAGCTCCGGCTAATCAGACCTATCCTAAACTTCATTGTGTCACCACTTGACAAATGCAAGGACAACCAAACACATTTTGCTCAGATAATGATTTTTTTTTACAATTCATCTCATCGATTTGGCGAGTGTATCTTGCTGCGACACACGAAGCGCCAGACTGTTACTCCAGGCTGGTACAGCAATTCCCCAACAACTTCAAGTCATGTAACGCTCTGTTTTGCGCAGGTACTATAGAGATGAGCATCAAACATATTCCTCTCCTGGAAAGACTATGTATTGTCTATCACTCCCCACTTCCTCCTCCCAGGCTATGTATGTCGCCTACACGTCAACCGCTCGCTCTCCTTGCCTAACACATGCCCCTTTTCGGAAATCCAAAGGAGAAAAAGACGCTCTGCTATTATATACGTATATATATGTGATGAAATGCCCCAACGCATGTGTATATCTTGTCTTCATGTCGATATCTGATTTACGTGGCATATGTGGTAATTACACCCTTCCTCTCGTAATTATTGTCTAGCACTTTTCGACCATGCATCCTCGTATATCAGTTTTACGCCGTCTTTACCAGCACAGTCGTGCTAAGGACATCATTCGTTTATGTAGGTCTGCTGAAAGGTACAAACGTGACCAACCCAATCCTTGTCCTCAAGAAATGGACAAGAACCACGCCTCTAAACTCGCTATTACAAGAATAACCACAAGAACTGTTACTCCAATTTATCAATTACTAGTCACAGGCTCTACAGCCTACACGGCGTGTACAATAGTTTTTTTTCTTTCAGTTTGGTTTAACACACCTGGTTTTTTCGGTGCCTTTTACCCCTTACATGCCATCAGACCCTTCGGAATCCCCCCCACGGATGCGGCGGTGGGCCTCTACCTTATCCTGCTCAGTCACATCGGCTTGGTCTTTGCGCATGTCAGGGGTCCACTGTGATTGACTGGGACTGTGTCCGATAGACATGCCTGCGCGGATCTATCACAGCATTAGTTTGGATCTGTCTGGCTAAAGGCCTACGCATGCTTCCCGGGTTACGCGTATAAGTTGCGAGCCAATGCGATCAACAGTTTTCACTGTTGATTCTGTCGGGTGCTCCGATGGCAGCGTACATATGCTTCTTGTGGAGGGGACAGACTTACTAAAGTCTCGAGTGCACCTCTCGAGTTGTCGACCAAGTCATCGTCGAATACCATCTTACCCTCTTCGAAAAGCAGCACAATGGTGCTGCCACCAAACTTGAAATATCCGAGTTCCTCAGCCCGTTTTACCTCATCGCCGTCATTGCGAGTGATGACAGTGCTGCCGACCATCATCGCACCAACACAGACAACCATGACGCGACCGTGTTCAACTGTATCGATCGGACACAGCACCCGAATATTTTCACTGTAAACATCGAGGGCCGAGCGAATTGCCATGGGATTGACCGTATAGTACTCGCCAGCAATGAGCTTGGGTTCACGCAGGATCCCATCAACTGGGATGTGGAAGCGATGATAGTCTTGCGGTGCTAGCCGGAAGATACCTAGAGCTCCGTTGTCATAACGCTGAGCATCCTCCGGATACGCGTCACCTAAGAGTCTCTTGACGGAAAAGTCGCGGCCCTTGATCCAGATTTTCGTTGCCTGGTCGATGCGATTGAAGACAACCGACCGACAATCCGCTGGGGAAACGAAGATGTTGGGGTTGTCTGGAGCGGAGCACGGTCTGGCTCCTGGCTTTAGTGCGCGATAGAAAAACTCGTTGAAATTCTTGAACTCCTCCAGCGGGAGGAGAACTTCAGACATGTCGAGGTTGTGAAACTCGATAAACTTGGGAATGTCGCCCTTCGAGGCCGGATCATCAAACTTCTTACCCTGCTTAACACTCATACTCTTGAGCATCTTACGGACTAACATGCTGTGTCAATTTCAAACTTTGCAGGTTAGGATCATAAACTCACTTCTCTTGTTTTCCATATCCTTGGACTTCAGCCCCTTGTAAAGCAGTCTAATTCCGAGGCGAACATACACACTCATCTTCTCCTCATTGATCTGTCCGGTAATACGGTCTTGCACGAGGATGTTTGCTGAGTTAGCCCCCAGTTTGTAGCCACCATAGGAGATCTTGGTGATAACCTTGGAGTACCACTTCCTCTGGGCTTGGCTGGCCGTCACGAAACCACCCATCATAAGAGAGTTAACTTGACGCCAATCCTGGCTGGCGCAGGTCGCAATGTGAGTTATTATGTCAGTATCCTTGCGCTTGTTAAGGCGTGGCTGATGACAGATGGGACATTCTCGAATCTCGACAACATGCTCTTCGCCTCTGTCGATGTTGAGATCGTCCTTATCCAGGCTATCGCCTTCTTCCCCTGGGGTGTTCATCTCAGGGACAACAATAGTTGACGTTCCACACGGTTGGCCCTGAACTGTGGTGTCGTCAGCGCTGAGGATGAAAGGCTGTTCTTCGGCAGGCGTTTCGGCAGGCGTCGTCAGGTTGCTAGAGCTGTGACCTGGAGCGCCCAGCATAGTTTTCACCTTGTCCGCATCTGGAAGTATGCTCTTTATCTTGTCACCGAGGACCTGGCTTTGATATTTGTTCTTAGCTTGTAGTTGATCCTCCAAGCATATGACTGCCTCATCCAGGGTTAGATTGTCTTCGCCATTTGCTGCCTTGTGCGGGAAGCGTTGGAAGAAGCTATCGATGGTAGACTCGCGCAGGGTCGAACCGAGGGTATCAAGCATAGTGGTTAATTCAACCTTGCTTAGCTCGCCACTCTCATCCGTGTCGTACTGCTTGAGCATAGACCGCCAAAATTGTTGTCTCAAGGCGGAATAGGGCATATACTTGGCACGAATAGAAAGCTGTGGGTTATGCTTTGCTTCCCATTTCTCCAGGTTCTTCATCTTGAGCGGAACAGTGAAGCTGTTGAAGTCAGGATCATCGTTTCCGGCTTCACCGTTGTCCCCGTTACCCATGGAACCGCTATTAAGGTTAGGGATTTGATCGGCTTGTAGCAAGTTGGGATTGGTGGCAGACGAAGGACCACCAGCCGCCAAGCCATCAGCTTGTGACATGTTCGAGATGCTGCTAGGATTCTTCGAGATGACTGGTCGCCCTTTGTTCAAGCTGGTGGAAGAAGAAGACCTGGACATGCCAAGCTTTGCGAATCGCGACTTTTTGGTAGGCATGTCAATTCCGGGGGGATCTTTGAGATCATACAGGCCAGTTTCGGGATCAGCTTTAGGCGTCTTATCCATCAGTTCCTTGAGCGGGAAAGAGGTCGAGGCAATAAAATCATTGCCAGAGTACTTGTCGCGATCAATGACTGTGAAGGCAAAGGAGTAAGACTGCTCGTGGCTCAAGACCTGGAAGATCATCTTTTCGTTGAAAACGGGATTCAGATTGTGACGAATGACCCTCGTGCGATATGTCTTCTTGCCGAGCGATGCCACAACAAAGGGGTCCATGTCAAAGCTCGTCTTGGTAAAGTTGGACTCGGGGGGCAAGTCGGTGATGTTACAGATCTCGAGGAAGATGAGACCAACGACGTCGCTGTCGCCATTGGTGAATTCGTAAGGATTCTGTCTCTTCTTACGTTTCAGCCCTTTTATTCTCAGTCTCCTCTTGCGTTTCTCAATGGTTTCGGGCTTGCTCGGGTCATCTTCTTCGGGGGTTTCGTCATCGTCGAGCATCTCGTCGTCGTCGTCGTCGTCTTGTGAGTTGTCGGTGCCGCTCCGCATCAGCGGGGGCGACGGCGAATACGCAGATGATTTGGAACTCATCGGGCCGAGAATTGGAGTCCTTGTGGGTGTCGCGTTGCGCGAACCGCCGTATGATTCTCCTGCCAGAGTACGTATCTTCTCAAATACCTGGGCGGCCGTCGCGTCCTTGTCGGTAGAGTCGAATATGGTGAATTGGAGTAAGACCTCTCCCGAAACGACGCTGGACTTCTTGCCAGGCCGCTTGCTCTTTAGGGGGTACCATTTGGGTTCCTGTTCAAGAATTTCGTTGGCAAAAATCTCCTCGAGAGCTAAGTCGAATTCGCCCATGTAGTCCTTCTTGAATCTGTCCTTGTCCCAGCAAACGGCATCGACAAGCAGGCTCTGCACGCCCACGATGGGCATGGTGCAGACGACGTTCCATTCAGGATCCAGTGACTTCGGGACGCAGTGGGTTACGAACTTGGTTTCGCCGCACGTTAATTGGAGGTACTGTCGAGCTTGTTGTCAGCATGGATGTCTCTACACGAATGGCGGGGTTGTCCATCGCATACCGGGTCTGAGGTGCCTCCACGATCTTTCGCGGCCAAGTTCTTCGCCTGCACAGCAAACGCGTTAGTCTTCCGTCTAATTTTTGTCGTGTGGTGTTAATTGGCCTTACTCGAAGCACCACAATCTTCAGGACCAACCCTGTGTCCTTTCGCCCATTTGGGCCTACTTGTTCGATGGTGGATCGCATTGGACTGGTACTGCGACTGTTGGTTGTCGAAGTAGCAGAGCTCGTGGGTGGTTTCAACCGCGAGGGGATAAGGCGAACCATTGCGAGCTAAGAGGGGCAGCCTGCCTAAGACACTTGGCGACTCAAGTATGTAGAAACTAAGGCGGCCTTTAGTCAGTGACGTGGGTGAACAACCCCGCCCCTTGATCTTATTGGGCCTCGGCCAACTGGTCCAGTTGCGTCTTGGTGTAATGCTGCAAGTCGTTCAGCTCGAGTGCGCAACCACGTCCAAGCGCCAAATGATGTCAAAAGATGGCCTGCGTAGCTTCCGGTGCTTCAGAATACCGTCAACATAAATGTGAGGCTACACGATTTTGGAATTGCGTGTTTGGACCAGCCAGCTCAGTGCGGATATATTGATGTTTCGCAGATCGATATATCGAGGTGTCAGTGTCGGATTGGAGACAGCATCCATGAACGCCGAGAGAACTAGCGGAACTATCTCGTCATCAAACAGCAAAGTAGGCGCGCGGCGAGGATTAAGAACGGAGATACGGGATCACTGAGGAAGTTTGTAGATTAATCAGAAGAAAGCCAAGTGGTGAAAAATATAGGAAGAAGAGAGAGAAGAGCAAAGTAACGCCAAATTCCTCTCCAGAAAGGGCTGCGACGGCCTCAATGAGTTGCATGTTGCTAGTCGCGCCACAGAAGCTGGAGACACTCGTCGAACCTTTTCTTGGGGGCTGCACGACATGACGGCGGGACGGACGCTGTACATGATACCACAAGCCAGGCTGTGCCCGTTAGTGCATCGATCGACCTCCTGAGAACGAATAAGTTTGCGCGATGCAAAGATCGGCAGCAAGGAAGATGCACCTAACTTCGATGTTCCATACCGAGGTTTTTGGTACTCCGTTGCGGGCTACAATCGGTTGGTCGGTATTTTCGAGGCTTTCAGCTACCGATCGATCCCGCACACTGGGAATCTCCCGTAACTTGCCTGGCCCTACGTCGTAAAAAAAGCTTCAACGCTACGAAGTATGGAGTCCTCGTGCTGTCCCCCGGTGAGCCTGCCAGTTTTAGCCTCAAGTCTGTCTAGTGTCGGGATTCAATTTACTCCTTCTGCACCCTGCGCGGCCCAAGGCAACAAACAAGTGACTGGAATTGGCTGCGCCTCGCATGAAACGCGATCAGGATTTGCTGAGCTGACGCACAGATATTGATCATGATATGTGGTCGATCCCGCGATCTTATTGATTACGGCTGTCTCTATTGGCTGGGTATTACTTCACGGAGGTTTCTCGTCAAGGTATTCTGCTGCATGAGCCGGCTTCTCAGGAACCTCATGACGCAAAATCATCCTCTGCTGCATCTCGACTTGTATCCCTGCACGTCGAGAGTCCAGACGACAAATGCTGCAGTACCCAACACTGAGGCCACCTCGACTGACTTCGAGTGAGACCGTCCAAGGCCGCACTTCATTTCTCCATTGTTGCTAAACACTTGTGGGTGGTGGTTGTACGTATGAGTTTTTGTTACAGTTTACGAAAAGCCTGATTTCTAACATTAATGACAACTGGCGAGAAAATCACGTTGTGTCTGGCCCCAAATTGCACTTTCGAGGCCATAATTTACGTCGGCCTAAGCCTGAAGGATTAAGCACCTTCCCTACCACGGGCGGTCCTGTTTTTCCTCATCGTTTCAGGGGTATTTATATATTCAGCATCTCGAATGGACGTTGATTCCTATTTCTCGATGCACCGCATGAGAGACCAAAATAGCCAGTGCTGTTGGACACCAGCAATGCCTTCTTAATTGTAGAAGAGGCAAATGGTAACAATATTTCGATGTAAAGTCTATGCTGTCCTTTTAAAACACCGCCGAAATGATCCCAGACCTTATTTCTATCCCTGCAACGCCTACTATACCCGTTGTGCCAACCCAGCCCTTGTTATCTACACTCAAAAGCAAGAAACAACAAATGACACTTCGATCCTTTGTCATGCCTGGACCGGCGCGATAGCGGGAGCAACCTGGGTAAGCTCGACCTGTGGCTGTGGCGTCTTGAGTTCAGTGAAGACCTCTGGCCACAGGAACATCTTCTCCTCTTTGCTCGGAGACAAGACAGCAAACCTCGGCACGGCCTGCTTGCTGGACACACGACGCCACATATTGGCGCGGGGGTTGAAGCGAGCCGGCATTCCCTTGCCCTGAGTCTTCGCCTCATCCTCGTTGCGTATCTCCTCGATCTTCTTCTGGATATCGGCAAATGTGTCAAAAGCTACGAAGTCGATCTTGTTTTTGATGCAGTACTCTTCGAGCCTCAACCCCCGGCGGGCGAAAAGCACATCTGCTTCCCGCGCAGCAGCAAGGTCCGACACACCGTCGCCGATGAAGACGATCAAGGGCACGGTGCCGTCCTCACAGGTCAAAGTCGCCGCCTCGCGCGCCTCGGTGATAGACAGGGCCTTGTCATGGCCGAGCTCCGTGTCGTGGCGCCAGATGGGCTTCCAATTCGAACCATCGTCGGCGATGGTCGCATCGTTAGCCACGATGTCGATCTGCGCCGACTCTTCCTCTCCCAGGAACGTATCCAGGACTTTCCTTAAGACAGGTTTCAACCCCGCCGAGATGACGCTAAAGGAGATTTTGTGCTCGATGCAGTAGGTGTGGAATTCTTGGAATTTGGGGTCGATTTCAAGAGACTTCTCCATGACCTCGAAGCCGTCGTCGAAGGGCACGCTGAGAGATCCCCACATCTCCTCGGATACATCGCGGAAGGAGCGCTCACCCGTTTCGATTTGTTCGTTGAGGATCTTGCGCTTCATGGAGCCGCACCCGTGGGCGTCGAAGAGGATATGACCTGTATCTTGCATAAAGATTGTTCCATCGAAGTCTTGGGGTCATGTCAACGAAGTGTTTGTCATTTGGATGGAAAAGACGGCCTACCTGAGAAAATGTGAATCTTTCTCGTCTTAGTAGTCGGTTCCGGGATTGCGTTTTCTTAGCCTCGGGTGCAGCAGGGGGCGTGATGGCGATAGGCATGTTGGGTGGCTATGATGTTGAGGGGTTTCTATGGAAGCTCTAAGGAGGCTCTATGGAGGGGGAAATCTGTCTAAGTGGTTGAAGATGTTGTTTGTATCGTGCCAGAGAGGGACAAAGAATACGAAAGGATGAATATCGACGATACTTTGATTTATGGTTTATTGTAAGTCATGATCAAGGCGGGAAGGAAACTTATATACACACACGTCCTTGCCAACTTCGAGGGACACTGGGCCGGTGCTTCTCCTTGGCACTAAAGCAGAAAAACTTATTCCATTGTGATTACTGAGGCAGAAGATGGATAAGCAAAGCTGGTCATCCTCGACACCCTAGGAATATTCGTATTCCAGGTGACTAGTCAAATACGCCTGCATCAGTAGAGACCGGGGGCGAGGCGACAACCACATGCAAAAGCATAGGTTGAAGTGGAGGCTCGATAACTAGTTTACATCCATACCATGGGCAAAAGTTCTACACAATCTACATAGTATTTTCCATTGCATCGAGGGTCCAGTCAGGGGCATGTAGACCATCGGCAAGTCGGCCAACTAGAGAGAAGAGATGGTCATCAACACAAATACTGTGTATATCGCCGATGGCTACCTAGCTTCTTGCCTACCGTAAGCAGCCAGGAGGCCGCTCCCACAATGACGTCCTCGGCGTCTGGTGTGGTTGAGTCGTCTCCTATGGGGCTCAACTTATCCGCCCTGGCGTTCCAGACCATGAGCTACTATGTGTGTATGCGGGCGTCTGGACTCCTGTGGAACTCACAATCGCGGCACCCACAGTGACTGATATTCACAGAATCTGCTGCTTTCACAATCGTGGTGACGCGTACTAGAAGGCGGTCGTAGCACTGTAGTTTTCAATAGCGCATCGGCCGTCAACTTGCCAACATAAGGGCCATGACACATTGCAGTGGAAGAGAACGATGAACATTGGCTTTCGGCTTCCCCTGGCTTTGGGTGCAAGTCAGTTCACGATGCCACTGCGAGGAGCATGCAGCGAACATGTGCAAAACGGCAGGTTCAGGTAGGTAGGTTAACATCGGCCGCTGAGATGGGCCGAGTGTCCCGGATGATGTCATCAGACGCTTTCAGCAATCCTGAGCGATGTGCCCCAGATAAAGTATCTCACGACGTTGGCTCCGGAATCACCTGTGCCGGAAGCGTATAGAAGCGGTTGAGGGGTATGTACTATCCGATATCGAGCCCGCCGCTTCGCGGAGGGGCGGACTTTTCCATGGCTAGGGTTGATTGGTTCCTGGATCGTATTTGGGCTTGTTCCGATGATGCGTTGGATCACTAGAGGCGGCTTACAGTCCCTGGACAACATCGCTCCTCTCTCATTGCAGCGGTCTGAAAGGCAAGAGGTTCTGGCAAATAGTTCGAAAGTGAGGGGCAATTATGAGATCTCGCATTCCTCCCGCCATAATGACCCACCGTCTATGCCATTCCATTTCGCAACTCCCACCACATTCTCACCAAATTATTGCACTCACATCGTCATTACGCATCCGTCTAAACCCTCCTGGGCGTGACCCAGACTCGATTCTTTCCCATGAACTCACGATTTGTGCTTACCGCTCCACCACGGATTCAATGAAGTCAATTTACTGATGAGCCCAGGCTAGGGGTACCCTTGAGACCCTGACGAACTAACAATTGCACTGCCCCTACCCGTGTGACCGCAGCATCTTCAAGAACGGCATACCGTTTGAGGTCATCATGTGGTAGACAACAATGCACCCTTTCGCTTGCATTCGTATGTGCTGATATCAGTACGCCAGGCGATTCCAAGTTTCGACGTCGCAGACTCGTTGCCTGCTAGAACATTACCCCAACACGCAAGAAACTCGCAAAATGAGCTGCTTACCAGCATTCCTGTTCCAAATGTTTGTCATGTTGATGTATTTCACCAAAAGAGTACAGTGTCTTTAACCCAGACCCAATGCTTTTGTCTCTATCGTAAGTCCACTACGCCCGCCCAAATGTCAAATTCCACGATATAAACCTCCACGCCTAGGACGAGGCTTTCGCGGTGTACTTTGTCGCAGCCTTGTCAAATGCCGCGCTCTTCTCCTCCAAGTCGGTCAGGAGCGGATGCGCGGGGCTGGTCTTCTTCAGCGAACTGGGGAGAAAATGATGTTAGCATGCAATCCAAAAAAAACGGATTTGAAGTCTCCATCCCATAGGAGAACTTACGCCATGACGTCCTTCGGGTCCTTTCCTGTTACGATGTTCAGAACCACCAAGTTCGCAATGGCATCAGCGTAGTCAGGCTGCTTTCCAATCGCTTGCTTCAACGCCGTCTCGGCCTCCTCGACGCGCCCTAGGTGAAGTTCGCAAACCGCTTGGGAAACTAGTGATGTAACGGATGATGTTGACGGCGCCTGTGCGAGTTCCTCAAAGACATAGAATGCTTGCTGGTACTTCTCACCACCCTAGAACACCGTTAGAATATGGGGTGTTCCATTAGCATACTTGGGGAGACATACCAATCTCAGGCCCACCCATGACTCGGTCAAATTGACAAGCAAGCTGTCCTGTGCCCAACTTCGTGCTGCCTTGACTTCCTTGAGGGCGAGATCTATACGGTTCTGTTGAAGATAAATCTGTGTAATCAAAGCGACGGCGTCGACTGCCCAACTATCAGTACTTTCCGCATCACCCAGTTATAGGTATCCATATGGAATAAACCCACGATTTGCAGAATGCTGCGACAACAACGCCAGCGCCTCCTCGCTCTTCCCCGCCGCCTGCAGCACCGTTCCGCCCAAAACTTGCACCGTCGCGTTGTCGCCGCTCGAAGCCGCCAGCTCCTCAATCGTCTTGACCGCCTCGTCAGTGCGGCCGAGGCTCAGCGCCGCGAGCGCGCCCACAGCCGCTAATTCGGGTTTCGACTCGCCCTCGACGTCCGCGATCACATCTTCGGCCTGGCCCAGCGCGATGCGGGCGCGGTGCTGGAGCACGCGGGCGGGGAGGGCGTTCTCGGAGGACAGGGCCGATACGTCGTAGTCAACGGTTTCTTGGAATTGGCCTTGGTGGAAGTGGTTGTGGAGGTTTATGAGCTCGCCTTCGGCACTGTAAGGATCCATCTTGGGCGGTTTGAGAGAAGTGCAAAAACGGGTATGAGGTTGTCACGGTTTGCGGGTCAGAACTGGATGCCAGATAATCGAAGGTTGAGTACGGAGTACTAGAGGTTGAGCGGAAGAAGCCGCCAGGTGGCAGTTGACAATTGTGGACTTGCCCGACGAACCCTGCGGGGGTCTAATAACTCCTAAATTGATCTAGGAGACTTGAAGTCGAGCAACAGGAACAGACAATGAAAAATGTAAGTCAACATGAATAAATCCGATTGCGATTAAAAGATCTCAAATTTCCAGTCTCCTAGTGAAGAGTAAGGTATACTGGACTCAAAGTCATAGCGCACAACCCAAGTCTTGTGCGGGCTCTACTTTGATGTAATCTGTGAATTTGACCTTACCCTCCCAACCATGGTCATCACTTGCAAGTAGACTCTGACACATCTGTTTTCAGTCAAATGGTCAATTCATTTCCTATCATCATACAGCAACGGAATTTTTCCAGGTTTCCTGCTAAGCCTCAGTGCCTTTCCCGACACGTGGCTATCCACACCCAGTGCTGTTCCCTCCGGTTTTGGTTTTGGTATATCAACAAGATCAAGGCGAGCCTAGTAGGCTATAGTGGCCTTTAATTTTTTTTTTCCATCATAATGACCCTCTTCATGTCATCGGTCAAATTTCTTGCGCCTCAGTACTCTGCAATTGATGCCTCAATTCGCACCATATCTCAGTACTCTTCCAGGCTTTCTTGCTCCCCGCCTTTGTGCTCCCCGCTGTCCAGTGCTCCCCGTGCCTCAGACCCCGGTGCCCTCCTACTCTCCGAGCCACGATGCTTTCCAGGTCTCGGTACCCTTCCGGTTGCGGCGAACCTTCAAAGGCGAAAGCTCTCGAATGTCGCCGTCGGCAGCGGCAGGCCTGCCATCAGCAGGCTTGCCCTTGTCGTCAGCCGTCTTGTCATCAAGAATCTTCTCGCGGGTTAGCTCAGCCTTGGAAGGCGACGACCCTTGAGTGTACACCGAAGCCGAAGCAGCACTTTCCCAGTCGCCAACGAGGAACTTGTTGATCTCGTCCAGAGTCTGCGGCAACAGATCAAGGTAATCTTCGGCGTACGATCGGACTCTCTGCTTACCCTGCTCCGGCTCCGGCGTCTTCGCCTTCGCGTTTCTCTCCTCTGCGATCTCGAGTTGTCCCTCATCCACGAATGTATCGATATCGGAAAGCTTCTCCTCGGTGGACTTGTCCTTCTTGTGGGCAGACGACTTGACCTGCTCTTCAGCGAACTTGGTCTTCTCATGGACGGACGACTTGGCCTTGGATTTAGCCGGCTTAGTCCCACAGGACGACGAAGGCGGAAAGTCGATCTGGGGGCAGTGCTCCCCGGCGTAAATGTTGCCCTGCGCCATCTCCCAGGTGTAGTCGTCCTTGTACGGAGGCCAAACCCAGACCCAGTGCGAGTCGTGGCGGTCGTGGCGGCAGGGGCGATCCTCGATATTCAAGTCCTCCTCCTTGGGGTTTTCTCCTTGACTTCGGAGCGGCATGCCAGCCGTCAGCGTGGAGCTCCCCTGGGCTGTGTATGCGCGGAGTGCGTCCAGTTCCGCTCTCAGGCGAGCGGCTTCGGCCTCTTCCTGCTCCCTCATTCGCTTCCCTCTCTTTTCTTCCATTTCCTCATCGCTGATCCAGAGTTTGGCGCGAGCATCGTTCTAAAATGCTCGGGCTTCTTCCGGGTCGCGAAAGGGCTTCTCGGGTTCGTAAGGCTCAATAGCCGGGGCTGTGTTGTCAGCGGGGCTATCTTCGCTGACTGCCGCATTGGGTTCAGTGCTCTTCATATCGGCATCTGATCCCTCAGAATACTTCTCGTTGGGGTCTGTGTTACCAGAGTCCTTCTTATCCGAGACTGATCCCTCAGCCGGCATCGCGTCCTTGATCACAGTTCCAGTGGAACTCGATGCGGGAAGCGGCTTCTTCTCCCTTTGGAAGAACTCGCCCTCGGGCTGGTCATCGTCAAGGGAACGCATGAGGGGCCTATTGTTAAAGAACTATTCAATTTTTTGCTGTCAGTAATTACTTGCTTACTTATATGAAGGAAGGGTGGGGACATGGTGAAGAAAAAAGGCTGCTCCAGGTCGAGTATGCTCCTCTCACGACAGCCAAGCGGCAAATACAACATAAAACAAAATCAACGATAGCGGGTCATGAAAACTACCCACCTGTTGATGCTTCAGAAGCGTAAGTGAATATTCCTCGGGCACAGCAGGGTCTCTTTTATATGCAAATGAGGAGGATTTTGGCTCTTCACTGATGGGGTCCGGGATATTAGGGTTTGAGGTGATGGCAGTCGTGACGTTCTGCAGCGAAGCCTGGCTTTCCCCTTTCTTTGAATGGAAAGAATGAGCTGACAAGCTCGAGGGCAGCTTGGACCTGCCAGCGGTGGCAGTAGCAGCGGTTTCAGAAGTTTCTTTGGTATACATGACTTTGGACTGCTTGTGACTGAGTGGTGAAGGTGACGAATTCTCAGCGGGTGTGTTGTTAAGCCAATTGACAATAGCTCTCACTTTGGAACGACCGCTATCTGTAGTCTCGGTCGAGGTGCGATGTCGAGATCTGAGAGGACTGGGGCCGTCGGGGACCTTGCGGCTAATGTTGGCGGAGAAGCTGGTGAGTAGGCCTTTGGTTTCCTTTTTGCGGTCTAGCATTGGGCGAGAGCCCTTCACGTACTTCTCGAGGTAGAAAGGATCATCTTCCGAGTCTCTGCTCCTTGGGCCGGAGACATTGCTTTCTGGAGGCGACGAAACAAGCTCCTTGTCCTTAGGCTGCTTGTGAAGGTACTTCTCAAGGTAGAAGGGGTCAGATTCAGATTCAGTTTTCTTGATAGGAGATCTGGGCCGTGTTGCTGATGACAGGGCTGACGTGGAAGAAAGTGCGTGCTTCTCCGACTCGGAAGTCACTGAGCGTTTTGACTTCATCGTGAAAGTTGGTCAGGCAACAACTGCAAACCTTGGCCAAAAGTTCACCAGTGACAAGAAAGTGTACAAAAATCAGTCGGTGGTGAGTATGGTATTTGTGAACGGTGATGCAACCAACAAGCTCATGAGCAAGTTGGAACACCTTGGTGATGAGGGTGATGATGGGAATAGCAGCGGCGAGGCTCACAAAAACAAGAAAGATTGGGGAGGAAAACTTCGGCAATAGTTCTGGAGTTGGTGATTTCCGTGATGAGTTTTCCCATAACAGAAAAGTGTGAAAGGTGAATGTCAGCGATGATGTGGTGTTGTCAATGACGGTGAGGTTCACGAAATCAAGGAAAAGTGAAAGGATGCCACCGACTATGGGTGCGATTTCGGAAAAACGGCGTCGGTTGACCGGGTATGAAGCCCGGGATGTCCAGTGCCAGTTAGATACTACTGATCTTTAAAGTAGATGTGAATCTAACGTGAATGGCTTGATCCAACAATCCATATCAAAAGAGACATGAGGGTTCATCAACATGTACTTTGAACTTGCCTCAGGATGTCTCGAACCTGGTGGGATTCACATCAGATCTTGATGCCTCTTGGAACTGAGCTGACCAAGAATAATGCTAGCAATCTTATTTCTTCCAAGCCCAAAGTTGACCCCTTTCTTGTACTTATACTTAAAGAACTCGAAGTTGGCAGAACTCACCTCTCACAGGACACGGGGCTACATATATCTATGCACTTTCCCTGCTTTTGATTGATCATGAGTAGCAACAATACTGTACAGATTCAGAAAAGCGGCGTCACCCAAGTTATCCGAAGTGGCATCTCCAGGACACCATTAACCAAGCTGTATGAACGAGTTAAAGCCATCGCAGATGGAGCCAGAGGTGGAATGAACCAGGGCATCTACATTGTCCGAAAGATATCCACGGGGAAACTCTATGTCGAGAAGAGATTCAAGCCACACCCCAACGACCAGTTTACAATCAGGCTTGCCATGCTCGAGATATACCTCCTCAAACGCCTCGTCCATAACTCCATCGTGTTCTATCAGGACGCCTACGTACGAGAAAACCCATTTGATGCCGCAGTATATATGGAATACTGCGATCGAGGGTCTCTTTCCAATCTTATCCAGGTATACCAACAAAGCAAAACGACGCACCAACAACACTTCATCCCGGAGAGTTTCATCTGGCACGCCTTCGTCGGCCTCGCTGACGCCCTCTACTTTCTGAAAACAGGGGAGAGCTACATCTCGACCCCGATCCACAGCAACCAAGGTAAGAAATGGACGCCCATCATTCACAGAGACATCAAACCCGACAACATCTTCCTGCGCTCGCACGACACCCCCGGCTCCAAGAAACCACTCTACGTATTACTCTCCGACTTTGGTCTTGCCTCCCCCGACGACAAGGATCCTAGTGTTGCTCGCAAGCCTTCCGGCGTACGGGGAACCCCCGAATTCCACGCCCCCGAGCTGTGCTTCCAGCCCTTTCCCGCCACGCACCAGATGGACTACCAAGCTCAACCGCACACAGCCAAATCGGACGTCTGGGCGTTGGCGTGCATGATGTTTGCCATGTGCGAGCGGGACGAGTTCGCGCATTTAAATCGGTACTGTTTCCCCATGCGGAGTCAGAAGTGTCGGGGCCGAGACGCCATTTTGTCCATGCTGGATATCACGCAGAAGCAGGAGTACTCGGAGTATCTGGAAAGGTGCATCAAGTGGGCGGGGAATAAGGATCCGCGGGATAGGCCGGATCCGAGGGTATTGATTAGGGAGGTTAAGGGTGAGTTGGATAAGTGGGTTAAGGATCCTAATTGGACGGCGCAGGTTGCGGTTGCGGGCGAGTTGCCGGATTGGGCTACAAAGAAGTCGGATGTTAGTTAGTTAGGGTCCTTGGGTATCTAGTTGAGTAGGTAGGTATTTAGGTTTCTCGTTGCGTGTTCGTTGGTCTTTTCCAGGACAGCACTCTCTGCCGCGAGAGTTTATATGAGAGACCTTAGGTATGATTTACTTAGATCACCATCGTGGTACACAAGCTTCTTTCAGTAGGCTGTAACTGTTATTCATGCCCGCACTGCTGGTCAGACTACTTACCCAACCCAATTACAAGATACTGCTCTGCATGCATATCTGAAACGTAGCTGAAATTTGCCATTTCTGACTCCATTGAGGCCTGGTATATTCCATATCTATGAGTGCCGGGCGTTTTGCAGCAACACTGGCACAGTTGATCAAATGTGGATAGATGCCTTCGTTGCTACTGGTGACACTACAATTCTTCACTATCCCGTGGTCCAGGAAAGGCAATCATGTCTATCAACAGAACAGGAAAACATGTTATGAATGCTCAGTCAATTGTCTATCTACTTTTATAGGAAAAGTCCGAGGCTCGAAGTTGAGCAAGTCGAGGTGACGGCGCTCTTGACCTGGCATAAACAAGGCCTTGATGGCTATGTTACAAATTGTGGAAACTAATCTGTTCCACTAAAGGGGGTTTGATGTTGTGATGTGTGATGTGTGAAACAAGTATCTTATCTTCCAGCAACGAAATGCTCCGAGACATACGTTCTCAATGCATCCAAGGTGTCCAAGTGACTGTTGGTCGAGGACACAGGCTCCAGAGTTCGACAGACCTAGTAGATGACTCTCGCCTTCTCGAGAATCTCATACGTGTCATAGTTCTCCAAATTGCAGTCGCCATACATGCACAACGCTGGCGAAGCCAAAATATAGACCCCCTCGACTTCTTGGTCTTCTCTCCACTCCGTGGTAAGCCCAAACACGTCATCCTCCTTCTCGCGCGTCATGATCTCCTCGTCAATCGGAAAGCCGTAAGTTTTGTCTAGGTCGGGCTGCGCACCCCCCCACATGTCGAATTTAAACCAGGCTCGACCTTCCGTCACGCACTTGGCCAACTCGAGCGCCTTGGCAATGATGGCTTCGAACCCAGCATTCAACTCCGCCTCGTCTCCATTGGACGAGAAGCGAACGCAGTTATGCGACATGTCCTCGATGAGCTTGACCCTCGGGTTTCCTCCGACTCGGTAGTGCTCCTCATCTTTGTAGACGCGGCTGAGGAACTCGCCTGTGAGGGCGCGCCAGTAGTGGTAGTCAGCTATTAGTTCACTGTCGTCGCGCTTATTGACGCGCAGTCGTATCTGCTCGTTGGCAGCGCGAGCTCTGGGACTGTACATGGCGTAGGGGCGCTGGAGGAAGGTCTCTAGGAGCTTGAACCAGATGGCCGACTCGAACATGTACTGTTTGAATTCCACATTGATTATATCGGCCTCGAAATCCTTGGAGGTGCGATAGAAGAGATCGTGCTGTGCTTTGCGGATCATTTTGACGGCGGGTTTGCCGCTGAAGTGCTGCTTGGCGAAGGCGCTGATCTGGTCGCGCAGGTCGGTGAATAGCTTTTTCGCAGTGAGTTTGTCTTCCTCAAACGGATCCACGAAGTCAGTTTCGTTGCAAGGCTTGGTTTCCGTCCTGTTTCTAGTCTGGTTGCCAGTCGTGTTGCTAGCCTTGTCTCCAGTCGTGTTACTGTTCTTGTTGCCAGTTCTAGCATCAGTCTTACCGTCAATCTTGGATAGCAGGTCTTTGGACCTGGATGGGCCTGATCTCTGAGCCGCTTTGCGACATTGAGCTATAATCTCTTCATTCCGTCGCCCGGAGGCCGCCAGCTTTTCACTGAGAACCCGATTCTTTCTGGCCAGACTCTTCTTCTCGTTAAGAAGCCTTTGGTAATCCTGGGAGCCGTTACTATTAGGCTCCACGGAAGCCTCGAACAACGAGTGCGGATTGAAGGGGTCGTTGAACGGCATGTGCATCTGCAGATTCTGATTCTGGTTCACGAGAGATTGGGCTTCACGGCTGAGATTATCAACCTCCTCGGTCAAATACTGCACCGCCTCGGCAAGCTCGTGGTTTTCTTCCACCAGCATTTCATTCAGTCTGATGACAAGTTTGACTTCCTCCGTGTGCGGCTTGGCCTCATCTTGGACGAGGACAAGTTTCTTTAGGCGATTGAGTTCCCGTTTCAAGCGGATGACTGTCTCCTGATATTCTCCCATCGGCACCGTCTGTACGGTGCTTGCCTGATCGAGACGCGCTTGGAGGTTTGCAGCATCAAGATCCAGATTTTTAGCATTTTTTGAAGTCGCTCGAAGGATCTTCTTGAATTCAGCCGAGGAAATATTGGTCTTCGCATGGTTCAGTTTCATTGGAGTTGCTCGAACGGCTTGTTTGTCCTTAGACACGGCAAGACCAATGCTCTCATTATTCGAGTCCTCCGGAGCTGCTCGAACAACTTCTTTGCCCTTGGAATCGGAAAGATCGAGTTCTAACTGGTTTGTATTCAGCGGAGATGCATCACGTATCTCCTGATACTTGTCAGCGAAGGCAGGATCGAAGTCCTCGTTGAGTTCCATTGGAGACGCTCGAGTCACATCTCTACCTACGTCGACATAGAGGCCATTATGCGCGCTATTCTCCTTTACTGGACCATCGTAAGACTCTCCTCGACTCGCAGCATTTGGAAGGCCATGACCCTCAAGGTTCTGGGCCATCAAGTCTTGCGGCAGCCCACCCATATTCTCCCAGATAGCAGTGTCGATGATGGCATTATTTGGATTAATCCTGGGGTCTGGAGTTGCCTCTTCGCCAGTGTAGTCACCGTTTTCATCTGGAGACAATGCTTTATACTCGCAATCGATCTTCTCAGTGTCCTCTTGGGATCTGTAGGGCACATCCATCGATGTCAGGTATTGGGGGTTGAGAACATGGGTGACCGAGGAACCTAAGATGGCGGGCTGTTCGTTGAAGGAGACTCGCTTTGATCTCTTCTTGGTACCAATTGAGCCCCCGGGCTTGTCGGTCGGTCTCTTCTGCGGGACCAAGGACGATTGCGCGTCAACACCCTCGCAGTTACTGGGACCATACATCTCGGCGGATGAATTGGTTTATCTGCAGTACGATGACGAAGTCAGAAATTCCTCTGTTGCAGCCAATCTGATGATGTAAAACAGAATAAATGGACATACCTTTAAGAAATGGGCGTGGTGGCGTGATTGTGGTGCGCAGGCTCCTCCTGCCACGAACAGAACTCGAGTAAGGTAGGAAGATCGCTTGGAAGCTGCAGATACAAGCTCACAAATCTAGTAGGAAACCGTCGAGGAAAGACTTGTCATCAAATAATGATTGAAAGCACTTCCTCTCTTGATTGCAAGAAAGGTTGAATAGAGTATGAATTTCGAAGGGGTTGCGTCCAAGTTCTCGAGTTGGTCAGGTAACACTCGACAGAGTCCTGACTACCACTTGACTTGACAGCAGAATTTCAGACGGGGGTCAATAGTTGTGAGGAAGGTACAGAACTAGAAGACACACATGTTTGACGTGTTGTTTCCCGAAAAGACGTGTCAACTGTGATTATCACTGGCTCTACGTGATCAGTACTCAAACTCAAAGCATCGTGAAAACCACCCTTGCTCGGGCTGCAAGGGAACGAGTGAAGACAGTGGACTCTCAGCATGGTCATAGTTAATTCAGCTCTTTGTATTGCTTGGACGGCAGAGCCTTAGGCTTGTGAATGGTCTGCTCATGTGGAGGACACATCAGTTCAGAGCACGGTTTGCATCTATCAGTAAGAAGTGACGTCCCAGGTCAAAATTGGCATCATACTGGCAATGCCTCATCACTTATCTTCATTCCTGCTGTTTATTGTATTAGTATACAGTCCTTCACATGTTTATAACCTACTCTGCATGCTGCTATAGTGTTGCAATTACTAGATGGGGTATTCTCGGCTCATTGCCGGGTGGTCCGTGTTATGGAACGTGTATAGAGAGTGACTGAAGATACTGACGCAGCCCTTGAGCAATGTTCTGCTTTGAATTGTGGTGGAGTTGGTGGGATTTCAGCCAGGTAGAAGGCAAGACAAGACGTGACTGCCAGAAGGACGAAAACTATCGAGTATGCTCACAAAGGGCGTCTGTCGCAAGTTTGTGCGCAAGTCCTGCTTCTGCCTTTGCAGTTGAGTTTATGAAGCATCCATAACAAAGCATAAGAAATGATAATCATGTTGATATTTCTTGCGCACCAAGAAGCGTCCTCTAATCTGACAGCAGCAGGTTATGCCATACCTCATCCCGACCAAGCCGCCTCATAAGCACTTCAAACCAACCCCTTCGGCACATCCCTCCATTGTATCTCCCTGTCGAGCAATTCATCCATGTTCCCCCGCTCCTCTCTGACTATCCTTGCCTTGGGCTCACTCTTAGATGCGATTTCCCTTCCAAACAGTCTGGGCATGACGAAAATTCCTGCTGAGAGATCCCTCATGTCGGGCACAACTTCCTCCCCCGTTGCCGGATCTACTGGCATCTGAAAATCAAACGCATATAGCAGTCTCGAGATGACCAGAAATAATGACCAGTCGGGCGATGTGCAAGCCCTGACATAGCCACCTGCTGGCACCGAAGTGAAGTGATTGCGCTTCGAGACGTCAGCATTGCTAGCTGCTTCAGCGGAGGTTTAGTGGTCGTGGGCCCAGCGTGATGGGTCGAAGGTGCGGATTGGGATCGTTGTTGATTGCCCTACATCCAGTAAATATGGGCAAGTGACCAAGGATATAGAGCCTCGCAGCAACTGTACTCGCCAAATATTCCACATCACTACAGCCCCCTTAGGATCTTATACCCCATGTACTCATCATCTCGTATCACCGCATGCGGCACGCCAATACTAGCCGTCGGTATCCAGAGCAGGTAGGGTAGATCGGGGAGGTCGTTCAAGTCGGCCATCCTGTCTCCGCACACGCGACCTGGTTCCTCCTGCGCACTTTGCATACATTCGAAAAGATAAAGGGCTTGGATAAACCCACGAGTGTAGCTGCAGTGGTGTCGGAGCCGGCTTCCAGGAGTGTGCTGCCGATGTAGTCGGCGATGCCATCGGAGAAGCCTTCTTCTTGGGGGCGGACTAGGTCAACGCAAAAACAGGACTGTGACAGGCCTAGCAAATACTTTGTGGTTCATATACTTGGAGCCGACGTTCTGGGGCAACAATCATGGCGTAGTATGCCATCCAATCAGTTGAACTCTCCCGGTCAACATGCGGACAAACGAGGTAAATTTTCCTCTTCTCGTATTCTGCGCATCGTTCAGGATTCCAAATCTCGCCGCCATTCGCGCCTGGAAGAGCAACCACGCATGATTTCAAAATGGTCATAACGCTGCTGGAGGGCAGTATCCTCATTGTCGACTCCAGAGAGCAACGCGTGAGAGGAGCAGCCGAGATGAGTTCAGCAGTATCCGACCCGACATCTTACACCGCACTTGATCTGTTAAAACCTGCCAACGTGTGTATATCATGTGCATGGTACCTGTAGCCACCTTCACGGGGCTGGATGATATTCTTGTTCATACCACAGCTGCTACAGCGGTTGACTCGGTTATGGCCTGTACTGGAAAGGCTGCTTGGCTCACATCGTATTTCTGCAGTTTACTTGCGCTCTTCGCGGTGTTTGAAATATCGTCTAGAACCCTCTACGTCGCCTGCACTAGGGAGAAGGGCTCCACGCCATTCTCGATCAAGACCATCCATGAACCACAGAACATTATGAACAGTGCGCTGGCAGGGAGATCATTAAATGTCCCGTGGAACCGGGCCATACTCGCTTTGATCTGGCCGCTGTCCATACGGCACCATGTAGCAGGTCCAGAAGGAGGAGATCAATCTGAAGGCGAACAAGTTGCGCAGACTAAATCGATATGCCCCGGGTGGTAATCAACGAGAGATGACTAGCAGACGGCTTGCCCTCCGCCACGGTATTAGAGGACAACGGGCAGACCATACAGCTGTACAGGTCTTCTCTCCCGAGTAGTAGTTTCAAAAATCCGGCATACACTATCCTTCCATGACATCCACATCTACATCTTCAGCAGCCATTGTGTGATTACACCAGCTATATACGATCCAACTAAAGCCACTCTGCGCTGCAAGTTCAGGCCGACCAGGAACGCAATGAACGCATCGAATAGCACGGCAAGTGTACGCTCTTGAGAGCACGACAACCTCATGCAACCACCAATATTCAAAGCGCCCAACGGAAACCGTGATTCCTTTCAGCGCGATGAGCATCGACGTACTTGGCCCTATAGCCTCACAGCATGCGCATGAGACGTGTTTTAGATCAGATGTTGCACCGCAGGTGCTGGCTTCATACCTGCCAAGCCGGCCGATGCAACCCGTGGCACGGACGTACCCACAACGTCTCTCGTGAGATGAGATGGTATGAAGAGTGTTCAGACGAGCCAGGTTTCCTAAGTGGAGGAGCTGTTGTATCACATTGCTCGGCATCGGTGTCAAGTCACACTCTGAACTTCGGACTGTACCCCATTATCCAGGAGGAATGCTGCGCCAACTTGGCATCCCAATGATTTGAGTGACACGAAATGACCTAGACACAGCAGTGCAAACAAGGTTATTTGAGTATTGATTGGATGCTCGACGAGCTTGGTTGCTCTTACTCATGTCACCCCTAAGAACACGTTTTGTGCAGCAAACCCGAAGCAATCAACGGCCCGTGTCGCTAAAGGCAGACACAGGTAATTGTGCGAGAGCCATCGACTTATGCAACGGCACGAATTCATCGTGCTTTGAGCCCGTCGGGGTTAGTCCCGCCTAAATATCCGGTGCCCTGGAAGTTTGCCCCACATGATCCCAACAATGTAGGTTTAATTAAGCTTATGGATATTTGAAGATCAGTGCGAAGCTCAATGTCCGCCCTGGGAATGACGTAGGGAGCCGGACGACTTGAACCACGTGGATCACTTCTTGTTGAAGTCACGTAGTATCGTCGTCGTACAGCGAATTGACCGGCGCATGTATTTGTTTAATAGATGGATAGCAACGAATACGACTTGTCATCCGCAACGAGCATCGAAAGTACGGCCTCCCTTCGTATTCTTGCCACGTAGTAGCTGCAATTTAGTGAACAACAGGGCAACCCAGGCACCCAGTCGTTCTATGGAAACAGCTGCCTGCGCCGCCGTCAACTGCGCTGTAACCAGCTAGCAAAAGCCAAGTTACTAAATCGCAGGACCAGATTAATCTCGGAGTCTATCTAGATATATGTTACTGCATTGGCAGTTCCATCACTGCCCGGCCCGATCGGTCGGTCCCTAGCCACCGCGGAACTCCGTTGATAGCGCCGTTGCGCGCATCGATAGTTCGGCAATGCGTCCAGACCTGCAAGACTGACTGACCTGACACAGGCCTTCTTAAGAATCTGGACATCGTGGATGACCTAGTGCCCATGTCTCTTCAGCAGTTGTAAAACTTGAACTCAGGTGGTTCGTATGTGTCACTATGGCCTCGCCTCAACGACAGCGCAGTCGAACACCTGTCTGTTCCAGCATCCAACTCACGTCGTTGTTTGTTCAAGTTGGGAAGCATTCCGGGACTCTTCCGACTGGTAAGAACAGTTCGGCATAAGTTACGCTGGTGCCCTAAACTGCAGAGACGAATGATACACTTGGCAACACAGAAGCGAACCAAGTTTGCATCATCCTACTTGCCTGCTCTGAACATTAAACCATGTACAGATAGACGGTTAATCCTGTGATGATACTCGGAAGACGGGAAGGCCCTGCGTGTGGTGGTATGACGCAGGTCCGGAAGGCGGGGGTATGCAAGATGATGTCCACCCACAAAGTGAAATCGCGTGGCACCAATCCCAACGCCTAGATCTGCGTTTTACATCCTATCCACGTGGTAGTAACTGTTGACAGAAAGCCAGCTTGTATACCATGTGCTGCATGGAAAGGTACGGCATATGTGATTGTCGATATAACCTATGATCTGTACCCAACTACCAACTTCTGAGTATACGTGTGTATCATGTATCCCAATGACGATGAACGTCCCTTCTACATGGCTTTGCTTTTATCGATCTTTATCTGCCCTGGCAAGACAAGGCGAAGGATCGGCAAGCCTCATGAACCTGAGTATTGAGCTCATCCCGGGCCATCGCTACACCTATTTGATGCATGGTACGAAAAAGGCACAATTCAAAATTCTGTGCGTTTTTAGCCTTCTCAACTCCCGTGGAAGGTATGAAGCTTTCTTTAGCCTATGGAAGCCCACACCCCATTGCCCTCGAAGAAATGCCGGTGCACCAAAGACCAGCCGAGAAGTATGCACACGTCAACCGACGCAAGATATTATTGGTATTCTTGCGTGTGCGTGTTTCCCAACGGCGTATGCCCCTACCTCACGACCCCGGTCGTTGGACTTGTGTGTCACGAAATTCGGGCTTGTGAAATGAGCATTTAACAGCTGTGTAGACCCTCATCGAACGGACGGGGCTGGGTTTGATCCCACCTGGTCGATGTTTTTGCTTCAACCATACTGCGACCACCATGTTCGCCCGCAAACATCTTCTGTTTCTGCTGCATGCAGTGATATGTGGCCTTCACGTCGTGGCAGGTAGGTCATGAAGTCCTTGGCAGCTGTGAGCAGCATGGTCACACTGCATAGGTCTTGCGTTGCCCGCCGCAGGGGAGCAGTCCGATTTTGTCTCACACAATGAGAACCTGGAGAGACTGGCGCAATTGGAACCTCGAGCGCCATTCGCTGGCGGTATACCCTTGAGGATAATGCCTCTTGGGGCATCCATCACATTCGGCGTGGCATCCTCGGACGGGAATGGGTATCGGAAAACCCTCCGGGACGGGATTGTTGCCCAGGGAAATCAAGTCAACTTCGTCGGGAGCCATCCCAACGGCACCATGGAGGATAACGAGAACGAAGGCTGGCCTGGATATGTCATCACCCAAATCCATGACAAGTCACGCGCCTTCGTACCTCAATGCCAGCCTAATGTGTTTCTCGTGAACGCTGGGACCAACGATTGTATCCAGGACATTGACATCCCTGAAACTTCGATAAGGATAGCTAGCATGATGGAGGACATGTACAAGCAGTCTCCAAGGGCGACAGTTATCCTGTCGACGTTGCTGCCCAACGCCCAGCAGGCCACAGAGCAGCGCGTGGAAACGGTCAATAACCAGTACAGGAAATTGGTGATGGACTTGCAATTGAGAGGAAAGCGAATCGTCCTTGCCGAAATGCGAGGCTCTAATGGCGTGGTCATTGGCGATATAGGACCCGACGGTGTGCACCCCAATGATACCGGATACAAAAAGATGTCGGCGATATGGTTGGACGCGATCAGCCGGGCGGCGGCAAAGGGATACCTTCGCCGCCCAGAGGACAACGGATTGCCAGATAACGGCGCAACCGCGTAGAGATCATCGGTGTTCCGACCTGGGTGATTTAGCACGGGTCGCATGAAGTTACGGCGAATTGACATTGGTTCACAACCTCATCCTCATCTGACTGCTCCATCGCGAAATTGTAACCGAATTGCCGGCAGACTCGCACATTCCCTACGGCCAAGCAATAAACTCGCTGATGATTTAGATCGGTTCGACGCAATGGAATCTCGGAGCTACTCACTCTAGATTAGAGTGTCACTTGTAAAGCCTCATTGCACTCTCAAACTGGCAACTGCTCCCAGCTGCGCAATACTATATTATGTACCTATCTCCCTTTACTCGAGTAGCTCATTTCACCTCACTCGTCAACTGATCATCTAAATTCGCTTGCTGAAACCTTACCTCGCCTGCAACGTGGCAACATCAATCCAGCGAATGTAAACCGTACTTTACTCGATTAATGCGAGTCGGATTAAGTACCCAAGTAATGCTGGATTAGCAAACGAACAACACGCCAAGCTACCCGTTGACAAAATTCGGACACCCCAACATCGTGATATCGCCAGAAACCTTAAGAGCCCCGCCGTCTTGGTAAGCCAAAATGGGTTACCGCCGTCACGTTACATGTAAACTCTGTATGCTCGTGGCTTCAGCTGTGAACTTCGTCTACGCCCGAATATTGGCAGAACAGCAAAAGAGATGTGATTGGGCACATTTGGCTCATCGGCGATGTGTGGGGTATCATCATAAGGCACTTAGTCGTGCCTGCCATTCCATCTGCCCGAAATGCGAGTGATCCCCGGGTGGATCTGCTGGCCTCGAAATCTGTGTGTCTGTGTGCAGACGGTCACAAGACATGACCTGATTTAGCATTTCCCTGGGTCCAAGCTAAGCTGTAAAATAAGAATTCCACGTCGAACGATTCGATCCACCCAGCTGGGAAGATGAAGAATACAAAGAAGCGGTGATGCCGATAGACTTTCAACGTTTGGCACCGCCTGGAGTCTCTGGTGTGCCCGCCTTCCCCCACGGGAACTGACTTCATCCTCGCAACTCTATATCTGGTGAGTTTCGGCGGTGGGCCCAAACTGTACATTTGATAAACGGCAGAGTTTGTTACATGTCTGATTCTCAGGCTTTCCGTGGACACTAAAAAGTTGATGCGAGGCGCGACAGCAAGTCAAGGGGAAACATAGACTTTGGGTCGACTAGAGTGCAAAGCCATGGCTTGCACATGCATTCCGCTAGACAAGCAAGCTGAAGGAGAGTTCAGTACACGCCGCGCGCATAGCCGCGCGGGTGGCATGCCTCGTATAAGAACCAGTCAGAGAGTACCAGAGTGAACAGGCTCAGCACGGCACATAACCTAACTCTGTCGGATGGACTTCACGGACGTTGTTCATTTGTTGGAACTTCGGGACGGTAGGATAAACGGTAACCTTGGCGGGCTTCTCAATGGGACTCCGGACACCGCAGTTAGTAACCCTCCACCCAGTTTCGATCCCAGACAAGTCACGCTTCGCGATCCATGGTTTGCCCACACGGAAACACCGAGGTTTTCGTCATCCACGGTGAACATGATGGATTTCCGACATCATAGCCTAGTCACAACCCCATAATTCCCTTCTAGAACTCTAGAAATGTTCTAGTCATCGTCATGCCATGCTCAGAGCCATAGGGATGGTTCATCCTAGCTTCGCTGGCAAGCCAAGGCTCGTGGCAGTTGGGGTCGAATTGACACACTTTCGGGGGTTTTAGCTTGCTGAGGGTGGAAGATTGAGTTTACGCTACAACTAGCTGCAGTAGTTTCTTCTCGGTTTTTTTTGTATCCTTTTTTTAAATTTTTTTGTAAGCAATAAGGGGTCCATCCCAAGTTCGGGAGGGTCGCGTGCACACATTGACGTCTAGGTCTACTACCCCACGGACCGACGTGATAGATGTGACAGGACTGTCAAAAAGAGTTTGAGCGAGACAAGTCGATCTTCTCTATACTCGCTGCATTGAAACGAGCTATGTATAGGATTGCCAAGAACCAAAATCCAAGTCGATATAAGCTTTATGTATCCCGGGTCACAATGCAACGTCCTAGCCTAATGGATAGATCGTCTGCCGAAGTTATCCCTACCTGCCAGGTCATCCCTAGACCATAACGGATCCAGGGCTACGCTAGGTCGTGCTTGGTTTCCACGAGTCGCGCCAAGAGAATGACGCGCATTTAGGTTTGAGGCTTCGGCTTCGACTTTGAGCTGATATCCTCTTCTTTGAACCAATCACAGTGGACGTCTGACATATTCTCACTTGCGACCAATCACAGTAGGTAGTAGGTCTTCCGCCCCGTAGGACATCAAGTCACCCACGCTCGAGTCCACCACTCGCGAGTCAGAAGTAGCTGTGGGCGGGTAACAACTCGGCTGGATCTCCAGAATCGTCATCGTCTTACGAATACCCAAGCCAAGATGTACTTGGCTGGAGAGAACACGGGGACGCTCAAGTGTATCGAGTTGTATCCGCTTTACAAACTTTCCAACACTTGAGTGAACTTCTTAACATAGTGAATGGCAGCACCTTTTTAGCCTCCGTCTATTACAACAATGCGGTGTAGCCTCTGTGCCGCTCGCTAGGAGATTAAGCTTGGTAAATTAAACGCTCAGACCGTTTCACCACAAGAGCTGGAACGGCACATAGTCAATACCTTGCGAACATAAGTTGAAGATGGACAATACTAAGCTGATGGAGAAGCGGGGTCCAGTTGTGGCTGTGACCGCGTCGGAGCTTGCCCAATTCGCGCTACCAAACTACTGCGAACTCGGAACATCAGATGGCGGAAAGAATTTTCCAATCAGGCTTTACTTCACGGTCTCACTACACTAAAAGGGAACGCTGCTAACTAAGGTAGGTTACGACGGACGCCACCGGTTCAGGAAGGTTATGCCGACTGACTTAGCCACCCGTCACTCAGTCCTGCAGGAGTACCGGACGTTGACGATGCGCCGCCGCCAGAATGCTCTGCTTCGTATCTCCGTTACCCCTGTCCATGAACACGCTTGGTCCCGTTCCCGTTCCCGGCCCAGCGGCTCGTGGTGCCTCAGCCAAAAACGACTGCTGGTCACCGTCAGTAGAAGAGAACGAGCCATAATATTTTGATACACTATGTGTCCCTGCGACGATTTCGTCGTCGTTGACGATGGTGCTGTTGATAGCCGTCACATTGCGGAAGTAAAGCTCGACATCCGGTACGGTCCTCGGGGAATTCTCGCCGATAAACCCACCAAAGCGAAATACCTGATTCGTTGATCCGAAGCCGGTACTCTTCTTTCCGCGACCAGGTTGGAAAAACGACGCCGTGCCATCGCGCGATGTGCTGAGAAGACTTCCCGTGAACATTTTGTTCTCAGTTTGCGGTTTCGCGGCGAACGCCTCGAGCCCGGATGGGAAGACGGAGCTGCCTTGCACCAGGAGATCGAGCCCCTGAGTTAGGCGCGCGTGTATGGTAAGGTTGCCTCCAGCTATCGCGGAGGTGGAGTTGCAATACAATGGGTAACTGTACTGGGTCATGTAGTCGGTACTTGAGCCAGTGCTGGCTATATCAGATCCCTTAATCGAGAAGGTGTTGATCTGGTCGAACCCAAATTCAGTCACGACCGCATTGTTGGAATACGATAGAGTTTGAGACCAGGCGGCGTCCCTGGTTTCATTTTGCGAGTTTACGATCGTGGCCTTGACCGACACCGTCCTCGACACCGATACGTGGTAAGTCAACGTCTCGTTGAGGTCCCCGGCTGAGTTCAGCGTGACCGCCCGGGAAAGTTTGATGACCGGCTCGCCAAACTCTACCTCAGGCGGCGTGCCGGTTGCGATTGCGCTCTCGTCGTCATCAAGCCACAGAAAGATCTTTCCCGTGAGGATCCAGTGGTCTGGGACAGAGTTCGTTACCGTGGCGCTGGAGTTTCCGTCGTCGGCTAGCCCAGCCACCAAAATCGTAAATGTATGGTCTGACCCGTCGCAAAGTATTGTCAGAAACGGCGTGATGTCTATCTCATGCTCTCGCAAGTCGAACGCGTCGATGCCGACGATAGGTCGATGGAGGCTTGGGACGACGCCGCCCGTGAAAATTACGGGGAAAGGCCACTGCACACCGGCAATCTGGCCGTCAATGAGAACCTGGACCTCGCGAAAAGGAGACAAGCCGGGCATCTCGCCAACGGTCTGGTTAAACGTGTAAACGTCAGTTTCCAACACGTTACTCCACCAGAATTCATCTGTCGATTGAGCGTTGGCTGAGACCGAGAACACTGCGCGTTTCACGTTGTGTGGGAAGCTGATGGAATTCGTAGCATTGTCTGAAGGGAATGAAAAGGCGCTGCTTGCATTCGAGGCCCCTTGCCGTTTCGAGATGGGTATAATAAGATCAGCCGGCGGTAATGGATTGGTTTCTACTGGACTATTGAAGAACGTCGCCGTTAACGTGGTGTTGAAAGAGCCAGTGTCGGGAAGGTTGTTAGCTTCATAGGCATCCTCCCTGTGTTTAAGGGGGTTGAAATACTTACACTTGTCATCAATCAGGTTGCCGAGATCAAAGATGAGCGTCTGCGGCCACTTCCAGAGGAGCAGGAACTCCGTCATGTCTTTCACGTAAGTCCAGGTGATACCTGGATGCTGTGTGGGCTCGGCGGTGCTGGTTCTCCATACCTGGATACGGCCCAGAGTCAGCTATGGCATTGGACATGTAAGGAAATTGGAACCCATTTCGGGAACCTCATGCCTACTCTGGAGCGGATATGTCACGGACTTCTGTAGACCCAAAGTACATCAAGGCGAGACGGTCAAATTGCCGTCCTTCAGACACGGAGGTGAAATTGATGATGACTCGATTGAATTCACAGCTAGGAGGGGTATAAGAGCCTATATGAGAGGTCAGAGATCACATGCCACCCAAGACCTCATGTGACACTACTAATAACGAACCAACAAAAGGCCTGCCGTAACTCCATGCAAATGTATGCTCCATTAACACCACCCTACAAGCCTCGATCGCCGACGAGCTAGACACCCCAATCAATTCTGTAGATCCATCACGAGTTGTTGTAGACCGGTAGCTGGGACCGTACGGAGTCAAAACTGGCTGCGCGACTTGGAAACACCCCAAAACCGTTCCCGAGAGCGCGGGTGCTGAAGTTGTAGTCGTTGTGTGGTGCCTGACTAGCGCCTTGGTCGACTGAGACAAGTATGCCGCAGAATCTTGACGATCAGTACGGAGTCGCAGAAGCAAGAGCGAAAACAGACCCGCAAGAGCCACTGTGAGCAGCAGATGGAGTCGGTGCGTTTTTCTCTTAGCTTGTTGCTCTTTATTCCCAGTGCCGATGTCATATGCCGTGCGCTCAGTGGAGGCGATGAGGCTCATCTTCTCGGAATGCCGAGATGACATGGTCGTTCTCAATAGCGTCCAGTGGAGGATTATTATCCTGTCCACAAATAGTACTGAGGAGTCGTGATGGATCCAATTAGATCCTGCACGGCCCAGTCCGGGCTATCGCGATCTCGAAATAGACGAGAGTTGGGGAGGCACGAGGGGCCAGGAACACGTAAAAAGGTCGCGGAGTCCAACTCCGCCCTGAACCAACACCAAGCCAATGCCAAGTTTTAAAAGACAAAAAGAGTAAGAACGGAGGGAAAGATGATCATGTTTGTGGCAATCTCGCCAGCAAGAGAAGATTATGTGGGGGGGTGGGGGAGATGAGTGACTAGCTTGCATCCAGATGTAGGGATGTGCCGCGCGCCTTCCATTGAAGGCTTGAGTCGAGTGACTGTACACGTTGGGGAGGGGGGCCGAGTGCACTGGAAGTCGGGCGCGGCATGCGCTGTGTTGTGCTGCTCTGTGGGGAGGCGCGCCATCTCAAACACTAAAGCGCCGTGCCGGGGCCAAAAAAAGGAAACCCTGCCTTCCTTATGGGTTTAAATGGGTGCATCTAGATTGCAAAGCCGTTTTTGGGGCGTTGGAGACTGGTTGGAGCCTTCGGAGACTTGCAGTGTCGCAAGGGTGGGGTGGTTGCCAGTGGGAATAACTCGGTCTGAACAGCGGGTGGGTCGAGTCGCCTCGCGCATAACGGGATATCAGCCCCCCCCCGCCAGGGACCTCTCTGGTCCACCAAAATTGAACAATGCCGAGAGGGCGAAGCCGAGGCGTGAAGGCCGAATGCCACGATGCCGATTACCCGGACCAGGCTCGGGGGCTTGCCGTGTAAGCTTCAATTTCTAAAGTTAGGTGGCTTGACGTCCGATTGCCCGCTGCCCGCACGATGGGCCCGCCAAACACAGTATATGGAAATATGTTTCTCCATAGCACCGTGATTACTGTCCAACGGTGTTGTCCCAGTATCGTTTCCTCGCGGCTCTGGCGACCTTGTTGCCCTGGAAGCGGTGCTGGAAGTAATTGAAGACGGCAAACTCATCTCGCGTCAGGACGTATGAGTCGGGTTGCGCCATCACTCTGTCCCAAATCGAGATTAAAGCCGCCTCCAAAATGCCGGCAATGACAGGATCCTTTGCGCCGTCAGGGCTCTCTCGTGCAATCTCCAGCGCCTGTGCCACCTCGTTGAGGTCAGACGGCGGCGGGGTAGCGGGTGGATCTGGGTGAGTTGAGCCCATACTCAGTAGATTCATCATGGAAAGACTTGGCGGACTGGAGGGCATCCGGTGGTGGTTGTAGTAGTAGGAAGGGTGGTGTTGGGAGTTAACGAGCAACATGGTCATTAGAGTGATCGAAGGACGGCGATTATTGTATTGTTGGCGTAGTCGGGAGGATTGTATTGTGCGTGTGCGTGTCGATGGATGGTTGACAGATCAAGTCAGATTGCGCAGGTAGTAAACAGTAGGCTTCGACAAGGATTCCCGAATCGGTACGTTGTTTTTTCTCGAGTAGAAGAGGCAAATGTAAAGAGTTGATCGTGATGTGAAGTGTTGATTGCTTTTTGTTGGATGTAGGGTCTTACACCGTGAGGCTGATGGTTTGACAGGCGGGATGCAAGGCTTTATTAATACGCTGTAAGTGGTGGTTGAGCAGCAGAGTCGCAGACGCGGAACAGGGGTGGAGCTTTCATTCCGTTCAAATCCCGGAAGTCTCCTTAAGGGATTTGCTTTTTTGTTACGAGTGACCATGATGTGCTAAAAGGTATTGTGCCGTAAGGCGCCCACCGTCAGAGCCGTTCCAAAGTCTCTTCTGGCTGGTCCCTGAGCCTGAGGAGAGTCCCGTGGCATAGTATTGCAAGTCAGTTGGAGGCGGGACGGGGATCCTTACTAGCGGACCTACTTCCTAATTCGTGCAGGTACAAGTGACCCGACCGCCCCAGGCTGCAGGTCCACTCATACCCAGGATCCTGGTCAAATTTCCAAAACTACTTAGGCAAGTACGTACTTACACCATCTCTGCACGTCTCGGGATGCATGCATACATAGGTGCCTTGTTGCTAAAATGCGCCATGGAGGTTGGTATCGCAAACTAATTAGCCCCCCAAAGCATCGCAACTCTGCGGGCGGCGCCTAGGGGAAGCATAATATTTCTACTAGTAGCTGAAGCCATCAGGGGGTGGTGGGAGGTTTATGTTACCCAGAAACAGGCTGGGTGGCTTGTCGTAGACAACGGTAAGTCCCACGTCCCGCAACTATGCATTGTTCAGTTCAGGTGGCTTTTATTGAGTTCACCGTGTCCTGAATTTGATGTCCCGAATCTATGGTCCTTTGAAATTGCTATTACTTTGATTCAAACCAGTCACAGTCTCAGTCCCAGTTGCTCGGATGATGTCACGTAACACGAAAACCACGAGTCAGTCAGTACTATCGTCACCACTGTGCCTTGACTTTTCGTTTTGTTTCTTACTGGCCCATACCCGCTGTCCCGTCATGCGGACGGAACCGGAGGGACATCTGCCGCCCGATGAAGGATGAGCGTTGAGCCAGGTACACCTGGGTTCTTTCCGCCAGCCGCAGCCGGCGTACAACAATCAGTTCCGAGGAATTACCAGCATTGAAGTGTCATGCTGCGACAGGAGGAGGTGGTGAGGTTGACAAGGTCTAGGAAGGAGATAATTAATTGCCGGAGATTTTTGTTAAGAGGTGTGGCTTAACTCAACTTGATTAGTACCAGCTCATCAAGGTTTGACCCAAGTTGAGGTTGGCATCAACATGACAGCGTCTCGCATTTCGCATCACAGAAGCTGCGTTGCCTCCGCACCGAGGAGTGGTGCGGCACGTCAGAACGGCGTTGCCTCTTTCGAGTCATGCTTGCGGAATCGCCATTTCTGGATTGTGGTGACGGTCTTGCCTGAAAACCCATATTAGGTGAAAACTCAGAGACAGGGGTAATATAGGGCGTAGAGTTTGGCAGAATGACAGTAACAAAGTGGATGTCTATCGGCTCCAGCGCGGGTCTAATACGGGTCATATGCGTACGGTACCGATATAAGGAAAAGGTTAGTTACATTCGCCGCCACAATCAGACCGTACTGCCTTACTACGACTCAGAGTTGTTTGCAGGGTTTCATATTGAAAGGCTAAATGCACCATGTGTGGCTTCCATACCCATCAGCTTGGGCTGGACGATGTAAGAGCCGTACTGCATGGTAGGACGTCAACTGCAGCCGTAGCCTCAAGTTTGACATCGTCTTGTTTTGGAGCTGGGTATGCTGTCGCTGAAGCAGAAGTGAAATCTTGGTGCTGATACACGGTTTCAGGCGACAACACCTATAGTAGAAGCGACTTGACTTAATGGTTGATCTGCAAGTGGACATTCTGATGCGGATCTGGTGCCGCAATAGAAACGGTAGAACCTGAGATTGCTAGTCATGGGTTGGACGGATCGACAAGGCGCGCTGGTTACATCGATGACGAGGTATAAATCAGGACAAGACTACGTAATAAGCAGATAAGACAGGAGAAGCTGGGCAAAGCCTTGATTAACGGAGTAGAATACTATGCTGGTACGGTGATGATAGCTTCATTGTCGGAGTGAGGCGGACAATCAACGCACAGACAAGAAGAATATGAGCAACTCGTTGTCGTTGTCCGAAATGTAATTATGAGATGCCAGGCCCAGCGGACAGTCTACACCGCTTCTAGTTTACAGCTCCGAGGCCCATCCGTTCCAGACGGGGAACATGGCCGTTGAGTTTGTATGCAAATCTCGTGCATGGCCGCAGATGTCGCAAGCCGAATGCTAAACGCCACGCTGCGCCAGCAAAAAGAGCACCTTCGGGAGGTAGCTTCCGATCACTGAACTCTAGAAGGCCATATGGAACCGCTCTAGAAGGAAAACGGGGCGGGCGGCCGCAAAAAGGCTTGGACGAAATTTAGAGTTTTGCAACGAAGCATGAAATATGGAAAATCCGGCCAAAGTCCCATCAAAAGTCCCATCCACCCCAAATCCACTTTGCCGAAAGGTTGAAGTTGATCTTCATTGCTACTTCAGGGCATATGTCCGTTACTTGCCGCGGCTATAGCCAAGCCCCACTGCCCTGTCGGCCCTCACTTGCCAGTGTCACCCCTGTCTTTCCAAATGATCGCCTTCAATGTGAATGTGGACCAGTAAAAGGATGTTTCAAACTTTTTTTTATTTCTTTGTGGTAAACGGTAAAACGGCTATGCGCTCTCCACACTTCGATCTGCTAATTTGCAGATCTATGCGATCAGACAAGGCGACCGGTTAATATCACGATGCCGTGTTCTGTCTGCGGAAGTTTCCTGCTTCAGTAGAGACCGGCTTAGCTAGCCATCAAGCTTGACGCCGGGTTCGCGCAGAGTGGTTTTCCGATGTCTATCTCCTGGCTGTGTACACACCACTGCTCACGGACTGCTCTATTTCTGGAGTGAATGGAATTGTTGCATGTGTTGAGACACATCAAAAAACGTGGTTCTCCGAACTCTATTGCCATATTGCAATGATCCATTTCAGGGTTCGTAGCCATCTGCTATTGGCGAGGCTGCAAGCTGCCGGTCAGGGGGCCAATGCTCCCGGGAGCTACTGGCTACAGAGCTTCTTCAACTTGCATATGAGATAGGTCTGGCCCGGCTGGCTTATGCGAGATATTCATATCTGCTTGTTTTATGAGCAGAGTTTTCATATTCTTACAGTTCCCATCTTACAGCTCTAGTTTTCGATGCCGTTCCAAACGAAACCTTGACGCTGTGCCCACTAGATGACTAACCCAGGTGAGATGTACATCCGAAGCGGTCTTGCAAGTTGACTTTGCCAATGGCGGTTTCACTTCTTGCTAACCTTTGGCCTCCTCTTGCCGATATTCCAGCCCCACGAGCGGAGGACCTTTACGACTTTGGGTGTCACCGCCGCAGTTAGAGGCACACGAACGAAAATGAAACTCTTATGGATGGCATAGGCCAGCGCGAGCTGCGTACCCAGACCTGTCATTGTCAGCGTCCAAAGTTGCAGACTGCACTGGACAAGCAGAACTTACTGGCTTCAGCCTTGTTTCGCGCTTCAGCTTCCTCAACCCCCCAGCCCGCCATCTCGACATGTTCGCTCATCTCATCGTTGCCGAAGGTCTCCGTTTCTGACTGCTTTAAGGCCCTCTTGTATTCGTGCCATCTGTCCACGAGGCTCTGCGGTATCGCTTTTTTGACATTCGAGACAATAAAGTGCTCAAGTTGGCCTTGGTATGTCAATATCACTCTTTGCTTATGGCTTATATCCGCACGACATACCAATCTTTTCCGTTCCGACTATCCGAACCAACAAGAAGCAGAAGGGAAAGTCCAGAACACTCAGGCCCAAGTAGACCCCTACGGCAGACCAGCCATATTCTCTAGACAGCTTTTTTAAACGAGCACTCAGACCCTGTGGCTCTGCGGCCTTCGTATCTTTTGGTAGAGGCTCCCTCGGTACGTTCTTCGCATCACGTAACCTGGAGGTGTTATGGAAGTTGCGCGGAGTCGATCGTAGGCGGGAGGTTCGCGTTCTTTGCACTTGTGACTTCGGTATGCTTTGCCTCATGGATACTGAGCCTAGCCTCGACAGTGGAGTTTGTGAGAATGTCACGAAAGTTCGTTTCGACACGTCCCTCGAACCATTCCTCGCCGCGAGCCACAGCTGGGGTCCCTGCGTCCCCAGCATCGCATAATACCGCGTTATGGTCGCGCGCATCATCGTCGATGGTCGTTGTGATTTGTCCTCAGCAATATCCCACAGGCACCTTGATTTGTTGGGTTGATCGTTCGGATGACACGCTGGAAGAGCTACCAAACCGGATATTAAAGCCGATGGTTCCGGGAACTACTCCGGCGAGCGAGGCAGCTGTCACAATTACGCTCTATTAATCCCGGATCAGACGGCAAGAGTGTACTGCCTCGCTCCTCATTCGTATTTGATCAGCTGTTGCGTGCGCCGTTGTCGTCTTTTCCGCTTTGTAAATGGGATGTTGTCTGCAAAAAATTTGGGAGCTCAGGTGGAGCTGCACAGTGATGCAACGATAGTGCCACTTTGCAGACATTTAGCGCGCCGAGCCGGGGCTTCCCCTTCACATGTACACTCCACCCATCATTTCCCTTAATCCGTTAAGAGAAATAACGGATTAAAGTATTCCCAGGCCCGAGGTGTCGGGATTTCAGCTTCACGTAATTCCGAGGTCTATCCCTAAATCCAGCATGAATTCAGGTCGTCAGTGGTTCAATGACACCAGGTTGACAACCCCCCAACATGAGACGAACACATCAACGTCTTGATTTATCCGAACCCGTCGAGTCAAGCATATTCACCAAGTGGCATCCTTTTCACAATACTCAACAAAATGCTTGTAACTCAAAACCATCCTCCGATCACCGAAATTGAGCTCACCTATGTGCTTTTCTTAGACCATAACATAGTTTGTCAATGTCGGATATGGTCAACATGCTCAAGTTTCAATGCTGCGGAGAACACACCATATCTGACCATACCCCGCCTTGGGCCGAACGCAGCATCGTCTTGTCAGATTCAGATACCTCTGGGCATAAGCATGCCATAATGCGCTTCGGGAATTTCCAGAACGTTTATCCACGTGTCAATTTTACCCAATTTCTCCACGAACAAAGACAAGACTGTCGCGTCGTCTGAGAATAGAATCCCAGCAGATCTTGGAAACCACGTGGTGAAACCTTACTAGATTGATGATTGATATGCCGCCTGAATCCATCGCTGATTGGCCTTGTCCGTGATTTGGCGACCCCATACCACGTGGATGCCGAGGAGTTTGTTAGTGTACTATGGACAATGGAGAATCCGCGAAACCCAGCGAGGCTCCACTCTGGAGTATTGCCAAGAACCTCATGAGAGCGTTCCTCACGAGTCATCAGAGGTTGGATGACACAGTTGAAACCGACTCGGGCAAAGGCTTTTGGCATACTTCTAGAAAAAAACGGCTTGCGTCGTGTGCGTATACTGGCTCCTCCTTAAACCGTCCCGACACCAGACAGGCGAGAGTGTTACCACCGAAGCTCCTCGGAGTTTTCCAGCTTGGCTAATTTTACAACGGACCTATGATACCTGATTCTTTTCTGTGACCGACCATAAGCCGAAGTCGCGTGGATCTTGTTGAATTAAGGTTTTCGTATATTCGTCCCTTTACTGCTGTCGTACAACTCTGACGCAACCGTCGCAGAATCCCCCGAATACTTCCACCGAAACTTCAAACCCCATTTTCCACTCTAGCCTCCATCTCAGTGGAGCGTGGTAGCAAAGTTGTTCCGTTGCATCGTCAGCACATTGATCGCCGTAAGTTACCGTAGTTGACAGGCGGCCTATTGTTGCCATTACGACTCATGCCGTCCAAGTGCATTGATGGTGCCTATAACAGTGGGCTGAAGAAATTTCTAACGGACCACTCGCATTGAATATGAAGGTGAGCCTTGCGTACTATGTACCATGATAGGCGATCTTGATCGACTCCAGCTCCCAAATCCTGAGCGGTACCATCCGTGAATTCTTGGGTATAGTATCAGGTAAGCAGTCGCCGTCTTATGCGCAGAATGCCGCATGCGCAGTGTTATGCGCTCGATAGGTTCACTTCATCTGAACATTGTTGGCACACAGCGACATAATCTACAAATCCAGTTTCGCAAATCTGGCCGGCCTTCACTGGATGGGGGAAGGATGTGTGGGTTAAAATTAAACGACAAACTCAATCGTGATTCCACAGCTGACAGATGTCCCTTGCTTACTATCCGTCGAAATAATAAGCGTCGCGACCAAACTTCAATAATACTGTCTAATATTCTAAGTTCAACCTATGGAGTATAAGGGCGGACTTGCCCGAAGAGGGCATTACATCGACCACTGAAAAGTACGCGTCATGGCACAGACTATTTTCCAAACTCCGACTCATCATTGGGAATAAATCTGATTCGTCCAACGGTGGGGTTTCTTGCATTCGTTTCCTATGGATTGTTGCACAGCCTCGGCATGCAGCGTGACGGATGAGACAGTGGTGCATCCTTCTGCGAACTTTTTACGAAATCACGGCGGGAGCCGCGATTATGAGGCACAGCTCAGAGTGCCACGGGTGCGCGCGTTACAGAGAATAAACGGGTCGTCCGGTCGACTGACTCAGAAGCGCAAGAATCCATCTCCGTCGCGTCTCAGCATGCACGGGAAGCACCGAAAGTGCGCGGCTGCACGGCCATTCAGCTTGCATCTGCCAGGGCCTAACGGGTGCTGCAAGGTCTTTATGGATCCCGTTGCTGGGTCAGGACAAAGTGCTACTGGCGAATCATGGACAGAGTCGAGACCTTTCGTAGCACATCCCCCCGGATTTGGCGTTATTGGCGTCGATTGTTGACAAGGATCCGATCGCGCGTGGGCCGGTCAACCACGAGCCAACTTCAAAGTAGCTAAGACACCTTTTTTGCAAAGAGAACGACAGTTGAAGCTATGGACGTCTGTGCGAATTGTCGTAATTCCGCGGCATGCTGTGGATAAAATTGATTGATCTAATGACACTTTGACATGAAAGTTGAGATTGTAGCTGCAAGCAGTCGGCCTTTCCCGCTGGCTATCGCATGACAGACAGTTGAGTGGTAGCCGGTTGCGCTGGGAACGCCACTGTTACGTCATAGGCGTGTCGCAACTGCCGATTGCCAGGATTGGGGAGAGCAATATCATCGATTGACACGGAAACGAAGAAGTTCAGCTAACAACAAAGACGAATCAGGGTGTCACCTTTACACACAGCTATCAAATCAGAGCTGCTCCTCAGGACATTACACTATTGACTCTTGCTCATCCACCTTACAAACACACTTTCCATCTGGCTTGTCAAAGATTCTCGAGTCACTAAAGAAAGCATCGACAATTCACAATCGCATTCTGCATCAACACTAAAAGATCAACAACCCCACTAGGCAAGCCTGCTCTGGGGTCTCGATCTATAGACCCTCCCGATCGATAGATACCCCAACCTTCACCGTTGTAGAGCTTCGTCGCCTCCGACATTTGAACCTATCGCGCACTTCACCGTACCAACGAATCCCAAAGAAGTTCCAGTGACTCGACTGTCAATATGGAATTCGTCTACAACATCTTGCGCATTGTGCAAATCCTCTGGACGCTCCTCGCCACCGCCCTCATCGGCAACGTCATCGCAAGCAATGTCAACGCGCAAAGCTCGGCCGAGTCGGCCATCAACTTCACCATGTTCGTTCTTGTCGTATGCTGGATCGCGGCACTTATTGGTCTGATCTCGTCCTTCGTTAACGCGCTCGCGATCCCCATCGTTCTACTATCGCTGGATGCCTCAGCGGTGCTCTTCACTTTCATCGCTGCCATCGTTCTGTCGGCAAAGCTGACAGCTGTGAATTGCGGGAATCTGGTAAGTTGCCGTCCTTTCCCCTGTACGTTTGCATGGTGATATTTGCTAAACGATTTGGGTTTTCCAGAGTGGCAAAGCAAGTGACTACATTGCTTTCGGCTCTAACAGCGACACGAAACGCTGCCGCGAGATTCAGGCCAGTGCGGCATTCTTATGGTTTCTCCTCGTCTGCTTCGTCGGCACGCTCTTCTTCGCCTTCAAGAGATTCAGAGCCGCTGGTGGCTCAATTCGCAGCGGTCCCGGTATGTCCCAGATCGGCGTGTAGAGTCTCGGGGTCTTCATATGAGCTATTCTTGGCCGCGGTATAACTTGTATTATACCTAATGTGTACTCAACGAAGGAATGAAGGAACGAAGAGATTGTGAATATATCACATTCAAGCATGGGATCAGCGAGCGGAACGGTTTGCGTCATGCAACGCTGCACCAGTCCGCTGGATGAAGACAATGCGAGAAAGGATCGGTGTTCGGGTCGGGCGGAATTCTAGGGATACTTATGACGGTAGCCTCTGGAAAGGCACTAGGAAGGCTTTATGGTATGCAGCCTATGCGCATCTGTCTGGATTAGCCATGTATTTAAAATAATGAGGAGTAAACAGGCTTAGCCCAACGTTTATACCTAACTATAAGCCCCAGTAATGAAAGTCTTGTCGGCTTCCCCTTAAGGGAGGGGTTACTCACAGGAGCGGCGCTATTTCTTTCAGCACTGGCCCATCCAGGTAGCAAACTCTACAGGATCATATTCCATCCTCGTGTAATCAATGTCTGTCATATTTGCCGAGCGCCTACCGTTTAAACGTGGCCGCACCCGGTATTTCAAGGTCTTGAAGCAGTCCACCGTGCATAGGAGATTGCCCCTTTGTAGAAATATGGATGAACCAACGAAGAGCTATAGCTATTTAGCGTTCATGAACTTCAATATCACAAATATCAGATATAATCATATTCGGAACAGCGTGTGGGATGCATGGTCCTGACTTGAGGTAGTTTTTTACCCGCAGCACCTGTTATTTTAATATCTCATTGAAGGTCTCCAAGTCACGATGTATCACATTCAGCTTACTATTTGAATTACTACTGCCTGACTTTAAATGCCCTATTAAGGGTTAAAGCAAGACCTGCAAAAGAGACAGACATCCGATATGAACAGGAATAGACGACTAGAATGTTGCGACGATGCTCTTAACGAATGTGTCTGCTCGATATGTTTCCACTGTGTCATGATATTATGTCATCGCACATGGGAAATATGAAGATGCCTTCCATTCCGAGCCCACAGCTCTAATAAAATCTTCCAACTTCTTGTTCAAAACACGTGCTTCACCCAGACTTGGGATAGGGAACGTTCTTCCAAAGTTCCACCAAACGGCTGCGGATTACCATGCCTTGGCCGCATAGCGCTCTGCAGCAAGGCTCCTTCCTCAACCCCAAGCCTAACCTTACGTTGCCCCTTCCCCCATCATCCAACGCAAAACACCTGCGTAGTTTTCTGCCACTGCCAATCACCCACACCGCCCTTGCGTCTCCTCTGAGGTATATAAACTGTCTTCATCCTCTCCGGTCCGGGTTTCGACTCCTCTTGTCCAGGCGGCGAGCGGCGAGGGCGCAGGCAGGCGCACAACTCGACTGGGCCTCGGGTAGATCATGAACCATCTGAGGCTGCCACTTTCTAACTAGTGGCAAGATACCCCGGTGGGGTTGATCTACAGTCTAGTCTTTGGACCTCTTTGCTCAACATCAGTCAGTTGTTTTCGTTGGCTTCCTGGCCTGAAGCTGGGAGTTAAGGAAGATTGCGCGACCGAGTTGAGGTCAATGCTGGTACCTGAGCAGGCAAGATGCCGTGGGTGATCACTGCTGATTGATTACCCTTAGTTATTAATGAAACACAAATATAAGAGCTCACAGCCAGCCCATTCTCTTCTTACGCTTGACAAATGAGTAATTTCAAAGTATTTCTGAATTCTAGAGATTATTTTTCAGTTGTATTCTGTTCGAAACCGATATCTAGTTTGTTGTAAGTCTATCCTTTTGCTATAGTGAGCATTGGGGCCGCGGCGCGACGGGGATCAGAGTGGTCAACTTATGGAACGACCTCAGGTATTAGTCGACTTAAGTTGCGGCCTGGTTACCCTGGAGCTGGCTTTGCAAGTGTCCCTCGGCTGACCAGTATTTGCACTTTGATAGTCTGCAAAGTGCAGTAGTGCATACTTACAAGCACAGGGAGAGCTTTCAGCAGTGCTTGACGTTGCGGAAGAACGATCTCGGTCGAGCAATATGAGTTGTGCATCTTCTGATTATATATCGGCTTTTGTGCAAGTTAAGAAAGTTCAGAGTCGATTGTGACACAATTAAGTATACAGCCCGGCCTTTAACAAGAACTTTGCACTTTCCCACATCCACGTACCAGCGATGCAAATCAGGATACACTTACAATATATGACCATCTACCTCCAGCACTCAAAGGCTGTTTTACAAGGCTGTTTTACACTCGCTCGCTGGCCCAAATTGCACCACGGCACCCTGCCCGTATAACTCCCGTAAGAAGCCAATATGGTCGGGCTTGCTTCGCATCGTGTTCAACTGCATGATCCAGGTGCTCTAGTTCCTCGTCTCGTATGCGTCTCAGGGTATTCGTTAAGTCGCGTAAATCGTCGCCCACTTCATAGCCTTCAGCTTCCCATCGCTCAAACATCTCCAGCAATGTTCGGATCTGCTCATTGTAATGGTCACCGATCTCTGTTTCCACCGCCTCCGTGCATGCCATGGCCGCCTCCCGCCCCAGGACAGCCGTTCCCCAACCAAGAGCTGTTGCCGCCGCGGACCAAACCGGGTATAGGGCTGTTGGGCGTACGCGGTGTTTTGCTATGAGCGCGTTGAAGGTCCGTAGGTGTCCGGCTTCTTGATCGTACATATGCGACAACAACGGCCGCAGATGCGGATGTGCATTTACAAGTGGTGGCGTCTGGGCCGTGTAGATGAGGGTGGCTGCCAGCTCACCGGCTTGGTTTACTCGAAGCTGATGCTCGCGTCAGTAGCTGACAGGCGCAATGGCATCAGAGCTCAAGGCCTACTGCAGAAGAAAGGAAGTCGCGCTGCTCCTGTGTTAGGGGCTTGCGCTTGGGTTTCTGGGGTGCAGATGCATCTGCGACAGAAGCCGCGTTGGCATTGTTCCTGGATGTAGTTGATAGAAAACGCCTACTCGGTGTGACCAAGGCTGGTACAAGAAAATCATGCAATGGCGATTGGTGACTCTTGCGCATTGCGCGCGGCATACTGCGTGATAATGACGGAGACATATTTTTTAGAGACTGTTTGGTGGCAGTTGCAAATCGTATGACAACGTTGATTTTTGGGATTCTACTTCGAAAGCTGGGCTGATCAATGATGCATTTTAACTGTAAGTGACAGGGGTGATGCGCCGATAGTGGGGTGGTCGGTGAATTCCAGCTCCGCTCCGAGAGCCCCAGCAGCTATCGCGGGCCAATGAGGACGTCGACTAAGACCAAGAATTCCAATGAGGCTGTGAAGTGTTTACTGCCATTTCCAGTTCAACTCCTTTACGAGCGAACCTGTCCGTCTTGGCCTCCTCTCTTGTAATTCTTTAAGCAGCCTCCGTCGAGGGCAGCGACTTTATTTAAATCATCATCTATCCTGCTAGATCCCGTTCCGCAACATCAACCAATTCACTTACTACTGCAATATCGCAACCATTGCTCCTTACAGTAGTACTCCGATCACCAGCGCCAGCGAGCTTGCGGTAGGCGTTACAAGAACTTGAAGATTAGAAAAGATACTCCTGGGTCACAATGGCTGATGTTGACGATGAACTTTTGGCCCTTGTGGGCGGCGACGAATCTGAGGATGAGGGTTCCGAGCAGGAGATGAACATCAGTCGATCAGGGTCCGCCTCAGCTGAGCCTGACTCCAAAACACCGAAAAAGGATTCGCCGCCGGCAAAACGTTCCAAGAAAAAGGGAGACTATTCTGACGAAGAGGAGGAAGGTGAAGCGTGAGTGAGGCTCTTTCCAGCTTATGCCCCTTTAAGTTCCTGAGCTGCCCACATCTATCCTCGCCTCCAGTGGCTCCTCGGGACCAACCAAGCTCTTGGTGCCTAGACGCGTCAGTCCAGACATGCCAGTTTGGTCAGCCGGGCAACAAATCATCACTTCCTTTCACCCGCAATTTCTGCACAATGCTGATCAACGACTTTTCCACCAGGTCATCTGCGGCTTCGCCTGCCTCACAAGACTCTGCACCAATGGACGAAAGTGATTCCGACGCACCTTCCCCCCCTGGCACCAGCGGCGCCATGTTCGACGAGGACAACAAGTATCCCGTAGAGGGGCTATTCGCAAGCGAGCAAGAGAAGGAAGACATTATGGCAATGCGCGAGGTTGAGCGTGAGTCCATTCTTGCTGAACGTGTCCAAGAGATAGAGCGCCAGCGCCAAAACCGCCTGTTACGCCAACTTGTCAGCTCGCGCGACGGCGCAGACAAGAAGGAGAAGAAGCGCAAAGCAAACGACGCCGAACTCGAAGATGGGCAGCGCAAAACATCACGCCAAAGAACAAAGGTTGGCGGATCTAAGGTTGGCGAAAGAAGTGCTGGTATCGATGCTCTCCAACGCGCTCGAGCTGAAAAGAACGACCGTCAGCGACGCCTGGCCGAGGATCGTGAACGCAACAAGGACAGAAATGCCGCAACGTCTCGCGACAGCCCTGGTCGCGCTGGTGACGCCGACAGTGAAGTGGACTGGAGCGAATCGAGAGCCCGGCACTCCAAATCTCGCACCCCTGAAATTCGAGAAATACCATTCGCAGATTTGCGCGACGTAGAACGAATACGCCTCAGCCGAAGTCGTTTTGCTCAGATCTGCTTCTACCCTGGCTTTGAGTCGGCTATCACTGGGTGTTACGTTCGTATATCCATCGGTCCAGATCCGCGAGCTAACGACGGAGTGAATGTCTATCGTATTGGAGTGATTAAGAGTAGGCCGACCACCACCGTTTGTTTTGCGGCTGAACTCTTCCGCTAACGGTTCACCTAGGATTCGCTACCGGCAAACCCTATGCTATGGAGAAGGCAAATGGTCAGACCTTCGTGACCGATCAGTATGTTGTTGCTGCGCATGGAAAGTCAGAGCGAGAGTGGCCCTTCATTGCTTGCTCTGATTCACCTTTCACAGAGGTATGCTTGTCATCACTGCGGAGATATGCTAGGAAAGTCACTGACACATCACTATCAGGCTGAGTTCAACCGCTTGAAGGCAACACTCCAAGCCGACGGTCTAAATCTCCCGAAGAGGCCTGCCCTGGTTGCCAAGATTGATGATATCAACAATCTCAGAAACCGTTCCTGGACCGACGCTGAGCTGGACGAGAAGCTTCAGCGAGAGCGCACTTTGAAACAGAAGTATGCGCCCACGGAACGCAATCGTCTGCTCAGTTCAATCGAGGAAGCGAAGCGCCGTGGCGACCATACAAAGGCTTCGGAGCTTCAAGACCAACTGGACACCCTAGAGACCCCCAGACTCGCTTTTAAGACAAGCCTGACACCGGCTAAGAAAGTGGCAGGAACCGCACTCTCCCAGCAAGACCGCCTGGCGCAGCTGAACATAGAGAATCGCCGCCGCAACGCTGAGGCCGTCCGCAAGGCGCAGTTAAAGGAGAAGGCAAAGGCTCGCGATTCTGAAGCTCAAGGCCGCATTGCACGTGGCGAAGATGTTGATGCGGCTTCACAACGGGCACGCACGCAGCCCAAGTTGGTACATAATCCGAGTTCCACGCCTGAGGGTAAATCCACACCCGCCAATGATAGTGGCGCGTCGACACCGGCTTATGGCACACCAAAGCTGGGGGCAACGACTAGTAAGATCATACTCCCTCACATCGCCAAGCTACAGGAAAAGAGTCACGCAACGGGCGTTGATAAGAAGGGCATTCCACAAATCCATCGCCCGCTTATGGACGATGATATTATCGGAGCGTTGGATCTGGATATCGACGTAGAGATCGACTGAGGAAGATCGACTAGATGGACGACTGCCAGGGTCATGCTGAGAGGTCTCAAGACTGGCGGTTGAATCTGCCTGGTCACTGGTACTCGCAATTTGCCTAGAGTCTTCAATTCGAGGTATGGCAAGCGTAGCGCATAAGAGTTGTGCTTGAGACCAAACGTACCATAGCCAGATTTGCCTCATAGTTGAGGAATGACGTATAGAGCGACTGAATGCCGTCGCAGGCCACTTTGGCGTCTTTATGTAGGAAAGCACGAGCCATAAATTACCGTTTTATACTGACAATTGTACTTCCCTTGAGCTTTTATTGCCATTGAGAACGATCTTGACCTATCATAGCAACGCAAGTACCTGACTAGACATAGGAGGGTGAGGTGATAACTGGGGCGGCGCATGGTGCCCTAGGGCTGTGGATCCAGCACCGGCAAGACAGCCAGAGTAATCCCCGAAGTGGTCAGCCGTGAAGCGGAGTTCTTCGTTTAACACATGACTGGCACGGCATTGTCGGCTGATTGATGCCGAACGAGAATTCGGCTATCTGATAGTGTTCACAAAACCTGCGTGGCTTATAGTTTTGGCCTACTTGGGTGAGTTTGCTGCATGTTGATTAACGGAAGTACATGACTTGAAGCATCATGTTACTTATTAGGTGAACGGGCCGCGCAAGTCATCAGATCTCTGTACGAACCGGCCGTCGAGTCGATCATGGTCGGGTAGCCCAACTAACGTGGATGATCCTGGCATGGCAACCGATCCCGATTCCGCCTAACTGCTTCATTAACCCCCCCGCCCCCCCCCCCCCCCCCGGAAGCGCCCCTGTGTAATGCCCGGAGATTATGCAGACCGTTGTTGGTATTGTCGAAGCCGCTCTTCACCTTCGGTTCATGAAATATACTAGCTGGCTAGGTCAAGCTAAAACGGCCGTCACCATGTGATCTGTAGGACGTCCTGGGGCCGACATGGCCAGCTTTGTGGTGTGGTCAAGCCGCGAAATTTCAGAACGGATATTCGAACGGCCTCAACTGAGCGACCTAAATGTCAAACCCGAGCGACGTTTTATTCTACCCCTGATGTACCATGTCTCCGCTACGGATATGCCGCTACGCCACGTCCCAAATCTCCGATCATCGAGACCAAATGAGAAATCTATGTCCTTCCGTGGTGCCCAAGCCCCAACAACGGCCGACGGCCGCCTTCAACTGGGCCTTCATGGCGGCCATATCCGGCGCCCCTCAAGCCTCGACCCGCGGCCCCGTCCAAACCCTTTGGATTACCATCCTCTCCACCTGGTTCACACCCAAATGCTACATAATCTCCTACAAAGAATGGTCCCTCGCCGAGGCCCCAGGTGGCTAGGAGGCCGTGCGGCCGCACTTCGCGAGGTATAAAGGATAAACTGTCCGTGAGGAGGAGAATGCTTTGCGCGATTGGGATCGGGGCCAACGTCGAGGTGCGTGTCTGGGATGGAAGTAGTGCGGTCAGGCCGCTTGAGGCGAGGCATTCCTAAATAATGCAATCCGTGCCTGCCTGCCTCGTACCTTTTATGCCTGACGCCACAGCTTCCCACTGTATGTATGAAGCGCCTCTATTTGGGTCATGGCTGTTAGTTGGGGTTTATCTGTATCTATGTTCGTCTTGGCTCAATCTCTTCTACGCGACTCTCTGCAGAATTTGTGCCCAACTCTCATCGACGGATATGAACGACAGTTGCCTTAAAAAGAGTCCTGCATGCATCTTTGGTACTCATGTGAATACTGCATGCATATTGCAATGGCATAAAAACAGGACGACTGGGAGATTACGTAGCACATGCTGGAGTATTCCTAGCCACTTCAGTTCAGTCACTTTCCTATTGAAATTGGCGACGCTGGAACGAAAGTTACCACCAAGATTGGTTGCTAATAAGGCCATTGCGCCTCAGACGATGCATTTGTGGACATTGTAGTTCAGCTGAACGAAGTTGTCGAATCAGGAACCCGGGCACATCCAGATTGGGTAGTAACAGGGGTGCTACTCCCACAGCACACGTAACCGCAGGGGACATGCGTCTTCTCAATGCAATGCTTCGTGAAATCCTCATACAGGCATCATCTCGTGAAGACAGGATTTATTCACGTTAGTATGTTACTGTAAGTAAGTCTGTTTTGAAGCACCAAGACATAGTGTGCATGGAATTGGAAACAAAAACATATGTAACACATAGCACAATCGTTGAGAGCTGATAGTGGAAGAGATGATAATTGTGTTCTTCATGGTTGGAAATAATGACAAATTGTATGGGAGAACATAAAGTGCAAAATTCCTGTCCCCGCAATTTTGATGCGTAACATCGATAAAACAACCATGTTCGCTCCTAATGAGCAAGTCGCGTAAGCTACAGCATGTGAGTTGCACGTATTCAGCTGCTAATAAACAACTGGCTGTTCTAGTAAGATCAAGCTGATCTAAATGGCATACATACAGTCTGAGTGTTCTATCAATCAGGTTCACAGCGCAGAATTACGAGCTCGGAAGCACGAGAGTCACCATTACCGTATGGGAAAAACTGACGAAGACGTGTATCCCTGACTGGCACCTGCCTTAACCTAAGTAAAGGCGTAGTAATCACTGAAAACTCATCAATCAAGCCGAAAAAAGCAATGACTTGCTATCGGAAACTATCTCCTAATAGGACCCTCTCTACTTATCTATTATTCTAGTAAGTGTAAGATTCCTTGACAGTTCTCCCTTTATATTCACCCAGATCATCTCGAGGCGAACACAGTGAGTTCTCCGATAGCAGACCTGCTGGGAAGCTACGTTGAGCATGCTCCCGCCATGAGGAGAAGAAAGGTAAGGGGTTGCAGAGAAAAGCCAACCCGAAGCGTGACTAGAAGCACTGTGACTTGCCTAGGTCATCTTGGGACAAGAGCTCACATGCATTTGTAAACTGCGCATCCATCATCCTAGACTTTGCACTAAGTTGCGTTGGGCCGGCTTTCAATCGTGAACATATCATCAAACTGATCCTCATTAGTTCTATGCTCTAGCGCCATATCTTATGTTCGTCGCAAGTCGTTCTCATCATTGAACCAACCGGGCGGTTTCTTAGACCACATAATTCTCCTCTGGCAACCAACCATTCGTAAGACCGACTTCCGGTAATATGTCAGACCTCGCCTACGGCATCTTCCACGTGTGCGCCCATACCCCCATCCTCTAGCCGATCCAAAGCCCTCTTGACTTCCTTCTCCCAGTTACTAGACCCAACGATGACCCACTCCAGGGCCCCGACAAGATACAGCGCCACGCACTGCCCTATCCACAGACCAGCCAGTCCCCATCCATGAAAGGCAAGATAGATGCCCGCTGGTAAGGCACCGCCGTAGTAGCTGATTAGATTCACGAGGGCGCCAACCCATTGCCGGCCCATACCACGCAAAGCTCCACCACAGCTACCATTCAACCCATCCGCGATCTGGAACAGCGCCACGTACGGCATCACCTCCGATACCAGCTCGACCACCCTCTCATCATCGTTAAATATTCTGCCGAATACATCTTTAGTTGACATGAGCACCGTGAGGATAAGTGCCCCAAGAATCGCGGACAGAATCGCAGCGCAATGAGCCGCACGTTCAGCATCGCGCGCCCTCTTCGCCCCGAGAAGATTCCCCAGTCGAGCCGAGGCGGCAACCCCAAGACCAAAGGGAATCGTGTTGATGATCTGATCCGCAGTCATGATGACGGATTGCGCCGCGAGGGAGATAGTGCCTAGTCGACCGGCGGCAAGGGCCACGATCTCGAAGGCCCACCACTCTGTGCCGACGTGGATGAACCCCAGCAGGGCAAGCCGGGCAAAAGGCCAAATGTGGGCGCAAGCCCGGCGAAGATCCAGACCACCCCAACACGCCTTCCCTTGCACGAAGGTAGCGTACGCGGCGAGAAGCAGGAATGAGCACCAGTAGGCGATGCCAGTTGCGAGTGGTGCACCATATAGCCCCATGCCGGCTTTGTGGATGAGAAGGTAGTTGAGCAGCGCGCTCAGGGGGGAGGTTATGAGAAGTACGTATGTCCCAGGTCGGTGTATCTCTTGCGCCTGAAGATATTTCTTCATCGTCTCGAACCATACGTACCCCAATCCACCCGGAATGAGAATACGAAGAAACTTGGCGCTTTCAACACATATGAACTCCTCCTGCCCCATCGCCCGGAAGATGGGTTCTGAGAACCACCATAGGACCGCGATGATGGCGTAAAATGCCGACAAGATGATGATGCCTCTTTGAAGCAGAATCCCGAGATCGTGCTTGTTCTGTGACCCGGTGAAGCTGCTCGAGGCCAATGTGTCCAGCGCTGTTGTGCCACCGAGGGCAACGAGCCACGCCGTGGCCATGGCGAACATGTAGGAAAAGGCGGCCGTCGCTAGTGCCTCGGGCGATAACCGACCAACGATCAGGACTGATACTGTCTGCAGGCTGTTCTGGAGGGTATATGCCAAAATGACGGGTATTGAAGCTCGTGTGAGAAGCCATATTTCAGATAGCCATTGTCTATACCACGGTTCTTCTGTATCTGTCATGACCGAGGGCGGCTTTCGTAGCAAGGAAGTCGACTCATCTGGTGAAGCTTGGGGAGGTAACTTCGATGTCAGGGTTGAAAAAGACGAAGTGTCCGTCATGATGCCTCGGTTATCGTCTGAAGGGATTGCCAAGCGTTTAAATACTGGATGCTTGTGAGATGAGGCTCAACGTATCAGACCATAAAGTGCAAAGCCGCTAACCCGAGCCATTGGAAAGAAGCAAATTCCAAGAAATTCAAAGGAAGCAAAATGCTTAGAAGAGACGACAGAAGAAGCCGCACCATCGGCTCCGGGCCCCGAATAACGGCAAGGTCCCATTGCCGGGTAGATCGTGACATCGCGTGGCAACGGGTCCAGATAAGGACAGGCCATTTCCTAGACAGCATGAAAACACATCGCTATCGCTGTGTACAAGAGCAACAGCGCGCCATCCGAGGCATCTGAACGGCCCGTCCAGATCAATGTGGCGTGCATCTGCACAGGGCGACGTCGATTCGTCCATTGCCTGTACAAAGTCTGTTAGTGAGACTAGCGGAAACGCCAGCAGGGGGGGGCAGCCAAGACGTGCCGAATCTCTTCTTCCTGCCCTTGACAGAAGTGACAACAAGCGAATGGGGATTCGCGGATGAGGACTGCCAAGCATACGCCGAAAGTCGGGGTGCTCAATTAGATGGACATCCGTATCTATATGCACCGTTATCTCGAGCCAATTGAATTCGGCAATGCGAGGTATTCTTACCCATTTGGATGAGGCGAGAAGAATAGCGGGAAACAACATGGTATGTCCTTGCTCGTGGATTTCTGACATGAGGATATCGTCACACCCGAAGTCAACAAGTTCATATTGTTAGCCCAGAGGCAAATGCCGCCAGCGATTTTGGCTGTTCAGGGGTAACGCTGCTCAGCAATCAGCCCCGCGTTTTCTCGAAGGAGTGACGTCATCGAACAAAAGCAATGGAGCTGGACAAGATGTGTCATAGTCAAAGACGTAAAGAACCGCAGTCGACTGGTCTGAGACAAATTCGAGGGCGTTTTTCCTGCTTCCTCGGTTGACGGTCTATTTCTTCAGTGGTTCCGTCGATTCCTTCGCTTCTTTGAAGTGAGACAGACACTCGAGACGAGAACTGCCGCTTCCCGCTGAAGATTTGTCAACAATAGCTTATCGATTTCATACAAACTTGTTGCTCGGTATTAGGTATACTCATCCCGATCTTCTTGATACCTAGCTGGGTTTTGGCACCCTGTGCGGATCAAAGTACACCGTTTCGAGCAGGTGGCCGCCTAGAGTATCTCGATGTCACTGGTGTACCCGACCATCGACCTGTCAGAATGCAAACACGGAAGTCGTCATGCTCCTGTTTGGCATGATTGCCAGGCTCTCAGCTGGATCGAGAATAGACGCCTGCAGGCCCAAGTTCCTACACCGCACCTGTTCATACCAGAATCTGTCATAACAGTCATAGTAGACGCGGCATTTGCTCACAAGCTGTCTTCTTCCGATAAGCATACATAGTTGTTTTCAAGCCAACATGAATTCAACGATGACATACTAATAACGATGACAATAATAGTGTGTTTACTTAGGTAGACATATTGAACTCTCTTGTTCAGCTCTACTTTGGATAACGGCTTGCACGCGATAGCCATACGACGCGAGGGAATCTAAAGTCAATGTGTCTCGAGTGTCTCTCATCACTAAGACCAACCACGTAGCCTGTACAGACCGAGTGGAATATCATGTCACACACCGGTCGAAGTGGGGTTGGGCAGTTTCGTAGATGTGAGGGTGGCGGGAGCGGCGGGAGATGGGGTGACGGTTGAAAAGGCTCTCATCAACAATGTATTGGCGTCGGCTGAGGGGTTGGGTGGTGGATTTCCTGCATGGTGTGCACATCGTAACGAATATTATCAATATGCTTGCGGGGACGAAAATGGTTGGTGAAGTCTGGAGTGAGATTATGGGCATGGGTTTCGAATTCGCGGGCATCACGAGTCGGCATGTCATGGTGAATGTCGGGGCAAGTGAGAGTTCAGGTGTGACAGAGATCTTGGACCGCCCTTTCAAAAGTACCTCGTTATTCTCCCCCGAGGTCTAATTAAACATCACTTCTGACGAAAATTACGACAGTCTCGGGTTAGCCGTCGGGGCTGTTCTCACGCAGTGGAAAATAGCTCAGTTGTCTCAGGGCTCGGCAGCCATGTGGGATGCCCACTTGCGAGTCGGCGGCGCAGCAGGCACAGATCTCCCAGTCGACGACTGCCCCTGGAGCTAAACAGCCGTGAAAACCAACTGCATCGCCGCGACGACCTTATTCTACATCACTTCCCCCGCCAACGCCTACCTCGAGAATGTCTGGATCTGAACACCCGATCATGACCTGGTCAGTCTCCTTTAGCGTTCCTGGCTTCCTCGAACGCCAGTCACTTACTCTTACTACAGGACATCCAACTCAAAGCCGAATATCTGTTTACAAGGCTCGAGCTTGCCTCGTATAATCTCAACGGCCTGTACTAGTACCGCTTCTACCACACCAAGAACATATTCCGATCAACGCACCAAACTGAGACGCCGTACTACTAACCAGAACCCAAAGCGCCGCAACCTGCACAGGGGCATATGCTCTGTCTAATGACCCAACCTTCTCTTACTGCAGCACCAACTCCGCCACATGCGCCTACGCCTGGGACATGGAAGTTATCAGGTCTCCGGCCTGATGCTCTTCGGCGCCAGCCTTTACAGCTGCTGCTAGTGGTACGATTAGGCTTGTCTGGCTATCTAGGCGTACCTGGGACGCTTTGTGAGGGTCATCGATAGCGATGATATCTTTATTATCGATTTGTACACCAACGGGCTTTACTGCATGATCCAGGGATCTTAACTGTTAGGCCGCCGGTTTACACGACCATGGTTCCGGGCCAGACTGTTACCGTAACATCGCCGGCTATGGAGACACCACGTATCACGGCCTAGCCTGTAGTAGTGGTTGTGCCCATAGCCCAGAGGGTGACGCCCTTACTCGTACCCACTTCCGTTATAGACTTGCCGCCTATCATCCCCACGTTTAGCAACTTTCTAGGCAGGCCACCAGATGTCAAGCCGCCGGATGTTCCAATGCCAATTGCGGTGGGCTTCATTCCCGGCCCCGTTTTCTCGATACTTTCGACCACGGTATTAACCACTGGCCGTCTCAATAAACCGCCGATCATCATCGGAGAGGACAATACACCCCAGGTGGTGCTCCCCCGCCTTAAGATGGTGAAGATAATGAGAGTGCTGAATTCATAGGCCTGTATGCAAGGTGAGTTTCCGTCTCATATACTATCGCATCGCCCTTGCCTTCAAAGTTCTTCCATCTTTCTTCCCCCTTTCCCCATTTTCCAAGCCCCCCCATCATCCCACCAGGTTAGTCACCTCATCTTCGATTACCAGTTTCATCCTCGGAGGCCTCGGTATCTCCCCTCCTAGGCCCAGCCTGGCGGTTCGGGCACAGTAGGCGGGACATGCCAATGAAGTGGGACGATCCAGGACTTCAAAGAGACCTACAACATCGCCGTGGAAAGCGGCCAGACAAGCTTCACTGCCAGTCTGTTTGATCTCTTCGGGTTTGGCAGCAGTATTTACACCATCGACGGTGCCGCTGTCCAGGTCTAATCCATGAGCGTCACATCATCGAGCATGGCGTTTGAGCTTGCAAACTTGCCGGAGGTGTTTAGTAATCAGGTTGGGGTTGACTTTGATGTGCCGACCGCCATGATTCTATATGGGTGTAGAACTTCTCTCGCAACAGTTCTTATGATGCAGCACTTGACTTTGTTTTTCTCATAGTATCGAAGTTACTGGCAACGTACAGTCCGGTGTATCTTGCATAGACATGCACATGGAGAGTCGGGTATGTTCCACAATCTGCTCCTACGTGCTTTTGCCTTCGCCGAAAACAATGCGTTCTCTGACAACTTGCATGAACAGGCGAGCACATCATGCGGCGACATCGCTATCCAAGACTCGTCGGATTCAGGGAGTCCTGGATCAGGTGATGGCGGTGCTGTTGGCGGTGGCATGAGGATCCAATCATTCCTGCGAAGGCAGACGTGACCATCGACTGCAGCGATGATTCCACCGGCGGAAAGGTGGACAACATGTCGTATTGCCTGTTTCCATATGGAAGGTAGGCAAACCAACATCGCCCACCCCCACACCCACTCTCCTACAGGAGAAAATATAAAATAAAACAAACGCGTGGAAGAGGACGGACCAAACATGTTCTTTCATCAAAATTCAAACAGCCGCACAATGTGCATATCACATAGCGCGATCGTCCAAGCCCGGCTCCTAAGTTAAACCTCCACCATGACCACTCAAGACCACTTAGCGAATTGCATCCGCACCGGCGTGACTGAAAAATTGGTATCCACCTCAACTACTTGCGTATCGTCTACGACTTTAAGGGCTGTGCCATTATCATCTCAGACAAACACTCCAACTTCGGCAGTCCGTGTTCCGGTTTCTCCGTCATTTCGGGGCAGTTGTTTCGCAACATGGCCATCCTGGGTGCCAGCCAGTGCGCCGGCACCGACTGGACGGCCATTGCGGCGGGACGTCTCCAGCCGTTCAGCGTGGCGGTCCAGAGTCTGCGATTGGCTAGTCCGGATCATCCAGGATTTGCGACGTACATTGACGGGAGCCGAGTGTTGAAAATGGGGGATGGAGGTAGGGGAGTAGGGGAGAGACCCACAGGGCGCAGAGGCGGGCTTCAGAGGCTTTCGAACTGTTCTGTCAGCCTGATTAAGTAAACATGATATTGATAAAATGATGAAAACTTACAGGAATCGGCTACTTAACGTACTTGTATCTTGCGTTGGTTGCATAGTGGGAGCTTATCTACACTTGTCTTACGATGTTCATGACATCCCTATTGACGGCGGGCAGTTGTGCCGAGGCAATTCGAAAAACAGCCGAGATGCCCCCCCCATTTGACGTCCAATACGCATCCAACACTTGAACCCTCCACTTCGTTTCCAACCGTGCACTCACTTTTCTCGTGTGATGATTGCGATTTTTGAAACGACGTGAGACATTTCGAGGGTAAAGCTGGGCAGGCGACGTCAGTAAATTGTCTCTTACGCACCATATCTCTCTATCTGTGCGGGGAGGACATCCCTGCATTCATAAACCCCGTTTATTCGTCAGGAAGTTATAGCAGTGGTCGAGGTCTCGTGAAAAGGCGAATCCTGGCGCTCCACGTCCAACTGATGAGACTCTACAAATCAGCCCCTTGCGCAAAATCTCCGAGTCGACATGGATGACTTCGAACAGTTGGTGAATAGAGCTGTGGAGGACGAGGTGATAATGGGAGCAGTGGTAGTGGCGAAGGACCGGTCAGGTTCGTGGCCTGAACATCGCTCTTTCCTGAGCTTGAAAAGCTGATAAGAAGGCCAGGCCAGGTCGACTACCTCCAAACATTTGGTAATAGGTGTTTGAAACCCGAGGTGAAGCCAATGGAGAAACACACTGTGCTCTTGTTAGCATCCATGACGAAACTCATGACAACTATTGCCATCCTCAAGCTCGTAGAGCAAGGATTAATAAAGCTGGATGACGATGTCACAGGATTGCTCCCCGCACTCGCCAAGCAAGAAATACTCGCCGGGTTCAAGGACGATGACAGTCCTATCACCAAAAAGAGGGCGCGGCCCATTACCTTACGCCAGTTGCTGACGCACAGTTTTGGGGGCGCGTATGATTTCCACCCGGAAATCACAAAATGGAAACAAAACCAAGGGATTCCTCTGGGAAGAGGCAAGACTGTTGCAGACTTGTTCGGGACGCCACTCCTCCATGAGCCGGGAGAGGGGTGGACCTACAGTGGCGGTTTGGACTGGGCAGGTCAAATAATCGAGAAGCTCAGCGGGTCGAATTTGGAAGATTATATGAAGAAGCACATTTGGGACCCGCTTGGACTAAAAGACATGACTTTCTGGCCTGATGTGAATCCAGAGGTCGCCCAACGATTGGCGTCCATGAGCATCCGGGATAAGGCGACGGGAAAGGCCGTCCAGTCACGAAAGCCGATTCGGCTTGCGCCTGGTGTCCAGGACGCCTGCGGCGGCCAGGGAGCATTTGGTCCTGTGACTGATTATATCGAGATCCTACACTCACTTCTAAAGGATGATGAGAGGTTGCTGAAACGAGAAACGACAGCAATGATGTTCCAGCCACAGCTTTCACCAGCGTCTAGAACTGCGCTACTAGCCCATATGAAGCATCCAGACTGGATAGTGGGCCATTTCCCTGATACTGGGGAGTATGACTGGGGTCTTGGAGGAATCTTGATTGACGGAGACAAGCACCCATACCGAAAGCGGGGGACAATGATCTGGAGTGGGAATGCGAACCTCTTCTGGGTGAGTGAAGGCTGTTGATTCCATTAAATCTCATGATACTGATGAACCGAGTAGTTCATCGATCGAGCCTCTGGGTTGTGTGGCGTGTTTGGGTGTCAGCTTTTACCGCCCGCGGATGTGGAGATCGAACAACTAATTAAGGCGTTTGAGGAGGAGGTGCACCGCAGGGCGAGCTCAAAGGCTCGCTTGTGAATCTATAAAGATGAATACGCGAAAGTGGAGAGATGAGTAGACAATTGTAAACGTGGACTGCTTGAAAGTTTTGGTCAAGAAGCTACAACCGTAGGAAGGAAGGCAGGCCAAATATTACGAGGTTTTGCCCGATCAGGTACAAAACCAAAGGTCTTAGCCAAATTTCAGCAGGTACTTATTATATAAAGCGTTTCGATATTTAATATATGTTCTGAGGGATTCGGCCCTCTGTTGATAACTCTGTGGATTTCATGTTGATTGCTGTGTCTGATCTACGCGTTGTTCTGCGTTGGTTGCTGGAAGTACGCTCTTATTTCAATATACGTTCGGTATATTTCGTATAGTCAAGATCGCGCTTAGTCTATATAAGCTCTATCACGTTAACCAGCGAACCTCAAACGAAGCAACACCGATATTAAGCTTAACCTCCGCATTCGGAAAGCTGATAGTGCGAGGGAAAATTAATAGTTACGGAGGATACAAATTCGTAGTAGAGGGTTATACTTGTATGCGGGACTAGGTAGTTTAGCCCGCTATAACTCGGGTCTTCGGACCTACTATCTTCGTAACCCGTAGGCTTCCATCGGTTAGTATAATAAACGAAATTCAAAATATATAAATCAATCGGTTTCTAGCACCAACTTTATGTTAGTGAGCTTAAGCGAGTCCGAAGGAGGGCCGTTCCAAACCAATGAGGCGCGAATCTCATCTTATGCTTTGATCACAGCTGAGCTTCCCGTATGTCAATACTGCTTGGCCTAGAGTATGAGACGTCACCAACCCCTCTGCATCTTTATTTCGGCAATTCTATCTACTTCTATCGTCACTCAGCTCTATCCAACCACAATCTTCCTAGCATTTTCCAGCACTCCTTCAGGTCCCGACACAGACACGAGGGTCGTCGTCTTATCATTTTTACGCTCAGTCGTCAGATGCACTCTACATCCCAGTTTCTTGATCTCTTTGCTCCCCTCATTCTTCAGCTTCTCGGCTTCTTTCACCGTTACGACCACCTGCAATGTCCGCCACCTCCCCAGAGCAATAGACAGAGTTGGTTTTTCCCATCCATAGTGGTCAACCAGAAACCTTTCAATCATAGGCTCGAGGTCAAGACGCAGTTTCAATAACTGAGCCATGTCCTTATTCATATTGCCTTGGTACCACCCGCATGACCCTAGAAAGTGGATTTTGGATATTATTTTGTCTTTTTTGTTGGCGATGGCCGCTAATTTGAGCTGCTCCAGGAGTTTTTGGTGATTCTCAACGAAACACACGATGTGATGGAACCGACTAAAGTCGCTGGCCACAAGACCCCGAGATTTGTGCTGGCGCATTCTGTCGAGGATGATCTGCTTCTCATCGGGATCTTTCGCTTGGAAGTGCTGCTCGTCTCCGCCTATGGCTGCGATGGCTTCGTCACTAACTGTGACGCCGGGTTTACATTTCTTTTCGGACGCATCAACTTGGTTGAATGGCGTCGGGATGGCTATGCCTGCCGAGTCGACATGCTCGAAGAGCCATCGCTTTTGGGTGTTCATGGTCCAATTGCGGATGATTTCAAGGTAGGCCTGCGCCATTATCGACCGAGCTGTTTCGGGTGTCAGCTTAGGGTTCGTGCTTTAACCACAGGTATGGTCACTTACCTCCATTCGAGAAGTCGACAAATAGTATGCAAGTACGTTCTGTTTTCTTGTCGGGGGTCTGCTTGGTACCTATAGTGTTTTGCTTCGACCCGGTATTGGATAGGTTTTCAGTCGCATCGTTTGCTTTCGAATCTGGCGTCTTTAGACCATTATTCTTTGTCTCATTCTTTAGAGGCAATTGAGAGAGCTCGCCCTTGGTTCCGTTCTTCAACTTGGCGGAGTCTTTACCCGTACCGCCTTTCCCTGCTTCAAGCGCATCTTTCTTCGTGTCTTTGGCCTTCTCTTTCACGTTTGGCTTCTGGTTCCCTTTTCCATCTGTCGTCTTACTATTCGGCATTTCGGTTTGCTTCTGGTAACGCCATGATGCCGTACGACCACGTTCTTTCCTGATATTTTTGAGCAGTTCATCCACCTTTGCAGCGGCATCTTTCTGTCTCAGACCGATGCCAACCAGCTGCTTGACCAAAGCATCCCTGCTCTCAGCATCAGGATGGAGAGCTGCTTCAAGCACATCCTTTTTGTTATCCTCGGCCCACTTCGTAATCCTTGATGCCTCAAGCACAATCTTATCATGCGCCTCCTTTGCATTCTTTAGCTCCTTCTCAAGCTTCTTGATTGCATCATCTTTCTTCTTCATTTCCCTCGCGGCCTTGTTTGCCGTATCCTCTTCTTTTTTCTTTTTGTCAGCCGCCATCATTTTCTGGATCTGCTCCAGAACGGCTTTTTGATCTTTTGCGCTCTTTTCGGACTTTGCTTTGGTATCTCGTAGAAGTCTAGCCTGCTTGTCTAAGGTCGTTGTAAGGATAAACGTTGTCACTACATTTGCAATCTGACTTTGCAAGTAATTGAAGTTGGTTACAACGTCCTGAAGTTTGGGCAACCGCTGGGTAACCCAGAAGAGGTAGCTCAATGCTTCCCACCACGGGATTTGTTTACGCTCTCCCAATATCTCCTTCACAACGGAAGTGCCTGCCACAATGTCTTTCAGGCATCCTTGGATCAAGTCTTTTCTACTGAAGTTAGTTGACAGTAGTATGGAGACTAGTTTGGGTCTCCGTACATTTTAGCGTTGGCGGTAGAGAACGATGAGTTTGGATCGGCCATCATTCTCTTGATCTCCCCAATCTGGGTTTGTACTCGTTTGGTAGCCTTCTTGACATCTTTTACCACATCGGGCGCATGGCGTATTTCCCCGCACAATTCGATGGTGGCGACAAGGACAGTCCACACGGTTTCAATACTGACTGACATGGTGCCGGTTGCGTGCGGCACCGAATCTAATGAACCGAAAACAAGAACTATCTGATACGCATACTCGATTACTTTCCTGGGGGCGGGCCTTTATTGACATCGTCGGCTGCCTAGGCCTCACCGAGACACATGACGGCTGAGTGGAGATCAAGTGATGACTAAAATCGCCTTTTTGGGGCGGGATGATGCTAGAGACCGCAGTACATGCAGGAACTACTGCACTAACCGTGCTAACCGGCCTTAGAGGTGTCGGATAATATTAGATTATAGCCACTCTGCAAGCTACATACACAGCCACATCGGAGGAATAATTACCCATACATAAGGTTACACCAGCAGTTAATCGGCTGTGACAAGGATACAGACATATACATTAGTTAATCACTTCAGCCCTTATTAGTTAGATATACGTGTCCTATAATCGTTAAGAGCCTTATTCACTAAATATATCGATTAATAATAGCTACTAGCTGGTTACACGACCTCTAATCACGATAACTTTATCAAAGTCCTCTATTTTTGTTACGAACCGTTGGCCCTGAACCAACATTACAGGCCCGTCGGCAGGCCAGGTGGATACAGACGCTAGGATCACGGGACCCCGCATCGAAGGAAGGAAAAGGACCGATAGGTCACGTGACCTACAGGGGTGGATATGTTGGACAACCAACATATACAAGTGGGGATCAGTGAAGGAGAGATGGGTATATAAGGGACAGGACTCTCAGGCATTTCATAGATAGACAGTCTCTACTTCAGTGATCAATCTAAGCATCAATCTAACCCATTGGTGAGGCAAACTGCCTTGACGACTCTTGTTAGGCAACCTTGGTGGGCTTTGCCAAGACCACCAAGGTTACCACGTGACTTAGCCCTTCGGGACTAAGTCCAACCTTCGTGCTCCATAGGACTAGATAGAATGTCATGCTTTTACAACCTCACAAATCTTTGACCACCTTTGCGTGTAACAACTCTATTCCCAGTTACCCTACTTGAATACTTCAGTTCCCCAGAGCCCTATACTCCATACGTCAGACCCCGATATTATTGCTAAAGGACTCTGCAGCAGGACTTACTTACTAGCACAAACCCTTACAGACTCTTTAGTGGTTTACGCAGCTAGACTATTAGAGGTTTCGTTACAATTTTCTACGACTCGTCCAAGGACTAGGCGAAATCTTCAAGTCTAAGGCCTACGCGAAAGACCTCTAGAGATACGTCGCCCCTGCTAGTTAAGAGGAGCCACTAGGAAAGCACGAACGGCCCCGAATAAGCGATTTCCCGAAGAGAAAACAATCCGATCGACAGACGCGTATTTCCTTATTAATATCGTGTTACGAACCGTTGGTTCTAGCCGCCTAACTAACGTAATAAGCGCGATAATAAGCCTGTACCAAACCCTACTACGAAAAGGAAGAATTATATTCCAGGATTAGGGAATGGAGGTCGCGTGATAAGGATTACTAGTGTGACGGCCGGTGTCACGATGCAACGAAACCCACTAGCTGTGGACCCGTAGGAGCACTGGCCATCTGAAGGCGGGATTGAAGATCCTCAGATGTGAGCCAGCCTGTTTTAGTTTCTCTTTCTTTCCTTGTCGAGAATCGATAAGTCAATACAGTGCATTAGAGTGTTTTGACTCTTCAATTGTGCTCACCGTGACAACTAGAAGCGACGTGATCTAAGTAAACTAGCAGATATTAGTAGAGAAGAGAATGTATATTGTAGCGGGGTAAGGCCGGACGCTGTCACGACCTGGGTTGCATCGCATTGGTAGAGACCTCGATTAGGTGCTATCGACGAAGATTCTACTCTAAGGAGCGAAGGAAAGAAGATGACAACTTAGGTTTGAGGGAGCGCGACTAAGTCATCCACGCTTGGCGGGGCTCCTACAAGGGTTATGATTGGCTTCCCATCTGACACTGCCATGGCAGGTGTTCCAGCTGTAAGTCACCTGGTTGTAGTGAGTCTGCGAGGGTTGACCTTCACAAGGTTTAGAAATGTATAAATAGGCCATCGTGACCCCTCGAACTAGAGAGGGGGCAGCGATTAACTTGTCGTAATAGACCCCCTACACTAGACAGCTTGGGACATTCAGGTAACCAGTATCCGACTTCTCTCTAGTACCCTCGTCCTTTACTCTGTACTTGAATACCCGTGACAATAAGATAAGGGTTATAAATAAGCACTACTAGGCCAGAATAACTGACCTGGCGGTCTTTTCCTAATACAAGAATGCGCACCCTATATGCATTCGCATCATTCCTATAAGCTACAAACATTTACTGTCTTCATAGGCCATAGGCTTGCATAGGACAGTGTAATAAATGAAATCCAAGAAAAAGCTAATGCGCAGCCACATCGGAGGAACAATTACCTATTTATACATAAGGTCACAGCAACAGTTAATCGGCTGTGGCAGAAGAGAACTAATTCTTTAACCACTTGAACTCCCATTAGCCAGATACACTTATAATACAACAATTTGCCTGATTAGAAGGATATAAATTCATAGCTAGGTTAAGAAACGTAGTGGCAGGGTAGTCGCGTAAAGAGGACCGAACCGCGTGCACGCCTGTAAGGTAACGGCAAGCCTAAACCATTACGCCACATAGACCAAAAGATCTAGCAGTTCTGACACTTAGCTCACAATTTGCTGGACACACTTCACATTAACAATTAAACTGTGAGGCAATTGTTGCATTGGGAATGTTATCAACAGATCAATAATTATCCATTATTTTACCATCTCGAAAGCACATTCAGCACCCGGGTGGGCAGTACTCAAGACTATCACAATGTCGAAGCTACCTCGGGATATGCATTCCGCCGGGTCGAATCGACCCAAAGTTGCCGATTCGGGGGCCATAGCTTAACAACTAAAATCCAACGACAACGAAAGCAAAAGCAGCAACCATGGATCCCAGCATAGGGCTGATAGCTGGTGCACCAGCTGTCACGACGGGCGGCTCCGCATTCGTTGTGGTAGGGAGGGCTTTAGTCCCGGTCACAGCTCCAGATCCTGCAGCAACAACTCCGGAGCCGTATGAACCTGACCCGAACCCGGCGGTGGCCGAAACGGTAGGGGTCGGGTAGGGGGCGCTGTTGAAGGTCGTCGGGTGGCTAGCACCTTCACTATGAATAGTGGAGATACCCTCGTCCTGATCTTGTCCACCAGCGCTGCCAGTAACAGCTACAGTTGCTGATGTGGAAGCGTTGCTGATGATCAGAGTTTCAGTAGGCTTGACCGGCTTACTGGCACCTACTCCATCAGCCTTGTCGTCAGTATCATTGTCCGAGCCATCATCTGCGCCATCGTTATAGTCTCCGTCATCAACCTCGTCGTTGGTATCGTCAGCACCGTTGTCCGAACCATCATCTGCGCCACCATTATAATCTCCGTCATCAACCTCGTCGTTGGTACCATCAGTACCGTTGTCCGAGCCATCATCTGCGCCATCGTTATAGTCTCCGTCATCAACCTTATCGTTGGTACCGTCAGTACCGTTGTCCGAGCCATCATCTGTGCCATCGTTATAATCTCCGTTATCAACCTCGTCGTTAATACCATCAGTACCGTTGTCCGAGCCATCATCTGCGCCGTCGTTATATTCTCCGTCATCGCCCTTGATGTCACCAGTATCCTCGTCGCCTCCCTCGGAGCTGCCATTGGAGTCTACATTCGATCCTCCTCCAATGTTCACGCACTTCCCCTTACCGAAGGCATCAAAGCCAAGGTTAAAGCTGCCCCGAATGTCGGCAACAGCCGCGAGGAAACCACTGAAATCAGCATCAGCGCTGATAGGTCCAACCTCAACCTTGGCATTCGCCGAAACTCCCAAAAGTGCATCAATGATCAATCCAGCTGAGCCCTGCACCTTTAGCACCGCATCGGTGATGGGTCCGCAAACACCAATCTGGGCTATGATCTCCTTCTTAGCGATGAGGTCTCCAATGAGGGATCCACATGCGCCCTCGAATGGCGCGATGAACCCCTGCAGTGCAACGAGGTCTACGGCGGTAAGATCGCCGGCTCCCTGGATGCTGCCAGCGGCGTTCTTGAGCGCCAAGTCAAGAGAACCGAACGCATCGACGGAAACTCCGACCTCAGCACTGTCTTTGAGGCCCAGGATGGCGCCATGGCAGGCCGAGATCTGGGCGTTGCAGGAGTCGATGGCATCGGTGATTATGCCGACTCCGGCTGAGACGCCGAGGCCACCTTTGCCGAATGTGCGCTTGTCGTGAGTAGAAGCATTGGCTGTGGCCCCGAAGGCTAGGGAAAGAATGGCAAGGAATTTCATTATGAATTGTTCAATGAGTACTTTGAATGAGTGACTAATACAAGCGAATGTGTGTCTTCTGAAACAGAGAAATAAGTGAGTGGCCGAATTTGACTGTCCTCTCAAATTACTAGGAAGGAGTGACTTGGTTGACATCGATATCTTGGTTGGTCGAACGCCGGCCGGCCATCTTATACAAACTTCTTCGAGTATCAACATAGATATTATCAAACTGATCGGAACACGCTTCTCGTGTCACGAGATGGGTGGGTCCGTTCGAGATTCGTCGCTTTGACGTCAAGCTTTCATAGTCTGATTGCAGGTGTTTCGTTACGCCCAACGGCCAGTTGGACCAGACTAGCGTGGAGTCTGAAGTGCTCAAGCCCAACGGTCAATAACTTGAGGCGGCATCAAGCTTATGGGGCTCATACGGCACTTCTTCTTTTCCGGCGAGTTTCTAGAATATGAATAGAAGATCGTAATTCCTCCTTACCTTACTGGCGTGCTGAGTGGCAATCCCTGGTACGACCCCTTAGCTTCTGGTTCAGCGAACACAGCAGTCGACAGGGCTGCCATTCGGTGGAAGGCCTGTTGTACCCACGTCAGAATTTCGTAAATACGCAGCGTTGGGTTCCTGCACCAATACTTACAAGCCTTGTGACAGTGCCAGTCATTCGAGTTCTTTGACTCCTTCGTGTGCTGACATCGTGACCTCAACACGAGAATTTTTCCCACATCACCAAAGCATCTGACGGAAGCTATTTTCGGGAACCCGTCTTGCCATGTTAATTCTGGAGGTATTGAATAATCCCGATCACCGATCTAGTTCTCTGAAGCCACCTGAGATTGGGGGCGTCAATAAGCTTTACCCGCGATTACTTTTCAGGGTGCGATCCCACCACAACTCGGCCAAGGAACCTGGCTCATTGTAATTAGCTCGATTCCCGCTGTTTCAAGGGGAAAAAATCGGTAATGACCTGTTTAGTTTGCAGACATAGACCGTTGATCTTTATTCTCATGGCTCTTCCCAACACGCAGATAATTTCGAGTGCGCGTGGCGGGCTGGTCTAGTTGGAATATTGGGCGCGGTTCACTGCATGTTGTTGTTTTATTTCCTTTCAGACGTACGGTCTTGATGTTCTTAATGCTCAAGTGAATCTCAATCATGGACTATTGTCTTGACCTCTGGTGCGTTATAATTACTCCATGCATCTTCAAGGTTATTTCACCCGTTTACAGGGAGTTCAAGTATCAGGAGATTATGTCAGCTCCTTGTGCCAAGCTCTGTCAAAACATACGCAAATGGATACCAGCCGAGAGGAGTGACGATTGGGCGCCTTTTTTATCTTGCTATACTTTCGTTGACGGAATTAAATACCAACCTTGAACTCAATGCTCCAGATTTTTCAATTATTCATCAAGGCTCTTAGACTGATCTTATTACATTACTGACATTCAACAGGTGCCAATAGCTTACAGTGCAATGTGCAAATCAGCGAGGAGTAAGATGCCAGCTTTGATGATACATAATCTTACTCAACTGAACTTCTCAAATCTCAGGCTTCATCAAAGGGGCGAAAGTCCAGACATTGCTGAAAACTTTTCCCTTCAATGGAAACCATCTACCGTATAAACACATCAACTTCCGCTTCCGCCAAAATTAATTTCAATCATGAACACCCGAACACGCACAATGGACCGAAATATCTTCACCCACCCCTTCCCTTCAGCCGTAACGTAAGACCTCTCCATCCGCAATCAAACGACCATCAAGCCCCCTCTGGGATCTAAATGGACTTCTGGCCCGCATTGGCACGGAACCCACACCGAATTCCTCCAAGTTATATCCGGATCTGCGGGAATCACCCTCTCGGGAAATCTTCTAGGTGCAGTCGCACCATCAGACGGCATAGTCACCGTACCCCGCGGCTCGATTCACGAATGGCGGCGTAGCCAGACCCAGGGAGTCGAGGAGGATATCTTAATACGAGAATGGACGGATCCAAAGGATGGGCGGAAGGAACCATTCCTTAGGAATTTGAATAGGCTGGTTTTGGATGCGATTCAAGATGGTGGGGCTTGGGAGAGAATGAAGACAGAGTCCAGGGCATAAGGTAAGGTGACAGGTGATGAATAATTAAACGATCCCATCAACAACTATACACAGCAAAATGGGATGAAGGACACCAGGGGTTTCATCATCCACATTTGCCATTGCACCAAGCGTGTTATCTACTTGTTTCTTAGTCGCCTCTCGATAGTCAAAGGTGGTGGGATGGGCAAGTGGATATTAAAGCTCTTTAACGTCAGGCTTAACGCTATAACACCAGCAGATGATATGTTCCATACTATGCCCTCTATCATGTAATGGAACGTTCTATTCCAGGTTACTAAATGCTATATATCGTAAGCATGCATACGATTAAAATCCGCCGAAGTACCGAATAATCAGACCTCGACAAGTAAACGGCTGGTTCCTAGCACGTATTTATACTCCGTCGTTTAAAGTCATATAAAGTGATCTCCTATACTATGTTAGGATTAGGTAGCAAATAAATTTCTAGTAGCTTATTACTAGAACTTATAAACTCCTGATTAGGCTTTAACCTAAAATCTACAAGTTATATATCGCGACGGCTTAAGTAGCTATCTATAAGATATAGCCACATAGACCAAAAAGATCTAGCAGTTCGAGCTTCATGCTCGAACTCGGACGTATCCACGCTTATGCTCCACAATCCTTACATGGCAGTAGGAGTGAGCCAGCTGTGTTAAGACCCTCAAGGACATATATACGCGCATCGTGCTAGAACAAATCTAATGACACACCTTGATGCAGCTAGCAGCCACCGTACGTATACGCCTTGTAAGCGCGACAAAGGGGCAACTCTGGTTTAGTCTTCTTCCTCTCTCAAACTCGGAGGGTAACGCGGAAAAACATCGGTCGACCTTTCAGAGCGGGGTCTATCCACACAAACTCTTATCGCACCGGCATCGGCAATTGGGCTCAGAGGTTCTTCGACATGTCCACAATCCCGGAAGCCCATTTGGCTAGGAGTCTCATACTCCATTCGCATTGCGACTCTACGCAGCGAATCGAAAACTCAAGACAAAGACCAGAATCGAACCCAGAGCACCTGTGAAGTGCTCGAACAATGTGAGATATGGCCGCCCGTAACCAACTACCCCACATAGACCAAAAGATCCATCAGTTCGAGCACTTCATGCTCAGGTTCGAGCTTATCCACGCTTATATGCTCCACAATCCCTGACACTATCCAAGCTTTGAAAACATAAATTACGAGGACTAGATAATAGGACTAGTTTGCTAATAACTTACTGGCTATAGTAACTCTCTCTCTAAGGCCTATCCTCTACCTTCTAGCTGCCTGGTTCTTAGGAGCGAGGTTAGAGATCAATGAACTATTCTGGGCACCCTACCTGAGACCACCAGTGACCGCCCGGTGATAACCAGTGGGGACGCCTGTTACTCCCCTTCACTCTGTACTATCGCCTTGCGGCTTAACTGTTCCTGACATGTTACGCCCTAATATACGAATAATCTTCGCCGACAACGTAACCTGCGGTGTAAGTAGTAGATTTAGATATCTGGAATACCTCTATTATCTAAACGTCTTACGATCTAGCTATAGAGATTGGACGTCCAATATCTCAAAAAAAAAAAAAAGAAAAAAAACATAGGACCGTGAAGAATGTCAGCTGTAGATCTTCCCAGCCTCACGAAGCCCAATGCCTAGCAATACCCCCTAATACCCTTATATCCTCACACTGGAGACCTTCTACTTCAGAAGCTGGAGAAAGGGCCGACCTAGGATAAAGTGGCACCAATCACAAGGCGCCTCCGCGACCAACGGCGACGACCAAGCAAATGATGTCATTGGCTACCAGTGTCCCCGGCTCGGTGATAGATAGAAATAGGAAGCCTTGGGAGTGCATGAACACGCCGAGGACCACAATGATTGCAAACTGTAGAAACGTTGTTGACATTGCAAAACCAGACCCGCTTGGTTCCAACGTTAGATAATCGCCATTGTGGCTTATGGCGAAGAATAGGCCACAAAGGTCAGTACACCTGGCCAGTATTGTGACAACTGAAAGACAAACCTGTATCTATCCTGGCTTCTGGACTCGTTGCTTGCGTCGTTGCTTTCTATCGACGAACCACATTCGTGAAGCCACCAGTGTGCTGTCGACTTGTCCTCCCGACTGAGGCATCTCTCGAGCACTTCAAGCCCCTGTCCATATTCTTGACGAATTTTTTCAACATCGGCTTCCAGAGAAAGGAGACTCCGCGCGTCCAGTGGTCGATCTCCATCGCCATGGACGGGCCGAGACCACTACCGATCCACGCTCGACGTAGTTGCCTGCGCTCTTCCTCCGTCCATTGGTGTTGGCTCAAAATCCCGCAGCAGAACGACAAGTGAAGTTTCGAGGCCCACTCCATCAGGACTGGCGGGTGACGAAAACCGTCGTCAGAAATAGAATATTCCACTGAGATCTTTCTGCTCGGCGGAAAGCAACAATGATCTGGACCAAATGCAGCCCAGTTCTTCGCTAGCGGCGCCGGGCCCTCATAGTACCCTCCGAAATGAACACGCTCGCCGTTTTCGGAGAATCCACTGAAAGGGAGGAGTTCCATCGTTGATTTTCCACGCGCCCAGCAGCCGAGGAGGGAGAGGCTAGTTTCGATCATCGGCAGACCTTCACTCTGGAAGGCGTACTCTGTCGCCGCTTTGAAGGCGCGGGAGACTTGGCGGCAGTTCTTCCATGCTTCTGGAAAGTCGGTGCTGTTCACGAGACTGCCGATGACAGTGGCCCAGATTTCCAAGGGTACAAATGGGGTTGCATTCCTTTCCGAGCAATGGTCGATGTCTGCAGTTTGGCTAACCATGGTGTAGTAGCATTCGTCTCAACTGGAAAGAAACAGAAGAAATTTCAAACAGGTTGATGATCGAGAGGACAAGTCTGCGAGTAGGTCGGGCTTCAAGAATAGCCATTGGGGTACAAACCGCATGTTCTTTGTCTTTCGCCACCAAGGTACCAACCCAACATCACCGTAGGCCGGAAGTTACGAGTGCCGCCAACGTATGTCAGGAGGTTGTTTAGTACTGAATAGGGCCCAGATGATCGATTAGTTTATGTTGTTTGCATCGTAATCTGCCAGGATATTGCAAGGCGCCTACGAGGGGTGGTGAGCACTTGCTTCAGCCTGGATTTTCTGGTTTTGTTTCCAACAATTTATGACCATGTCATAGGGCCAGGTCATCAGGTCGTGTTCCCGCTCGTCCAGGTCCTGCCTCAAGGTAGAGTGGATTTGGTGCTCGTCATGAGCCTCGAATATTGGAGGACGACGAGATTTTGCGAGGACCATCCCTGCCACCTAGCCGGTTCTGGAGAATTCTCTTCATAGTAGTGAATCAGGAAGCTGTTGGCGAGACATTTTGCTAGGATTGTACATCTTCCACCTGCTCTCAGGGAGAACTTTATATAAATACCTTGGTGTGGTTAGAGCGGACAGGTATGGTGTAGCAAAGCACAGACTTGCGTCGAGACAAAATTGGTTGTCAAACAGTCAGCGAGCGACAGGAAAGAGTTCGTCTCATGACAAGTGGGGCTGCGGGGCCGGTTCACTTCACCAAAATTACTGTTTCCCAGCCAACACTAAACCTAGCCGGCACTAGCGCCGTCGCTCCTATTCCAAATGTTTGCGCAAACCAACTTGGAGCTTCTTGATCTTCAAGCTTGACGCTTAACTTGATAAACGTTTACCTCAATTTGAGGATCATGCGAAATTGCTATTGCCATTGCACTTAGAACGCTGAAAATACCAAACCCCCTCTTTCTCAGCCGCTATGGCTTCACCACTGTCACCCTCGCCCAACGGGACGCTCAATCTCGCGACGCCGCAAATAACCCGCCACCTCGACGCCGACGCGGCTCATTCCAACGATGCACCTCCAGACGAAGATGCCGACACAAGCTCTCCATTTATCTCCTCCATTCAGGATTCCAAGGTCGACAGTCCTGTAAAAGAGAACGTCTCGCTCAACAAACGGCACTCTAGAATAATGTCGGGAAACGAGATAGCTCCTCTGAAGATCCTCAGTGTCAGGGACGAAAATGTCGAGACCGAGTCACGATCGCGGTCGCCAGCAAGGCAATCGCCAATCCCTGCAAGCCCAAGAAAGGCGCCCTCGGTCGTGAAGCGCTTTCCAGTTAAGATCATGAGCACAATGCCCGAGAAGTCTCCCGAGAAGTCTCCCGAGAGGTCTCTCGAGAAATCTGCCGAGAAGCCTCCAGAGACGAACATTGTGAAGGGTCTCGAGTTCACGCTTGAAGACGCAATGCAAAAGAACGGAGGTCTTAAACATGCAATGGGAATATTCGAGGATGACGACGAGCCCACGATTGACGCGGAAGACGACGCTGATGACACATCGTCAACAGTGGGACATCATCAGCATGTAGACCCTGCCGACGAAACCGCTGCGCCAGACGAGTCAATGGTCAGCACCTTTAGCACATTTTCTGCCGTGCCAAACATGACCATGTTCGCGCGAATTGGTCACAGTCCCACGAGATACGCCAATATGGGCATGACTCCCACTTCTCGAGGGGGTCGGCCTGACCCGTCACCTAATCGGACCCCTCGACCTCCTACTATGAACGATGCTAGCAATACAACCAGTCTCATGGAATTCACCGAGCAGTTCTCAAACTTTCCGTCTCGAAATGGCCCACCGTCAGCCTCGCGGCGACCGCATATGCCCCTCACCCCAACAACCGGTGACATGCCGTCCTCTACACCACAACGACAGCAATCTAACCTCCTGGACTTCGACATACCGCCTCTGCCCACACCACGCAGCATACCAACTGTTACCCCTCGTGAACTCGAATCTCTCAAATCTTCCTTCCTCTCGGAAATCAGCAGCCTCAAAGCCTCCCTTTTGGGGAAGGAAGCTGAGGTCGGATCTCTCAAGACAGCCATTGGTGATGCTGAGAAACGCGTCGGACAGTGTATGGAGCAGCTGCGCGAAACTCAAGGACTTCAAGAGGCCCTCACTGAAGAGAAGGAAACATGGGAGAAGCGCGGCCGCGAGATGGAGGCCGTGTTGCGCCAGGTGAAAACTGAGATCGTTCACAACCAACGCGAAAAGGAGGAACTCGAGTACAAGCTTGACGAGAGCGAGAAGCGTCGCGAAGCCGCCGAGATGATGGCGCAAGATGCGGAATCGAAGATGGCGGGCATGCGCGCTGGTAAGGCCACAGCAGACATGGGCTCCCCCGGTAGCAACAAATCGCCTGATAAGGGCGGTAAGAACCCGGGCTCGCGCGAAGTTGAAATTGCCGTCGAGCGTGTGGCACGAGAGTTGCACGCCTTGTACAAAAGCAAGCATGAGACCAAGGTTATAGCGCTCAAGAAGAGCTACGAAAATCGCTGGGAGAAGAGAGTTCATGAACTGGAGAACAAGATTGAAGATCTTTTGGACGAAAACGAGAAGCTGAGACTCGGCCGCGACGCTACCATGACCAAGGTCGACCCCACCCAGGCTGCGGCCAACGAAGCGCGCAAGGAGCAGGCTGTGAAGGACTCGGCACAGATCAAGGAGTTGGGTGCCGAGATTGAAAAGCTCGAGGCGAGCATCAACAGCGTCAAGCAGGACAATCAAGAATTGATCCAGCTGCTGGAGAAGGAACGCGTCGAAAAGGGCGAGTTGGTCCAATTGGCCGAGGAGATGATGTCGATGCAGCACAGCTTCGTCCAACCACAGCCTGAGGAGCCGCCAAAACCGGTAAAACCGGCTCGACCGGTATCGATGTACGCGAAACCGCAAGAAAATGGTACCACGCAGACATTCCGGACTAGCATCGGTCGCCCAGGAGGTCCATCGGGCATTCGAACACCGGGCCGAGCACCAGGCTCGTTGCCCAAACCGCAAATGGGGAGCAGAATCGGCGGTCCTTCCCTAAAGAGTGGTGGTCCTCATGGGGGTCTGCCTCGGCCGGGCAGTGGAACGGGATCACGAAGTGGCATCATGAGCTCGATCGAGAGAATGGGCACTTACAAAGGGCGGGGTGATTAAGTTGGAGATGGGAACGATGCTTAATAAAACGAGTTATGACTTGGAGAGGATGAGGTTTGGAGTTGTGTATTTGAGCGCAGACACACACGCTGGTGGTGGTGGGTGTCTTGTACATAGTACCAGCCGATTCATGTTGAACGTCGTAATGTCGGAGTCTGGGTTTATGAGGACGAGGACTAGGAGTCTTTCTGAATTGACACGATACCTTCCTTACTTAAATACTTACTTACACCTTGATAGACTCTCAAAAATCCATTAGAACCATTGGTCTTGATCGGTGACGAAATGCTCAACATGAGATGTACGAACTCAATTCGGCTCTTCTACCGCAATTCTGGGTATCATACTTTTAAAACCAGGGGAACTCTTTGGCAATTAATTCTCTCAAGTGGCAAATGCATTGCCGTGCTGTGAGCACCACTTACCGTCCGACAAGATCCCCAATCCAGGATTCTGGATATGATCGAGCAGACTTGGCGCGCGTCATCGCACATTCCTGAACTTGGAGTGATTGCCCTCAGCGAATCAGTGACCTTACCTAGGTAGTGATTCGGTCCGAGAACTCGGGCGACCTCAGAAGGATTACAAGGATTCATTGCCGTGTCGTACATTTCAAACAAATTCTGGCATGCCTTACCATGGTATTTCAGCCAGCTTGAATTGCCCGATTTGGGATACAGTTCCTAGTTGTATCCTTAAAGCCGACTCATTCAACCCTCACCAAGTGAACTCAACCCAGTTTCTAGCGAGGTATCATCATGATATCACAGCCCGCCCTCCTCCTCAAAGCAGCCGCAGTAGCCACCGCAGTTCTAGCCCTAGGAGTCACTGACTTCGTCTGGGAGACGACCACACCCAGTCGCAAACTCGAGTACCACCCTTGCTACGATGAGCACCTCTGCACTCGTCCTGCCAGTCTAGAGGCGCTGAGGAGGGGGTTGCGGCTGGGAATGACTCGATTCTGCCTTTCTTGACTACGCCGTCGGTTGTGAGAGATATGATGGAGATCCTAGATAAAATTCATGAGCTTCGAGGTCAGACGGCTTTGCGCCGCGTCGGCAGTGATGGTTTCGAGGCTCAGAAGCCGGTAAACCACGGTGGCAGTGATGATGAGATTCCTAGGATACAGTACTGGGGACTCTCGTACGGGAGCATTCTAGGATTCGGTCGGGCATTGCGCGTTGTCAGTGCCGAGCAGTTGTATGGAGGGTATTTTGCAGGAGTATTTGGAGTTTGGTATGGAGTCCTTGAGGATGTTTTCTGTTGAGGACTACTCCTGGCCTCTGAGGTTTATATAAATTTGAAAGTTGTTGACAGTGGCGACTGTGGCCTTCCGGCCCCATGGAAAAAGGGTCTGCCTTTGAGTCCTTGAGGAAATGCCGGGGTCAATTCCTGGAATGGTGGGTTCCTTCTGGCCAGTGGCTTCATTGAAGTTTACCCAATGCTGACAAAGAACCGTCAAGGAAGCCCACGCCCTTTTCCACGGTAGACCATATCAGAATTCACGATGTATTATCCAGGGTACGAATGATACTAGCTGGTACTTTGCTTTCTGTGGATAGATTTTCACCAGGGTAACCAGAATGAGGGGCTCCTCTTAGTATCTGATATACGGAGAACGAACCAAAGCGGCGATGTTGGCCAGACTCTCCATTGCCAGGATAACGATCAGAGAGTATTTGACGCGAGGCGGTAACTGCACCTTTCGTACGATGAAATAAGGGACGATAGCACAAGCCGCATCTATCACAACAGCCACGACAGCATAAGCATAACTGAGCGGAGTCATGATGCCAAAGTCGCCGCACGTCTTCAAGGAGCTCTGAAAAAGGCGTGGAAGACATCCTCTTTAGTCTCCACTAGTTCTCATTTTCTTCGTTTATTTAACTTTAGGTGTTCATTTTTTTTCTTCATCAATACTTCATATATCTTCTTAGGTCCCTATTAGTCCTACGCATTTTTAGACATTAGAGTTGAGTGATTATATGATTTGACACCTTACGAATGTGTTTATCTGCCCCCGCTCTCTCGAGCTAAGGTTATCCAAAAATAAGTCGTACGCAACTTCCGATGTCTGAGCATCAAGAAGCCTTTCGCTATTGAGATTCCGAGTTTTGTGTTGCGTTCGGCAGATTTGTAGAGGCGTGTGCAGAAAATTACCAAATGCGTCCCGGATCTAGATAAGCTGGGATATGAGCATTTCCCTGATGCAGAGATGGCGATATTCAAGATAGTTATACGGTGTCAAGGTGAGTATGCTTGCTGAGATAGAGCACCCAATAAGAACCCGGAGATCATGTATTCAGAGCAGGTCAGGAACTCCGTTGAGCTTTTAAGCTGGAAATTATATGATTGGTTACTAGCAGTCACTGATACCTGAGCATGCATGACGATCGGCCTGCACTGGGGGACCAAAAGGAACCAACTTTATGAAACCTTGCCATCTAATCGAACAAGATGCATCCGTCGCCCAGCCTTTTGCTCTCTCGATTTGCTATGCGACATGAGAGGTAAAATAATTTCCCATACCGATAATGTGTGTTCCAATAATTGGTACGATCTCATGGATTTTATACCCAGCTATCCATCCGTAAGTAAAAATTCCGAAAGGAAGTAACAGGATAACGATTCGCTGCAAGGGAAGTCGGTATTCTGGCTTCATTCCGTCCCTAGCAACACCTGTGGTGTCCGTTACAGCGTCGGCTAAGCCGCTTTCCGCCGTATATATTCGTCAGAAGTCGCTCTAGATATAGGTACAACTCCTAGCGAACGAATGCTAAGTCCGAGAAAAGCTAAGCTAATCCAGGCTTATACTAAAGCTGTAAATACCTTTAAAACACCTATTATAGATGCGAATATAAGATAAAGACACGCACATATCACTATCATAAATAGGCTTAAGCGAAAATGTCAACACCTTCAGCAGGCGAACGATATCCCTTTAGAACTGGTCGGTAGGCGTCAGTTCGACATCCAATTCGCTTCGGAGGGTTTAGCTGCCCATCTCTTTACGAAGTCTGACTACCTTCTTCGCGAGGATGAGCAGGATGTAGGTCTCCCACCGGTTGAATTGACGATGTAAATGAAGTGGGACGCTGTCGCCAGAACCTAAAAGTTACAGCTCCAGCCTTTTGCAGCACCAATCACCAAGCAAGCCACCGGCCATAGGACTTATAATAGGACCTAGTACGAGACAGACGGCGAAGCCAGCCATTGCAGCGCCGCACTTTTCTTAAGGAACTATATCGGCTACTTATTCACCACCTATCGAACTCCATGTCAGTATTGTGACTAGGCAATTAGGAATTATCCTTACTACTAGTGACAATGCAGGACCCGAACACACCACTGAAGAGTCTAAATGCAGCCTACGGCCGTTGACTAGTACTAGGTAGAGTCCATGAAACCTACTAATGCCTAGAGATCATAATCCAAGGGCACATGGTCGATTACTAAGAGCAGGCCTCGGTATAATACAACAGAGTGGAAGGCCGACCCTTATAACACCCTTGCCATGGCCTAAATATTATTAGATTATGCAATAACAGAACTGTATGCATAACACCTGATAATATAATATTGAACTGATTGTTGATGAATGTGTTTGCTAAATGAAAGACATGTAACGTATTTGTCTTTGTACTTATGATGGTCTAGTAACACAAAAACATATTCGTTTAACTGATTAGTGTAATAATCATTATAGCAAGGAAACATTAGAAATATCCTTACTTTGGTACAGTATTTGTCATATGAATCAAATGCTCAGGGTCATTCAACGTGTATAAGAAACATCTCCAACACATGCCAAGATGTCAGAATGGGTCAATGAGTGCCACCCCGCATCCAATTGCACATCCTCTTTTCTATTTTCTAGATTCGGCAGGTTGTGACGATGAATGAGATCGATCACGGCTGACACCTTTGGTGTTTCACACATGAATGATTGTTGATGACATCAAGAGTGTGCGTCTGATCGACGACAGCTTGAGAGCTTGCAACACCAGATAGAGCTCGTATGGATGTCTTTTCCACATTTCAACGCTTTTGACCAGATGCGCAATTATTTGTCGTAATCAACAACAATCAGAGCAACCACAATGTTGTCGACATTGACCTTTGCGACTCTCGCAGCGCTGGCGCTTGCCATCCCACCGCCTGAATTTGGGTTCGTGGATAGTGGCAACCACACTGAGTTCAGTGTAGCCTACACATATAAGGGCAACACCACCGTCGTCCAAGAAGGACAGCTATTTGGAGCCAACAGTGAGTCCCTCTTTATTGTCCCATATGCTTCTCTCCCGGTCTTACACTGACAACACCTCAGTCACAAGCACCAAACCCGCCCTTGCCCTGGACCCAGCAAAATATCAATCCGTCGCCGACTACACCGGCCAATACCTCATCCTGATGGTCGACCCTGACGCCCCCACACCCTCCAACCCAACCCGCCGCTTCATCCTGCACTGGCTCGCCTCAAACATGACTCAAAACACCAGCGCCGCCACCCCCCAAACCGGCCGGGCCTTAACCAATTCGACCCCAGCCCAAGTCCCCTACCGTGGCCCGGCTCCCACCACCCACCTCCAGCGCCCACCGCTACATCCTCTACGCCTTCGCCCAACCCGACAACTTTGCCATTCCGAATGCGTACACCGGATTTAGCAACGAGAACCGGTCGAATTTCAATCTTGATGGATTCATCAAAGATTCGGGGCTGGATCGGCCGGCGGCGGGAGAGTATTTTTATGTATCAAGGCAGGAGGGTGTAGAGGGTGGTTTTATTGCGCTTCCGGGCGGGGAGTACCCTGGGGGAAATGGGGACGCGGTATTTGAGGGGGCGACGGGGACGGGGACGGGTGGTAGTGGAAGTGGGAGTGCGACGGGTACGGGCGTGGGAAATGCGGCGAGTACTGCGAGTGAGACTGCGTGGGCGGCGCGGGTTGTGGATAAGGGTGTAGCGGGGGGATTTGCGGGCGTGGTTTTACTTGCGTTGGCTGCGTTAGTATAGATTTGATGAAATATGACATGGAGTGGTTGGCTCGAATAGATATAAATCATGCTGTGTTCCAATAATAAGCCGCCTGCAAACCACCCCTATCTACATTTTCCGACTTTGAGATCAAAGTCCATCTTACAATAACTGTTACTGAGTACCAGGTATAAGTACCCCAGGGCGTCCCTTGTCATGGCTTGCTCGCCTATCAACAAATTGAGGAGGTGGTCGTTCCTACCGAAAGCAGTTTGTCTCACTTCTATAGCCTGTTCCGAGCACCTGTTGCTCCTCTCCTCATCACGACGGTCCTTGGTCAGTTTCATAAAGATAAAGCTCCCTCGCACCGTTAGACATCTGGTAGTGAGTATAGAAAATAGGCAGAATAGATACAGTATAATACAAGACGCGGCAACATGCCGATCCTGGAGTTTATTTGTATAAGGAAGCAGGCTGGTTTTAGGCTAATTCATTCTTTGGGCCTTTGTTGGTAGGTTGAGAACCAACGTAGTATGGTAGTGGACGTAACGCAGTCGCCAATAGGGCGAACCGACGACGCAGCGTATGTATTTAGTCCAGCCATTAGGGCACGGTTTGACATACGGGAGTACTAGTAGAGGTACCGGGGGCTTCGAGCCTACGGCGTATTTAATAATAATAATAATAATCATTCTTTGGTTTGGTCACTTAGATTTGGACAGATGGTCTTCGTGGTTACGGATAGAAAGGGAGAAGCTACGGCTTGCAGTGAGGTGACCAGTCCACAAACAACACGGACGGATATACCCTTAGTGGCGGTGGAAAGTCTCGTACATATGTAAGCAAATATCGCTGTTCATCATCCAATAGCCACCTCATTCCTCTCAAATCGTGCCGAAGTCTTTTCTGATTATCGAGTTTTGGTGTTTCTCCCAACTGCACCATGCGCATAGGAGCTAATCTTATCAATGCTGTTGCTACACGTGTGCTGCTATTTGACTTGCTATTGAAAATATTTTTACAAAGATTGTACCCTTTGTGACTTGCTTATTCGTCTAGAGAAACTTAAACCGCAACATGACGAAAGCTCCGCTATTGCTTGAATAGGGTCGCTGTGCATTTAAAACGAAGCAGCCTATCAAGCTTGTCCAGAGGCAAAGCCCATGTTCCTCTTAAACTCTAGTTAAGTTGAACAGCCGATCCAGGTGCCAAAGCCTTCCACCTCGACTTCATTCAAGTCGCAAACAAAGCAAATAGCCCCCAGAACTTGCACACGCGAATATCGGAGCGCAGTACTGCGCAGCACAAAGACGTGTCCAAGGAATGGATAAACGGAGCCATTTTGCTCATCGCCGGGACCAACTAGGAGAATAAAAGGAGTAAGATGCTGTACGAACTGTATAGCCTCACACGTAAGCCATTCCTCAACGCGGCGATTGGTTTGATGTGGAGCCATGCTGCTGAAGAACACGAGCATGTGCGCGAGTGTATGGCTTATCTGACCAAGGGTCGGAGAGAGTCGGCCAGAAGAATCACAGTCTGATGGGGCACGTCACAGGTCCGACGATGAAGTCAATGGCGCGAAGGACAAGCGGCCAACTCAGCTTGAGAAGTTCTACTAGGGTGAACCAGTCAACTTTGACATTTCCGCCTTCAGCACAGACGAGGAAGCCTGGGAAATCGAGAATCGCCACCCGACGCGACCCAATCTGAAGTCGAGCTTAAGCCTGGCCCACAGCCACGCCTGAAGCGTCGTCGGCGTGAGAATGCACCTTCGTTGTCGTCGTCACCCCTGAAGTAGCGACACGATGATCCGGGTCGAGACTTGCAAGCAGTAGCTGGAAAGTTATGAGGGGATTTGATCATCACATTTGATGGTGATCATACACCTGACGAGGCAAAAGGCGAAGGGGTTAGCGATGCCGAACGTTAATGTTCAGACTCGCACACTTCCTAGGTACAACGCCAAATCGCCAAGTCACTCTCTCGTCGCTGAACTTAGGAACAGCCATAGCAGCTGTCGCAGTCTTTCATTATTGGACGAACTTTGGGGATCGAGCTTGGGATTTTCGCTCTCGGTCATCTATGTAGTTGTAAGCAAGGCACCGGCACTTGGGTGTGTAGCCGACCACAGCCTTTGTTCTCCCGAGGACATGGTCAATGTCGAAGTTATCCGAGCTGATTCCAGAGATTAGTCTCAGGGGGTCGCTACAGAGATTATCGCGACTTGCTTGGACGGCAAGAGACGAATAGCATGGAGGTCTGTAAAGCAAATAGGAGATCGAGAGTGAGACCCTGGATATTGGCGTGCCAATGAGACGCTGGCCACTTCAATGAATGCCACTGTCTTCCTTCTTGGCCAAACTGACTGGACGCATCCGGATTGCAGGAGAAGCTCACGTCATCACAGGTCGACTCGAACGACTCGAGGAACTTATGGACGGGTCATTTACGGAGTGCAGAACGGTCACGTGGAACGGCAAGCAGAGGTTCGGGAAAAGCTGGGCGATTGTCTATTTTGGGCGCCGTACCTGTAGACCTGGGACTCCTTCCGGATGAGCTGGCGGTTTGTTTACAGCTGATCTAGGGGAGATTGGACGGGATCCTGAGTTCCTCACTGTGAGTGTTTGTTGTGAATGTTTGCTGCAGGTGTAGTTAGTTCAGCATGACCTTGAAATCCCGGCCTTGGCAAATGGCAACTTTCCAATGGGCAACACATAAGTTCCAGGATCATGCTTACTCAACAGCACTGCTATATATGGCACGTCATGCGTAATTATCAATATTGACGTGTAAAAGACCAAGTGTATGATGCTGACTCCAGGGGCCATGGGAGTGATGCCTGCCCCTGCAGCAAGGTGGACATCAACTCTTTGTGCGATTGTGACGGTACGATACGGGTAATTATATACTCGTTGAAACTAAACGCTTTCATGGCCGATGCTCGATCAATTGTTGTTGACAGCCCGAACTCAATGTTTTCCAGCATTGCGATGTGCTGTCATGAGTCGTTGACGAGGGCCAGATTCGAGGGCCGACAGACATCCCCGCCAAAAATAGTTAGAATTTGTTTACATGGCAACGCCGCTACGTGGAGATCAACATCAAAGCTCGAGTTAGACACAAGCATCCATCCCACTTTGATCGAACCCGTCAACCCCGACGGCTCGAACCAGACCTTGTGCCTTCCCCCAGCCCAGCAAGCCCAGGGTTTAATTGCATTGCGACCTCTCTCGCGTGCGTGTCTGACGAATTTTTATCCAGAATCGTCCGGTTGCTGCCGCCGCGAGCATCGCAAACAGTTCGACATTTTTATTATTTACTTACTTTGGAAATTTGAGCCGCGTTTCCTTTTGCGCTACCGATGCGAACCCAAGGCCGGCACGTCAAGCAACCCAAGTTTTACGTCGCCGCAGGTTAGCAGCCGTCGAGGCAATGATTGAATCGGACAACCTACGCACAGCGTCGCTGTACATCAACAACCAGCTGCTGTCGCGGGGCCTTCTGCGCGATGGGCAGAATATCGACTTCGCAGCCCCGGAGACGGATCCCGCGGGGTTGCAGGTGACCATGGGGCGTGTCATGAGTGTGGTCAACGACTTGATTCTGCGGCGTGATGTACGCTTACTGTTTTCCTTTCACTTCCGGATCACGTCATGTCCCAAACCCGTTCTAACCATCGATACAACAGCGCGATGCCGCCCAGCGCGAGTCCTTGAGCAGAAGCCTGCTCAGCCTGCGCGCCGACGCCCAGCGGCAAGCCACCGAAGCTACCCGCCGAAACGACAAGCTAGCCGAGACGCAGCGCAAGCTGGATGGCGCCGAGGCGACAGAACGAGCCCTGCGAACACAACTAAAGACCACCGAAACCACGGTCCACAAGCTCAAGGACGAGATGGCCAAGATGCGGGTGCTAGTCGCGCAGAGCCGCGCCGCATGTGCCACCGAGGTGCGCAAGCGGGATCGCCAGATCGACGGCTTGAAGAAGGCCGTGTCGGATGCCGGTAGAGTCCGGGGAGGCGGCAAGAACAGCAACGTGGTGGCGATCAGCGTCACGGGAGACAGTGGGACCGAGGGGAGCGGAGACGGCGTTGCCAGAGGCGGTACTGAGGAGGACGGTTACAGTCTGCGCTTGGAGACGAACGAGTTCCTCACCGAGCTGGCGCGAGGGTTAAGCGAGGAGAATTCGGTGCTCCTCGACTTGATGCGCCGCACCGTCGATTCATTGCGTGAGATGAGTGGGCTGGAAGCAGCGTTGGACGAAAGCGCGAGGACGAGTAAGGGTGGAGACGCTATTCTGCCGCCGCCGCAGAGGGGCGCCGAGGAACTGGCTATCGAGATGGAGGGCATCATGGAGCATCTTAGGACGATACTCACGAACCCCTCCTTCGTGCCCATCGAGGAAGTCGAAGTCCGCGAGGTTGAAATTCAACGGCTGCGAGTGGGCTGGGAACGCATGGAGGCCCGGTGGAAGGATGCTGTTCACATGATTGATGGTTGGCGCAAACGTATGGCATCGGGTGGCACCTCGGTCAATATGGAGGAATTATCAATGGGATTGCGTCTAAGTCCTGTGCGCATCAGAAATGTCGTCGAAACGATCGAGAACGAGGAATTCGCCGATGAGGAGACCCGTGACGTGCGCCGAGAGCTGTCATGCGTACCTGAGGAAGCAGAGGATGAGATTTCTCAAATGCTGCCAAGTCACACCTCGCCAGACCCCGCCGAGTCGCTGCATCTTGTACCGGCTCCTGGCTATAAGCCTGAGGAAGTAGGAGAGGAGGAGGAGGAGGAGGAGGAAGGCGGTGATTCGGATTCCAGCATCTTCCAAGACGACTTAGATGTTGAGGACCTCGACGCCGAGGAGCCCAACATTCTGATTCTCCAGGAGTCCACTGCAACCTCAGTGGGCTCACCTCCTCTTCCCATTCCCCCTCAGCTAAGTCCACTCAAGGACTCGTATTCGTCCGCCAATAGGGGATCAGCCAACAGCAACAACGGTTCATATCGCAAAAGACAAGGCGACTTCACCATTGTGGAGGAAAACATTTGGGATCTGGCTGCCGCGGCCGAGGAACCTCCTCTGCCACCTCCTCACGTCACCAAACCTCAGCAGTCACCGCAGAAGTCGGTCAAATCAGTTCCAGACCTCCAAGAGCCGTCAAGGCCCCCAACAGCATCACATGATAGCCCTCTCTTCGGGAGCTCGCTCGAGTCACCCGCTCGCTCCAATCCTTCTCGCAAGCTCTTCTCGAAGCCATCGTTACCCGAACCAGAACCTGTGGTGCAAAGCCAACCCAGGTCACACCCGATATCTGAACCTGCGCGGCCAATAACCAGGAAGAAGCCCGCCGCAAAGAACCCAACCTCCGACGCGTCCGCGTCGTTAGTCAAGCAGACAGCTAAACGTACAACGTCGGCCCCAGATCCGAAACAAACACCCTCTTCGAAACCAATCACACGATCCAAGTCCACCACGACAGACACTCGAACCCGATCCCCCGTAAAGGCCCCCGGGTCATCATCACGTCTTCCCCGCCCCAACAACCCCGGGCCCCAACAGAGCCCTCTCACGATGGCAACCATAGCCGCCAAGCTGGCCGCCTCGGAGCGCGAAGCAGACGCCGCCCGCGTACGCGCCAAGCTCAAGGCTGCTCGTGCGGGGCGGCGGCAAAGCATCATGCCCGCACAGGTGCCACTTCCCGATGACTCGGCAGCAGCAACAGCGGAGAATGTGGCGGATCCCGTCAAGAAGGACGCGGCGGCCCTAGATCAGGAGCGGGCAGTGCGGAAGTCGCAGAACGAAGACCTGAAGAAAGACATGATCATTGTTGAGGAACTGGAGAAGGAGCCCGAAGCTGAGATTGTTGCGAACCTCAAACCTGAGAAGCGCAAGCGGGAGAGGAGGACAAGCAAGGTTGTTTCGAGGAGGCGGTCCACTTTGAGTCCATGGGAACTGGAGAGTTTGATCCAGGGCAATCTCGAGGTGGAGAGTCCTGCGAGGTGAAAGTGGTGCTGGGACGTATTCGGATGAAAGTTATGTGATGAGTAGTCATGAATTGTGCAGACCTGGGCTGGCTTGCTGACAGACTGTCTGGATGGGAGGCGGGCGTGCTTGGGGAACTGAATAATGATTGGCTGTAATGAGGAGTTCATGGTTGGGGGGAACTTGATTGGATTATTAAGTATCTTTGATTATACAGGCAGCATATCATGAATCTGAATTGTGGCAATTGCTTCATCTGCATAGAAGACAGTCGACTGGTACACACATGTTGGGTGGCCGCGAATAGGGGGGTTTTCGGTGTGCAGACAGAGTCTCATGCCTCGGATGTCTTGCTTGGTAATTCCGTCAACGTGAAGCCATCGCAATCACCCAGCTAAGAAAGCCTTCTTCGACTGCTAAGATCTGTCAAGTCCAGGATTCCAAGCTTGTCATCCAACAACCCCTCTCTGGTGGACGAGATTGCATTGTCTCATATTCATCGGTATATACGCAGTAAAGAATAATACGCGTGATGACCTACGGCTTGTATGTTCCGAAAGTCGCCCAAATTCACGGCGTTTACACCGCCCAGGAAGAAAAACACGTTTGGTCAATGATCATCTATTCATAAGCCATCCTGCAATGTGTGTTGCCAAACCGGGAAGCCAGGCCACAATTGCCAACAGCATCTAGCTAGGGAAATCAACTATGAATGTTAGCTGGTCCGGGAAGGTGGATTGGACCAGATCAGCTGTTGTTTATCTTTTTCGTGTACGCCCCTCCTGTACAGTCTTCTACAATAAGTTGGTTTGCTGTGAACCAAGCTGCGTAAGCACAGTTCGCCTCTGGGCCCAAACGGAAGATGCACATCCTGCCTTTCTTCCCATACGCCACCAGAAAGTCTTCAGATAGTCCAATCGTGCAATCTGGATCGTTTTGGCTCTAGATTGCATAAGCGTTCTGGATGGTTCGAAGGCGTATCCAACACGCCGTCAATGATCATGACCTCGGCCTCAGCCTCATCTGGGCCGGATCCAGGCGATACCGCACTTCGGCTGCTGGCCGTGCGTACCTTGATTCCAGCACCCTCGAGTGCATTCTGGGCCTCGCGGTACGCCCACCCCCACTGATGGTATATTCTCCTGACTCCATTGTGCAAAATAAACTGTTTAATCGTCGAGACGGAGATGGTCTCCTTTCCAATGTCGAGGGTGTGGAGACCTTTGAATAGATCGACGAAACGCAAAATCATGTCGTCTTGCTCGTGGAAGGAGTAACTAGGATCACCCGTTAGGCCTGTCACGCTGAGAACGCGGACTGAGTCGTTCGCTAGCCACGCGAGCTCCTTCCCTGTGCGCATTAGTTCCCATGGGAAAGGATGGATGATCAGCTCCTCAAGAGTACCGCTGTGCAAGGATGGCTGGATCAGGGAGATCAGGTCGGGGCCACTCAGTGCCGTTCTTAGGCTCTTCAGACACAACCGCCGCAACATCAGCATCGGCGGATAGGGCAAAGAACCCCCGTCCATTTTATGTGATATTAAGTTGGCGGCGGTCAGAGGCGACAGTCCCGGAGGAATCATGGCGGCAGGATTGAAAGTATTCGGATCCACCTTGTATCTTTCGATGTGGTTGTTCTCCACGACCAGGTCTGTCATGTGGGATGACAAAGGTGGAAGGATGTCAATGTGGCCAAAGGTAACGTCGCCTCCAATGAAGCACTGCTCCAGGTTTTGCCAAGGTGCAGGGTTGGGTTTAGGGGAGGGATCCATCTTTGCCAGAGTGGCGTTGTCGATCCACAGATGACGAACATCAGGGCTGCTTCGCATCATGATATCGAGGTCTATCCAGCATTCCTGGTTAATGCCCTGAAGTCGTAGGGTCTTCAAATTAGGAAGCAAAGGCCAAAGGAGGGGGCTTGATAGCTGGTACGGATGATGAAAACAGAAGATTGAGAGCTCGACCAGTGTCTGGGAGGATGCGGCCAGTAATCCGGTCAAAAGCCAACCCGGCAGTGCCGCGCGACCACCGAGATATAGGCTCTTTAGACTGGGCATGGGGATCTGAAGAATGTCGCCAATCCATTCATCTTCCTTGCGCAGCACTCCTCGCAACTTGAGATGTTGCAGATGAGGACAGTGACGAAATATTGTTTCCAGTTTTCGGGATGAAAGATCAAAAGCCCGGCAATCATCGATCTCAAGCGCCGTGACCTGTCCCTGGGCCAGTTTCTTCGTATAATAGGCGATGGTTTTCTGCGAGACAGATAGGCGTGATCGAATGGGGGCGGTGGTCATATGGTGTTGAAAGTGCAGGACAGTCCATAAGGATCTGGCTGCGTCGCCTTCCAAAAAGCTCTTCCACTGCTTGGAAACTCGAAGACATCGGCTACAAGTAATTAGCGAAGGGCTTACCAGCGAGGTATATAAAAGGCTGAAGGGCCATACGCAAGGTCTCTGGTCTTGAAGGATTTAAGCGTCATCACCACAAGCTCTCTGGGGAATTCCTTGAGAGGGTCACCCTTCCAGAGGAACTTGCTGACAGCATTGGCTTGAGCACGCATTACCTGTGAAGCTGTTAATCGTGGGTTGTAGCCAGAGGCAGAGGGGGTTCCTACCGAGAGCTGCGGATGTTTGGGTTGCTTGCGCTCCACAAGCTCAGAACCCTGGTTGTACAGGGCCAACGCGGCTTCGTGCTTGTTGGCGAGTCGAAGACACTTGCCAAGGCGTAGATAGCCTAGGGGCTCGCGCGGGGCAATCAAAATCATCTTCTGAGCGTAGACTTGGGCGTCCTTGAGCTTTTTGTGACTCGAATAGATGGCAACTAGGTAGTTTAGCGCCTCCATGTGGTCCTTTTCGGAACATCTTTGGTTGGACTCGGGGTGAGAGCAAGGCTTCTTGATCTCCTCTTTCAGGGTGTCATTCTCGAGGGCCTGCAGCAGATTCTTGCAATCGCAGAGCTTATCTCCTTTGCTCGATCTGCAGACAGGGCAAGCCCTGACAGCCTTGAAGAAGAGGGTTAGCAACTAAATGAGAGTTAAGTGATGTTGAGTTTGGTGCCTTACGCGAATGAACTCACGATGAGCTTCCACCAGACTGTCTGACTTGAAGAGAGCCTTACCCTTCTGCAGATGTAGCGCAGCCTGCGTTGTACGGGCCATGGTCGCGGTGAGAAGGCTGCTTCATAAACAGACGACGGGTCGTTGCAAGCACATTGGATCGTCGGCGCAGTCGTGGATTGGGCTTGGGATCTTGATGTCATCAAGAGATAGTCCAGAGAAGGAAACGTTTTATAGTCGCCAACATGGTAATTGTGCCAGAGAAGGGGTAGGGTAAGATATCGGCAGTAGCCGTGACGAAATGTAAATAGTGAAGCAGGAGAAAGGATGGATTATCGCTAATAGCAGGCACGACGAGGTCAACCGGACGCCGCAGTATAACCGAAAGTCCTGCTCAGCCGATCATCACACCATTCGAGATGGTTGGTTGGTTGTAGATGTCCCAGATGAGCAGAGCTGGTTCTGTTTCGCCGTACTGAAATTGATGCCGTTCACCTTAAGGGCCTGCGTTGCAAGGATGTTATTATTCCCAGCGTAAACACCCGTGATCTCGCGATCAAATGGAAGACACGTTAAATGCATTAAAGCGCGTTGCGGGGTTGAACTTGGTGCGCACGGTCCACAACGCTAACTATATTAAATCTAGTGTTGGTAAAGATGTATTCTTGAATTATCTTTTAAGAATGCCGAAATCATCCTTCTAGACTTAACTGTCAATTGCAAGACAAGAAGCTCCCGGGAACTACTCATGACTTCTGTGTATGAGTCCAGTATGTTTGAAGAGACCAACTCTACAGTTGACATCGTCAGGCCGCTCAGCCATGGACCTGAATAGCCACGAGGGTGACAATGCCCGAAACAGCGGCTACTGCATTCTCGCGAGTCAAGGCGGGCGAAGCATCAGGGTACCGTTCGTGGGCTCATTAATATCCCCATCCTCAACATCGCCATGAGGGGCAGCATTCCTCCATCTTTGGGGGCCGTGGTATATTCATTGCTTCTTTGTCAGTTACGTCATGGCCACTTCCTCAAACTGCAGGTATCTTCTGAAGTTGAACAGAGTGTCGACTTCGGACTACCAGATTGGTATTCCCCAACCAAATCGTGTCTTAGTCAGCATGCATGTTCGACTCCTTATTGACGACGTCTAATCTCCAAGTAACTTAACTTTTTACACTGTTTGGGTACTGCGAGTGGGCATCTCTAAGGCAGTATAAAAAGGTGGCGCTACTGGACATTCCCAAATTCCAAGACAGGAAATATGTATCTTATCGTGAAGCCACCTGGGGACGTTGTGGATGCCTGCGGTTCCCGTGGAGGCCGTGGCCGCATTCCTTCCCGTCTGCAATACTGGGTCTCGTTGCGGGTGTCGTGTGGATAAGTGATGCCTTCGGGTATCAATATCGAGCCCTTCCGCAGCGTCGTCACGGCCTCAACTTTGCATCCTGCTAAAGTTTCATTAAGAATGCCACGCCTTCGGTAAGGCGTTTTTGGGTATATTTATGACTTTACGACTCATATCTAGATTTATTCCTCCCGTACCCGTCCCGATACTGTGGTTCAAGGGCGTCGGACCCCACAATCGATGAAGCGGATGCTCGTGAGCGACAAGGGACCGACATCGATGACTGGTATGATATCGAGACTGTGTCTTCCGGTTCCTTCGGCAAAATACCCCGAGGTTTCTCAACTTTGGAGCTAATATGGACAGCTAAATCTGTCCACGATCATCACAATCCGCTCTCATCATGATCATCGGGTGCCGCAGTCATCTCTAGACAAGTAGATACAACTCCGAATTGCCCTGTCTGGCGTATTGGCCCTTTGGTTGCAATGCATATGTATGTCGCACGTATCGATCACCACTTAAAGTCCTGAAGATCCTAATTAGGAGCGGGCAATGAAAGTTGGAGTAATACCCTGAATCTTGCTTCACCGATTTCCTAAAAGCAAGCTAAGGTGAGTAATCATCAACATTGCAGCCATTTCTTAAACCTCCAGACGCAGGTGAGACCCGTGCAGGTGGGTGAGATTCCATTTTTGGACCCCACCAAACCAACTTCGGGTTAGGGGTGGTGCGGAACCAAATTGCGGGAACCTATCATCATCTCGTACAACATGTAGTCCTGTCCTGTAGTCCTTGGCTGGCGCCTGGGCGCCTCTCCTGACGGACATGTCAGACTTGGGTGATCCGCAGGGGTAATTTGGCAATTACTCCGCGGCAAAACAGCCGAGCTGGTGCTAGCGGTGCGTTAAACAAGCGCCGGGCGTTACCGGCAGAAAGAGGGGAAAATTGGGAGGGAGGGACGAGACCTAAAAATAGGCCTGCCCCACTATCCAAAGCGCGTTAGACCCACCCACCGAGAGTCGAGATGAGACGAACCCCATCTCCAAAAATCATCTTGACTGTGCTTCTCGACCGGGCATGCGGCCGATTCTTGTTTGCTTTCTTCATGCATGATGGCTAATGCAATGTCGCCCCGTTCCTGGGACCTGCTTCTGGGGACATGTCCTTGTTTTCCTTCCCACCTTTCCGCCTTCCCACCTTTCCACACATCTTGCACACCAATCTGCCTCGTGGGCGGAAGCTCCTTCCCATACCCCCCCTCATATGCGAGGCTGGGGTCAAGGCCTCCTCCCCTCACCCCTGATCACTGGTGTGTTCGTAACACCTTGAACCAATCAGGGGCCAGGGGACAATTGTCGACTGAATGGAGGGGCTTGTAAATAGTTCAATAGTGTTTGGACTGACTGAATCTGCTCCATTTGTTTCCCCCGGTGAGAGTTTCTATTGACGCCGTGTTGGTGAGAATGACGCCATACACTATTTCCTCCTCTTTGTTTCGCGGACAAAATAATTCCTCGAAGCATATGCCTCAGCTTGACATAGCTTGTGTGGCAGGAATTTGACTTGATATACATTCCGACTCCTACAGACCACAGAATAGACATTTGTCCGTTTTGCTTTCGTGATCATCGCTCGTCATTTTGGACAAAAATAGACATGACTGCCTATAATCGCGCACGCAACAACATCTGGACTAGGTGGACTTGAGGAAAACGTTTCGGTTGGCTAAATGTATATTGTTTGCTATACTAAATATCCTCTCTATCGAGTTGGAGTCTTCTATCCCGTGTAATACTCTTGAGAGCACCTATTTCTAAGCTGGGTAAATGGGTCCCCGCCATGTCCGTAGCCAGACGAAGATTGTGGTAAAGAAAGCAGACGGCACTGCCGTATAGACAGCCCTCAGATATCCTGCGGTTGGATATGTCCGGCGAGGTAAACCTGTCACCCCTTCCAGCATTGCATCCGAATCTGGAGCTATTCGTCTCCGTTAGAAGTACATGACACTGCTACCCGAGCAGGCTTACACACGTGTGGTGTTACAAAAAAGCCGCACACCAATTTGAAGATAAGAAAGACTGAACAGGAGAAACGATGCTGGAAATAATGAGAAAATGAAACCCAAAACAAGAGATGCCGACAGTCCCTCCAAGAGCCTTCATTGGCCAGCCATTAACGCCTTGGTATAATCCTACGCCCATGCATGACCCCAACCCTTGTATGCTGCCATCCAAACAATAAAAAAAACCAGGAAAAAAAAGGAAAGGAAGGAAATACTTGTGGGGAGATCCTGTAGCCGACGCATCCTCCAATTCGAGACGGCATATGATTCGAATGCCACTACCCAAGCCGAAATGCCAATTGAATACCGAAACCCGATGCAAACCCCCCCAGGCAACGCTATGCTGAGCCAGTGTAAATAAAAATGCCAAAACCATGCGGGGAAAATTCAGGAATGTGCTGATTGGAGTCGTGACCGTGTGCGTATAACATTGAAGAGATCATAAACTATAGCTAGGGACCGGTAGACAGAGGTCGGCAGGGAGTGTTCGTCGTGTAAATTGGGCTGCTCGAATTGTTTTTGCATCCTCGATGATAACATTTGCTTGAATGGTGGTATCGTTGCATTCGTGTTGGATCGGATCAGAAGTTGGGTATCTGAACTCCAAAGAGTTCCTAGAGCACCAGGGGGGCCGATATCGACATCACACGGTCGTGGCCTACGAACAGCAGGGAGAGCTGCGATGGCCGGCGAGATGGAGACAGAGACATCGGCCTGAAACAGTAGAGATAGGAGACCCAGTTCCCAAACTCAAACATCAGTATTGGCGGATGATGCCACGCGCAGCAGCCAATTACTGAAGATAGTACATTTCATCGGTGGCGGCGAGAGCTCTTGGTAGATTGACCACTGTAGTAGCCAGAGTCAGAGTATGTCTGAGCTGATGCGTATGATCCGTAATTGCTCTGCTGCGCATGGTCCTGGCAAGCGTATCCGACCAAAATCGTTCGCCTGGTGACAGCATGTCCTGGTCGGCCGTAGTTGCCACATCGATCAACGGCGTGTTGATAGTATAAGCAGCGGCATGCCGAATAGCGCTCAACAACCTGGAGGCACATGTTGGGCAGACTTTCGAACAGGAGACGTATGTCGAACTGGGTTTGTTTTCCGATTGCGTGGGTGTGGGTATGGTTGCGACAAAAGTCGAGGGGACTCTTCTTGTAAGTGGTATAGATTTTCTTGTTGGCGTTATGTTGTTTGCTTGTCTGTTGGGATGCTCAATGTGGAACGACTGAAGCAAGGAGAAATGGCAAAGATTGACCGAGGAACTGAAATATAAAGGAAGCTGACCCAGAAGATACGAAAGAAAAGGTATTAGTGGGAGGTGTGCTGGTGATGATGAGTCGAAACCTGTGCCTGGTATGGAAGACATCTCAACCTTATAGGTTTGGAGCCTGGAACAGGTGGGATCCCTAGTCGTGGATGGTGAACCAGGGTAAGGCAGCAATGACGAAAGAATCTGACTGCCCATAGGCAGTTGAGCAGTCGCCTGCATTTCTCAGTTTGGCATGGGACTACATGCAGGTCTAGAGATGATGGGAGGAGCATGGGCTGGATGGCGCAGGAGTGAGGTGCCTCACCAGATGAGTAAAGGCGCAGTATACAGTTGCGGGACCAGCTAGTGTGAGTGGGTTGGTAGCTGCTCAGCGAAGGTGAGAAAGTGGGGTGTATTGTGGTGATGGATGGCCAGCCTGTCGGTTCGTGGATTTCTGTACGACAGCTACCCGACCCATGCATGCGGACAATTTGACAGGATACTGTCATGTGGATCGGAGAAGGAAAGACGATGGGTGAAAGGTGGTGCTTCGGACTAAGAATCATACCGTACCATTCTTGTAACGGGGAAATGGTGCACTAGGACCTTACGTGCACTTGCAGCAGGGCTGATGCAGTGCTGCGAGACCTGCAGAATGTCTTGGATGGTTGCAGTACCGAGCGATCGACGTATTCCAGAAAAAGTCCGTTGCTTTAGCCCCGGTTCGCCGTGTCACCGCACTCTCACGGTGGTCGCCGGAAAGTAGCCAATCGCGTTGCTGCCGTGCGGTAACGATGCGTCAGCAAAAGTACTCGCACATGAAAAATGCCGTTATTGTGGGTATGTAGCTCGTCTCTGAGATCGACCTGAACGGCGTGCTGACTTCTCGGGGCAGTCTTCTGCGCAAATGCAGTGAGAACCGGCCAATGTTGAGAAAGCCAGAGAGGCAGCTAGAATGCGCGGAAGTACACTTAGAAGTTCAAAGTCACACTTGTCGTCGTTTGATGATACCAGTGAGGTTGACGAATCGACCTGTGGATGCCATTGATCGACCTGCAGCCTGCAATCTGCAATTTGTGATTCTGCAAAACTCGTGGTCCTGTCCGGCTTATGCGGTCGTGAAGCAGAGATGTTGCCCCCTCTGTAGCTTGAGCAACGATACGGATAGTAGAATTGGGTGCTAGAGGCGCTGGCTATGCCGTCCAGTGCCGTGTGGCCAGCGTCGTGGACCGCAGAGGGTCTCTAGGCGGGGTGGCTTTAGGTTCAGTACGCAGGAATCGGCTTCTCGGAGGATGATGCTATCGTCACCTTGGTCAGCCCAAGCGCCTGGGAATTCGCAGCCCATGCGAATATTGCGAGTTAAGCATGTTGGAGTGACTTTACTGGCTTGCTGGATTTAGTATGCGAGCAACATAGACGGCCCTTTTCCCGGACCAGTTCTCAGCATTTTGCTGACCATTTTCCTGTAGACCAGGGTCGTAAGGCTTGGGCTGTGCAATGCATGCATCAATCGAGAGTGTGACACAGGGCGGCATGGTCGCATTATTGGTCGGCGTACGCTAACAACAAATAGGCAGCTCAAGTGCCGAGGTCAGCTTGACAGCGGCCAACTTGATGAGAAGGAGACTATCCGACCTGGGAAATCTCTCATCATTCTCACCGTCGGCAGGGGCGTGGCGTCTGTGAATGGACGAAAATACCTATTATCCTCTTTGGCCATGTGGAAAACGGACCAAGAGGCCCAGCCGTTGCTGGGATGATGATGAAATCGTAGGCTTGGGAGTCCGAATGGTGTGTATGTTATGCGGGGCCCGGTGAGGGTTTGATGGGGTCAGATGAGGCCCGCTGCAGCAGAGACGTAAGGTGATGGTCGAGAGTTTGTCCGAATACCCTCATTGACGTCGTATTGACAGATACACTCACTGGTCCCGAGATCAATTTCGACTTGGCAAGGCGAAGATAGGTCAAATCAATTCTCAATTATTCGCTTTGATTCTTTACTTAATGAGTAAGTACCTTTAGGTGGCTCTGATACCCAGAGCAAAGCTCAAAAGTATTTGTGGCAGGTGCAACCGTACCTACCGAGGTTGGCCCTTGCATAAGGTACTATGTTGGAGCGTAGGTCTTACTAGATCTTGTGCCTGTCTTGCTCCTGAGAGACACCACAATTCATACCGATTCGTGATGCCCTGATGATCTCCCACCCTACTACTTTGCGTGCCTTCGACACCGGGTCCAGATTCCCGGGTCGTCCCATCCGTCGTGCACTAGTACTCCAGACCACGTCTGTCAATGCCCAGGTGGATTCCGAAACCAGACTTGCGCAACCTTTCACCCACTGAGGAGCGGCACCTTGAGATAACCGACGCCGGCAATCGACGGCTCACGGCTGCCTGGCAGCCTGGCATCTTGGCTATCATGGGTTGGCACCTGAATCCATTTCCATCTTGTTGCGTTAAATCTTCACCATGGTATCACCATTCTAGGTGAAATGTGGATACGAAGAGGATCGCTCTAAACATATCTATCATTATGTAGCATCTGGTGGGCAATGCCCGGTAGTGGGAGTGCTGCCTCGACTGAGCCATCGCAGTGGTCTAACTACTGCTCAAGATAGCATCTTGTACCCTGAGGTTTGCCACAGGGCGCTTCTTTTTCGGACGGTTCCAAATCCAGTGCGGCTCTACATTATGACTCTGACCGAGATGTGGACCCAAAGTTCTTGAATGCTTATCTGTACAGAGGTCCAATAGGACTCGCAGACCATGTACGAAGTACCTAGGACTGCTATAGGCGTGGCTTCAAACCTCTACTGCGAAGGTAACACAGCTTCGAAACCTGATTCGAGAGCAAATGCTTTGTACAACGGGAAGTCATCGGGTCAGATGAGTCGAGTCTATTCTATCCTGAGAAATCTTCCTGCAGTGGCTTGTACAGGAACTGGAGGCCCGAAGTGTTGCCTAATCTCCGAGGCCTTCGCGATGACTTCATCCCAAGTAGACCCCACTATCATCTCACCCAAGGTCGCCTTCTCAATTCCACTAGCTGGCCGATGTTTCGTTTGATGCACAATGCCCCCAAAAATGCCATTGAACGCCGGGGATTTTTCGCATCAAGTCCAATCGCCTCAAAGCCAAACCCGGCTTGTGCCTCGGAACACCTGTCTTCTGTGGATGGCCCCCCTGCTCGACGACTGTGGATTTCCTGTTGCTGCGCCTCATCCCGTGGCTGTCTGACTGCCCCAAACGGACCTCTGGAAAGTATTGAAGATTTATTCTGATGAATCTAACCTGTCACAATGACTCGAGTAGACAAGGACCTCGACTATAAGCGCGTCTCTGACGGGGAAGAGGTCCAAAGACCCGCCGTGTCGGCGCTTATATCCGGCGCTCCACCGGCGCGGCCGGAGTCGTCGGCGGAATCCATAACAATATCAGTCATCTTGGAAAAGTAGACTCGGCAGCTTTGTTAAACCAGGAAGCATCTCGATCAAGACGTTCCAGGCAACAATATGCAGACCATATCATCTGAGCACAAATCCAAGCCCTTCGACATCATCGCTTACCTTGTCTGGTTGACATCATGTGTTCTATACGAAGGTCTGCGCCCGGCATATGGGAAAGCAAGCTCCCCAAAATGACTTCTGCCCGTCCGGATGGCGCGTCGCTATGGCTCCTGCTATTTTCGTATTGTCCCGATGATGTGAATGCAGTCATTGGAACAAATGTTTTCTGAGAGCTCGATTGCGAGTTGAACTTAGCAACAAAAACCAAAACGTTCATGGAAACTGAGCCCCCAATGGATAATTTGTTCTCGAAGAATATATCTTGAATGAGCTTAGGTTCTCATCCTTTTACCCCCATTGTGAGGCTTGGCCAGCGGCACAAGTCGCGATAGCGTCGAGTCAGATCCACCGGCCTCCAAGAGAGCCAAATTCGTCCGTTATGAGCTGTCATCCCAGCATTGAGGGAACCACGGTAAGCGCAACATGGGACGATGCAAGCTGCGAGGCTAGGGTAACACACTCAGATAGCCACGAGGGCAGACAGCGTCTACACTCTACACTGATAACACCTGAGTCAATATCGAAATAATTTCGGTAGCGTGTACTGGACAGTATCGAATCCAGACTGCAGAATGTCCTGCACGTCAGGGAGGATCCATCAGCTAGACCAGGATCTACAAAAAGCAAGCACATTTGTACTACTTTGTACTATAATGTTCTACTGTTAAGCGGCAGCTGTGACTTGCTTCTATTGAAGTTCCAGTCGCTCCAACTCTTCATAGGGCTGACTGTACGAAAGCAAGATTCTGCTGCTTTACCAACGGCCTGGCACCCGCCTCCGCGCTCACCTTCGGCATCCTACTCTGCGTCGGATGCCGTCTGTGCGTTTCGGCCGGGAAACCCCCAGCTCCGCACGTGTGGCATCATTTCCCCAGGGCTGAAGGGCTGGTTTCATGTCCTACCTGGTTTGCGGCGTAGCAAGGCCCGTTTCCAGCGATAAAAATTACGAGGCAGATTCCGGCAACTATGCAACGAAACAGGAACCTTTATAACTCGTCCATCCCACCATTGGCGGGGGCTCTTTTGGACTTAATTTTCGATGGTATGTCTCGTATCGACCCTTAGAACATACAATCAAATGCCAGCTCAGGAATAGCCTATGCACTTGCCAAATTCGACGACGAATCCCAGGTGGATCATGAGGCTGAGGCATTTTGGTGTGCGTATAGTTACGTTCGTGTAACGTCAAGAAGTTCGTCCTCGTCACGAGGTTCAACAGCTACTTCCTAAGAATCCCATAGAAAGCATCGACACGAAGGAGTCATGCAGTTTGTTCTATGGATCCAAACCGCAAACGCAACCCCCGGGGCTGCAACCTTGGTTGGTGCCTTCAGCTTCCCTAGAGTTCAACTGAAAGCGTATGTATCACACGAGCAAGCAGGCAACTTCGATCGTTAGAGTATGCTATTGATGTATATACTTGGTGGCAGAGACAGGCTAACGGCTTATTGAATAAACTGCCGTTGCACACAATCCTTCCTTCGGTGAGCCCCCAGAGCCATAATAGTCTAGGACTTTGATATCACACACACCGAACTTGGGAATCGAGGCTCCCCAGGCACACAGATGGTTCTAAGACCTCCGGGTTGCTAGCCCCTTCACGTCTGGCGGTACCATGAATGCCTCAGTCGTCCGTTTGGCAGTGACACACTGAATATACTGACTCTATGAGACGGTAGACCAAGACTTATGAGGGGTTATATGACTACTGACATGACAGAAACCCTCAGTTGATCACAGATTCTCAAGGAAACAGATGAACAATTTGCTTCCAAAACAAAGTTCTTCTCAAAAATACTCACATCAGACCACTCCCCTTTTCGTCCTTGCTCTCCTGCAGATGTCTTACCTGGTTAGGGGGTCGCTGTATTTCACACGGATCAGAGGTGGCGCCCAATCCTTGAAAAGAGCAAGCTTCATAACAAAAGGAGACGCAAGAGAAGTTGACCAAAAATAATGACTGGGAGCAAAAACGTACAACACCAGGGATTCGCTGGTCGTCACCGACCCAACTACTAATCTGGCGCTTTCTGATTTAACTATGGGAGAGCGGACGGGATCCCGTGTATTTCAGAGGCTATGATCGTACGTGTTAGGACGAGTTGTTCTTTTGTTATATATCCCGTGTTTGGTTTTCGATGTGAGCAGGCGGGAACGGTTGGCCCGCAACAACCACCTTGGGAAGGCTACGATGACTTAAACAACCAAACGAAGGAAACCCGGCTTGGGAAAATGCTATGCGGGGATCGTTATTTGGGCAATATAAGTTGATATTGAGGATAAATCAGACTTGGACTCAAATACATCTGAGATAGACGGCGCGGTAAGGTACGAAGGAGTTCTCTACAACACCTCCAGACTGCTTGCTGTGAAGTAACGCAGATATTATAAACTCCTTAAATTATTCACGAGGTGTATCGGCTATACTATTCATGCAAGTGAGGAACTGACCAAATGCGGAAGCTTAGCAGACAAAAATACTCAGGCAGCACAGTTAGCTCACCCCACACGTCAGAAGACAGCAAGGGGATAGTTACAGAAAGTGAAAATTTCGAATCTACCAGCCCAAGTTCTGATGAAAGTGGCGGTACAGCAGTGGGAAAGAACAGAAGTGACTTTGAAGGCAAAACACAACGTGCAGAAAAGCTCTTGGTTCAGAGCCTGAGACACCGAGAAAGCAAAGGATTGAGATTTCGGGAAGGAAGCAGCCCAAGGCCTTAATCTTAGAGATATTTGAAGTTAAACTCACAAGTCCTTTGCACAAATACTCGAGTTTGGGAAGCACAGCTTTAGTATGATTGGTTGGTCCCGTAGAGCCTACATCCTGTTCAATCCTGTCCACAGAACTTTGTCTCTTTGCCTTTGCATCACAGCTATCGTTCCAACCCACGCCCTCTTCCCTCATTTCATTATAGAATATTATTGTATATTTATGTACGTGAGTTTGTGCTTGTGTGCACACCATCACGACATTTGTAAGTCAGTCATAGTAACGAGTAGTAGTAGTAATACTAGTGTCATTCCCATGTGCGCCCCAGCCTGTTTGCCTTTCTGCCGAGAAGTATCATCTCGTTCCGTTCTGCCTGTTTATCAACGAGACAGAAGAAATATTCATCGAGACACCGAAGATGCCGAGAGCAATGCTCTAAGTTCCGCATCCACCGTCGCGCGACTGACTGGGTATTTCTCGGTGCGTGGGGTCTTGGGCGATATATAACAAGAGAATTGGGTAGAATAAAAAGTTGTAATAAAACAGCAGATCGTTATGCCTAGTTGAGGCTCGGCTCGACGCGACTCCCCATGCATGTTGCAAGGCATCCATCCATTCTTCCAGTCGGCAAACGATAAGCACGTCTTCCTCCTCGTTTGCGTGCCTCGGCATCCATGATATCATCCCCTCGAAAGTCAATAACCATCATTTCCCCTGCGCCCTTCGAAAAACAACAACACGGTCTATTAGTAGCCGACAATTCGCCTTTTTGCAAGCCTTTTGTGGTATGTGGTATAAGTGCTTGAAAGAGAGAGGTATACCCAAACGAACTTCATAACAACGACAATGCTAGCATGCTAGAACAATCGATTCAAATTGCAAATCGCCATTTATACAGTCCACCTAACACCCTTCTATCCCATACGAGCCTAAGCTCGTCGACTCATAGCAACATTTGCACCCGCGGATGCGAGGTCCTGTTTGCCACTAACGCTGCGACCGGCAACACGGGGCAGGTTGCTGCCTCCCACTGCAGCACCATTCGAACCACCGCTTTGACCCATACTGGTTCTCTTTGTTCCAGCTGCCGTGAAGGGGCCATTAATCGCCGATGTTCGTCTTGATACAGATACAGGGGCAGGCTTATGCGGACTGACACCGGTTGCTTCACGAGCCCGAAGAGACGGTCCAGCTTTGATAGCTGCAGGTGGATCAGGTAGCGGCCGGGGTGTCGCGATGGTGTTGGAACGTTTGACCGGGGAGGCGTCTCGCGCGACTGCTCTTACAGTCGGTACAGCAGTCTTCTGGCCGGTGATGAATTGATGACGGATAGCCTCTTCGGGCTTGATTCGACGGTCTGGATCCCATTTCAAGCACCGGCTGAGGAAATCGAGGAATGGTTCATCTTCACACTTGAGCACTTGCTGGAGAGTCTTCGACGAAGGTCGTCTTCTCCGACCCTTGGATGATACTGTCAAGCGGGGCTTGCCCATCGAGTCAAAGAACAGCTTCTTCCTCGTACTTTTCTCGATCAGGTGTTTTTCCGGCGGTCCAAACACCTCCATAATACACGCGAGTTGCTCCTGTTCGTTCTCCCCCGGGAAAATAGGTACCCCGGTGTACAGTTCTGCCAATATGCAACCCAAACTCCACATGTCGATCGGCAGGCCGTAAGTCATTCCCAGGATGACTTCAGGCGAACGGTAGAAACGCGACTGGATGTACGTGTACACCTTTTCGTTCTCGAAGCAGCTGGAGCCGAAGTCAATGACCTTGATTTCGGAATGCATTGGGTGACGCAGCAAGATGTTCTCTGGCTTGAGATCGCAGTGGATCACTTTGTGCTGTTTGAGCAAATTGAGAGAGCTGAGCATTTGTTTGGTGAATCTTCTGATCAGTTTGAGCGAGAAGCCCCGGAAGGAGTTGGACTTAATGAATTCGTAGAGATTCATGTCGAGCAATTCGGTAGAGATGCATAGATGTCCTCGGAAGTAGAAGCTGTGGGTGAAGTTGACCATGCTGTGCTTATTCTTAGGATCCTGTGAGCGTTGTTAGCAACTTGAGCTCAATAGAAGGGTCAAAGTATTGACAAACCCATTCGCGAAGTTTTTGGAGAATGTTCACTTCGACAAGAGCTTGCTGGTGGAACCTCTTCTTGTTGCGAATGATTTTCACCGCAACAAGAGCACCCGTCTTATGGTCAATGCATCTCACCACTTGACCGAAACTTCCCTTGCCTAATATGTCCACAATCTCATAGCGGTAAGAAAGGTGGTCGCCGACAATTATGGTGTAGTCTCCGCGCTCGTCGTCGTAACCAAAGTTTGGCGTGCTCGAATGCAGATCACCTTGAACCTTGGCAGCATTCTGGGTCCCGCAAAAGTAAACATCGCTGTAGTCGACGATTTCCCCTCTTTCATAGATGTTTAGTATGGCAATCCGGATGGCCTCCTGGGGCCCGACACGCTCCTTAGGACTGGCCCTCTTCCGAAGAGCATCAAGGGTCTTTGCTGCCAACTCCGTTTCTCTTCTTCTTGAAGCCATTTTCTTCATTTCCTCCTCGGCCACCATGTCGTCCTTGTCCAAGTCGGCAGTGTACGGACCTTCAACCTGTTTGATAGAGCTGACTGAAGTCCGAGGCTGCAGAATTCTTTGCACGGAAGAAGCTGCCCGAGATGATGCCAATGCTTCAACCGTTGAACTGCTGTTCCCGAGATCCGTCGGTTTCTTTGGACTGGCCCAGACGTCGTTCCGACTCTTTTCCTGTGCCATCACTGCGTTGAGACTTGATGCAGAACTCTTCCTCCTCCTTGATTCGAGGTATGAACTCGATGGCTTCGAAGTGTGGCTCGGGCTAGAAGCCTTCATCGAGCCTACTGTAGAGGAGAGAGGTAATCTGGGCGGTGGCATACTTTCCTGGCGCGCATGGCCCGAAGATTGCTCAGAGGCACCGTGGGAAATATGGTTGCTGCTCTTGGACTTGCTTCGCTTTAAAGAAAGACTCAGTTTACGTCTCAAAGAGCTCATAGAAGAAGGCGTTGGGGGCTCGTGTTGTTCGGGGCTGGATTCAGGCGGGGGTAGCTTCTCGACTGGCTTCGACTGCTTCTGGGCACGGGGACCTGTAGGCTTCTGCTGTGGTCTGGACTCAGAAAGACCAACATCGAGGGATGTCATTTTGTTCAGGCCCCCACCGGTTTTGGCCTTGGCGATGGTGCTTCCAAACTCGCTTTCATTCTTGGGAGCCGATGATGACAAGAATGGTGAAACGTTGGGTTTCCGCGCTTGTTTATTGCTCGAGCCACCCATCAGCGATTCAGAGGAACTGGTTACATCTATCCGGTCGGGACTATTCACCCGGCTGTGATTGACCGACGTGTTACTCCGCAAAGTCGATTTCTCCGGATCTCTGTCTGCCCTGCCCCTAGAGAAGAACCCGCTTTTCGAGGCGGTCAAAGGTGTTGTTGGGGTTTTGGGTAGGACCCGGCTCGGCGGCGGGCTCATATGGCCCTGATCGTTTCCTTGGTCTTTCAGGGCCGCTATTTTCGCCGTCGTTGGTGTGCTGAGCGGGCCCAAGTTGAGGGGCGGAAGCCTTAGAGGTGCTAAATTCTTTTTGGATTGATTGGCGGCGTTGGCCTGCTTCTCAATGTCTGAAGAATTTCCCCCGAATGGTTTTCTCGGTGTTTGTTTGCGGAGGCTGGTTTTGCGCACAAATACAGAAGGCTCCAAAGAAGGTGTGTTTGACACCCTCCCAGTTGAGCTGCTATTGATGCTACTCGCGTCAAACGCTTGGTTGGGTTTTCTCTGGTCAACGGAGTTGGTCTCAGCGGATGCGTCCTGTGGCGACTCATAGGCCTTAGGAATAGCGGGCACGGGTGGCACATCTTCTTCTTCCTCGGCTGGAGGGGGGTTGTTGTTATTATTGATATGCAGGGCCTTTGGAGCGGGAAGCCTCGAGCTCGATGCACTTTGGCCGATTGCGCGTTGAATGGATCCTGTTGACGTCCTGTGGGTGTTAAAGCTCGCCGTTGAGTTGACGGAGAGCCCCGAGCTGTAAGACTTTCTGTTGATATCAGGCGTCGTTCGCGAGGACGATGGTGTGGACGTCTTTCGAGGGATCATGGACGGTGAGCGAGAATGAGGCCGGGTTTCGATGGCGGGCGGGGGTGCGTTGATTACTTGGCTGAGATTCTGTGATGATTGATGCATGGACATTCGCTTCATTCGTTGAGCGTCCGTGGGAGAGATGGTTCTAGCACCTAATCCAGTGGCATGGGGAGTATTGTGCACGGGCATGACCGATGCTCGTTTTGCAGACCCTGGGGTGGAAGCCACGACGCCGGCCTTTGGAGACTTGGGAAAGAGAATCGACTTTCTGTTTCCATCTGGGGTGAGCGTAGCCGTGCTGCTGGTGCTGGTCGAGAAGTTGGCCGATATCCTCGGGGCCGGCTGTATGGACTTGGTCTTCGTCGCCCGGGGCGTTGTGAGATTTCTCGCTGTATCCTCCGACTGATCACTGTTCCCGAAAGTGTCCGTCGATGTGCGTCTCAAATCCCTATCTGAAGCGTTCGATATCAGACTAGGACGTCGCTTCTGCGACATTCGGGTTCCATAATCCGAGTCGGAAATGCCTGACCCGGTCGACTTTCTGGGCGGCCGCCCACCAGTGTTATTGCTGTTAGACACTGGAGGATAATTGCTCTGACGACGAGTTCTCGTGGCGGCAGGAGCAGTAGACGCGTCAAACACAGAGGCAGCCGATGCCAGCGATCCGATGCTAGGCTGCCTGCTAGAGACGCTCGGCCTCCTAAGTATGGAGCCAGACCTCGTAGTCCGCACCGTGGCGGGGGCATTCGGTGCCGGGTTGGGCTGGATGGCCACGCGTATTGTGCCGCCATTCTGCGTGACATTTGGATGTTGACCCGCCATCTTATCCACGAGCGGCCTATTGTCGAGGATGCTCTCTTGGCCCGTTGGCGACGGAAACTGCGTCAACTTGAACTCGGTAGAAGCAGATTCTATACTGCTCTGCAAATCATCGAAGCTGACCGAGGGTAGGAAGTCGAAAGAGCCCGTCGTAGTGTCCCCTACGTCTCTCGCAGAGCCATCCCGACCAAAGGAAAACAATGAGTGGTTGTTGGAGGACGAGGCACTCAGCATTGGACCGTGCAAGCTTGCGGGCGTATGCGTCGCTGCTGTGGCTTTGTCGATAGGATTGATGTTTTCCTTGATGCTGCAACAAAACAGTGTCAGTCTACAACGTGTATCCGAGCCTGTCTGTGTCGAAGAAAAACGACACATATCAAGGGATAGGTGGCAGATAGACGCACGATCGATTCGGCGAACGGGAGCTGGAATAAACAGCTGGTCGCGGTCCAGCAGGGACTTTATGGTCCCTGATCATAGGTGACAGGTCGCGGAGTCGATCAGGCAGACCCAGCCAGCTATTCTTCGGGGTTGCGACAGGCGACGATGCGACGGGGCGAAAGGCGCCGTGGTCAATCTCGAGAGCGACGCGTGGATCTCTAGAAGACTAGTCTAGCAACTCGCGGTGAACCATCTCAGTTGACTTGGACACTCCGGCGAGGAGTTGCTGCTTCGCCTCGGCTACCGCATTCCGTGACCGACGTGAACTCGACACGGCCGACCTGTTGCTTCAACCTGTTGCTTCTCGTGTATTGTTTTGTGTCTTGTTGTGTTGTGTTTTATGATGTTTTGTCAAGCCGTGCTATTCAGTGCTGGGGGAACGGCCAATCTGAATAAGATGGTGGCCGAGACCTAACGTCGAGATGAGGAGGGATGGGCTGGATTTAGAGTTGGGATGTTGTGTCGAGGAATTGAAAATAAGAGGTGAAGTAGAAATGCAGAGGTCCCACACCACCAACCCGCGCTACCAGTACGAAGTACAGGCAGACACAGAGTATGCCCGATGCAGGTTCGGCTGTCCCGCACGCCCGTCGCCTGCAAACTGCAAGTGCAATCAATGACAGGGAATTCAAGCCCGATAATAACTGGCTGGCATTGGCAAGACAAAAAGGAAGCAGGACCAGCCCAAAACTTTCTCTATGACTAAAGCAAAGCGAGATTGGCACCTGGGCACTGATGAGATTGCCTTTTACCAGACCGCGTCACAAGTTTGATGGACATCGGTTCGATGCCCCAGCCCCTTAGGAATCTAAATTTTGCTTGATGTTGCCCAAAAGAGACCGCCTCACAGAGCAGAACCCATTCTCGAGGCGAACCTATATTGACGAAATAGTACAACTAAAAAGCTTGTCCAGGTGACGGGTAACGACGAGAGAGAGGCTCGGTGCGGAGAGCCAGTGGAGCATCAACGCGGCTGGAAGTCTGGAGCAGAGACAAGTTCGAACCACTGCAGTGCAGTCACCACGGTATCACAAAGATCTATCGGGAATTATGATTTGTCGGCATGGGCAAACGGCTCTGAGCTGGTTCACTTTATTAATTGCTGCTTGTCCCTTGTTCCTTGCCACCGTCGAGCAGTACGACCTCTGGCCTGATACATAAGTTATTTAGCTCCATAATTGGGAATATCATCAGACGAACTAGAGCAAAATGTCTTTCTCTTCTTTCATGTGACTTTTGGGTCATGTTTATTTCATCACATATACACTTAACTGCCTAAGCATGCGATATGTGTCGAAGCTATTACGAAGTTTGCCTCTCAAGGATTCGGCTCTTGCCTGTCAGAAGCAGGTACCCACCAATCCCAGCTCATCTTGACATAAGGTAGTGGGATCTCGAATTTTAGCTTGCAGCTGGCCTCGACCGAGTTGTTCACCTTCCTGCACGTGGCTCAACTGATGGCGGCGACGACGGCCTAGTTGCCAAACGGACTGAATGCTTTTGCGCACACCTGATATAACCGTCCACCGCGTCTCCCGCCCCTCTTGGCCCCTCTTGAAACGTGGGATGTTGGTTTCCAAGCGTTTGGAACCTCACTTCACCGCGCATTGATTCCTGCAACCCCGTGGTTGCCCACTACAGCAGTGTTTATTGATGCGCATTTCTGGCCACTCAATCCGTGACCCACCTTGGGGGAGGTCGTGGGTCCTGCGCATGCAAGCGGCAGGCCAACGGCCAACAAGACCCTACCTCCTGCTGCGTTGCTTCCTCTGCATTGCCAAATGGGAGTCCTGACTGCAATGCAAATGGAGACCTTTAGTCTAGGACGAAAATACAGAAATGGAGTGGGAAGTTACCGCACGACTCAGGGGACCGAGAGTGGAACGTCGTCGACACCGCCAATCACGACGAAACTTCGGCAGTCGTTTGTTTTCTTATGGGCCTAACTACTAGAATTTCCTCAACAACATTGAGAACCTGGTGTGCTTCCAGAGCAACCATGACTCCAGACAGGAGAATCTTGCTTGTATAAATTTCGATATAACCTCGTTACGCTCCAGAAACTTTGACTTACCGCATAATCATATTCCCCTCTGAGTCTCACACCGTTGCCCCCTTCCAACAGTTGATCGGCGTCATTGACCGAGGTCGGTGATCGTCAGGGTCTTAACCGCAGCTATACTAGTTTTGGGCCCCTTCATACTCGTACTGCAGCTGACCCAACAGTCGCCCAGTTTAATTGACAAAACAGCCATAATAGCCACGCAAGGGCCGATGACTTGGCAGCTGCAACATCTGCAGTTACATTGTTATACGTACGCATCTACTTCTGGGCTATATACCATATTATGCGACTACTAAAAATTTATGTAAACGCTCTTGAATTCTGGGCCTGGATGGCTGTACTATTCGTACTTGAGCGTAAATGTCCGGCAGATGCACATCCTTGAGGCTTTGCCCTTTCTCAACCGCGCAGTCATCTCGTACAAGCACCTGGTAGACACTTCAATGCCCCGGTTGCCCTTTCTACCGCTGCTTTCTCCGTGCTCGATCGAGACTCAAGCGTAGCGTAAGTCCTTCCAAACTACCCAGGTCGGACACAGCCAGCTACGAGTGTATTATCTGCACATAGGCCCCGGCTTACATCCAGCATGCGCAGGACATCTCTGCCCAGACCACAAAGCTATTCTCGACGACTCTATGTCGTCGAAGAGCGGAGATATCCCTGATTGTTGTGCCTGCATCCCTCCCTCCCTCCAACCAGTGCGCTCATATCGTACCGCATCATATCATATAATCCTCGCTCTCTTGCTTTTGTTCATCACATGAACATCCGATAAATACCCAACCAAACTAATCCCAAACTCGTGCCCGCAATGCCGAACCGTCTGCTCCTCATGCCGAACATGCTCTTGCTAGCCAGGATCTTGGTCTGCTGCTTCTCGAGCTGCTTGTTGCCCGAGAAGTAGCTGTACGCAGCTAGTCCGATGAATGCGCCCCCACCTGGACATACACAGTCAGCCACCTAGTTTGAGTGTATTGCTATGTGCTCGCCATTTAATTTGGTGAATGGATGGGGTTTCGGGGCGCGGATGGGTAGATGAGGGCAGAACGTACCGACGACACGACACGGGACGCAATCTTCGCCCCGGTCGGCCTTAAGCAATTCTTTGTAATTTTCGGGCTTGTCGAGGTGGCCAATGTTAGGGATTTTATCGCCGGCCATCGTGCTCGAGAGTTAATCAAGACGTGAGGGCTGCGCAAGTAACGAGTTGATTTGGATGGACTGGTTTCGGCTTCGAAGGTTTCTCGAAGGTTTTGAGCTTCGGGAAGTTCCAAAAGAAGCATCAAAATATTTGCGCTAGTCCCGAAGTGAAAATCAGCTAGAACACTTCAGCCGTTGCCGAAGGTCGCGCGCAGGAAGGGAAAGTTCATCGAGTTTCAGTGTCGGAACTTCGACAATCTACAGTTGCAATCGACAAACTTCTGATTCGTACAAAATGTTGCATTGAATATATCCCTCTACATGCACCCACGGAATTACAGCTTGAAGCTCCCACTCGAGGCAGCCTTGGTCGCCTTCGCCTTGTTGCCCTCCACGTCGAGGACTTCTCCCTTCTTGTTAATGACCTTAACACCACCCTTCTTGAGGTCGGCAAATGTATCTTTCTGCAACTTAGCCTTGCCGCCCAGCTTCTTTTCTCCAATGCCGCCAGCCTTGCGAATTCTCTCCTTGGCTCTCCTACGTCTCCTCGTCTTGTCATCTCTGCTAAGCTCCTGCCTGGCAACGGGCAATCCGCTCTTCGCTACCACTTCTCCCTTCTCAACAGTGTCCTTTCCAGCCTTGTAAATTTCCTGTGGTGCGAGCGTATTATCACCGCCCCTTACGCCTTGCGCCGTAGTCGGCTGAGCGTCTTCCATGCTGATAGTTGCGACATCTGCAACAACTGTAAGAGATGGTGCTGCGGGCTTAGGTTTGTAGTGCCAGCTGCTAAGGGCATCGAGCTTGGCGCTGACTTCTTTCCACATCTGCTCAATCTCTTGCTCCTCTTTGCGGATCTTTTCGTCGGCTTGGCTGACATAGCTGTCAGGGTTTGTGCTCTTGATGTGCTCTTCCTCGTAGATTTCAGCAAGACTCTGCTTGGCTTTAGTGTCGTCCAACTCGACGAGACCTCTCCGAGTGTTTGTTTGATCCAGAGAGTCCGGACGCCTTCGCATCACCTCGTCAAACTCCTGCGCTAATATGCGACGCTTAATCATTTCTTCAATGCTCTCACTCATTTCAGGCGTGATCACGGTGACTGGCTTGCCAATATGTTCGAAATCGAGGTCTTCTTCCAAAAGAGAGTGCTTGGGCCGGTCCGCCGCTCGCGCTTCACCAGCCAGTGTCCATTTCTTCTCAGCTACGTTCTCGGCCTCGAGTCTGCGGATTTCCTCGGCCAACTTGGCTTGTCTCCTCTCGTGAGCAGATTTTCGAGACTTGGGGTCGCCGGCTGACACTTCCGATAGTGCGTCTGTGTCCGAGTCATCATGGTCGGATTCGTCGTCGAAGAGATCCCGGCGAACATCAGCCATCGCTCGTTCTATATCGTTTTCGCCTGGCCGTTGGATGCGAGACTCTTTAAACTTTCGCGGTTTCCCGTTCCTGGATCCCTTCTTCGGCGGCGGCGCGAAGAAGTCCTTATAAAATACGTCATTGGCGTTGAACTCTCCCATGCCACCCTCCATTTCCTCGTCAGCCTCCTCGTCGTCACTCTCTCCTTCCGGTGCATCCAAGTCCATATTGCCGAATGTTGGGCCACCCTCTTCTACTTCGTCTTCTATATCTGAGGGCAGCTCATCTTCAACATTGTCATGTCCATTCTTGCTCGGCTTACCGTTGATGACGGTATCTTCAGTCATAGGATCAGCGTGCCAGTTTATTTCCTCGTCTTCGCTTGCCACGTCCGTGTTGGGGTCTGCTTTGGCATCTTGATTCTCGAACCATTGCGTCTGCTTATTGAAATCGTCAATGGAGAAGAAGCCGTCATTAAGGCCATTTGGATCTTCCACCAGTTCCTCTGATGCTTCATCCGATTCCTCCTCCTCGTTATCCTCATCTTGGCCGTCAACTTCGTCGAGATCCTCGATGCCTTCCTCTGCGCCCTCAGGGTCGACCTCGTCTCCATCTTCTTCTCCCGACACCTCCTCTTCTGGCCCACTGGGGTCGTCAGTATCTTTCTCGTCCTCCTCGTTGGAGTTGGTATTGAGGCCGTCTCGGTCAAACTCAAGGGATTCGTTGTCGCCATTGACGCCGTTAACTTCGATCTCGTAGCTCTCTTCCAGAGCTTTCAACGCTTCCTTTGAGTCCTCCAAAGCACTTGAAATGATCCTCCGCGCCTGCTGCCAGACTTGACCGCTCTCGAACCCGTCGACATGAAGTTTCCGTATTTTCAAAACATCGCCTCTTCTTGACCTGTCGTCGGCGCGTTTGCGTTTCTTGTTTGCTTCAATGAGCCGTTGTTGTTGCTCGTCGCTTACTTGCCCAGCATATCCGTCAAGTGTAGCTTTTGCAAGCTGCAATGAGGCATTGGGTATTGAGGCAGTGGGTTGCAGGAGGCCATGGCGATTGCCAGACCTGATGGCGTCGAATAGGGCTAACATATCGGCTAAGCCTGGAGATGCGGATAGAAAACTTAATCCGGGAGCATGAGTGAGTGTGTGAGATGTAGAAGTCATAGAGGACGAGGTGCTGGCAGGTCCTGCCATGATTTGGTTTCAAGACCACTGCGACCGCCTGAATCGTTTGTCTAGTCGAGACACAAAGTCACCGAAAAAAAAAGTCGGTTCCTACCACAGAAGTTCGAGATAGAAGACTTAACCCCGCCAAAGCGTGATTGGTCAATAGACTAGCCTGTCTCCATAATGAACGGAGAACTCGAAGCAAAACACCGGCTGGAGCCGCTTGACGTTCAGCTCTTTCTGCTGCTGACTAGGAACCTTGGAAATTTAGCCCCTCCAGCCTCAGAGAGTACAGGTAGCGTCGTCAAACCAACGCCAGCAGTCCAGCGATGGTCCTGGTCTTTACACCACGCCCACCATGACAACAGGCGTACTAGAAGCGCTCCATATCTACGATGAGCACAAGTCAGTCTGTCGTAAGCCATTGCAATCAGAAACTCGCTGACATTTTTCGAAAACAACAGACGTGCCATTCTCTCTCATACCTACAACTCGCGACCTCTATCAGCAGCCCACCTTCTCCCCCTCTATCTTAGCGAGCCAGCACCGCGGCCAAATCTGATATATCTATCTAACACGAATCCTCCGACGCTTGTCTTCAGTCTGACCCATGCGAACCTGTTATACCTAGCTACCTCTTCTTCGGAAATCGAGCCCCTCCTCGTCCTCGAGTTCCTACACCGAGTCATCGATGCGCTCGAAGAGTTTCTAGGAGCACCTGTACTGGCGCATAAAATTGAAGCAAACTACGATGTCGTGGCTCAGCTCCTGACTGAGATGTGCGATGCCGGCACAATCAGCACCACTGAACCGAACGCCCTCCGAGATGTGGTCGAGGTGGAAGGCCTGCTGGGCAAATTCTTCGGGAGTCTCAGTCTCCCCAGCAAGCCGTCAGGACTCGGGCCAAATTTTGGCAACTCGAGCTCGCCGCCGTTGATCACACAAAATGCCCCCGCATTGCCATGGAGACGGGCGAATGTACGGCACACCTCTAACGAAATTTACGCCGATGTCGTGGAGACCCTGACGGTCACTCTGGCCCCCTCTGGCCGGCCGATTGCGGCTTTTGCGAATGGGACCATCGCATGCACTTCCAAGGTCTCTGGTGTCCCAGATATCGTCTTGAATATTACAGGTCCGTCAGGCAAACACAACATTGCCACCTTTATGGAATTGCCAGTGTTCCACCCTTGCGTGCGGTTAAATCGTTGGAGGGAGAATCCTGGAGAGCTCAGCTTCATCCCCCCAGATGGCCGCTTTATCCTTGCTGGGTATGAGGTAGATCTGCTACCTTTCACCAACGGCAAGAGCGGCAATTGGAGCTCGAATAATCTCAAACTGCCCGTCAGCATCGAGGTAAGGACTGGTCTTGGGTCGACCGGCTCCGAATTCGACATCCGACTCAATATCAACAAGACACTTGGCACTGTTGGCCCGTCAGGTTCAGCTGGCCGAGGAGGGAATTCTAAACCTGGTACCGTTTCGTCTCCATCTCTTCACGATTTGACAGTGTCCGTTCCGCTGCCTTCCGAGGTTAGAAACCTTTCCGATGTGCGGCCAAGCAAAGGCGACGCGAGTTACAATCCCGGGGACAAGTTCCTCGAATGGCATGTCCCACAAAAGGAGCTATCATCAGGGATCTCCCACTTTAGTCTTAAAGCCACGGTTCAGGGGCCGTTTACCGACGACGGTGAAGACGATGACCCGAACGGCTTTGGTTTTGGAAAAGACTACTCATATGATGAACCTTACCAGAATACTCCCGACGCCAAGGCTACGACTAAAACGCAAGGCACCGACGACGAGAAGGATGCGAAGAAGGCAGCGCAGAATAAGATTCTGATGCCCAGTTCTGCGTCCATCAGTTTCTCGGTCAAGGGGTGGGTGCCCTCTGGAGTCAAAATCGACAGCATTGTCGTTGACCCTAAGAGGAGTCGAGGACTGGGAGATGGAGTGAAGCCGTACAAGGGTGTCAAGTACTTGACCATCAGCAAGGGTGGTGTTGAAATACGATGCTGAAACTGGCCGTTGAGATATTCAATGCATGTACGGCGTTGTGGTGGTCGACTCGACATAGGTACCAAAGCTAGCAGCCGATAATACGATGCTCATTGAAACATAAAATTCAAACCCTGTCCATGCTGCCTTTGTCGTGAGTATCAAGCTTATGGCATCTGCAATTAACCAACTTACCAGCTGTTTCTCAAAGCACGACACTTGAGCATATAGAAAAGTATCTTCGTGCCTTTTTTTGTCCTTCCTATGCCAAACGTTGCCGCAGTTCTACCTCGTAGTCCAACGTTCTCTACAGGGAGCAGCCTAATGTTTATAATCATAGACGCCACGAGCGGCGCTATAAGCTGTACGATACCGATTGATATTTTTGAAAACAAAAACTGCGCTACACAGGTGCGATCAAACATGGATATTGCTACCACACGTCTGAAGAAGGCCATCTTGTACATCATTGCCTGAGTTCTCCAGAGGTCGTGTAAAGCTGCCGTGGAACGAAGTTACCCTGTGGCTACAAAAAGGGGCAAATTCCAACAGGAACCGTGATCACGACAGTCTCACCACGGTGAAATAAAACTTCAAGTTCCGACTTACCTAAACCGGATGTTGAAAGCATGTATACACGGCCAAATGGCTCTCTCGTATGATCTCCATCCCGAGGTACAGGTTCAAGAGTCCGGGGAAAGTGGGGTTTTGGCAGCCGCACGTCCGAAGCAAGTTGTTGTCCGCATTTGTGGGGCAGCACAGTTAATGGGAAGGCAGGTGGGGAGGCGTTGTCTTCCAACATTCGGTCAATTCATAGTTCCTGTTGGCAACTTTAACACTACCACGCCCCTGCATCAACGCGAAATAATGTTTTGTTGACCTGTCACTCTGACGCCCGAGTCCCCAAATTCGATGACCGTCAACTTCAACCGCCGCGGCTCAGTCATAGCTGGCGCACGGCGATGAGCGCACTCGCCTTCTCGATGCGCCGGACAGCCCGTGTAGCTCACGGCCTTGTGCCCCACACCCATGACTCGACTCTACGGGTAGCTTCAGCGACGTCACGTCTTGCTCAATTGTGCTCTGGGAGCAATGAGTGGCGACACGCCTCAACGGGCAAGAGATTGCGGCCGCGGACGGCTATCTTCTTCCCAGGTGGGTTGGTCGTTGGTTTCTACCATATCTAATGACCTAATGGTGCGGGGCAGCTTGGGCTAACAGGAGTCACTACTTAGGGCAAGGCGTCCAGCGAGTTGGCATGCTAACTCCCTGGCTCGAAGCATTTCCGCGCACAGCACAGCCTATAATGGATGAAATCGACTCATTACTTGGCTTCAAACTCTCCGACATAATACGTGATGGTCCCTCCAAAGCCCTTACTGCGACGCCGAATGCTCAACCGGCCATAATGGCAACCAGTATCCTAATTCTACGAATACTGGAACGCGAATTTGACTTCAAAGTAGCAGAGCGTATTGACGTCTCGTTGGGTCATTCTCTGGGCGAATTCGCCGCTCTGGTCGCCGCTGGTGTGCTGACGTTCGAGGACGCGCTGTACATGGTGCGGAGGCGGGCAGAAAGCATGGCCGAGGCCACACGCGGCGCTAAGGACAAGTGGGGTGGCGAGTACGGCATGGTTGCTATTATTACCGAACCGGGATACTTGGAATCGCTCATCGAAGCCATCGACGACTTCGTCGGTTACCGTAGCGCCGGGGCGCGGAGTGATCACGCCGAGCACGTGCAACCCATCGACCAGGTGCTGATTGCGAACATTAACTCGAAGAACCAGATCGTGGTGTCTGGCAACTTGGCCAAGATTAATGAGTTGATCACGCATGTTCGCCAATTTCTAGGGCATGATCCAAGGGCTGTGCCGCTGAGGAGCGACAGTCCATTTCATAGCCCCATTATGCGGCCTGCTGTTGCCGTGATGCGCGAGCTGTTAGCTGGTAAGAGCCGAGTGAAGGGTCGCGAGGATATGGATGTGGTTACAAATCTTGGGGTAGTGCCTTGTGTGAGTAATGTGACTGCGCGGCCGTTCGGTAGTAAGGAAGAAGTGAAGGATTTGCTGGCCCGACAATGTCTCGAGACGGTGAAGTGGTGGGATAGTATCAAGTATCTGGATCAAGAAGAGAAGGTTAGACGGTGGATTGGGATTGGTCCGGGCAAGGTCGGCAGGAATCTTGTGGGCAAGGAGGTGGGCATGAAAGGTATGAGCGAGGTTAAAGGCGGGGGCGTATGGGCTATTACTGATCCGTCTGAGATTGAGGAGGTGTTGAGCGGGCTTGAGAAGACGGAATCATTAACTGAAGAGGAGGAACCGTAATGGTCAAGGGTTCATTGATTATTCTGGGTGTATGTCTTATATCATGCAAGACTGAGGCAACTAGACCTCTGGAGGCGGCGTTATTTGTTAGTGTAGAGACAGCAAGTCTCATAGCATGTACCTATTTCCTCAGCGAACGGAAATTTGTCAGGGCACAACACGTACGAGAGTATTAAGCATCGTCAATCTAAACAAATGAATAATGCAGTGTTGCGTTGTAGGGCAGGAGCTTGGGAATAATCTAAAACCTGTCGAGCTTCTCGGCTGGTGGGGCAGCACGTTGAAGCTCTGAACTTCCCCAACTTCAGCTCCTTCAGCTCCAACGTCAGGGCTTTCAACTTCAGCTGTGAGCTTTGAGCTACCTCTCTGCATTCCCATCCACCTTAGCGCAATGGCGACAGCAGTCCCCTCAATAGCTTGCCTAGGCATAATAGGCCGAAATGTGCGTTCCTCAAACCTATCCCTCACCATCTAGATCAATACCGCTGACCCAATAAACAGAATAAACCCCTCCACACTACCATCATCCCAACCTCAACCGATGCGCAAACCGGCTCTCCCATACCCCTACGCACCCCCCTCCAATTCTCCCTCCTCCTCTCCAGCACCCTCGACATATTCGAATCGCGCGCCCGCCACGCAAGTTCCTCGAACACCTTACTCTCGGGCGACTTCGGCCTGCTGCACGCCGTTGACGAGCGCCTCGCCGCCTACGGCTATGAGACCAACACGGGGGTGAAATTTGTGGTTGTGGTAGATATGCGGGGACGGATGTTGGATCTATCATCCAAGACGGGGGGAGTTGGAGCTGCAGGAGGAGGTGGTGGGACGGGGGGTACCGGTGTGGGGTTGAGGGAGGGAGAGCTCAAGGTCGTATTTAGGGCTATGCAGACGGCGTATGTGAGGTTGTTACAGAACCCATTTTATGACCCGGATGAGCATGAGGGGCGAGGTGGAAAGAGGATTACGAGCCGGAAGTTTGCGCAGGAGATGAGGAGGATTGGTGAGCTTTGGGTGCCAGGGAGTGCTACTCTAGGCTAATTCATGGGGATGGCAATCACGGACAACATGGGCTGCAAAGGAAATAAAGCATGATATACATGGCACGGCGTTTTATGGTTATGGATTTTGAGTCTGGCGTTCTCTCAAGATGGTTGGTAATCATGGCATGGTCATGGTTTGTAAGGCCTCTGTATGTTATGGTCTAATATTCTGGAACATGCATTTCGACTCGCCAATGCTCTATCTATTTCCCCCCATGGCACCCTCGCTCATGGCCTCGCTCTTACCCTGGTGCTGCATCTCACCGAGGACGGACTTGCGCAGCTGTTCTACCCTGAGCCGCTGCAAGCCAGCAAGTTCATCCAGCTCCACCGACGGCCCCATAAACGCGTCACTTTTCACTCCCTCTCCTAGTCTGTTCGGAACTGGCTGGGAACTTGGACCGCGCTCCCAATGTCGAGCGTCAGGCAGAAGTGGTTGCCACCAATCACCCGTCCTAGCGTGCCATTGTGCACCGCAAAGTTCCCACAGTCTGCTGGTGGCGCGCTTGTACGCAAATCTCTCATCCTCGCCGGTGAATACACTGGCATTACTAAAGTCCAGCCGCGAATTCTGCTTCAGGCCAAAGTCCGAGTCCTGATCCGGGTCGTACGCAGCGTTGGCGGGGCCGGTATAAGTCGAGATGTTCGGCCGGAACGGTGACGTTTGGTCCTGATATACCTCGGCGATTGTCTCGGGCAGGATGGCATCCGAATCGACCCTATCCTGCCCTTGTTGACCGGTAATTTGGCCATGCGCTGGGTTCACAACAACCTTGGTCTCGGGGAAGAAGAGGTCGTCGGGTCCTACTTCGGCCCGGACGATGAGCTTACAGCGTGCTTCATACAGCGCATCGAGCAGTGTGATCAGACGCCGGGCTTCATTCTTCTTAAGAACGGTCAGGACGGGGATCTTGTCGATGATGAAGGTGTGGAAAGTGGACGCCATAGTTATGTAGTCCGCTGGGCCGTAGGATGAGACTAAATCACCAAAATCCCAGCAAACTACGCCGTTATGTTGTTTCAGGACAATAAAAGTACGCCCGTATACGGTCAAGGTTGATGATGTCCATGGTACACTTCTTTCTGTGAAGGTGGCCAGAGATTCAACTTTCGTGATCCAGGACCTGTCCTCGGTTACACCAGTCAGGAAGTAGTTCCTCGGAGTTTGGACGTCGCTGTCCACAGCCAACGCATCTCCAGCTTCAGGGGGGCCATGCAGCGCTTCTGCCGTAGCGTCCAGGGCCAAAGATGTCCCAGTCTTTTTCGATCCAGATTTCCTTGGCCCATCAGCTTCCCGACGTCGCCAGTCTTTGCCACCTTCCATCTGCCAAAATTCGCATCTCGCCTTCAAGACTTCGAGAAAATTGGCAAAGTCACTCGAAGGTCCGAAAAGCTCCCCCTTGCCTTTCTTCTTGCTTATGCCGAGCATCTGGCCAATCAGCCCTCCCATATTAGGAGCTGGGGCATAGTCGAATCCGCTGGCTTTCTCCAGCTCCTCGGGCATGCGATTTGACGAGGCAACAAGGACACCGCCGAGCTGGAAGAAAGCGGTAAAAAGATTGCTCAGAATCTTGCTCGCGGCCCGATCAGGCAGCTGGAATTCGTCCAGAAATAAAATGGGTGACTTCTCGACCATTTCCTTGGCCATCCACAGGAGCGAGTACTGCTGGTCATCGCTCCCGAGTTGCGTGTGCGTCTTCCGATAGTGCTCTAGCTGAGACAGTGTGTGCAACATGAAGGTGCTGAAATGCCATCTTCTCTTGCGACTTGTTGGCAGCCCATTGGCAAGCAGGTCTAACAACATTGATTTGCCGGTGCCTACCTCCCCCGAGAGGAACAGCCCCTGCGGAGAGTTTATCTGTATAGCGGCTTCATGGCCTGTCAGAACCCTCGTCATGGCCAGGGTATCTTTGGCCTCGGTCGTGGCGAAGAAGCGGGTGAACAGAGGATTTCTCCATATGGGATGACTTTTGATTGCCAGAGCCGCCGAGTCATCACATTTCCTCGATTTGGTACTCTCCAAGGTGTCAGAGATTGCCTTGAGTCTGGCGCGGTACTCGATAGATGGCGAGTAATCTTTGAGCCGAAAGTATATCTTTTGTAGATGGATTGCTAGCCTGTGTTGAGCTGGATCAGGGGAATAAAGCTCCGTTGCTAGTAGGCTGTGGTATTTGACAAGGGGGTCTGTAATAGTTATGGACGTCGAGGTTATAGCCCGTTTCATTTTGGTAGGGGATATAAATATAATGCGTAATAAATGCTTAAAAAATGCCTCGTTTTAGCAACTGCTTGTATGATCCTTATTGACTTAGGTAGAATCAATTGACTTGTAGGCCTGTCCTTTCAGAGGTATTCAAGCATGTGGCATCTCCTCATATGGCCACCCGGCTCAAGATCCTGAAGACGGCCCCTGAAAGAATAAATGTAAAACCAAATACCGAGTTAGAGTGAATTTGACGGATACCCAAAGATCGAGGTCAAACAAGATACCAAAACAATAGATCAGATCTGTATGCTTGGTCACCTACCCAATCCAGGGACAACCGAAAAGTAAGAAAGGCACGAGGTTTTTCCAACTTAAGACACCGGAAACGTTGAGGTCATCATCGCCGTCGCCGTTCTTCGAGAAGGACCCTTGTACGGCGATCAGCTTCGGCAGGTACCACGGGTGGGGTAGGCCGGCATATTTGGGACTAGTGCCGCTCTCAGCTTTGAGCACTGACTAGCGCCTTCTTGGCTTCATTCCATTCCATTATTTTTTGCGGCCAAGGTCAGTCAACAAGGCCAATCAGTATCATATTGCCAGCGTTGAAGGCGTCGTCATTTTTTCGGCCAATGCCTCACTTCTTCGCTTTCCACCCAACTGGCCACGCGATTAGTTCCATCTCCTCATGATGAGCACGCATCAGTCGCATCAACCGGCGCATCGATAAAATAAACTCTACGACCGTTAACGTACCCGATACATCGTAAACCATCTTCATCTTCTACACCTCAAACGTCCGGAGCAGCCGTAGCAGCCGTAGCAGCATCACATCAACATCACCACCACCACCACCACCCGCCACCATGTTCTCTCCCTCCCTCACCCAGGTCAGCGGGAATGCATCGGTCGGCGCGACGCCCAACACACGCGGCCGCAGACGTCAGCGACCCGCAAACACAGAGACTCTGGCCGAGCAACCCAGGGCTAAACGCCAACGGAAACCGCTGTCGGAACAGACCTTCGTGAACCCAGAGGCTACACTCGAGACATACGAGGTCAAGTCTGCGCGACCCTCGATCGAGTTGAAACAGGATGGCCTCGAAAACCCCCCCGAGGTGAAAAAGGAGCTCAGCTTGCGGTCGAAAAAACCAAAGACAGGGGAGCGAATACATAAGGGAGATGGCAGTGTTGTACTGGTATGTGCAAAACTTCAAACCTATGATACCTTGTGCCTTGTGGCCTCCATCGCTAATATGAGGATTTTCCAGACGAGCAACAATGCCTTCATTGTCAGCAAACTTCCTGCTCTGCCGGATAGGCTCCGAACAGACGCGACAAGTGAGACACCCGGAACCTGCATTTGACCAAGCGTTTACTGACTTCAAGTAGGCCGACAACATGGCACTATTGACCCCTTAACTGGCTATGCATTGAACCTTTCACAGACACACGCCGTCGTATGGCCCTACTCAGCACCGACACCCTCTCCCGAATCGTTCGTCTTCACATTACCATATCCCGCGAAGAACTCCACCGACCCTTTACCGCTAGGATCCCTAATCGCCCCCTCAGCGTCATCCTCCGAACCTGGCTTGGTTGTCGTGATACCGACGAGCGGGAAGATCACCTACTGGGAATCGATATCGAGTGCAACGACCCTAGACTTCATGCGCCAACAGCGCACTGGCGTTGAAGACTCAATACCTGGGATGTTTTCAGGCGAAACAGTCATTCAGATCGTCAATGCTGAGTCTGCTGCCGGCTTCATCTTGGTTTTCAGCAGCGGCCGACTGGCCCATATGAGTGTCCGGGATGCTCATGGTCGGCCAAAAATATCGGTACAATTCTTGCGTACTAGTCTTGGTCCGTCAGTTGGTGGCCTTTTTGGAAGCATTCGACAGGTCCTGTCCCATGCTGCTCAAGGCGACATCGCTGCGGTGAGATCAGACCGACCATTGAAGCAAGGAGAGCGCACTATCGTTGCGGCCACTTCCAAAGGGAAGCTGCACGCCTGGAGGATACACCGCGGTGGCCACCACGATCTTCTAACCGAGTTCGATGCCAGGGAACCCATCATCCAGGCCATACAGGACAGAGACCTTTCAGCCAGCAAATACCCAATAGAGTCATTCAAGATTATGGACTTCAGCTTTGTTCCCAGTGTTCTCGACTCCAGGTACTCGGAAATGAGCCAACTTCGCCAGGGCCCGCAGTCTGCCGATTTCCAGCATCTGCTACTCCTCACTTCCTTCACCGGCAAAAACATATGTCGATATAACCTTGTTGAGGTCCTTCTACCAAACGGGGCCTCAACGGAATCTGCGATCGTCGTCGGCATGGTTCGACCGATCTACAACTACTCGACGCCTCCAGATGTTCATGCGCTCGCGAAGCCGCGGTTATACCTACCTAGACCGTCTGTTGTCGCATTTCTGGTGTTTGACCGTGCAGCAGTCATAGCCTCAATTGCGAGAGCCCCAGATTCTCCAGACTCCCAGCTGATGGAGGACAATCACATCTTACCTCCAACGTACGAAGATGTGGTGGACCTACGGGACGATCCCACGCTTGAAATTGTTGGCTCGGGCGTGGAAGAACCTCAATTACCGGGATCTGAGGAAGCCCGAACTCACCGGATCAAAGCAAAAAATCCATCAGCAGTTTTCCTGGTGCGTGGTGCCGGTACTCTCAGGGCCACAACTACCGACGCCGAACGGTTTGCGAGTGAGAAGCCTCCGAAGATCACGGCAAAGAGCAAATTGGAGCAGGCAGTGTTCTTCGGTATCAAGGAAGGAAACCCCCTGGTCTTTGATGTCCCGCGTGAATTGCCATTCTCCGACAACGAAATTGGCGATGCTGCACTGGAACTGAGCAGCGATATTCTGACTTCTAACAGTCCTCATCTTACTGCTCTGGCTCCTCATCTTGAGAACAATATGCAGATGCGAGTTCGAGCTTTAGATAAACTCATGTCCCATTTGAGGAGTCTGAAGGTTGATCTGAGTCGCAACACGAGATGGGAATTGCTATGGAATGCAGAAAAATTACAAGCTGCGCGTTTTATTTGGCAGAAGCACGAGCATTTCATCAATAACCGCCCAGGCGACGCGAAGAAGGACCTCGTTGCGGAGGTGGTAGAGTTCATCAGAAATGAGGAAAAGGCACCGCGCGACGTGGCGAGAGGAGAGGTGGATCAGTTGAGGCACTTCTTTGTGCACGATGCGCACCGTATGAACCTTTTCCTTGCTTGGGCTTATGAGGTCGTCAAGTACAATGCCAAAGCCAACCTGGACCAAGCCTCGCTTACCCGGCTGGTCTATGAGGCGATCGAGATAAACAACGGAGCCCTCCGCGACGCAATGGCATTCCGAAAGACGCATCTGGCCCTCTACGGGTTACAGGGCGAGAAGATGGCCAACGGAATCCTTTCGGATAACTACACTGGCCTTCCGGCACCTTGGACGGCGGATCAGTATATCACCAACAATTTGAAACGTCTCGTGGAGCTTGCTTCCGAGTGGGCCAAGGAGAACTACCTGCCGAACTCCCCCAATACCCCGGAGCAAGTCTTGATTCAACGGATACGCGCTTTGCTGCCGCCAACCATCGAGGTCTACTTGACAGCCGTGCAAGAGCTGTCGCGGTGGGCTCTGGCCAGTGAAAACCCTAAGTATGTTACCATTGGCCAAACATTCCAGGCAACCTACGAAGCAGATCGTCATGACAAGGTCGTCCTACTCGCCCAAACGGCAAACTGGGATGCTGCAATCAAGATCGCAGAGGAACACAGGTCTCTCGCTGCGTTGGCGGACATCTTGACTTCGCAGATTGATTCTTATCGCAAGAAGCTCGAGGTCGGCGGCCTATCTTCTGAAGAGACCGCTCATCTTGAGGATTTGATGGAAGCCAAGGAAAGGCAGGTCCGAGACAGTTTTGACAAGTACGGCAAGGCATTCGCCTTCCCCTTCTACGAGCATCTCATCCGCGTATTCGGAATTGATGCCGTCCTCGAGTACGCCGGCGACAAGCTCTACAAGACGTCGTATCTACGCACGAAACCAGAGCTTGCCAAGGTGTCTTGGATCAACGATATCATCGGGGAAGAAGATATTCTGCATGCTGCTGAGACTCTTCTTAACATCGGCTTGGCACGTGAACAACAAGTGTGGAATAAGAAGATCGAGCTAAGTCTGGGCAAGCTTGCTCGGATGGCTGAAGCATCTCGCCCTACCAGCAAAGCATCAGCCAGTATTCAGGAAGCCACCGTCAATGAATCAGTCGCTGATGCCAGCGTCGATGCCATTGACAAAGAGCTTGCTATTATCAAGATACAAGATCAGCTCTACGGACAGATTCGCCCTGTTGTTAGTGTCGCAATCGACGAGTCAGCAGAGCTTCCCATGGCAATCGAAGAATTCCCCGTCAAAGTCCCGAAGAAGTATAAGATCCTCTCCGAGATTTTTGAGGACGGTCTGGGTCGTCTGCTCAGACACGAAGCACTCGATCCTCTTACTCTCATCGACCTGCTTACCCTGATTCAATTGAAACCTGAGCTTAAGGAGCTCATACCTGACCAGTTCTTCCTTGCCATTGAGGTCGCCAACTACGGTCTTTCTGGAAGCGAACGCGACCAAGCTGAGCGCCTCATCTGGAGAAGATGTTACCTCCGAGAAGATTGGACGCGGATCAACAACACGTCTCTCAAGGGCGACAATGACATCATGGAAGTTCTTGGCACTACTGACCTATTTCCAGTCTTTTGTGTTCTCTATGCAAACCGTAAGTTTACCTTGCCAGTGCACTGGTCTTGCAAGTGGATGCTGATGAAGACGACAGAACAAAGTGGAATAGACGGCAAGCCTTATCGACGTGTCATGCCTTCGGAAGCACTAGGCGTCTATACCGACACCCTGGACAAACGCTTCAAGAACCTTGACAAGGCTTACCGCGAGAAGCTCCTTGAGGCCATGCGTTGGGAGGATAAGAACCTCAAGACGCATATCGAGAAGCACCGGCTAGAGCAGTGGGCCAGGGACACCCGAAAACTGGCGGAGGATGCCGTGGATCACCAGTACGACCAAAAGACGGAGGAAGGCGCGGCATCGCAGTCGCCCGTGCCGTCAAGGGGATATGGTGCTTCAAATGGAATCGAGGCAAACGGTATCCATTAGAGTACACAGTCGCCTGATGAATGTTGTAATAGGTGCAGTGACTGGGGGCCGAAGATGGCGTCCGGGCTGTACAATAATGAATAAGTGTGGTGTCGGTTTATATATCCTGTTGGAAGGCGTAATGGGGTGGACAATGCGGACAGGGAGTAAGAGACAACAGACTTCGTTCGATCTGGGACTATGTGACGGATTGCTGAGAAATGGATACAGCAACAACACAAAATAGGACCGCAATGCAAATCAAAGGGAGGCTGGTCTTCTACGCTACATTCTGCATCACCTATGCGTTATTGAGCATTCGAGCGTTCTCTGTGTTTTACTTGAGATTATATTTGAGACTGGTAGATGAGATAAGCGGCATTATTATGCCAGGGTGATGTTTCATATGGTAGTTTTTTACTCTTGATAGCGCTCATTCACTTTTACTGCTCATAGAACGAGTCAACTGTGCCGTATATTACTGCTGTGAAAATTGACAACATGGCAGTTTTATCTCGGGGTTGATGACGCGATTATCACGTACTCCTGTATCTGTCTTGACTATTCTGACACGGAGACACTGAGTTAATATTATCGTACTTCTGATGTTTCCGGCGACCGTATTGATGAGAGAGAAATCAGGAGCTTGTCATAGTCCCAGGTACTATTCCTCACCGAGCCCAACAGGGCCTGGCAACAATAAATATTCTAGGCTCAAGGGCCAAACATCAGGGACACTGGATTGTGACATGTCAGGTGAAACATCCCCTGGGGTCAGATGTTGATATACGTAATCTTGTCGACGTGCTTCATGAAGTTGACTTAATGAAGCAGGTTCAGTCCCAACCACTGGGCGTATAGGTTGCACAAAGATATATCTCGTTGACTATTTTAACCTTACTTGCCAGTTCTTCAAGCGGCAAGAAACCTCGTTTCGAACAGGGTAGGCTCGGGGGTTCAACCTGATGCTACTTCGACCTCGCAGATATTCGTACATGACTTGGCAGCCCCAATATCAGATTCATGCTACAAGGACAGCCGTGGTCAAATGAAACATTATCAACAGAGCGACCTAGCACAGGCAAAAGGAGGTTAAAGTGAAAATACTTTTCAACTACATCATCTCCCTATTTCCGAGCCCCGGATGTTGAAGTCCGGGACAGACTAGTACAGGTGTTGAGCCATAAACCCCTACCTGAACAGCCAAACAGCAGTAGCAGTATGCGCCACTTGTCGGCAAGAGGGGACTTAAACAATGAATAAAGCGACGAAAGAGCGGCAGGTTATACGCGGTCGCAGGCACTCGAAGCGAACCAACTCATCACCAATTTTGTTCCGAGTCACACCTCCCAACGCCCTCATCAAGTTCCACTTAAAACAGCTTGTGCTCCAGCGTCATATCACTCTCCGGCTCCAACCCCACACAAGCCCGGAAGATATTCGTCAACGCACCCCTCTGCTTGGCCAGCGCGTTGACAACAGGTGTACCGGGCGGTGTCAAGGGGGCCTTGAGCATGTACGACAAGATACTAAGCACGCTGTGGAAGCCCTTGTAGTCTTTGTCTTCTTCGGAGCTGACGCGCCACTGGATGCGTGTCATCATCTCGGCCACGAGGACGAGGTCGATGATGAGCGGCGAGGCGAGCAGGGAGTCCTCACAGACATTGAAGATGCTTTGGTGGTTGTTGTTAGTGTGAGTTTTAACCACGATGATGAGGTATTTGTATCCGAGTGGGTACTCACGAAATTGTCTGATGCCCTCCCAAGAAAATCTCCGCATAATACTCATCCAGCGCACGCTTGTTGTCCCCAACAGCGGGCATGTACTTGATGACGACCGTATGATCCGGGTGCTCGCCTGGCTTATATAGGACCGAGTTGGCCTCGACCATGTCGTCAACCACGTTGGATTTTGAAATCTCTTTGGACCGGAACTGCTTTTGGGAACTAAGGTTCTTGCCGTCGTTGTTGCCGAGGTGGTTGTAACTCGCGATGGACGTAAGCTTGATGCCCGCGCTGATGAGGAAGTCCACCAGCGCCGACTTCATCTTGGTCTGGCCTGACTTGAAGTCGTCGCCGCCGATGAAGGAACCGTGGCGCTCGGCGAGCTCGATCGCACCCGGAACGAAGGTGTTCTGAGGCGAGCCATTGATGAAGGGCACTTTGTCCAGGATGCAGGCAACAGCGAATATGGTGGAGGGGGAGACTTCCTCGTGGCCCTCCTCGATGGCCTTAAGCAAGCCGTCGGCCGTGTCGTTGACGCCGGGGATGATGTCGGCATACCGCTCCGTATTGGCGGTCCACTGAACGATAATCTTGTCGAGATTATTCTTGGACTTGAAGTCACTGCAACTTATCAGAGACGATGGCCCCACCCAGCGAGGCCCTGAAGACTTACCTGATGTCCTTCCGGATTTGCTCCACGTGAGCCACGCAAGCCTTATTGCCCTCGACTACATTGTCTGCACGGTCCTCCTGGTTGGCCGCGATGAAATCGGGATAGTAGATACTAGGCAGGGGAACCATGCCAGCCATCTCCTTCTTGACCTGCGCCTTGAGCGTGGGCTCCAGAACGGCGGCCCGGTCCATGGCATCAGCGAGGTTCATGCGGCTGATATCCCAGCCCCCAATGACGAGATCATTGGGGTGAACCATGGGAAGCACTCCATGAAAGGGGATGCTGACCTCCTTCATGGTCTCGGGGTCGGTGCCCAGCTTCATGGTCGATCCCATGATAACCGAGCCGTAGTAGTTGGCACCGCGAGGCCCCTCGCGCGTCTCCCACACCAGCCCGCGACGGTTAGCAATGATACCGGCCGTCACCGTTGTGCCGTTGTTGCCTCCCCAGCCCACAAGCATCATCCCGACCTTGGGCACCTTGCGGTCCACCTTGAAGTCGTACATGGTCTCGCGAGGCGTGGCGACATACTTACGATCGGCATTCTTGGACACGCTGGTGGTGCGGTACGTGTACTTTGACAGGATCTCTGCATCAGTATAGACTACATTGGGAGAGCTAACGGTGAAGAGGTCGTCCTTGTTAGTGGTCGAGGTTGGCTGGTGGCCGTTGTTGGGGTGTCCATTCCCGTACGCGGAGGCCGAGTCCACCTCGGCGTGAGGCGCCATATTTGCGGGATGGCGGTAGCGTATCATTCAATGACGCATACACCCTCTATCGAGTAAAGGGCGAGTCCGCTGCGCCTCCTGGAGACGAGCAGCGGCCTCCTGCGTACGGGTGATGGACCCTATGGAGCAGTCAGGCATGTGCTATCATTTGATTGCAGCCGTTACGCATAGCTTACGAGTTGAGGAGATTGGAAAACGTCTTGACGACTTGGGTGATCGCAACCCGGGAGTGCGATCTGCTGTTGGTGCGAATTATGCGAGGTTGAAAGAGCACAAGACGGTTCAGCTCGACTGGTCAAGATGTTGCCAGAGGTGACTGCAAAAGGATGAAGGGGGGAAAAGAGGAGGAGGAAAGCTCGATAGGCTGTGATTAACTTTATATGGCGGCAGCTAGATCGGAGCAGATAGGTCGCCAACCTGCAGCCCAAGACTACGAGTTACCCAAGCCAACAAACACCTGCAGAAGCGAATCTTCAAAACTATAGACATGCAATACTGTCGAGTCGGAAGTCGTGATAGCGGCGCCGCTGCCCCACCATGGAGCGAACTTGCATGTGCAAGAAGCCGAGAGCAGCTCGAGGAGGAATCGCGGGGGTGTTCAGAGACTTGATTGGGGCGTGAATATGAGCACTTGCCGATTCAACAAGGTTGACGTTGTGGCGGTCAATAGACGGCCTCAATCGAGTTATGTGTCCTGCAAGTTGGTTTTTACACCAACACCGTGACGAGTGAACAAATGCAGCCAGTCGTAGATTGATGCTTAGGACTGGATTGACGGTATGCCAGCGTGGCCCGAGGACGAACGGCATGGTAGTGCTTGTTGGCACTGTTGCTTGTATGCACGAAGGCTGGCAATGCCATGCCCCAATGAGACAGAGTGGCTTCAGCATCAAATCCGATCACAGAAGCATGTTGATCAGTGGGAGAGCTTTGGACAAACGTTGGGTGGCTATCAAGTCAAAGTTTGTCCGTCTCTCCCTCACTCCCAATGAATCGACATCCCGGATAGGCACACAGGGCCATTCGTCGATGATGATGACAAATAAAGCACGTGGAGACTAGTACTACATCTCCTTTCCGACTCGTTTTTATTGGTGATCGAATATCAGATCCAGCTGATGTTATTGAGTTGAAAATAAGTCGTCTTCATACTGCATGATACGGTACCAAATGGTACCGACATGCATTCGCTCAGGGGTAGGTGGAAGAGAAAGTGGACCATACCATAGTATAGATATATTGAGCCACTCCGCCTCGAGACTCACAGTGACTGGTCGACTGGCTCCTGAAGATGATCACCTGGATCCTGGATTTCAATGCTCAAAGGGAAGGGGCAAAAACTAACGATGGTCTGGAGTAGCAATTCGACAGGGGGACTCTATCCAGATCTATTGCAGATCCTCATTGACACAACCTCATCATGGCCCGTGGTGTGTGTGGACCATCTCCATTGATCGCTGCGGAGAAGATTGCGCAATGTAGATAAAAAGTCGACATCCCGAACTCGAAAAGACGCATATCCAAACCTTGAGAGGCGTTGGGCACTTTGATGCGAGAAGTTGGCGGGTATTCGGGTTTGACTTGGCGCTTCAGGCCAGATAATCCATTCAGTCGGCGATGGCAGCGTCTCGTCGGCCCCTCCGTCATGACAATACAAAACGACGGACTCAAAACTCAATGCTGGTGCTAATTGTGGTCAAGCAATACCACGCTGAGAGCACACGCGATGACATGAGCTGGGCGCCTGCGAATAGTCACGGGCGCCGAGAAGTGCATGGCCTAGTGCTGAAGCAGTTCGTTTTTAGATCTTCTGGCCCGTCATTTTGTTGCCAAGACGAGAGGCTCCAACTTCCGGGGTGGAGAGTTATAATTGCCTCGCAAGTTTCGGCTGCCGACGTGCAACTGGGTCTCCAAGCATTGTGTTCGACGTCTTTCTTTCTCAGGAAAGGACAAGACTGCAGATCCTTTTGGTTCAAGTGAGTGAGCCGACTCGGCAGCTGATGTTGCCGCACCGCTGTCTTGTATGCGCATAAACACGGTGCAACGGCATCGCCCTCGCCCATCGGCGCTGTGTCAGTGTGTGGCCGAGTCATTACGTGTTCCCACTCTCGGACTGCAACAACGAACGGAAAAATCCAACACGGGGCCTGCGCGTCATATAGACAGCAGGTCATATAATTCCCATTTATATGCGTCCAGCTGAAGACGTCAGACGGCCGAGTCAGATTAGCTTTGCGACCTTAATAGCTATGCCACTGCCCGTGCTACCCCCGATTGCACCGTATCGGGTAAAGCGATGAGTGTTAAGTGGAGGATTGAAGCTAAACAGCCAAATTGTCAAATGGGAGCTGGTTCTGCGCCGAGTGAAGAAATGATGTCCGTCATACTGGTAGACTATGAGCCAGTGGATGGGCCATTAATGAGCTATTGTCTCCACGACGACGGGAGGAGGTCATTTGCGGCTGATTGCCGGCATGGACGAGCAGCAAATACAGTCGCATCGTGCCTACACCCCATCAGTGGTCCATAATGCATGGGGCACAAATCCAGAAGTATCAAATAGGAGAGCGCGTCGGACCACGTCGATGTTGGACGCCGCGAAAGGGACCGAGACGAATTCCGGTTCTGAACCTGGGAAGGCCTCAATGCAGCTATCACCCACTGTGGAAAGGTGGAGACCCCAACGTGCCAGAATGGAGCGCCAAGATGCAAGGTACCCGGCGGACGCTAGCTTTGAGAGTCGAGTTCCCTGGCCTTCCCTAGACGGCAGCCACAACGGGCTCGTTCGCCCGTAACAATCTGGCGTCCTTCACTCATTTCAAGCTGATAGCGTCGGCTTGTTCGATCTATGCATGTTGGTTGGTGGGGCTAAAGACCTCGCATATTGATGGTCGAACAAAGCGACTCTTCATAAGTTGGCCCTTCATTTGCCTGAAATCGTTCTGGTAATTCTCGGGTGACATTCAGTGCCATCCAGAGGGGCATTTCCCATATCATACTGTAGAGAGACGATGCCTTGAACGCCGCTGCGAAACATCAACGATTTGGGTTGACCAATTTGGCAGTGAGGATCTTCCGCAAGGGATCGGCGGCGACAGCAAGTTGCCCTCCACCACCACCCTCGCGGCAACTCGCCTTTTTGACACCAACGTCGTTTCCACATATCCCCAGACTCCAGCACAGGCTGTTTTGACCGTCACCCCTCATTACTTCGCTCGCCGTCCTGCCTGTGGCCTATCTACTCTGTGCCTGCGTCGACGACGACAGTTCATCCGTGTCAACAAGTCGACGCAAGGAGCAAATATAGACATCCATCGACTTGATCCATCACATACCCACTCTGCCGCCTCAAATTGAGTCGCCAGACATTACGGTACGAGAAAACAGACACCAGGACAAGGGCTCCTGGACAGGTGACCGTGCTTGCTGCAACAGGGGGTGTTGGCAGGGGCTCAGGGACACCACCCTCGAGCTTTGGACCTTTCGAGACGGAGGCTGCAACACCAAGGACCAAGAGACCTTTTCACCGACCTTCACTCTTTCGCTCTTGTTTCCTCACCACCAATTGCAATCTGTCAAGCCTGTATCCCTGGCGCTGGCGGCTCTCTCAAACATCGCGAGCTCAAAATAATACCGATTTGTTCAAGCAAGATCCTGGAGTTTTGTTTCTAAAACACATTGCTTCGGGCCGCCCGCAACTCATCATATCCCATGACGCTAGTCTCTACATGACGCTCGAGTTTGAAAATCCGTGTCTCTGGGTTACTTTCAGATAAACTTTGAACTGTCCTGTCAAAATCAAGAAGTCGAATACCGCCAACGTCATTCTAGTTCAAAGTCAAACACTTTGAAGTATAACCTCTCTCTAACCGGCAACCGACTTACACGCGCGCGAATTGCCACTTTTGTTACGAATGCGTACGTCCACTTGGATAGACTACGTCTGAGGATTGGAGAAGACAGGGGAAACCGCAGGAAACATGGCAGGACTACCGCGAGAGTCGACATTCATGCCGACGATAAAATGTTCACAATGTGGCAATGAGGTCGAGATCTCAATGATGGGCGATCATATCTGCGGTGGCGCACCCGCACTACCAGAAGGTCCGTAAGCCCCAAGTTTTCTGCGCTGCACCGCATCGCTGATTGTGATAATGCAGAAGCAACACCTCCACCAGATGTCCTGGGAGGCGCATTCGCGTCGCTCAAGTCGACAGTATTCGGCTTTGGTAGCAAGGCAACACCGCCACCTAGTGTTGATACTTCGGCAGCCAGTATGCTCATCAGTACTTGGATATTCCTCTTCTCGGTTTGGCTGCTAACGTAATCCAGACCTAGCTTTCAAGGATCAACTCACGCCAGTGAGTGCATCGACTGGGTCGAGAACCATCTCACCAAAGACACCGACTGGACGGACTAGTACAGGCCCCAGCGGCGGCGACTTCTTCGTACCAGCGATAGCGCAGTCGACTCCACCGCCGCAAGGCGGGCGACCAGGCGGCTATGGTGGATTCGGGGACCCTCAACCCTACGAAGCCGAGCCAATGTATGGGTATAGCTCGAGTCCGCAGAAAGCAGCACCCCTGGCACCTAACGTATTGCAAAGAATGAACTCGATTGCGCCGGGACCATTCGAAATAAACCGACGAGCAGGGCAAAAGGGTACGAAGAACGCATTCGCACCACCGGCGGACACGCTGACGCCAAACCTGGATGACGGGTCAAGAAATGGCTACGGCATGGAGAGGCCGGGCACTTCGTCATCCAACAGCGGCATGGCACCCCCTCGTGCACCACGGAAGAATGGGTACGGCGGGTTTGGGCCGCCCCAGAGAGAGCAGGAAACCGAGTTCGACCCGCGGCCACTCCCCGCCACACAGCGTGCAGAGACTTTCCCGAAGCAAAATCCCCGGGATTTCTCTGATGCACCCTTGCGCATTCCCTCGGAGTCAGGACTCCGACCAGAACGCCCCCAGAGAAGTAACAGCGAATACAGCATTGAGCAGCCGATCATGACGGCCGACCGTCAGCAACGGCCATCCTTCGGAATGCGAGATACATCCCGGCCTCCGCCACCGCGGAAGAGTTTAATACGGCCGCCTACCCGTGAGCAGACGTTGTCCGTAAACCTGGCAGACGAGTTTGGGATGGGAAACCCATACCACTCGCCATCCGTCTCGCAGTCGTCGAGCAAATCTGGGTACAGCCAGCTGTCGCAGCCTAGTGTGCCGAGTTCGAATACAAGTCCGGCACGGTCAACTGCGTCGAGGAGGATGCCATCCGACGCAGCAAAATTCGACGGAATTATGGACGATCTCTCATCTTCCATGGGCTCGCTGAACCCCAGAGATATTCCGCCTGCACGCCCTCAGCCACCACCCATGGATAGCAGGCCCTCTTCGCGGTCCAGTAGCCGCCATCCGCCTCCGGATAACCTTCGATTCGATCCAGCGATTCAAGGCGGGCCACCACCGCCGCGGATGAGGTCACCTCTAGCATCACCAATAGACGGGGCGTTTGCGAGTCGCAGGGATCCAGCAATCCAGGGGCCGCCTATTGACGCCGGTAGAAGCCGCTCACCAGTCGGTCGCCCGCACAACAGAAACCAGTCCGTGGGTCGGCCTCGAGGGAACTGCAAGGCGTGCAAGCTGCCTATTACCGGCAAGTCTATCAGCTCTGCCGATGGGCGTCTCACCGGACGCTATCACAAAGCATGCTTCGTGTGCACCACATGCCAGGAGCCCTTCTCCTCGTCGACATTTTATGTTCTGGACGACAAGCCGTATTGTGAGCAGCACTACCACAAGCTGAACGGCTCGTTGTGTGGCACATGTCACATCGGCATCGAAGGGCGCTTCCTCGAGGACGAGGCGAATACCAAGTACCATCTGACCTGCTTCAAGTGCGCAGACTGTGGCCGGATTCTCAGCGACGGCTATTTTGAAGTCAATGGTAGGGCATACTGCGAAAGAGACGCCTTCAGGCGCGTGCAACAGCCCATGATGAATATGCCCCCTGGACGTGGCGGGCGCGGCGGTCTAAAGCCCCCACAGAACGGGCGTCCTTTCGGTCTTCCGCAAGGAGGACGGCTTGCTCCTTCAGGGCTGAGACCGAGAATGGAAAGGAGGATGACGCGACTAGGAATGATGTGATCGACGATACCACCATAAGTTGATCTCTCATCTCTTGGATCGAACGACGAAACGCCGATTTCCTTTGTTGCCGACTTACATTCGCCCCTTCGACCAACCCGCTAGTCATTTAATCTACGACTCTTGTAATATTTCTTCACGACCCGCTCTTCGAAATTCTGGAATATTCGAAGCGTACGGGGCTTTTTGACTGGTTTGTTTCCGTGGTTCGGGCAGGGGAAACAAGCGACGCATAACTATACCCAACCTTCATTTCTTGACACTACTATGTACCCGCCGCCCCCCACCCACTTTCGATACGGTCGGTTACCATCCGTTTGTGTTATCAGGACATCATGGCGGAGGAACTCTTTTTGCAAACACACTTTTTGGAAAAACTTGCATTGGCGGGACAAACACACCTCGATATTAGCATGGCAATGCGAAGAGGTTACTGGAGCTCGGTCGACATCGACTTCGAGCCGAGATGAGGAGGGCGGAATCAAGGCGGTACGGAGATTACTGCGCGCCGCCTGCTTGTACAAGCGGTCACGAGAAGATGCCGTAGCTAGCTCCCACGAAGCGAATGGCCATGGCTGGATGTGTCGGCCGGTGGGCCAAGATGAATGAATGGAAAGAAAGATCTTGTAACCGTTGCTGTTAGGCACAGACACTATCTGTTACCAGACAGACTGAGCTTATATAATCACTCAAGAAGTTCAACCTGAGCTGTTCCCACTCGTAACATCTTAGGTGATCGCATGTATTAGTAAAGTTATTATTCACAGGCGTTGGTACATGGCGGGCCACTGCAGGCAGCTTGCGTGACGGCCTGTGTCAGGTTTGTACTGCTGCTATTACTATGATACATCCTAAACACCATACCATTGAAACGACATCTTCGGAGGACAGGCAAGTTGGACTCTGGACTTGGATGTCATTCACCACTAGTCGCTTTCATCATGCTGGTTGGCTTCATGATCCAACCTGACCTGATACCGATATTCCGAGATGATTATTTGCTATTAGTAAGGTATTTCCCGCCGCCGCTGGATGACAGGCACAGGGGAAATTACTCCAGAGTTAAAGTGCACGTAAGACAGACGCACGGCTCCATCAGGGGTGCTGATTGGTTGCATGTGTCGGTACGCTGCCGATCGTCTTACCACCATGCTGAAAAGATCTCAGGAGTTCCTGGCTCTGGTTGGTTAATGAAGCTGTTAGTCTGGCACGCAGGATTATTAGAACCAACAAGGGCGCTTTGGGGGCCAAATCGGAGGTGCAAAGCGGCGTGCCAGTGACAATGACATTGCGACTTCGATAGGAGATAAGAAGATGGCTGACAGACAGGCGCGGCGAGACAACTGTCACGGGACGAGTGATAAATGTTGGTCACCAGGGGTGTCTCATGTAACAGTTCGGAGCCTAATATAAGTGCAATCGCGAACGACATGGTGTACTGATGTTAACTACTGGACATAACTATTTATGCCATCCTCTCGACGAAGGCTTCCATCGATGATAGAATGGGTGGCCACACGCCTGACTGACCATCACCAACGCCACACATCACGCCTGTACGAAGTACCACGACTTCCTAGCACGACATCACTGCAGTGCGAAGGTTTCGGCGGCCGCCGCGGGAGCGGTACCGCAATTTCGCAGGCTGCGCAAACATCTACCCTCTACGTCCAATTGTCCAGATGAACACCATCATCCATTGAAGAAGGGTAATTTCTGCTATTCCGGACGCGTAATATGACCCGGCATCTCCAGTAGGTCATATACCCGTACACACGCTTGTCTCCGCGATCCAGAGCAGTGGAGTTCCACGACTCCGCTTGAGCTAGAGGAATAGCGGGGTGCTATCGTGACGGTAGCGTTTGACGCTAAGAAAGGGGGTAGCTCTCAGTTGACCCATATCAAATTGAAGCATGTACGTAATGTACGTCAATGGGTTCTTGAGGCCGATACGTGTTCGACAGAGATGTTGGATGTTGAATATTGGACAGAGAGGCGTTGGACTTGGAGGCTTAAGTAAGCGGAGGCAGTTACACCGGCATGGACTGCAACAGAATCTTGTACTACACTGGGCAAATTGTGAATGGTTCGGCCCAGACGTTCCTGCTTCTACGAGTTGAAAGGTGTGTAAAGCATAAGAACCTTAAGTGATTTGCCGCGACGGACGCTTTTACCTTCGATCTCCCAAAACGTTTGTTAGCACCACCATCTATGAAGACGCCTGACGGTCGTTGGTGCTCCTTCCTTCCCAAGACGGTGCAATTGATCTCCCCCAAATAGGAGAGTTCAAAGTTCGAAACGTCGAATTACTTGGGGCGCAGTTGATCAATGTGGCCAAGAACTACCACGACATCACCCTTTTCTCCAGTTTGTCTCGCACCACCTCACTTTCTCCGTATGCGTGCGTGTGTGTGTGTGTGTTGGTCTGCACCCAAGTAATTCAACCTCTAGCTGCCTTTTGCCTCCATTGTGTTCGCATTGCCTATCCTCTCCACTTTGGACGTGTCTCGTCGCCTTTGCATGCTACTTGGTACTCCACTTGTTGGGTGTGTTATGCATAAGCGACTGGCCACCTTGTCACCTCGGACGTTCATCTAGACATTGGGCTTCCAGCATTCCATCGTCGACTTTTTCGACAGAAACCGTCCCACTCCTTTCAAACTGCCAGGCCATCACGCAAACCACAAAGCAAAAGTGCGAACACGCAAGCAGACCCATGACTCCGGTTGACCCGGCCACTGATTCCCAGCGACTCGAGCAGCACCACCACGCTGTCCAACACGATGTTAACGGCCTCTGAATCGCACTAAATATCCGCGATCTCTAACCCGTCACGACCTGACACGCCCCGACACGCCCCGACCATCCGCGAAACGCTTTGTTTGTGCATATTGGTTTGGACACCATGTTGGCCCCGCGGCTTTGCACACGGCCGAAGAGCCTCCTAATCCTCGTCCTATCCGCCGCGGCAATTTACTGGTTGCTGCTGCGTACCCAAGACCCCCGACCTCGAGCTGTGGGGTTGTATAACGGCGCCGCAGAGCCGCCTAGGCCGGAAGCGCAAGTCGCAGCGCCAATGCAGGGCAACGACGTGAACCAGTCTCCGCTGAAGGGTTCCGAGGATGCCCAACCAGACCGCAAGCCGACGAGCGACTCGAAGAGCGGCTCCAAGAGCGGCTCGAAATCGTCAGCAGCAGACAGAAAGAAGAAAAAACCCCACAACCAAGGCGGCAAGTACAATTTCGAAGACGACCCGGACCTGACCGAGGAAGAGAAAGCAGAGAAACGAAGACAAGAAGAACATGATCGCATGGAGAAGGCCATACGTAACCAGTTCGAAAAAGAGGAGCGCATGATGGGCAGGTAGGTTTGGTGGCGTGCCGCCTTTGCAACCTACTCGCAACACTGGGTTCTAATCGTCTATGTAGGAAACAAGGCGCAGGCGCGATTTACGGAAACACCATGACCACACTCGTCGACAAGGCATCATCTAGAAGTGTGGCGAACGAGGCAGCGCTGAAGCCAACGAAGGAGACGGTCCAATTCACGGACGAAAAGCCCTTTATCTACGACCCGTATCCCCAGTACAATCGGAAGGAGTGGCAGACGAGTAAACGAGCCGAGTTTGTGCCCTGCGAGGGCCCGGATGGCCGACCGGTCGAGGACATCAGGGTCTTCAAAGGCGCACCCCGTGATTTCCCTCCCCCTTCTTTCGGCAGTTACGAAGTTCTAGATATTGATTCGAACTTGTGTTTCGAGCGAGAGACGCGCCTTGGCCAGTACGGCTATGCCAACAGCAGAAACACCAAGCTTTCAGGGGATTGGGACCTGATCAATTGGGGACAGCTACAGGAGCTATGCGTCAAGAAGAATAAAGCCCGATTTGACATGCGAGGAAGCCCCAACCCGTTCATCGATAGCACCTACGGACAATTTGACTACGGTTTGAGCACCGCGGACAAAACAAACAACAATGACGAGCTGAGGAGAAGAAAGAAAGAGGAGAAACCGTCGGGCCAACGATACGAAAATAGTCGGAACGTGGAGAAGGAACAGAGGACCGCCGTTTTGATACGAACTTACACGGGTCACGATTACACCGAGAATGACAAGCAGGTCATTCGTTCGATGGTATCGGAACTGTCCCTGCGAACCGGGGGGCAGTATCAAGTCTTCCTTTTCGTACATGTTAAAGACACCGACATTCTGATCTGGGACGATGAGGATACTTACCAATATATCCTCCACGCAAGCGTACCGCCCGAGTTCGCAGACATGGCCATCCTGTGGAATGACGATGCCGTTCGATCCGTATATACAAAGCTGGACGAGCACACGTCGAGTGTTCATGTCGCGCAGTGGTTATCCGTCCAGAAGTTCTCACAGGAGTTTCCGGAATTTGACTTTGTTTGGAATTGGGAGCTGGATTCAAGAGTGATCGGTCATCACTTTGATTTCCTCGAGAAGTTGGTCAAGTTTGCCAAGAAACAGCCACGTCGAGGACTGTGGGAACGCTCTGATCGATACTACATCCCTTCAATCCACGGGGATTACGACACAGATTTCCGAAAGAACGTGGAGAGTCACGCGGTGAATGGCAGCGTCTGGGGCCCCCCGGATCTCCCTTTCATCAAACCTATAGGACCCAAACCTCCGGTCAAGAAACCGGAGGATGATGATTATGAGTGGGGCGTCGGGGAGGAGGCCGACGTGATTACGCTGGCACCTATATTTAACCCGATCAACAGCTCGTGGATTGGCTGGTTTGACGTCTGGGGCTATAACGACACGTCGCATGTGAGTCTGGACGTGCCGCGGCGAGCCACCATCATTACCCAGTCCCGCGTGTCGAAGCGCCTGCTCGACATCATGCACGTCGAAAACCTGCGAGGAAACCACGTCTCGTCGGAGATGACGACGCAGACGGTGGCTCTGCTTCACGGTCTGAAGGCAGTATATGCCCCAATGCCCATATTCTTCGACCGGCCATGGGACGGCAAGAGCCTAGCCAAATGGTTCAATGGCGGGCCCAACGGCGAAAGCGGTAGCAACGGAAGCGCCATGGGCTGGGGAAGAGAGGGAAGGTTCCTGGGAAGCACTTGGTACTTTCGCGCCGTTCCGCCACAGCGTCTGTACCTAAACTGGATGGGTTATGAAGACACCAATATGGGCGGCACCATGTGGGAGAGGGAATACGGTCGTCCGTGTTTGCCGGCGATGATACTGCACCCCATCAAGGACGTCGAGGAGACGCCGGTCGGCTATGTCAGCAAATCGGAGTTGCCATACGCCTGAACATGTCGTTGAGACCTGAAGAACGCTACCACCGAGTGGAAAACGGGAGACTCGGGCTGCTTGGGGGCGGTTTTCAAGCCTCTATACCTAAGATTGTGTGGGTGGTGGGCTACAGAAAGCTCGTGAGGTCACGATATCTTGCGCAGAACGCTCTATCTATCCTTGGCGTTTCATCGCATTCGGTGTTACTTAGGGCGCAGGCATAGCCTAGCTTGCAGAGATGCCAGCAAACACCAAACAGTACTGTCTCTCGGAGAAACGGGTGAAGTTGCTGGGCAGAGTTAGACCCGTCCGACGGCGCAGTACCGACACATGTATTCTTGATTTCATAATTTGAAATTGCGGGGTGTTGGTGGTGCCCAAAGCCGGGTGAACCCTGCGGTAGGGATTGCCGTTGTACAAAGAGGGCTACACACATACCAAAGCTTATTAGCATCGCACGGGCGTTGGAGTTGGGTGTTTCCGTTGCGCCTCTGCAGAGGCCGCGTGCATTTGGCTGTTCTTTGAGAAATTATGTTGCCATATATGTAGACTATCGAGAGTGAATGCATGCTTGGGGACACGCTCGTTACATACCTAACGACTTGAAGAGATGAAAATCAAACATAGCGAAAGGATGACTGTAGCCCAGAAGTTGGTGGTTGTGTACATGGTGCCAGTAAAATAATATTATTACAACCAGGAGTCTGGAACGCTGACTTTGCTGACAGCCTGCTGCGGTACAGCATATGCGGTCAAGTCTGTTTGGTTAGTAGGATCAAACGCCATATCTACATAGCAGAGCGAGCGTCCGAGGATTTTGATAAGGGTATGCTGATGCTTTTGCGGTCGGCAGCCAGCACTGCGGTCGCTGCCGATGGCTGGCCCATGCTAGGTTGCGGGGGGGTGGGTTGGCCTGGAGTCGAGGCGATCGGCACCTGAAAGCCTGCGGGACGCAACGGAGTTTCGCGGGGCGGTTGAATCGAGCGAGTGCTAGAGGTGGCCACTGATACGAACATTGAGGGCGCCCGTAGTACCACTGCGACACGTTGTACCGGTGGATAGTGGCAGCTGGATGCGTCGCCTCATGCCACACGTGAGCAGTTGAACGACAGGTTGGTTGTGTAGGGGACGTTTCCGTTAAAACTTTGTTTGCGTGCAAGATAGACAAGGGTGCACACCCCCCATGGCTCCTCGTCCCTCCTCCCTGGCCAAAGTGCAGATAGGCGTCCCGATTCCCCACCAAATATGTAAGGTTACTCGACTGATTGACACCGTTATCAGCAGTAATGGCCAAAAATCCGGTGTCCGAGATTCTGGATGCCGGGATGTAACCACGGACGACAGAGAGCTGATTCGGTCAATCTATCTAAGACCATGGGGGCGAGAATGAATACGAACTGCGCGTGGCCCTTTTTCAGCAGCCTTTACTGGCCTGGCCTCTTGGTTATAAAGGCATAGCAATCACACCGCGTCGCGCACCCGTCGTTCGTCCCTCCGATTGTTGTGTTGCTTCGAATCTGATTGCTTTCAAGATACTTACGTTGGTTGCCCATCATGGTCAATCTTGCTGCTATCCGCGTAGGTCCTATGCGATGTAAGTAGCTAGCTACCCTTCCTCGACGATTGCGATCGAGTTCCTGGTTTTGTCCCGTTTGTGTGTTTTCTGACCGATATGCAGACAATTCGCCATGGGCCCAGGTGGTTATCCTCGGTTTTGTTACCTTTTGTTCGGTGGGCATGTTCAGCGCCATCAGCAACCTTGGAGCCGGGTGAGTGCCAGACAACCCAATCGGCCTTGTTTGCCATCGCATTCTTTCATTCAGGTGACTGACCGATTGGAAGCGGTACCCAAGATACTCAGTTAAGCGATACGGCCAATGGTATTTTGTACGGCACCTTTGCCATCATGGGCTTTTTCGCTGGGAGTGTCAACGTAAGTTCGGGGGGAAACGTTCACCGCCCATGTGTGACTGTTTACTGTGCTGACAGTTGACGTGTAGAACATCCTAGGTCCTCGTCTGACCCTCTCCATAGGCACAACTGGATATGCGCTCTACATCGGGTCGCTCTGGTGCTTTCAGGTGAACGGGACGAGGTGGTTCCTTATTCTCGCTGGTGGCATTTTGGGAATCAGTGCGTTGATCGAAATATCTCGGTCTTTAGCATCATGGCTAACGGTTTGCTTTAGCTGCCGCTCTCCTCTGGGCTGCTCATGGATCCATAATGATGGCGTACCCGCTAGAGAAGGATAAGGGTCGGTCCTTCTCCGTGTTCTGGACGTTGTTCCAGATGGGTACTCTTATCGGATCCGCCATTACCCTGGGGATCCAGTCGCACTCGACGATGCCGGGCGTGTCCACGGCGGTTTACGTTGTGTTTATGATCATCATGCTCACGGCTATTGTGACGAGTTGGCTGTTGCTTCCTCCCCGTAGGTGGACTCTCACATCCAAATCGCTATGACGCAAACAAGACAGCCGAGCTGACGGTGATGCACCACAGATTTGGTCATTCGTGGCGACGGCACCGTCGTGGAAATCGACGACGCCATTACGCCGCGCCAGGAGTTCAAGGAGTTCGGCAAACTGTTCAAGGACTGGCGCATGATTGCGCTCTTGTGAGTTACAGAACCGTACATGTGTACATGGCATGGAACGGCCGGCTAACTCTCCCTTCTTCCCACTAGTCCCATGTTCTTCAGCTCCAACTACTGTGAGTACTCTCGTCTTGCCCAGACCGTCCCCTGTTCCCCCTACTGACGTAACGATAGTCTATGCTTACCAGGGCGCCATCACTGCCGACCTTTTTAACGGTCGAACCCGTGCCTTGGTCTCTTTGCTGACGGGACTTGGCTCCATCCTGGGCTCCATCATGATTGGTCTCATCACGGACCGTCTGCCCTTCGGCCGCCGTAAGCGTGCCCTCGGAGGCTGTGCTTTTGTGCTCTTTCTCAACTGTCTCATCTGGGCGGCCGGCCTAGGTTTCCAAGTCAAATTCACCCGTGCCAGCACCGAAGTCCTGGGTAAACCCATTCCCTGGGACTGGACCGTCGGCGTCTCCGCAGGCCCGATTATACTGCTTATGGCCTGTAAGTATAGCCCCTCAAGTTGACGAGGTCATAAGCACTCTAGTTGCTGACCAGCTAACGCAACTCAGACTACATCGCCGACGCCGCCTACCAGGGCCTTGCTTACTACACCATGTCATCCATAACCAACGACCCTTTCCGTCTCGCCCGCATGGCCGGCTACTACAAAGGTGTCCAATCGGCTGGTGCTGCCATCTCCTTCGGCATGGATGCCGTCAAGACGGCATTCCTCGGCGAGATTTTGGTTTCCTGGTTGTTGCTGCTTGTCTCCCTGCCCCTCTGTGCTTGGGTCCTCTGGGGCATCCGCGATACGAACTATGACATCGAGGGCGTTACCCATGTCGGCGCCGTGCCCGAGAACAAGCTTGGTGGCGTTGCGCTGCCGCCTGGCTCCCATGCAGCTTCTGCCGTTGATGGCACGCCTGAGGTGAGGTTGGGGAGCAGCAAGAATGCGGGGCCCGAGATCACGACTGTTTAGGGATAGTGAATGATGTGTTGTGACTCTATATAAGTACTTGTACATCTGTGGGACACGTTGTAAACGATTTATGTCTGGTTGCATGGGATATGCCGGGAATTGGGGTTATGGCTTAGAGTGAAGGAACCGTATCAAGAACCGCATGGCTCGATTCAGGGTTGAGATAGACACTAATACACATTACACGAAGCGACACATATATACCTCAAGGGATCAATAGGCTGTCTCATTGGAGACGACCAGCTGCGAGCATTATTATAATTTCAATCCACAGATCATGAGTTTCCACGGACAACTCTCAACAAGTGTTTTCATTTTCAGCCTCTGTGCGTGGATGTGCATGTTGACTGTCTCACACTGAAGTTGCTCAAGCAGCTGAGTAAATAGACAAAGGGAAAATGAAAACCAACCCGCCCGGGGTCGACTGCACATATATGCCCGACCCGTAGAGAGCACCGCCTATGGGAGATGTACAACACTGCGCGGCATTGTGACTACCATCCCCCACCACCCTACCGGTAACCAAATTAGCAGCACCTACACTATAATTACTTCAACTTCAATTATACGGATCTTAATGGAAATTAAAGCTATTTACAAGCCGATTGCACGAATAAATAGCGAATTGAATAGAGTTTTCAATTTAGCATTTTTAGAAAGGTTACACGATACTCCACATCGGTACTACGGAGTTCCGGCAGCCGTAAAATTCTTGGGATATGCCCCTACGCACAATCACGTACGCGCTTGCGTTTCTACACTTCTGGCTCAACAGGGGGATACCAACGAATTAGGGAAGAATTGGCTCAACCAATTTGTCTGTAGACATCCAGAAATTCGTACCAAGATGGGTAGAAAGCAGGAGACAGCTCGATTTAACTCGTTTACACCAAAAGCCGTACATTGGTACTTTGATATCCGTGAGAGAGAATACGGCTGGATTAAGCCATAAAATACAGTTAATTTCGATTAGGGAGGCATAATGGCTGGCTTTGGTAACTATCTATTAGTCTCTTAGGCAATTATCTATGCTAATTACTATACTATAGGCCTTGACGGGCTCGTATTGGGGAGTTCTGACGCCCAACAGAAGGCTATAATTAAGAGCTCACAGGGCCGTAGTTGGACTACCTTTATTGAAGCCACTACAGCCGATGGCCGCCTTCTAGAGCCAGGTATAGTGTTTAAGGGCAAAGAGCTCCAAAAACAGTGGTTCATTGACCAATTCCGAGAGATCTGTCCCCACTGGCGCTATATAACGTCACCAAATGGCTGGACAGACAACCATATAGGCCATCAGTGGCTTATTGACGTATACTTGCCTCAGACACAGCCAGAAGACCCCTCTGATGCTAGGCTAATTATACTAGATGGCCATGGATCCCATGCCTCTGTAAGTCTTCTAGTTATTGCAGTATAACTGTACTAACTGGGCTATATAGGATGAGTGGATGACTACGTGCTTTATGTACAATGTATACTGTTGTTACTTACCGGCACACACTTCCCATGGCTTACAGCCAAATGAAAATGGCCCCTTTAACGTATTGAAGTCGGCCTATAGGGCAGAAGTCAGTAAATTGGATAGAATGACGGATGCGGCGCCAGTTGATAAAGTCAACTTTATCCGGTGTTATAGTACTGCACGCAAGGCTATAACCGATAAGGCCATTAAAGCTGGCTGGAGAACTACTGGAAATTGGCCAATTTCAAGGGCCAAGGCACTACGGCATCCAGAAATCCAGGTAGATGTTGATAAAAGGGGCACTCCACCGCCGCCACAAGCCCCTGGACTTGACAGTGATTCTACACCCCGTACGAGCCGTCAAATCCGCAACTTTGCGAACAAGTCAAGCCCACATAGCCGCTATAGGCTACAGAAGGTTGCCAAGGGGGTTGAAGCCTTAGAGGCAGAGTTGGTAGCCGAACGCACTAAGGCTACGGCATTACAGGAGGAACTAGACCGCTTGAAAAGGGGTAAAAAGCGCAAGTCACTGCCAAATCCGAATCGCCGTTTTAGAACAGTATCAGAAGCACTAGCTGCAGGGGAGCCTATACCCCCTAATAACCGTCAAGGACCAGCCAATAATGGGAAAGTTGTGGAAGTTGAGGATGAAGGGGTTGATTCATCAGAATCAGAGGCTACGGCCGATGATTTGCCGGCCGCTGTAGTCACACGAAGTGGTTGTACAGTCAAGAGGTGCCGATATTCTTAAACTCCATAACAATAGCTACATAATGGTATAACTACGGTATAAATAGCTTCAATACGTACGGAATTATGTGTAAGTAAAAATGTAGTGTTTTTGCAGTATTGTGCTCAATTAACGTTACCGGTGGGGTGGTGGGGGATGGTATGGTTACGTTAAATATGCGTGCTTTAGTCGCACAGGTGAGAGTCCAGCATCATTCCATTATAGTCGCCTGAGGATGGCTGAGAATCCATGGAATCCCAAGGATGATAGATAGTTCGCATACCTGCGGCACGCCGTGCATTTTCAACGTTATACTTGGACCATCTAAAACAGGTGGTGTGTATGTATGGTCTCACAAACATCACGACCATAGCGCCCGGGCCGCTTTGATGCATTCCCACATGGAATACAAACACTTATCGTGATGGATGCTTGCCCTTCAAGTCCAGAAATGATGTGTTGGTACCAAGTTGAACTGTTCGAAGCTAGGCTTGTAGGAAAGTCAATCAGACAATCATATCTGTCCATCTGTCTCTGTCCTCTACACCCTTTAACTGGTGAAGAGCACTATCTACCAATCAAATTTTCGTTCCAAACGACAGAAACCGAACCCTTCCGTCAAGCTCGCTCGAGACAATACCGCAACCCCCATCTCCTCTCTCATGCCCCCCGAAACCCATCAGGTCACGCCTCCTTCGCCTTCCCCGGCACCAACTTCCACAACTTGAACATCGTCGTAAATACCCAATCCATAGTCCAAGCCGGCAAAAACGTAGTAATCCACCAAATCGTCCTAGCCTTATACCCTTCCCAATAGTACAGCGGCGCCCTGCTCCCCGTAATCGCCTTGACCACGGACTTCGCATACACCTCACTCGCCATCGACCCGTCGGCCTGACTATGCATCACACGCTCCCTATACTCCTCCGCAATAGGCGCGTACACCGACCCCTTAGGCAACTCCCTCTTGATTCGGGCGATATTACTCTGCACCCCGCCCGTGACGACCGTAATCACGTCCACGCCGAACGGCTTGAGCTCCACCCGCAGGGTATTGCTGTACTGGTGCAGCGCCGCTTTGGACGCGTTGTAGACACTGCCGAAGACGTACGGGATGACGCCCGCCACGGAGCCGATCTGCACGATCCTGCCTTTGGCGGTGATGAGTAACGGGGCGAAGGCTTGGCACATGCGCATCACGGCGAAGACGTTGACTTCGAAGAGTTGGTGCACCTCGTCATGGTCGATATCGAGCGCGGGCACCGTGTAGTTGCGCCCTGCGTTGTTGACGAGGATGTCGAGGCCGCGGCCGGCTGTGAGGGCCTCAACTTGGGATTTGAGGGCGGCAATGCTCTCGGGTTTGTGCACCTCGAGGGAAAGGGTTTCAATGCAGCCGCCGTGCTTGGAGTCTTTGAGGGCGACGAGAGAAGAGGCGTCGCGGGCCGTGGCGAGGACACGATAGTTGTGCGCCGCAAACTCGAGGGCGAGGGCTTGGCCTATGCCGCTGCTGCAGCCCGTGATGAGCACCGTCTTTTGAGACATGATTAGGGAAGGCTGTGCAGGCAGTGGAGAAATAACAAATGTAGACGGCGAAACCAGACAGTATGGACTGCAGACCGACACAAGACTTCGGGTCAGGTTTTAAGCAGAGTGGAAACTGGCGTAAGGGATTTCGGATGTTCGTTATCGAAACCAAACATGCCTCGGGACGTTTGTGATGCGGGTTCCGCAATTGCAATTAATGGTGATTTGCCAACAATGTGAGGATGGCAATTGCCACATCGGCGTTCATCTCAACTTTAGCACCTCCAACAATAGATTCGATGTTTGCATTGCCTCACGAAGCTCGCACAGAGCCGTTTCCTGTTTTGGCTGCTTCCGACTGAGCAGGCACTATTTACTGGTTTCATCTCCGGCTCATGTCATCCCGTATGTTCCTCTAGGTTAATCGATGAAGAGAGAATTACCAGAAATAAAAGTTTCCGACGTATGCGACTGTTTGTAGCTTTATGTGGAGTAGATTCTGCGAACCTCTAGAGTACTTGGGTTGATTGTGAAGTCGATAAGTTCTTATGAGCATTGCGGGCATCAAGAAGTGGGCGTGGCTAGGTGAATGGAACGGGTAAGCAGCTTTGCCGACATTCTACATTCATGTTCTGGTCGATTGGCTGCTCACTGCTGCCCATCCTTTGCTGTGGGATCCCGAGAAGAGTTGGAACCGCAGCTCCTCCAACAGTAACGACATAACCCCGGGTTGCTCCATGTCCGAATTAACACTCCCTGACATCTTCGATTCTCGGAAGCTAGATCCAGTCCAGTTAAGCAGAATTCCTCACCACTCGACTCCAAGGATGCACATTCTCTCCAACGGAGGAAACCATCCGAACGTGAGCGTGACGCGAGCAAAGAGCATCCGGTCTTCGATATCTCGAAGGGAATTACTGTCGAGGGCCGTCAAGTCCTCACAAGTCTGACCGAAAAGGTTGGCTCCGGCATAATCACCGTCGTCAGTATCAGATTTCTCAGTTTTGGTCTGGGGTCCATAGAATAGCTGCGTCCACGCATCGTCACTCCATGCCAACTTGCCGGCAGCAACCGATCCACTCTCGTCAACCATATTTCCTACGACTCGGGGGTTGAGCCCAAGCTGTCGAACCGTTCCACAGGTCTTGCATATCGCGGTTGTCCTCTTGGAGTAGATCGGAACGTTGCAACTATTCCGAGAGTCAGCAAATGCAGAATGAACATGCTAGCAGTCTTTCCTCACCAGTCACAGCAGCAAATTGTGCTCCTGAACCACTGCTGAAGTAGGTTCATCTCCAATATGACAACGTTGATCTTCCCCGTGAAGTCTCGACTGGGATCTTGTCGAACTAGATCGTCGACCTCTGAAAGCGTGAACAGTTCCCTTACGGGGCCGTTGACGATCGCCTCCACATCCCAAATACCTTTAGGAAAAGGAGTGAGGACTCTCTCCTTCCTACTCATCTCTTTGACCTTCTTGCGCAGCCAGTCAGCTTCGGGGAATATGGGGTCGATATCCACCATGGAATTGTAGCCAACTCCAATGTCGGCTGACGAGCTTCCGTCGGGTCGGTCTGAAATCCTGCAAGTGGGCGTTGAGATCAGAAGTATGGTCTGATTTGGCACCCATGTTTTCGCCGAAAACACTTTGTCCCCCCACAACTTCAGGACGCATGTAGCTGTATCGTCAAAGATGCCGACCTCAATGAGATCAACCGTACCCTCACGTTTCTTGAGTTGGATTGCCTTTCGAGGCCCAACGCTTCGGACGCAGACAAGTATCTTCCCATCTCCCATGTCATAGCCAGAATTGAGAAATGATTTCAGGGTCATCAGACCTTGCAGGCCGTCATCACTGGGGCACAGGCCCAGCGGCATTCGGCATAAAGCAGACTTGTCAGACGAGGGCGGGTCTTGGTGAAAGACGATGTGAGTTGCTCCATTGCGACCAGGATAGATAGTCGCGCAGCTGGTGACGAACGGGAGATATCCAGCCTCAGCGTTGGTGGAATCAGCAATGTAAGTGACCCATATTGTAACGTACTGGCCAAACAGAAACTGGCAATCAGATGCTTTCAAACAATGCAGCTTGACCTGCTCATAAAGCTTAGTATCAGAATGCATTTCTACCCAAGTAGATCATGATGCCTACAGCGATGGCTCCCGTGCCGTCACTTATGACGAGAAATTGATACCCCTCCGAGGATCCCTGGCTTTGGCCTTTGGAACCAGATGTTGAGAAGTTCACAATCCTCCCTGTGATTCGATAATCGCGAGGACCTATCTCGATTTCGAGGATGGGGCATTCTTTATAGGCTCGAGGCGGCGTCCAGGGCATCAGGAATGGGTTTACTGCTGCATTCACCTCGGATGAGGTGAATCCATCTCGAGCATCGGCAGAGTCGGTAGAATTGCGAGCCGGGCTTGACTGGATCTCCCTCTGGTAGAAAGATTGGATGGATGGGAATGGAGTGCTCATCTTCAACCATTAGCTACCTCGAGAGTGGCACCGGAGACGAGGAGCTGTTGGTCGCTTGAGAGATGCTCGACAGTTGTTTTAGTCACTACAAGGTAGACCGACGGACTTCTTTAAACGACCAGAGGTACAGAATCTATAGAGCGCACGACTAATTGGAAGTGAACTTGTTTTGGTTTTGTTTTCAAACTTTGCTCGTGAGCTGAGAGATCAAACTCATCTGTTTGGCCAGGGTGTCCAGTGGGGAAGAGGTACTCGACGTGCGCACCTGCCAAAGATATCAACATCAATGTTGAGTGAGAAGGAACGACACCGACCCCAAGAAAATGGAGTGGATTGAAAGTCATATTTGGCTAGAACTTGTTTCATTGCCCTACGCTACATCGTACCAAATTCTATGACAACCTCGCATCGTCCTCCAGGATATATACTACGCCTCTGCTTCATTCACGAGTGCGTAGGATCAAACGCAGACCGGGATACTCAAAACTGTCATAGGACCGTACACAGGTGTTGAAACTCAGAACTTTCCAACATCAGACAATGGCTAGGAACTTCTGTGCACAGTGGGAAGATAGAGGATGTGGAATATCTCCTATTTGTGGACACTCGTGAGTGTGTGCTCTGGGCTGCTTCAGTGAAGTCAAAGGCAAGGAAGGAGCTTGTCTTCAATCAACAATTTGTTACAACAGATTCTCACCGCCGCCTACACGTCTCCGTTTTCAAAGTGGTACATTCCTACTCGACGACTTACACAGCCGCATCTTCCTGAATGTGAACACCCCTGCCAACACAACCATATCTGAGCCAGTCTCTTGCTCGACGCACACCAATATAAAAAGCTCGAGGTGTCAGGTCACAAAGTCGCTTCACAAACGAGAGATTGTGGTGCATATCAACTTGGGTCCTGAAGACCAGTCAATTATTCTTCGTCCCAACCTTCTGGTATGGGTATATCTAGAGTAGAGATTTGTCTATATCGCATGCGCGGCGGGCATGCAGCCTTGTCTTGAAACATGCGGCTCGTCTTTCGCACCCAAAAGACCTGAGCTCGACCCAGTCCGCACCTGACCGACCAACCGATCAACGGCAAAATCCTTTTTATACATACAACCGTAGAACGCCTGGCTGCCAAGTTCCAGCCACAACAGACGTGTGTGCTCTCGTCAAGATGCTGCTGTAGTCATGATATTGGAAAGATCAAAACATAACGCTTATCCTCCGCCCCTTTTCGACCGACGTCCCCCGGCCACCCTGATTCCACCTGGAATTGCAACCACCACTCTCAACAAAGCACGGGGTATCGTATTAGAAAAGCACATCATCGGAGGACAAAGGAAACTTCGACAGAATAGGAAAAGGGTCAGGGAATGGGAGTCCCCTGGGTTCAAGCCGTGGCAACCTCTTCGCTGCTGCCACCTCCGAGGAGTTCCAGCACCTTGTTGACAACGGCGCTGGGGTAGCCTCGAGTGAGCATCTCGTGGACGACGGACTTGGCGTTGTTTCGGTCCTCAACTGCGAGGTATGCACGTGTCATAGCCTCGTAGGTGCTGGGCTCACGCTTCTCACGACTAACGCTGTTGTATACAGAGTTGGCCTTCTCAATGTTTTTGTCGCCGGCCCATCCATGGATCAAAGTATTGGCGATGTAGGGAGTCAATTCAACACGGCGGCGTCGCATTTCGGCCACAATCGCTTCGGTATCCGCAACGTGGTGGTTGGCGACCATAGCTTCAAACAGCGCCTGAAATAAGCAAGGATTTGCGGGCACGCTAGGGTCGCTCATAACCGAATCGAAGATATTCTTGGCACCAGCCATGTCGTGAAGGACGCAGCCACGAGCGTGGATGAGAGACGCGTAGTGAACTGGTTCAACACGCTGACCGGAGGATCTTATCATGTCAAGAACAGCCTCAGCGGCAGTCATGTTGACAGGCTCGAGGGTGGCATGGGTATCGACGAGAAGCTTGTACGTGTGCGCAGTCGGCGCGATGCCCTTGGCTTTCATTCGCTCGTAGTAAGCCAGTACCTTGGCCTTATCACGCTTAGTTGTGAGGAAGAATTGCATCATGCTGTTGTAAGGAGCTGGGCGAGCTTTGTAGTTGGGCATGGCCTCCATCTCATCGAACAGTTCCTCAGCAAACTTCTCATCGCTGACACGACACAGAGCATTGACAATGGTTCCATAGGTAACGCTGGTGGGCTTGATACCAAGCGCACGCATCTCGGCGAAGAAGAAGAGGCAGTCATCAATGCGTCGGGCCTTGCCAAGCTTGCCAATCAGAGCGTTATACAAGAAGCTGGACGGCTCAACTCCCTCAGACTTGGCGCGGTGGAAGATTTTTACTGCCTCCGTGGCCTCGTCAAAAGTCTTGGTCGATTCCTTGAGGGTAGTGATGTAGAGACCGAAAGTGTTGGCGGACGGCGCAGATCCCATCTCGAGAAGCTCCAGATGATACTGCTCGGCCAGAGTACGATCACCCAGTGTCAGGCAAGCACCAACCATAGCATCCAAAATTGAAGACCAGCCATAGCGAACAACGGCAAATTGGGGGAGCAGGGGCACGTCGGTTCGAGCCATGACAAGGATGTCGTGGCACATATCCATCTTTCCCTCACGAGCGGCAGCCGAAATCATCTTAGCATATGTGATGTACCGCGGATGACGACCGGCTCGTCGCATGTTGCGAAAACGGGTTAGAGCCTCGTTGATTCTAGGACCCTTGCGGCCATGAGCGCCTTCAAGCTCATCGGAGATGATGGACGAACCCTTGAAGTCGGTGTTGTACGCGTAAGGGTCAAAGTTATCCTCGTAGCTTGAAACAGTAGGAGTAGATGGGTAGGGCGAGGCGGAGAAAGTCTGTTGAGTGAAGCTGACTGGCGACACATGCCGGGGGTCTATGATTCCACGTGTGGACATAAACTTCGATATGAAGTCGATGCCCTCCTGGATTTCGTCAACCAGCTGTGGCCTAGCATCGACGCCAGCTGCACGAATGCGTTGGAACATCAGTTCAGACTCAGCCAAACCCTCAGCAACCTGACCCGAGCCAATCATAGCTACAGCATACATGGCAGTGGGCTCGATGAACGCTGGTACAGCTTCGACCTCAGGATTGCTCAGAATGTGCCAGTATTGGCTGGCAGCGGCAACATCACCTGCCCGAACACTGAGTGCAAGCAGAGCCATTGCCGGTGTCGCGATGCCTTGGTAGGAGGACGGAATATTCGCAAAGGCGGCTACTGCTGAGTGCTGATCATCATTATCGGCGGCAGTGGTCGCAATGGTGGCCATGGTCGACAATCGACTTTCGTTCTCGATTCCTTGAGCCCATTGAAGTGCTTCTTGATAGATACCCCGTTCCATGAAGCCGTTGACGAATCCTCCACTGATTAGAGCATCCTCCATGTCTGCTACACGAACGCCATAGTCAGACACAATGCGCTCGTAAAATTTCATGGCTCCTTCGGGCTTATCGTTAATTACGTAGCCATTAATGACAGCTGCGTATACTTGAGAATCGAGACGGTCATTAAGTGTATATCTGCCGCTGTCGTGGGCGATAGCAAGCTCCTTGTACTCATTGTAACACTCGACTGCGCTGGCCAAATCACCCAATTTGGAGAAGGCCGTGATCATAGTGGGGAATGTGGCAGCAAACGGTACGGCTCCGCTGTGTTCCATATGATCGAAAAGTTGGAGCATATCTGTGATTCGGCCCGCTTGGGCACATGCTGAGATGAGCTGATGGTAGACTTCAGACGAGTAACTAGCCTGATGCGACACAACCGAGGACTCGAACAGCTTTAGTGCTAGGTCGAGTCGATCAAGTTCTTCTGAAAGAATAGCGTGGTCCATCTCATAGGAAGCAAACATGAATGTCCCACGCTCGTCCATTCCACCAAAACGAGTCCGCCTCACCTCAAGGTCTTTCTTCAAGCTTGAGACTTCAAGACACCGAGCGGCAAGCAGACCCAGCAAAATATTGTAGGTCTCACTGTCAGGCGTGACCTTCCGTCTCATCATATCGGAGTAGACATCCAGAGCCTTCGACACAACCTCGCTTTGCGCCATAGGAATGCGAATGGCAGCATTGAGCAGAGCATTGTACGCACTTGCAATGGGCTTGATGTTGGCAACCAACATGGCCTCAAAGACGGCCGGTATCTCAGCGAAGCGGCCATCCTCAGCGAGCTTGGTGAGGTGATCGGCGTAGCTTTGGGACTGAGAGTCTACCGGCGGTGTCGCAGTGCGTGCAATGCTGGCTGGACTAACTGACCTTGCGCTTTCAATAATCGGAGAGAGTGCTCGAGAGTGGACAACACTGGTGGGTGAAGTCTTCGGTGCTACCAAGTTGAACAGTGAGATCTCCTCCAGAGCTTCCTGTAGTTGTCGGACTTCCAGCTCGTTCTTGAGAGCCGCGTCGATGTGGGCCAATGCCGCCTCAGCAGGCACCGCGACCGGCGCATCGGATTCATCTCGGGCAGCCTCAACAGCGTTGACAGCTTGAACATCAGATTTAGATTCGCCTATGACGGTAGAAACACTTGGCTTCCACTCGATCTGCTTTGGGAATTGGAATTGGGTCCATTCTTTCTCGGCCTCAGTTTGAACCTCGCCAGTCTCCAACTCATGCTCTTGCCGGTTCTGGAGGGCCTCGAAATATGCATCTAGACCTCCATGGTTGCTAAGAAGCCGGTCATGGCGATGCTCCTGAGTAGCATTCGCCGCCGAAGCAGAGCTGTGAAATGCACCCTGACCCTGAAGCTGGAGAGTCGATAATGGGCCGATGCGCTGACTATGCCGCCGGGAAAAGGTTGGCCGGTTCTGCGCGTTGAGAGTGTGGAGGTGTGTGCCAGCTACGAGCGACTGTGCGTAGCCGTGGGTGAGAGATTTGGAAAATCCTTGCTGGATAACGCGTTGAGCCAAAGAGTTGAAGAGGGGCATTTAGATGGCGCCAGGAGGGGAGGGTAACTGCGACACACGCGGGTCAGCATTCGTCCATCTGTCTGTCTTCGTTGCGCAAAAGGGCCGGACAGTATTGGATCTGATGATGTCCGGCTGCGGGACGCGGCGGGCGGCGCACGATCGAATGTTGGTTGCGCAAGGAATTGTGGTCTGATTCGACTGGAAGCCGAGTCGATGGAACGATGAAAAGTTTATTGATGATAAAACAAGTCAACTTACAGGGAGAATGGGTAGGAGTCGCTGCAGGTTCATTTGACAGCACTGTAGCCGTCAAATAAACGCGCTTTTCTGGAGAAATCAATTGGATTTACTGTGGAAAGAAAAGAGACCAGAAGAGCAACAGTCCCAAGTGAGTGGTGGTTGCTGGAGATGATATGGGAGAACAATAAAAGTTCCCGCGATTTTGTCGATGGGACACAATCTTCGCCAAAGCTGTGCAGGCAAAGCGGGCTGGCTGGGATCTGTTTGGGGTTTACCAAAGCAAGTGCTTTTTCGACTTATTTCTGCTGGTGGTGGGGCGGGAACGAAGAGCTGCTTGCTAATCCTCTTCAGGCGAGCTGCAGGGGCAGATGACTCAAGAAACGAGGCAAAACCGCAAAGCAACGATAAATTATCGCAGCTTTGGATTAAGATGCCGTCAAGAGTTCTGGAGTGTTTGGTGTGTGGTGATCTAATCTGATCTAATTGCAAGGGAGCAAACCTCTCAAAAACCAGCAATTCACTCACTTGCAAAAAATAAAGGATTTACAAAGCGATGTGGCCAGGCAGCAATATTTGTTTAGCTGTGCTTCTTGTTCACATTGAGCTCAGTTGCAACGCCGAGCTACTGCTCCCCAGAAGAATCCCTAGCTTTGCTCCACTTGCTACATGACGCCACGCCTCTTCGGACCACCATCCTGAGATTTCCATGACGAAACGACTCAAAAGTGCATCGCCATCACCCTCGGTTTCTTGCGTGGCATCCCCGTCTGCCTGATAACTCCGAGAGGTGCAGGGAGGCACGAGGCCGCCGCGACGCCGGCAGCTTCGGACGTGTCAGCGACAAGAAACCGGGTCACTGAGACCAGGGCTGGGACCTCAGAGTGTGGGGGAAATCCTTGATTGGATCGACACCTGGCATATGGCCAATAGGAAGACTCCCAATATGCCGCCCTCAGAGACGACGGAACCATCTCGCCGGGATTAAAATCTAAGCTCATATGCATTGTTCACCATCATACACTTGTACTTGCCTGAGGCCTCAGGGAGCTAGCTGTCAAGCTGTTGAGTTGAGCCTCCGTGCCCGCCGGAGGATCTTCCCCGGAATTGTTGCTATGCCAGGACATTTTTCAATGAATGAAAATGATCAAGCTGTTGAGTCGCCTTCCGTTTGCGACAGAACGGGTACAACGCAAATTGATGACGAGCTTTCCGCTTCAGGGTTACGGACAAGCATCAGCAAATTTTTCTCGCGCAAAAAGAGCACAAATCCATATCCCCACCATCACTTTCAGCAAGGCAATATTACATATGCCATTTTGCACGGACTCGATGGCGGTCCAGGGTTTGGCTCTGCTTGTTTTGTCGCTTGGCTCAAAATACAGCCACTTGGGAAGCTTCTTGCAGTACTAAGTGGTCCCAGACGGGAAGTTGTCGCCTAACAATTATTACATAGTGCGGGTCTTGCCTACGAACCACGGACCTTTCAGTACCTGGCGCATGAACGCTTCAACGAAAATTGACCGCGAGCTAGCGAATGAATTCGGGGTTGTGGTTACTCCGGCTTACACGATGCCCCCCATCGCGGCGGTCTCAGATGTCCGAACCGAACATAATGCCCGAGATTGGTACCTGCTCAGTGTCTGTCCGGTGCCGACTCTGTCACTGAGCTGAGGCAAGGACTTTAGAAGCTCGACCCTGAATCCGTATTAATGTGTTAATTGACCAGGCGCATCTGATATTTTCTCCCATTTCGCGCTTATTCCCGTGCTTATGCCTATCTCGGGTGATGCTGTCGTTATCAATATGCGATATATTGAACTTTCCCAGAAGACCCCGATCGGACATAAGGCTATGCTCAGTGGCTTCAATCATCTGACTAAAGCACTAGCCACATCTGCTAAAGTATTTCACGCAGTGAGAGAGTGACATTGAGGATGCGCAAACAGAAAACCGATGGGCACAAGCTGGTAATGGTTTGTGCTAGGAGTGATGCGCACAATCTGACTGTACATAATTTTGTTAGGGGTAATATCCTTCTCAGCAGACCAGGTCTGTGCCCATACACAACTGAGTATTTTAAGAACATCCACCGATATACTTGTCCAATGTTTAGGGGCCGGGCTTCTTCACTGCTCATAGCAGGAGGACAGGGCTAAGCCGTGGATAACAACCATTTATCATTAGAGCTGAGAATTATTTTGCTAGTTAACAAGGACGGCAGATGAACTTCCTGACTGCAGACCTCAAAGAAGTCACATCCTGTTTCAGCAATCTGCTCCTAGGTTACATATCGATACAAAGCGGAGGTTCAATGCCTGAACGGACTTCTGACCTCATTTGACGTAGAATTTGTGACCGTATTAAATACAACGAGATCCGGATCCCGGTGCTCTAAGTAACATGCGATATTTGAAACAAAGTCATTGGATGCCATGGAAGCTCGCATGAATATGGAGGCTGGCAAAGAAAATCGGCTTAACTACTCCATATACTTCTGCCCAATGTTCCGGTGATGAAGTAATCTCCAAAAGCTGCCATAAAGCCAAACACACTCCCCTGGGCAGTACTGCTTCGTTGTCCGCATTCCAGCTGGCTCACGCCAGAAGTCGAGAATAATCAGGTTAGTCAAGCAGCAGATAACTTCCTTTCGAACACGTAACACCGTTGCATATGTCCTCTGTTCAAAAATATATCTCTTTTGATTCCCCTAAAGCTAATATTATAAAACGGTATACAAATTGTGGATAGTAGGAGGAGAGCAGCTTGAGCAAGAGCGGTGTGGTTAAGTACCTCTAGCTAAGGACACGAACACTGTGAAACGTATGACTGTATTTGGCTTGCTTCCGAACTATTTATATGCAGGTGTGCCGAGTCTAAGGTCTGCCAAGCGCTTCTCCAGAACGAGGTTTGAGGAGGTATTGCTGTGTGGCGACGCAAAGGGACTTGCGGAAACGTTGGCTACTGATCATTTTCACAAGCGATCAGCCAGCGAGGCCGTTCAAGGAACGGTGAACAGCCTTCACTCTCGACAAGCAATTTACAACTAGTCCAATATGTAGCCCTCGGACTCTAGACGTCGACAGACTTTCCAGATGAGATGACGTTCGTTCAGGGCAAAGCGACCCAGCTGGTCAAGTTTGCAGCAAATCATATGCATTTCAGGCACGACTTGCAGTGTATTTGCACGTCGATACGCTAATAGGATGTCCATAAACACCACTATCTACGAATCCAAGTGCACTTCTGGTATCATCAGAGGAATCTCCAAAAACTGACTTGAAGGCGAAAAGTAAGCACTCCAACCTGGCCGTAGCATGGAAATGAGACGGGCAATATAATATCCAGTTGTGTGGCAATGTAGTGAGTCAGCTAGCTCCCCCCCTGCCTATTAACATGCCGGTTATTCTTTAGGGGGCGATATACTCGACCACTTCTTCCTCTGAAGCGGCATATTCTGAATGCCCTCCACTTTCTGCCTAAGTCGATTCGATTCCGGCCTTCCAAGGATAGCCGTGTCATTATATCAACTCGAAGTCCGTGAGCTTCAGACACTACTACCTCGATCCTTTATACGCGGATCCTTTACAGCCTCTTCTGAAGCATTCGCCTCCATGACTTTCTGTTCTGCCTGCGCTTTATTCCTCCTTGCGCTCGCTATAAGATCCTTGAATGAAGAATCGTGATTTGCCGACCAAGCAGCCTGATCAAAATCCTTGTCTTTAATTTGCGCCCCTACATTTACCGCTCTTGAAGACGTTGGTGCACGCGTGCCTAATGTTTTCTCCCACACATCAAGATCATGTAGTAGCTCGCGTTTACTCCGTGGATGCAACGAGTCGCAATTTGCGTTCCATATAGTCATCCACTCCTTGTGGCGCTTCTCGCACATTTGCCGGGTTCCAGCATTGGATATGCCCAGCTCTAACATCTTCTTGCGGATTTGTTGGTCCTTCAGCATTGAGTAGTTTATTGCTGGCAGGCGCTCGAAGTTCCTTGACGGCATAGGCTTTGTGATCGTTTGGAAGCCATTGGGCAAGCCGTTCAGGGTCGATGGACTCGAAGCTTGTCGTCCATGTGGCTGTGGCAAACCGGTACAGGATGTATCGATATGCTTGTCGACTTGTGCTTCCTTCATTCGAGTCCAGCATATTGGACACGCGACCAGACCGTCGTCGATGGGTATCTCAGGAGTCGATTCGTCTTGTTCGGCTTCTTGACGGGCCATCTCCGTCGTGAGTTCGGCACTCCTGTTTTTACTCAACCGCGTCAACGATCTTAGCCTCTTTGACGCTCTCGAATTCTCTGCCATGTCTGAATCTAACCTCCTCTTTGGCAACTCGCCAGCACTGCTCCCGACTATGGCTCGGGGTCTTTGCGCAAATTCCATGACGTGGGTCCTCGTCTGCTTGAATGCCGCCACGACCTCTTCCATAGACCAGTTACTCCTTAGCTTCATCTCTTGTTCCGAGGCACGGCATAAAGGGCATTTGCCGTCATTATTGAGAGCACGCCGGATGCATATAGAGCAGAAGGTATGGTTGCAGGATGTGAGCATGGGTGTCTTGTAGAAATCCTTGCAGACTTGGCACCGCAGTGCTGCTTCGACGGCTGTCAGCCCTGAAAGAGGCGTCGAGAGCCAGTCGGTCGAGTCAGCGACTTCTTCGAGTTCATCCGGCTGTGGCATTGTAGACGCGAATCGCGAACGCGACGCGGATACTTGCTGGAGAGAATTGCGGTCAATCTCGAACGAGCGCGTAGGGTTGGAATTATAAATGCAGACCGAAAAGAAGCAATGGAAGAGAAACTTGAACGCTTTGATATCTTTGTTTGTCGTTGTTCAAGATCGCGCAACTAACTGCCTTAGACTTCTGAAGTCATCATCGGATTTAAAGCGAAGACGCGCCTGAGAGTGCTACCAATTAAAACAACCCTGCGGGGAAGGAAGTACCCATGGAGTGGTCGAATCAACAATCAGGCCTTCCGAAACTGACCTCCATGTAGCTACGCCATTCTCAGTGATCTATCTTTTCGGAAACCTCGTAATTAAATCAGCCATCCCCCACATGAGACCGCGACGCGCCTTGGGCCAACTCGACCTCGAGGCGAATTCTGGACGAAAAGTGCTTTCTTGCACCACGCAACTCATTTTCTCCCACTTAGCCAAGTATTGTGTCCGTTGGATCTAATTTTCAACATGGAAGACTACAGAAAGTACCTGGCTCAGCAGATCTTGACCGAAGACAAATTGGTGAGTGGTTCTCGAGGTATCCTTGGGCTCAAACTAATACAGCTGCGAAGGTCACATATCGGCTTTTGAGCCGCGCTTTGAAGGTCCATGTAAACACTGCCAAGCAGTAGGTTTTTTGACTTATATCCGTCATACTCAGAGATACTGACTACGGTATAGAATGCTATACGAGTTCCACAAATGGCAGAATGAAAAACGACCTGGAACTTTGCATGCCACCTACCTGGTTTATGGAACCAAGAGGAAAGGACTTGATAAAAATGGCGATGTTGAAATGATGGAGTTCCAGTCGGAGCCAGAAGTTCCCTTCTCCGAGGAAGTGCCAGTTCACACCCTGTACCTGGTGAAGGAGGAGCAGCTTGAGGGTGGGTGATGCCACAAGCGTTGAAGTCGATTTGCTGCTGATCACAAGAATTAGATGTTCTGAAGCAATACGAAGAAGTCACCTCGATTCACGTTTACAGCTTAGCACCGCATCCTTTGAAAGATCTCCAGCTTCTGGCCGACACAGCGCAACAGGTCTTGAAGCTCTCAGCGGAGGAAGATTCCCCTACGTCTGGCAAGACCTACGGCATGATCGCCAATCCAAATGTGCGCAAGCGAGATCGCCGCGGCGCAGTACACAAGACAGCTGCAACTGCACCTGCCGCCAAAAAGGTTGAGTCGAAACCACAGATCAAGCAGGAATCCAAGCCTGCTTCCAAAGCCGGCTCGACTGTAGCTTTCAAGGAAGAGTCCAAAGCAGCCACGAAGGAAACGAAGGCTTCGGCAAATGCTGCCAAGAAATCTTCGGCCGCGCCGCTCAAGCAACAGGCCTCTTCAGGTGGTATTGGTCAGATGTTTGCGAGGGCTGCAGCAAACCCGAAGAAACCGAAGCCCGCCGCTCAAGCCCCCGAGCCTGCGGAAGTACCTAGTCCAGCCTTGTCGGACGAAGGTGAAGATGATTCTGAGATGCCTGACGTAAAGCAAGAGGGTGATGGACGAAATGTGAGGAAAGACCGCCAAGCAGCTCTACGTCGCATGATGGAAGAAAGCGATGAGGATGAGCCCGAATCCAAGGCCGCGAGTCCGGTTGAAGAACCCATGGAGGTGGAGTCTCCACCACCAGAACCAGAATCCAAGGCTGATGAAGGCCCCGCGGAGGTGGTATCAAGCACCAGTAATGGGCGCAAGAGGGGACGCAGGCAAGTTATCAAGAAGAAGCAAGTTATGGACGAGCAAGGATATCTTGGTAAGTGAACAACTAAGGAAGGACTGCTTGAAATGGAACTAATTGCGTGTCTAGTCACAATGCAAGAAACGGGGTGGGAATCGTTCTCAGAAGACGAGGCTTCTACGCCTCCACCGCCGAAGCCAAAGCCACAGGTCGGGAAAGCAGCACCTCCTACGAAGGGCAAGACGGGCGGAAAAGGGGCTGGACAAGGGAATATCATGTCATTCTTTTCGAAGAAGTAAGCAGTGTAGATATGGTGTTGGAGCAAGTTACCATTGGGAAGTGAAGTGATACCGGGCGTATTTGCATGACATTTGTCACAACCATGTTGACGATGAGAAAGTGATTCCGTCATGGGTTCTGCGAACTGAGAATGCTGCTAGAAAGACAAAAGCACTCGCAAGCTGATGAGACACACCACCTAGAATACATAATTTCGTTTGGAACCGTTTGTGTGGAAACCATCTGAATTCTTCACTAACTTATACCAGTGCTTTCAATATGAAGTTCACAAATGTCAACTTCCTGTCCTCATGTGAGAGCATAACCCTAACCCCAACCCTGTTCATGTTCGCTGGCTGCCAGTCTAAGCCATCAGCGAGCTCTGATTGAACAAAGCCTTGAAATCTAGAATTCCACACAATCTCAAACCATTTATGGATGTCTTTGAAGCAAACATCGCAATTCGATGTCCATGGCATATTTGAACAGTAATAACCCCTAAAATTGAGCTCTCATGACGGCCCCACCGTCCGTGGGCCTTATCCTCAGTGACGTCGGGGCTGATAAGCCAACCTTATTTCCTTGTAAACAACCTTGGAAGCTACTCTGGTCGCCCAAGCCGCATTGTTCACAAAGCCTTCTGGCGTCAGCCTGCAAGTACTAACTCTAGGTCGAGGGTAGAGTATAAATCGAGACATTCCATCGAGCTTCACAAAGACCTGGGCCTGCGAGCTGTGTGCCATCCACCCACTACGCGATAGGAGCTTTCCGTCTCAACCGGAGCTCCAGCATCGAACCTAAAGCAATGAGTGAACTTCTAAACTACCTCCTAGAAAACGAGGCGGACTTTCGGAGGTGAGTACTTGATCGTATTCTGCACTATTATGTTTTGACGCCATTCTTGCAGAGCCCGCCTTCCAGCCCTCTATGCTGACTTCAATACCCTCCGAACCCTCAATCCCGATGGTTTCATCGCCAACCTGTCCGCGTGGAAACGGGGACTGGCATCTGCAGCCTTAGCCGGACACATCCCGTCTCGTTCCTCCCCGAACAGGAATCATTTCACGCTCGAGCTCGATGACTCCCTTTTCCGATCACTAGAAAGTAAACAATACGGGCTGCCGCTAGCTTTAGGGACAGTCATGCAGGACGCGCTCACCAATGGGGAGATCATGCCCTTGCAGCAGTTCCTGAAGAGCAAGGACAGTGTGTACTCCAAAGGATGGGGAGGCGTGCCATGGAGCGTGCTGTGGTGGGGTCTGCGACAAGTCGGGCTGGTTGGGGCACCGGGCGCAGACGGACGGATGCCGAAGGGTGTCTTTGTCGTGCTGGGCAATCTGGAGGAAGGCGCAAAGATATTTAGTGACAAGACGAGGAGTCGGACATCAAGATTCGAGAGGACATTTTCCAAAGCGCATTTCCGGCGGACGTTCGAGGCGACGTTGATGGGCGACCAGACGCTATCAGAAGCCGACTTCGAGGTCCTGGTCAAATTTTTGAGTAGGGACAAAGGCATTCTGGCTACGAATGGATTTATAGTCAAAATACGCAGTTCCGAGACGGAGGATGCCATGATTACCGAGGAGGATTCCGCGATTGCGAGCTTAAAGGAGTTGGTGGAGGACCTGACGAAACAGACCGAAGTCCTCAGCAAGAGGATAGAGGAGCTCAACATCAACGCGCAGGATGCCGTCAGGAAGAAGAATCGGGTCTCGGCACTGGCAGCGCTCAAGTCCAAAAAGCTGGCCGAGACGAATCTGTCGACACGCTACGTGACGCTAGGCCAGCTCGAGGAGGTGGCGGCCAAGATCGAGCAGGCGTCCGACAATGTGCAGCTTGTCAAGGTGATGCAATCCAGCACCGTGGCCCTGCGGAATATGAACGCCGAGATTGGGGGAGCAGACAGGGTTGATGAGGTCCTGGATAGCCTGCGCGAGCAGATGGGCGAGGTAGATGAGGTAGGCAACATTATTGCCGAGGTTGGACCGGGCGCCACCGTTGACGAGGCGGAGGTGGATGAAGAGTTCGAGGCCATGTTGGCTGAGGAGCGGAAGAAGGAGGAAGCAATCGAGAAGGCTCAGAGGGAAGAACAGCAGGAGAAGGAGGCAGATGAAACGCGGAAACGGTTGGCAGAGTTGGAGAAGTTGGGGCCTGTAGGAGGTAAGGAAGGGGAAGGAAAGGATGGGAAGATAAAGGACGCGAATAAGCAGAAAGAGCAGGGCGCGGCCACGTCGGTCTCTACAGCGGCTGGGAAATTGGACGGCATGTCGATAGAAGAGCCTCTGCGGGTGCCCGCAGAGTAGCGTCCCAATATACCACGTTCAAGGAGTGCATAGCAAAAATGTAACAAATCACAGAGCTCCACGATGATGCTGGTTGATGGACTGTGAACAAATAATACGGACGCCTTGAAAATCCCGTAGAAGTCCAGCTGGCCGCAAGGCAACATGTTGGCAGTCTGCATCCATCGATCTACGCGAGGAGATAAGTACCAGAATCTGCAACGACAGCCCGCCAGGCTAACGATTACCTCCGGATTGCAATGGTCAGGTCATCGTGGATCCTGTTGCTGCTGTGAGGTACTTCAGGAGTCTGTCGATATCGAGTTTGGACGAGTTTAACTCAGCAGGCCCACCAACGCCAATCTATGAGAATGATTTAAAGCACGTAATCAGTACGACATGTTGGGGAAGCGCTTGACAGATATCTTCGATGGTTCTTGTATCGACTTCCAATGAATATCTCGATTCAAGACTATGTCTGTCCTCGAGGAAACCAAGTTCTTCAAGATCGCCCGCAACATCTGACGGGAGGCAAATTCAAAACATATGGGAGGCTGCCGTGTCGCCGGCCATGTACGAAAACTAAAACCAAAGAAGAGATGGGCGGCCTGAGCTCTCAGGAAGGCATTTCCAGGCCATTAAGGCATCGTCTATGCAGTTGGCACTAACTGAGAACTGAGGTAAGTACACATGCAACCTCACAATGTCCTAGCGAGGAGATCTAGTAACCAGCCTGATGAGGCTTGGAAACGAAGGACCGATCCGAATGACGCGGGAGCATTTCACGGGTTGCGGTGCTTTTGCACGGGGGCGAGTAGATCTGCTGATATGCAGAGGACCCTACAGTTGGAATGTGTAGATCGGATTCCAATGCAGAACAAGAAAGATACGATAAGTGGACCGAGTGGCCCAGAGTGCCGGGACAAGGAGGACTGAGAAATGATTCCTTTCGAGAACCTAGCAAGTCTACTCGGTTGGAAACTGGTTTTATTTACGCGACGTCCATCATACATCAGATATTCATGGCCTGCTCGGGCTCGTATGTCTTGATACCCATGATTAATACATATTTCGCCAAGATCTTAAAGATCATATTAGCCTTGCTAATTAGAAAGGAACCACTAGTATGCTTCATTCTCAATTATTCTGTTAAGATGATAAGACAGGATCAAAGGTTACTCCTAGTATAAAACCGGAGTAGGACAAACTAAGAGGACAGTAACGCGTGGAAACCTAGACGAATACGTTAATCATATCATGATATCTCATAGAAGTAGAGAGCCTCAGTTGCTATATGTCGGAAGTAGGTTGACCTAGATCAGATTCGGAGTTAACTTAGCGGTTTACCTCCGAGTTACATTATCGAAACATTGTGATATATCACTGTACATTAGTGCACCACGTCGAAAGTTGAAAACTCAAAATTGTATAGTAAGTGCTAAGTTTGTTACTGTGTCGTAAAATATTATCCCCAAAGATCAACTGGTAGAGACTAATGATCTACCTGAATGGGAGCTTGTCGACTTGTACTTTCTCTTGCAATAGTACTCCTGATGCCACCTTAAATTCACCGCCCGAATCTGACTTCGAAGGCTCAGCACGGCTCAAGGAAAATTCCATCGTTTGCAATCTGCGTCACTTAATAGTGTTACTAGGTCCGTAAGCTGTGAGACGGGCATCGGTACCGCTTCGAGGCTGGATTAGCATCGCATACCCGCTAATGGCCGCGTTGATGTGCCAGTGAAGACATCTCAGTCTAGGTTTTACGTATCATGTGTAAGAAATCAGGATCAAAGTGAAATAATCCTCTTTGACAACTCTTAGTCTCAGCCGGTAGGGCTGTGAGGGCTGAAGATTACTGTTTGATGTCATGCCACACCAAGAACAGGGAACCATTTCCACATAAAACGCCTTTCGAAGCCGTTAAAATTTCACCTCAAAAATGACCTACTTATGTGTAGAGAAGAGCTATCAAACATCAGACCTTTTCATTATCATTATGTTCTCCAAATTCCATTACAGCTGGCCTCTCTTCCCCCTGCTGCAATAGCGGCAGGATCTAACACCACTTTCAAGCAAATCATCCAATACATGGCGTCGGCGTTCGAACCAGTTTCCAACATCAAAGTTGACTTTGCAGCTCTCGCCAATAAATTCTTGTACGATGTCTTGCGTCAGATGAAGAACCTCCAACACATAGACATCCCCGTATCATGATAATCCGCGGCAACTGGCATCTGCTTGTGGGGTAAGGAGTATCATTCGATACGCACTACGGCATCCTGCAATACACATTGGTGAAGTACACCTACGATGGATTGGATTTCGATATCGAAGACATCTACGCAGAATATCTGCATAGAACATCCCATATCTTTCGATGAGGTCATTCGGCTCATCGACTGCATCAAGAAAGACATTGGACCTAACTTTCTCAACGCCTTCGCCCCTGTGGTCGAAGCGCTTGTGAGGGCGGACATCAGTGCAAGAACAAGGATTGTATCGAGTCTGCGACTGAATGATTCGTAACCTCACAGAGCTACGCATAGAGCCGGGGAAGTAGCTACTGCTTTTCACTCTGGTACTTAAGACACTGTTACAGTTCGGAGGGGCGTCTATCTTCATCGTATGGCTACAGTCCTACTCTCCGAATATGTACGACTTCAACCTTGTTTCCGATCGCGCTTTCGCATATGGAAAAACTATGTTTTGTATATCCCTCAATCCAGACTACCCAATATTAAACTCCGAAGCCGCGCCCATCACCTCCTTGAGTTTCATCTTCATCCTCCTAGCCGCATCCTCGTCCGCTGCACCAAGGTCATCCTTATCAATTGCCATACTGCTCGGGATGTCATCGGCGCCGCCGCCTCCTCGACTCGCCCTCTTCGGCGCCGAACCACCCCTCTGCTGCTGCTGTCCGCCCTTGTGTGCCCTCCTTGATGGACCACCACCGATGTTACTGGGCGCCTCCCGCAAGCCAAAGCTCTTGGCCATGTGTCCCAACTGCAATTCTTCCATGTTGAAAAATTCACGCTCGTCCTTGACATGTGTTGCATACGCACGAATATGAGAACGGAAGGCTAGACGTGCCTCGTCCAGAAGCTTGCTGCCCGTCTTGTCTGATTCCAGAAGGCGTTGCTCAAGGTGCAGTTGCAGCGCCTCAGCACGCTTCATGGACGACTTTTCACTTTCAAGAATTGGAGCTTCGGTTTCCTTCGTGGATGACTTGGGTATTGTGATAGGGGTAATGAAACCCTTTTGAATTACGGTGTCTGCAGATTGGCCGGACATGTTTGTCTTCAGATAGGGAACGTATCCCTCTTCACATCCTGGTTGCAGGAAGAGTACAGCCTTTCCAGGACGACCGGCACGGGCTGTTCGACCGATACGATGAGTATGGTCATCAACGCTGAAGGCGGGATCGTACTCGATCACAAGATCTACGGCGGGGACATCAAGACCACGGGAGGAGATGTCAGTCGTGATAAGAACAGCTGGGTCTGTGGCTGTAGTAAATGCGTTGAGAGTTGACGTCCGGACAGGCTGAGCGAGTGATCCATGCAGTTTGAAGAGCGTGATTGTTTGATTCGCCGGTGATGTTATGTACGCTGCATTTGCGACAGTGTTGGAAGTTCGGTCATCGGTCGAAGCAGCTGAAGCAGGAGCAGATCGAAGCAGGTTGAAATGGAAGTCGGCGGAGTCGGCACATGATATAAAGACAATGGCTTTCATCACCGAGCCCTTACGTGCGAAAGTGGATTTGAGGAGTGCAAGCAAGGTTACCAACCGCAACTTCGGTGCGGTTACGATGTAGGTCTGCTTGAGCTGAGATGGAGCTTGGAAGACAGAATCGGCCCCAAGAGCTTCTGCGTCATTTCCAGCATCACCGCTCGTGGCTTTAATTTCGAGGGCATCCTTGAGAGAGATTTCTTCGCCGAGCTTGTCGATGTACTTCATGGTTGCAGAACAGAGTACAGTAATTCGTCTTTGTGGTAACGCGTCGAGTTTGACGCCTTCATCGTTTTGCGTCTTCAAACCTTCTTTCCTGATTTTGCCAATAATGGTCTTGAGGTCGTCTTCAAATCCCATCTCCATCAGTCGATCACCTTCATCGAGGACCAGCCATCGGACGGTGCCAACATCGAGGACTTGCGTGTGGTCCAAGTGATCCGTCAGACGACCCGGAGTTGCAATCAGAATGTTGACGCCTTTCCGTAGGCGGGCTTTCTCTGATTTTTTGCTTTCACCACCAATGACTGTTGTACTGACGATCCATGGTGCACAGCGTAGGAGCTTTTCCAACACCACGGCAATCTGCTTGCAGAGTTCTCTCGTTGGGGCGAGAATCATAGCAAACAAGCCTGAGTTTCGATGGATCTTGATACCGGTACTTGTTCCGTCCTCATTGTGACTGAGTGCCATAATTCGCTGCACTATGGGAAGGAGATATGCCAAGGTCTTTCCAGAACCGGTCTGAGCCTGGAGGAACGCATCGCTGTCGCCTTCGACCAATTTTGGAATCGCGTTCTTCTGAATTGATGTCGGTGCCTTCATCTCAAGCTTGCTGGACAGATGTTGCGCAATGCGCCCCGACAAACCCAGAGCGCGGAAGTTTTCTGCCTCCTCCGAGAGCGGGGCATTGGACGGCTGTGTTGGCTCGGCTTCTACGACAGGCTCTTCGAAGACGGTTTTCGGCGTCGGATTTGATGTGAATAACCTCGACGTTACTGGGCCTGACCTTGCTGTCTGATTTCCATTCCTTGGCGCCACGCTGATGCTACCTGGAGGCAGCTTGCCCGTCATATACGCCAGCAATTTTGGTGCACTGGTGTTGGGTTTGTTTGTATTTGATTCCTCTCCCCTGGCTTCGGCAGCAATTCTCTGACGCTTCGTGGGCCTCTCATTGCCAACGCGATCCGTCTCGTCGCTGTTACCACTGGGGCGACCATTCGCAAGTGGGGTTCCGTTGGCACCGTCCCACGGGTTTTCGCGATTCTTCCTTGCGCTGCGCTCAGCGTGCTTTCGGTCCCTCCAGCGACCACCTGTAAACTTAACTTGAGGTTTTATCGGCGCCTCACCGATTTCAAAATTGAGGAGCATGCCATCGTCGGCCATGGCTACGGTCGTTTGGCGGCGGTCGTTTGGCGGGTTGAAGAGAGATGTATTGAGTAAGTGGCAGAATCAGATAACTTTTTGGCGGTCAGGCAGTTTGGGACAAGGATTGAGACAGGGTGGGGCAGCCTAGGAACCAGCAAGTCTCATGCTGTCTCTCCAGCAGTTACCAGACATATGAGATTTCATAATGACACATCATTATGCCAGGAAAGAAAGGGGTCGATATGTTACGAACGAATGCACTCAATGCGACGTTCTCTTCATGTTAACCCTCAAGCTTCAGTCAAGTTCTTCAGTATGGCCTCAACCCTAACCCCAAATCTGACCCTGGTTGGATTATGGGTGAGACCGCCCCCACGTGCGGCCTCGGATATCAGCACGGCCGTCATTCCGGGCAGCTATCGATATGACATCGGACGAATTCCAATTTCCCAGATCCAACGACTGGTGACGATTGGGTTACCGCAGTTGTGTGAATTACTTCTTCGAACCGATCTTTCAATCCTACTTCTCTCACCAACAAACTTCTGCGCCGACCGACACCTTCATTCTGTTGAGCTGAGGCACGCACAAGCCACGTCACCAATCCCGCCAGATCTAACGTCTTTGTTCTGGCTTCAACCACCAGACGACGGCGAGCTGGAGGCCAAAAAAACACAGCACATAGAGACCAGATAGTCAACCCGTCTTCATGCAGTCCTTCGACCATGACGCGCCCACCGAACCCCTGCCTGCACCCCCCATGGCGGCCTCCAATATGAAAATCCAGAAGAATCGAATGTCGTCGCCGAGTGGCGGCACACCACTTGCACATTCCGAAGCTACCCTCCCGTATCGACGATCACATCCGTCTGCTGCCTCCTTATATGCGTCGACTTTCAGCCCACCAGGCTCCCGGTCCCAATCTCCCATAGCCCGCCCTGGGTCGCGAATTGCATCAGGTTCGGTCTTCGGCGCAAACTCGAATAATGCTCTTGCTCTCGTCGAAGGTGCCGGTGATGTCCCAGGCGATCCCCTCAACCTCGTTCTCAGGGCCTTCGTACCCCACATCGCAGTATACAGCTCAGATGATACCGAAGTGCTATTGAAGGACAAGGGATTTGAGCTTGGGCTCTGGGAGCTTCTACGCCCGTTCGGCGAGCGTGTACAGGGCAAGGTCATAGTCAGGGACAGCAACGGTTCTAGTCGCACATATGAGGACTACTCGGTACACTTTGTACGGTTCGGTGAGAATGTAGAAAACCCCGAACCGGCCACAGGTGGAATCAAGACAACGCCACAGCCAGCCCACGCAAACGGCACCTCAGAGAAGGGGGATGCCGCGCGAGGGGCTTCCAAACGAGGAGGCAACCTGGCAGATGTTGAGGCTGTCGTAGATCGCCATCTGACGTATGCTGAGGAGTCCTTCTTCGGCACTACTGCTGATGGGTTGTCTCCGCAGCAAGGACCGGGCGTTGACACACCATCACCATATTACGCCTTGTATCTACGGAGGCTGCTTTCGGGACTACCGATCACACCACATGAAACATTTGCTCATCCGGTAGCATGCATCATTGCAATCAGCTCGCGATGCCTTGCGCCCATTGAGACGCTGCGGCGACTGTATAACGAATCAAGCACTGGAGACAAGAGACTACCAAATTGGGTTGACTCTGAGTATTTGAGATATTACGTTTTGGTCCACGATGAAGAACAGGATGACATCACAAAGTCCATGTCGTTATTTGAACAGATGAAGCGCAATCTCGGCCTCCACTGTCATTTACTACGAATACGTGGCACACAGAGTGCAGCAACGGACGATGATAGCATACCACTTCCCAGAAGTGAATGGATGTCGGCATCAGAAGAGCTGGCTTCCATCCGGAGAAGTGAGAGCCAGGAAGCCTTCGAAGACCCGACTCGGTACATATTTGAAACCGACGCCACCGCGATACGTACATTCATCAGGGAAATGGTGACTCAATCTATAATACCCACGATGGAGCGCCATGTATCAGTATGGAACGACCAAGTTGCCTCAAGGAGGCGAGGCTTATCGGGGAGGTTCCTGGGTTTGACTCGGAAGTGGGGATTCGGCAGCACCACTAAATCCTCGGGAACTGCCTTGAGCTCTGGGGGCAACTATGATTCTCTGGGCTTCTATCGTGCAGACACACCGGAAGCTATCATGCGGAAATTGGCAGACTATGCGTTCATGCTTCGAGACTGGAAGTTAGCATACTCGACCTACGATCTCCTCAGATCCGACTTCAACAACGACAAGGCGTGGAGATACCATGCTGCCACCAACGAGATGGCCGCCATTAGCCTGCTCATCATGCCTCAGAACATCTCATCCAAAACTCGCATGGAGACGCTCGATGCCATGTTCGAGGCCGCGTTCTACTCCTACATAACCCGCTGTACTGCTCCTTACGGCGCTCTGCGCTGTCTCGCCATCGGCCTCGAGCTCCTCCGCCTGCGCGGCGGATCCAGCATCGACGACGCCGCAAGGTGGGGTATCCGCCTGCTCGAGAGCAAGGTTATGGGCCCCGTAGGCGATGCCCTCATCAAGGAGCGCGTTGCGGTCTGCTATGCGTCTAAGACGGGCATGGGATCGCAGTGTTGGGGAAGCCGAAGACGCAAGTCGGCCATGTGGAGCATACTTGGGGCCGAGACTTGGCTGACACAACAGAAGTACATACAAGCGCAGCGGTGTTTGAACGAGGCGCGGAATATGTACAGCGAACTGCCGGCGGAGCACGGCATCGATAGTTTTTCGCACGCGGGTGCCTTTATTCTGGGCATTGGGACGCAGCTGAACCACCAGTTGGACGCAGCCGATGATGGTACGGACCGTTCAGAGGATGATTCCGAGTCTGAGGTAGACGAGGAAAGCGAGGAACTGACCACGAGAGGTCGGAGGATTAGCATCGCGGGTCTTCCGGGAGCTACCACGGCTAATCTCGAGGCAGCGCCGTTAAGGAGTCAGGTTAGTGGGGAGGGCGAGGAGATAGATCCTGGGCGGCCGAAGGATGACTTTGGGTAATACGTTTCAGTGAGGATCGGGGGTGAGAAATCATGACATACGTTTTTGCTTGGAAGGCGTATTTCAAATGACTAGAGTAGGCAGAGGAATTAACTAGAGTGGCTCAGAGAGTCGACTCGATGTGCATTTGGGATGTGACCATGGACTTTAATCATCGTGTTGTTCTTCGCTGCTTGGAGCTTCCCACGGCATTGAGCCAGCTAGCCGAATCTCATGTCGCGACGTAGTTCCGATTAGTATAATGTAATAGGATCCAGGACTAACCATTGTATATTTTACCTACGGAGCACGACGGGTGCTCGACTTTAGACCTATCCTGCCATAGTAAAAATATATAAAACTTGATTTGGTAAGTGCATGTGTAATGGCATGTGGGGTCTTGCTATTGCGGCTTCAGGGTTGATTTCATGTGCGAGCGTAGTATTCGATTGTTGATATCCTAAGAACTGTCAACCATGTAGGTGAAGCCATGACCCAAACATCTCGGCATGTTCTGTGATCGTATATAGCTGCTGTTGCACTGGAAGCTACGAAAGCAGTCACATATAAACTCATAATAAAGGCAACGATGTTGGATGTGCTGCTACCTGCTGTCCTAGATGCAACGTACCATGACCCCTGAGGTTCAGTCTAGGTAACACCAAACTATATGGCGCCGTTAGTATGTTGTGGTCTCTCGAAGTTAGAGAAAAATATTTGCCATGTTATCTAATACATTCTAGCCCCTATTTGAACCCAGAAAGCATGAACTCTATCCCGTTATCCATGTCAAAAGCCCAAAATTAGAGAATTCAACATGGGTAGCTGCGCGAAAAGCACAGGCAGGATAATTATCGGAGTGTTCAATGGGCAGATTGTGGTACCTCTGAGGGTCCATCTACGATTCAGTCGCCATGATGACCTAAATCACCCATCCAAGTCGATCTCAGAACTCCCGTCGCGACTTCACGGCATTGAAATTTCATCATGGAAAGGTGTGGTTGCAAACTCTCCAGCTTCGAAAGCGAATTGTGTACCCTAGGCAAGAAGTTGCGTGATAAATGGAGCAATGAAGCCAAGAATATGGGGAACGTTGCACTCGATAGCACACTGCACATAGCACTGCCATTTACGCATATAAGACTGCTGCGGGTAGGAAATGTGACATGAGTTAGTATACAACCCTATTGGAATAAATCTGCTGGCAGGAATTGATTTATAGAAGCTGTCAGTAGCCGGCCTTGGTTGACATGCACCATTACCACCTGTTTGCATGACTGACTCTTTACCTTGAAATCCATGTTGATACTTGATAGCCTCTATGAATCGACAGCCACTAGACATACGTGTATGGTATCCAGGTTCCCCAAAAGATGACGCCACTCCGGTGGCGGTTGTTAATATAGTAGATATTCAGGAACCAAGCATCTTTCTCACTTTCGGCTATTTTGCCAAGACGGCTGATGATGCGGGATAATACATGAGTGAAGAACCTGCATGCAACACAACCAAACAAATATGTTGCGGATGAGAAATACGTGACCCCCTCGGACTGGCGCGGTTGATTTACAGTATGATGACCGAAATATCCGATTATTGCCCCAATGAGACCTCAAGAGATGATTCCTTACACACCCTGACCATAGCATGCAACCACGGTATCGGCGGCAGTGATCCTGGTGGCTTTCGCTTGGTAGGTCTTGGTTTCGATGCTGCAGGGCCTGGTTAAGACACTGTGGCTTCTTAGGTGACTCCTAAAAAAGCCAGGCATCAAGTGTGAGATCAACCCTGATTGATCTGTGTTCCTCCTTTTCCTTCGAAGCAACACTAGCTATGGTGGATAGTATCATCGAACCGGCTGAGGCGTGAGAGAGAGAAAGATCATAGAGCCAAAACCAAACGTCCCCGAGAATGGCATGCTGGCTAGTATTAAAGACAGGTCGTAAATCACATTGTGGAAAGCTGAACAGTACTTAGCATGGCAGGGTAACCTTAGATTCCGGAATGGCAGTTCCGTACCCAGCCTATTTTCTGGAAGCAACCGTGGACCAGTCCAGACAACATTGTGTGGAGAAACATGCCAGGAACCACATCGATCAAGTTTACGATGTTCATCCAAAGGGTTGAAATATCTTCAGTGTGGGGTAGCAATATGACTTTACCCTGGCCAGCCAGGTCTAGATTGACAGGTAAACCGGCAATGCCTTGAGATAGTTTTCACCATATTGTTTATATAGCAGGATCATTTTGGCTAACTGCTAAGCCAGACTCAAGCCATTGTCACCAGCAGCCAACATGCTCTCCAGTCAAGTTCTCGGTATCATCGCTCTCTTCGGCGGCGCCGCCATTGCGGTGACGGCCAAGAGACAGAGCCCTCAAGCATGCTCATCCCCATTGGTTATCGACGACTTCAGCAACTGGTCCCTTGGGGTGAATACGTTGGCAGGGATAACAAGCGGTGAGTCACAATGCCATCTTGAAGTCTTGCACCTGAGTGCCTGTGTGCTAAGTGACGATCAGACGATGGCACGATGTCACAAACCGACGTCGCAAACGGCGTTCTCACCTTCACACCCAACAGCACCGACACCTCGTATTTCTTCGAGCAGTTTACTTGCATGGCAGCTACAGGCCAGGGATACGACGCCCTGACCTTCACGATCAAGGGGCCCGAGGCCGCCTCGGTGTCTCTTGAGCTGCAGACGCAGGCCAATTGCGAGGCGAACACCACCGAATACACCAGCTCCTACTTTACTGTCGACGGGCTCACTGGCCAGACCCAGACCGTCTCGGTGCCGTTGAGTGTCTGGACGGATGCCAATCTGGATGCCGTCGTCGGGATTATTTTCTACGGCTTCTCGGCTGGATTGACAGGCACCGACAAGGTTTGGCAGATGGACAATATTATACTCCAATGCAGCACCCCAGGTAAGCGTTCAGACAGTCAATGATGGCGAGTCAGTGGATAACAAGTGATAGTTCCACCTAGCAGTACGATCACTTCGACAATTCCAGGTCCGACGATAACCACCATCGTTGTGACAAAGACGATATCGAGTACGTGGTACCCGGGATGGCCGCCGTACTACACGACGACGCGTCGTACCAGTACGATCACGCCGTACCCATGGCCTACATTTACCTGGCCACCGGGAGAAGAAGCCGAAGCTGATGGTACTGGAAAATGGGATCGACGTGACGTGCCAGCTGTCCCGGCCGTCCAAACCCCAAACCCAGCCAGCGAAGAGGCTTGCGGCCAGCTGGTAATTGACGACTGGGAGTCTCAATCTCGCCTCACATTCCTGTACTATAACGCCCTGCTTCAAGCAAGCAGTGATGACGGCACAATGAAGTCCATTGTCGTCAAGGACAACAAAGTCACCCTCACCCCGCAGAACACGGATTCGTACTTCTACTCCCAACTCGGCTGCATCGACGCCAAACAGTATGGCGGCATCGCTCTTCGAATCGCAGCACCGGAAGGATATCAATTTGATGTCCAACTCGCCTCGACCAAGGGTGCCTGTGGCGGTGACAACGAAACCGCCTCAAGCCTGACTACCAAGAAGCTCGGGTGGACCTTCGACGGCACAGAGAAGCTGTACAACATCCCATTGTCCCAGTTCTCGGGCATCGACTTGACCAAGTTCAACGAGGTGTACCTGACAAACTTGAAGAAGCCAGTGACGCTGGGTCCGATGGCCATGTACTGCGGCAACACTGTTACAGAATATGTTGCCCCTGCTCCCGTGGAACCGACTGAACCGACAGCAACTGCCGCAGCGCCGCCGAGCAAAGCAACGAACTTCGTTATTGACAAGTTCGGGAGCGCAGATGAGAACGCACTCAATCAATGGCATGGTGCGGACGACGGAATGACGGTGACATACAAAAGCAAAAAAATGACACTGAAAACAAACGATTCGGATCTCCAGTGGGCCACAACATTCGCCGAGACTTGTAAAGATATGAGACCGTACCTGGACGCCTATCTGCACATCGCCTACTCCGGAAGCAACAAGTTTAGCATCGCACTGCAGCAGCATAACGTCAAATGTGACAACGACGCCCAGCCGTGGCCAGAGACCTGGGACTCGCTCGAAGCCGCTCGATATGGGAACGAGTCCGATATTTACATCCCCATGAACCACTTCAACATCAACCACACGCGCGCCATCGGCTTCGCGCTGAAGGGATTCTACAGTACGACCCCAACCGTTTTTTCGACAATCGAAATTGTTTCCCAAGTTCCCAAGGGCTGGACGGTGGCGTCGAAGTTGCCGTCGGGGAATTTCGTGTTCGCGTGCAAGCGGCCCAACTCGTTCGCTTTTGCCATCGATGATGGGGACCCCCAGTTCGCCCAACAAGTGATGCAGACGGTCAAAGAAGAAAATATCACCGTCACCTTCTTCACTGTTGGCGCTCCGCTGCAAGACCCCTCGACGAACTTGAGCAGTGTATATCAAGAGATGGCTGCCCACGGCCACCAGATTGCTATGCACAGCTATACTCATCCGCCGCTCGAAGGGCTAGAGGACGAAGCATCGATCGACTGGGAGTACAACAACATGATCCGAGCAGTTTCTGACACGTTCAACGGGATGCACACGCCGTACTTCAGGCCTCCTTTTGGAACCGAGGGTGCTCGCATGCGACAAAGGCTTGCAGCCGTCATCGATAATCCATACATTGTGCAGTGGAGTGTCGATGTCGAGGATTGGATGTGGGCAGAGTCGAAAACCCCCGAAAAGCAGCTGGATGCTTTCAAAAGAGATGTTTCGAAAGGCGGAAGTCTTGTGGTGATGCACTACCTCTATCCTTCCACAGTCGGCTATCTGAAGCAATTTATCCAGATAGCGAAGGCTACAGGGAAGCAACTGATGCGCGTGGATCAGTGTATGATGGACCCGAACGCGCCCCCACTGCCGTAACACGAGATGGAGCCAGAGCTTCGGAGGCGGCGCCATGCATACGTAGGGGGGTGCTTCAGAAGCGAAGTGTGATAGCTTGAACACGAATTCTTTTGTGCTAATAATGATGCGCCAAAGTATTCTTGCTGGTAATAATGATCATGCCCATTGGCCCCCTTCTCCAGGCCACGATAATGGGTCGCTAAAACGGGAGTCTCCCATGTCATCTTGTCAGCGTCGTAATAAGATGGTCCTGACTGGATGATATGTCTACCGCTTACATACCATTTCTCTATCCTGGCACACTGCGACAGTCTCTCCGAACAAACCACATCCGAGCTACCCCGCTGTTGCAATATTTCGATCCTTCGCGATGTCTCGTCCGCCGGACAGGGCAGTCTGTGGCGGGGCAGTTCTTGTGTGGCTCTTCTACGCCAAGTCTGATTCCTTAGGATAGACTTGATGCACTCAGTCAGCAACATACACAACAGCCGATATAGAGGCTAACCTTTGCCCAATGACGTCTCGCACATTACTCAGTACCCAAGCAGATAGCATGCCGTGCCATGGCCCGAGGGGGTTTGGTCGAGACGGCCTTCAAGGTGATGCCAATACAAGACAAATACGCGCTGTTTCGCCTCGTACCTTGATCGCTCGGATACCAGCTTCGTAATCTCTGACCCTCTACTTCTGCGAATATGCCCCTCCCAAGTGATGCAAAAGTAGTTGAGACCAGCAATGGCCTGGTCAATACGCTCCATGAGATATTTGGGCCTCACCCTGGATTCCGACCGGGTAAGTACTTTGAGTGCATAGCTCTGGAGTGGTAGACTGGAGCTAATGCCACGGTCAGCTCACGCAAAGGGTGTCTTGCTGAAAGGGACATTCACTCCCACCGAGGATGCCAAGTCTCTCTCAACTGCTCCTCACTTTAACAACCCGTCGACGCCGGCCATTGCCCGGTTTTCCAACTCGACAGGCATTCCGGAGATACCAGATACAGATCCTAATGGCAACCCGCGCGGCTTCGCAGTGCGATTTATGCTCGCAGAGAGTCCTCGTCGAGTCCACACCGATATCATTGCTCACTCGGTAGACGGCTTCCCAGGAACGACAGGGGAAGAGGCCCTGGACTTCTTCAATGCTCTCAAGAACGGCACCATTAGTGACTACCTGGGAGCACACCCAAAAGCGCTCGCATTCGTCCAGGCTCCCAAGCCAATTCCATCGAGCTTCGGCAAGGAGAAGTACTTCGCCGTCAACGCGTTCAAGTTCATCGCCGCCGACGGCAAAGAGACATTCGTTCGGTACCGCTTCGTTCCCGAGGCAGGTGAGGATTACCTTGACGAGGCCACGCTCAAGGACAAAGCCCCGAACTTTCTCTTTCAGGGAGTCCCCGAGACGCTGAAGCAGGGTCCAATCTTGTTCAAATTGACAGCTCAAGTGGCAGAAGAGGGCGACGTGACAGATGACAACACCGTGAAGTGGCCGGAGGAGCGCAAGATTGTGGAATTGGGAACTATTAAGCTCGAGAGCGTGGCGAATGACAACGCAGCGCAGCAGAAGACCATCATCTTTGACCCGATCCCCAGGGTCGAGGGCATTGAGGCATCCGCAGATCCGCTGCTGCAGGTACGCGCTGGTGTCTACCTTATCAGCGGTAAGGAGAGAAGAGCGGATTGAAAGGTATAATACGCGGTGCAGGCCTGTATATCCAGAGAATGCGTGTTTTGGTTATGCTGAATGATGCCGGTATTCGTGCCTTTATTGAGATCCATGTCAAGTTCATAATTGATCGTTTTGAGACCTTGAGACCTATATTCTATGCTGAAAAAGGGAAATTCCCCATTGCACTTGGAATTATAGCATAATGATATCTCCTGAATTGCATTCACGGCTATCCCGTATCACAAACCTCCATCTGCAAGAGCACGTTGGAGGTGACTTCGTTGGCGGATTGACCGATGCAGGGACCTGATGGAGCGAACTGGGAGTGCCGAAGCCAGGCTTGAGAGCACTTCTGCAGGCATACGTAGAACATGGAGCATCGAGCTTGTTGTTGGAGGACTTTGGGAAATCCAGCCCAGCCCAGCCCAGCCCAACCCGATTCTGAGAAGCGTGCTTGAGTCACGGGGAACTTGGAGTATTTTACTTTCTTTTGGGGACATCTGAGCTTATTGCCGGCATTGCCTTGAGAGAAGGGTGAGCTTGTTATTGCCGACATTACAGAGAAGCTCCACAGAAGACCAATCACGCTACAAAAGTGTCGTACATATACTAGCTAGAATTCACAGAATCGATTTTATTCTTCACACAAACACTTGCTGTCATAACAAACTAAGGTCTATTTTCTATACGCTATGCTATGCCATATTTACATCGTGCATCTAGACTTATTCACCTTGAATGTTCCCAAAGTAATACAGGCCCCTGTTTCCACCAGGATGGGCTGTACCTAATAGCCACGAAGATAGCTCAGCCAACCCCGGTTCTTGGGCCGAGCTGGTTTTCTCTCTGCAGCCCGCAAATCTGAAATAATGTCTTCAGATCTGGGTTTGGGCATGCAAGATTCACCACCCAAGGAATCGCTGTCAGAAACTTCTCCATTATCATTTACAAAGGGCGTAGTGTTGGCGGACTGGGCCTCCTGAGCAGGCTGGAAGATCTCATTCCCATCCTTAGAGTTGACGAGGATCTTGCAAGTATTCTGAGAATCGCTATCATCATCGTCATTGAGAGCGTTGATGAACAAGTCACCGTCCACTAGGCCATCATATTCTGCATCGTCATCGCCGCTACTACTATCGATGAGGTCATTGTAACAGTCGAAATCAACGTCGTCGTCGTTATCGTTCTCGTAGACGGTAAAGGGTTCGTAGGTGTCAAAATAACAATCATCATACTCTTCTTCCAAAAACCTTCTGTGAAAAGGCTCCAAGGGAGCTGGAAACCCTGCGACTTGCCCTTCTCCCACAGGGTCCTCGGAAGAATCATTCTGCAAACTGTTAAAAGGCGTGTGAATCTTCGACGTGCGTTTCTCCATCTCCAATATGTCAACCCCCCCTTTCTTCTCCTTTTCCTCGAGCTCCGTCCGAAAAGCAGGCATTGCCTCCTCATCAGCAAGCGCGCTACTTCCCTGCAAACCTGGAGATGAAGTGCCAGAAGCAATAGTAGCATCAGAAGAAAACGCAGACCTCCCTTTCTTATCTCCAATAACTCCCACCTGCTTAACCACATAACTCTCATACCTAATAACCACCTCCTCTCTCCAACCACCGGTTCCTTCCGCGACGTGTGGTGGGACCACTCGCCCTAAACTCTCCGCATCCAACCCCTTTTGTCCCTTCAAGCAAAGCAGCTCACTCCCCTCATCCAATCTTTGCGCAGTGTCCTCCTCTCGGAAAAATGCCTCGCTAGCCGGATCGACGGCCGAACACACCTCGGTCCGGCATTTCAGGGATTTATTAGTGTGTTGCCATCTGCGGCGGGAGACTTGCTGGCTGTTGCAGGCGAAGGGGAGGGAGGAGATTACTAAGTCGGGCGTGGAGTGGCGGCAGTTGGGCAGGCTGCAGAAGAAGATTGGACGGGGACTGCGGCAGTTACAGGTGTGATAGTGAAAGATGGCTTGGCAACAGAAGACCTGGTTCTTGTGGTTGTTGGTGCTAGAATTGAAGACAGGAGCTTGGGCCGAGAGGTTTGGGGTGGAAGTCGAGGTCGCTGTGGCGTGGGTCGAGAAGAAAGTGCAAGGCATTGTGCTTTTGGTTTCGGTAGGTAAAGTTAGTTGAGACAATTTAGAAAGCTGGCTTGTGGTAGAATACGGAGGTTTTGTACAAGTCGTTTGGAATCCTCTCGATATTGATATTCCGAAGTAGATCGCAGACATTAGGTGATATGAGAATATAAAAGTGGGCTTGCTTCTCTGCTCACTATTTAAAATGTGATTTCCCGTTTTCTATTTCCGGCTAAGCACTGTTCAATGCTATTGTCTTATGCTGCAACAAAGTCACAACATATACCACAGCTCAAAGGCTGTCTTTGTGATAAAACTAGCTGGCGAGAACAATGCTAACACCTAAATTGAGTGCCAACGTCAAAGTATCTTGTCTCGGCATGCTTTGATCACACGGTTCCGGTTACGATTCTTCAGTTATCGATTGCTTTGTAGACTAGGAGGGTTGAGATTGCCTCGTTCGGACAGCAAAGCATCGCCGTTCTATGAGACCCTCTTTCTGCGACCAGCACTATTACAGCTGACGTAAAACATGCTTGCAAACTCCATTGGACCAAAAACTAAACATCATTCCACGTTCGCCTTGGATGCTGCTAGAGCTCCATTGTTAGTCCATTGCAATACAGTTTTCATAGAGCCACCACGCTACCAATACACAATGTTCTCATATCTCGCCTTCCCATTCTACAACCTGTTCCCCAGATTTACATGAATGGCCTTCTCCTGGGTATATGCAGCCAGACCGGCCTCACCCAATTCCCGACCAATTCCGCTCTGTTTCACCCCACCAAACGGAATTCGGAAATCCGAGTCATTGGACGAGTTGATCCAGACCATGCCGGCGTGTATTTTGGAAGCCACTCGGTGGCCCACCTCCATGTTCTGGGTAAATATGGAGGAACCCAGGCCGTAGACCGTGTCATTCGCCATGGCGATGGCCTCCTCCTCTGTCTTGAACGATGCGATAGCGACGAATGGTCCGAAAATTTCTTCGCGGTAAATCTTCATGGAGGAAGTCACGCCTGTGAAGACGGTAGGCTCAATGAAGTAGCCCTTGCCGCCGCTGACGCCCTTGAAAGGAACTCCACCACACGTTAGTGTAGCACCCTCGGACTTGGCTGTTTCGACATAGCCCAGAATCTTGTCGTATTGCGCCTTGGTGATCTGGGGACCCTGGAACGTAGCTTCATCAAAGGGATCGCCAACGACGTTGGTGGATTTGATGACATCCGTGAAGATTCCAACAAACTTGTCTTTCACGCTCTCGTGGACTAAAAGACGAGAGTTCGCAGTGCAGATTTGACCCGAGTTGCCCATGATACCTCCGTGGGCCCATTTCGCGGCCTGCTCGAGGTCGGCATCGGCGAACACCAATAGAGGAGATTTACCACCCGTCTCGAGGGTGATGTTCTTCATGTTGACACTCGCCGTCTTCATGATCATCTTTCCGGTGGCGGTCGAACCGGTAAAGGCAACTTTGTCAATGTCGAGATGGCTGGCCAGAGCATGCCCAGCCTCCCTTCCGTAACCGTTCAGAATGTTGATGACACCGGGAGGAAAGCCCGCCTCTTTGATCAAGGTTGCCAGGTACAAGATGGACAACGGTGTCTGCTCAGCGGGCTTCATGACGACAGTGTTTCCACCAGCCAGAGCGGGGCCAAGCTTCCATGCTGCCATGGCCAGCGGGTAGTTCCACGGGATAATCTGCGCGCATACTCCGATGGGTTGCTTGAGCGTGTACGCAAACTTCAGCGGAGTACTGGGAATAGTTTGGCCGAATATCTTGTCGGCCCAGCCAGCATAATATCGGAGAGTGCCGACGACCTCGGCAACATCGCCGTGTAGGGCGACCGAGTACGGCTTTCCATTGTCCCACGTCTCAATTGTGGCCAGAATCTCCTTGTTGGCCTCAACTAAGTCGGCTAGCTTATTCATCAAGGCACCCTTATCGGTTCCGGACAAATCACGCCACGACTCGTGGTTGAGTGCGGTACGGGCTGCTTTGACAGCTTTATCGACATCATCAACCGAAGCTGCTTCGACTTCACAGATATTTTCCTCATTTCTAGAAGGCCATCCTGATGAGTATGGCACCGACCCTTTTCGGGGTATGATGTAGCTTACGTGGGGTTGATGCTCGTGATCTTGTCGCCGGAGCTCGACTTAACGAACTCATTATTGATGAAGAGACCGGTAGGCAATGTGAACTTCTTGCCGTTCGGCGCCGTGAGATCAACCTTGAGATCAGCCATGTTGAAAATCTTGGTATGCTTGTGTTTGCGGATGAACAAATTTGAGCGAATTTGGGTAGAGGGCAGAAAGTAGCGCGCAGACGAAGGTGAAGTGAAAAGGGATGGTGAAAGCCGGGTACTTGGATAGAGCCGCGGCAGGCGGAGCAACGGATGTCTTGCCATTGCTTTATCGCAGTAGCCCGACGCGTAGAATGAACGGAACCGACTCCATGCCGCTTAGGTGTATGACGTTGGGAATTGTACGGGGTTGAGGGGTCGTCGTTGCCCATGACTTTGGATGGTGGGGTGTTGCTGAAATCGGTGCAGATAGCGGTTAGAACTACCATTTTCGTACTAGATCAGTTTCTGTTGAGGGGTTAAGTCGACGCTGTGCGTCACAGAAATGGCAACGGCGTTCATTGGTTAACTGATTGAGAACGACCGCAACATGAGAATCCATTTCTACCGTGGCCTGCAGGCTCAGGGCCAAATTGAATCAGCGAGCTCACTGTCATACCTCCCGCAGACTAAGGTTGGCGCTATGCAGCGTAAGCTTGCTTAGGTCTGTTCTTTCCTCCCTATGTCGCGCCCGACGTCGTTACAGTTTGACAACTTCCTTTGTGCCATGGGGCTAGGCCCATTGCGGGGTAATACCGCCCTTGGGCCATGTTCAAGCCGGCAGCTCCAACTGCGGGCACCACACTATAAGTTGCGCGCCCCCCTACATTATCCATACTATGTAGTAGGTTCGCCTCTTTTCTGTCGTAGTAATAATCTCTTACATACAGATTCGTAGCTCAACTACTAGACTAAGAGCGTTAAGATAATAAGGATGGTATTTTATTTAAAGTGATTCCTCGAGCATACTGTTGGACCTTCAAGGCTACTCCGTCAAGACTGCCAAGTCAAAAGGAGAAAAGTAAAGCCGCAAACCGTACGAAGTATGGGTCAATATGACCTCTACCCATTGAACCACACAAGTCCTGGCTGTGGGGCAGGCATCAGTCATTTCTGACTATATAAGGCCCTTATGGCCGCGCTTTGCTTCTCTCTGGACTCTCCAGAGATCATGACACTTTCAATACAAGACCATTTTCCCACAATCCAATACATACCTAGAGTATTTATCTAGCTCTACTATGAGTAAGTTATACTGTCTATCGATCCCGTAGCTATATTAAGTTTTAACGGTAATGAATATACGTTTCAACGTGGAGCAGTGTTTTCTTAGTCTCCTAAGATCCCTCTAATCATACATGGGCTCCCTGATCCGGCTCCAGCTAAGACCCAGTTGTCTGGGAGGGCTTTCAGGGATCATCGTGGGGTGGAACTCCAAGCAGCGATTTTTGATGTCATCCCAATGAATAAATTTGTCGATGAAGACCGTTGGAAACCAAGCACGCAGAACCCGCGGTAGGATGTGGTTGAGAGTTCAATGGCCCTTCGTGGCTCGAACCATCAGGTCCGACCCGGAAGACCCTACAAAGCTGTAGCTAGAACGCAAATGACGCCTATGCACGGCGTGTTCCGTTTTGCCAGAGAAACGCAGGCCCGGGACGGCACTTGGCGAAACCTCGATCGTCGAGTGGTCGAACAGCTTGCGATGCATTGGACGAAGCTCGTACTTGATAGGAAACCGATCCAACAGACGCCGTCAACAAGATGTTTACTCGTTAGGAGATATTATGCAGCTCAATCAGATTACTGAAACATTGAAAGCAATAAATCTAATCAAATGAGAAATAGTGGACGAAAGATTTCACCATATATTCTTGTTGAGGTGAACAATGAATTCTCCATTAGTTCCTATGTTCACGTTAGGTATATAACCCACACATGTAGGTATAAATATAAAATCTACAGCGGCTCGGCCCGTCGGCGTTGGCGCTATCCCCAAATCACTCATCTTTCTCTGCAGCTACCATTCGCACTCTCGCTATAGCGAGCATTATGGACGATTTGTTCGCCAGCTAATCCGCGTACATCACACCACTTCTCCTCATCAGCACGTCCTGCCAAGCCTGGCTACAGTCAGTAGTTCTACATTTGGGTTGCTAGTCCCTAAAAATGCAACGCTGTGGAGTTCATCATACAAGCCTCGAGTTAACCTAATCAACCTCATCACCCCTTTTGGAAACCTGTTTTCGCTAAAGTTTATTTGGTTAGACATGCGCATGAATTGGGCGCAGACTTACAGGCAATTGGATCTGGTACGCTATCTCCATCTCAGACGCTCTATCAAGGTGAGATTTGGATTTACCATCACTTCTCTGCAGCCACCATGCGAAGGACTTTTGGTTCTGCAAGCTGCGATATCTCAGCGACGTCTTCCAAACCATGGTGTATTGGCAAAGATCAAGCCAAGGTTGCGATGTCTCTACTGTGGTGCTATTGCGGTGCCTATCATTTATGTGTTTTTATAGCTGGTGTGTCAGTAGACCTGTTACCAATAACTGCAGTCATGTTTACTGATCGACCCGAACATTCTAGCAAGTACGAGCTGTAAGCCTCTGAACGGTCGATCACCATGCGTATACGGGAATTCATCAAAGCCCCATGGCTAAATATATGCGTCAGCAGGTTTGCACTTTCATGAATTTTACAGGCCATGGCGCCATCTTTCAACGACCGGTACAGCACATATGTAACCAAGAACTCTTGATGCAATGTGATTCAGATGCATTATCGATGACATGTTCTTGGGGTAGAATGCCCACGAAGAGTGATTCCCCAGCTGAAACAGTAGCGAGAACTCGTTACAATCGTTGATTATCACCAATACCCTCACCATTCTCCGGACTTTGGTTGCCAATGCTAACCTCACCGGACACTCTGGTTAGGCGGGAGGTCGGCTTATGGTTGCCTAGCTCACAACTAGTCAATCAAAATACTACTTGGGCGCTTATGTTCTACAGAATCGACACGGCTCGGTTTTCTCCCGCCTTGGCACTCATTATCTCCTATTTGGGTCGACAAAGAAATCATACGAATGATCATTGGCATCCCTACCCGTCAGCCACTACAGCACAGCCGACATGAACTAGGAGTCAGGAGGCATATGCAGCTTTTGTGGCTTTGGGCGTCTATAGCTCCAAGGCCCATTTCAGCATTGATTTGTCGATATTGACCCAATTCAAGATGCAGCTGTTGGGGTTTCATTCCTTCATGATGTAATGCTGTTATGCTGTGTAACTTGAAATGCATGCAAATGCAGATCATGTGACAGTTACATGGCCGACTTTTCCCAGTTGATTTACTGGCTGTTCTTTTATCCTAATCGGGTATTTGGGCTACGCGCTGTGCAATCCGTAGACATGTAAGCCGTGGCTGTTCTCGGACAACAACTTGAAATATCAATTTTGAAGCCCTGTCTGTAGTCAAAACCTCTATACTATATATGCACTCCTAAAAGCGGCAACTCAATTTCAGGCAGCAAGCAAACAACCAGCAACAACCAAAACGTCAACAACTCAATATAAAGAGCACGACGCTCAAGAACACGACACTCGAGAATACGACGCTCAAGAATCAGCTTCATCTAACGACGGGCGCCTCAATATTCGCCATTGATCTTGCATCACAATTATTCACTGCCAGAGGATCACGAAACTTTCAGTCTTCGTTGATTTCAAGCCCAACTCCCTCAACGCATCGTCCGTCACTTGTCGACAGCCATTGATTTTGCCTTAAAACCGTTCGCTGCCAGAACATTTCGACTCGCCAATATGGCAGAAACTGGAGAGGCTAGTAAGGCTTCTCTTCTTCTTGACCATTGCGATATGATTCACTGAAACCACCCTAGTTTGGGGCAGCCTGTACGTCTACGCTCCAAACAAGGGCGCACCCATCTTCTTCACAATCGCCTACGCCATCTCGGCCATCTTTCACGTTTGGCAATGCTAGTAAGTGTACCACCTATTGACTTTAAAGGTTGGAACGGAAACCATAACACTGCGCCATTAGTCGCTTCAAGGCCTAGAGGTTGACAGGACTGCACCCGTTCTGCGCAGTGCTGTTTACTATAGGTTATGCAACGCGAGAATACGGAGCCTACAATTACATATATTCTCCGACCAATGGGGTGCCCTTGGGCCTCTTCATGGTGAGCCAGATATGTGTTTTCATTGGCCCGTAAGTAAGATACGTCATCTCAACACACTACCTTGGGTTGCGGTAGACTAACTGGACTCTTCTCTGCTGTAGTCCATTCCTCGAGCTCGCCAACTACCACGTTCTCAGCCGAGTATTCTACTACATGCCGTACGCCTCGCCCCTTTCTCCCGGCCGAGTCACCACCTTTTTTGGTAGTATAATGTTTTTGGTCGAGGGGTTGAACGCTGCGGGAGTAGCCTTGTCCTCCAACGCCAAAGCAAAGGAGGCCCCAAAGAAATCCGGGCACAGCTTGGTGCTCGTCGCGCTCGCGCTCCAAGTCTTTGTCATCTTCGTCTTCGTCTACTTCTCCGTCACCTTCCATCGGCGTTGCATCAAGGCCAGGGTCCCCGGAAAAGCCAAAGCTGTCAATTCCACACTGATCACGCTCTACATGAGCATGACGCTGATCTTTGTGCGCTGCATCTACCGTCTCGTGGAGAACGCGATGGGCACAATGAACGTGGACCTCCGGAATATTGAGGCTCTGAAGAAGCTGAGCCCCTTGCTGCGGTACGTAGTGTTCTTCTACATCTTTAAGGAGAGCCTCATGCTCATCAATTCTGTGCTGTGGAACGTGCGGCACCCGGGTCCCGAACTGCCCCAAGACCATCACATATACCTGGCACCGGACGGAACCGAAGTCGAGGGCGAGGTGGACGCAAATGAACACCGGCCGCTCCTGCTCAAAGTGGCAAATGCCATGATGTTTGGCCTGCTCTTCCGCAACAATAAACCGAATTCGCACGCGCAGTCTCAGGAACTTGATGAATACCCGCATGTCAATGGCTACAAGGAATGCGGCGACCGCAACCGCGGACACGCCTCTTAGATGATGGGGATGCACTCGAGAACATTTCGGCGCTTTGCATTTGTAGTTTTCTTCTTGTCTTTAGAACGAACACGCCACATCTCGGGGGAAGAATGTGGTGGACGGGATATGTATACTGGTATAGTTAAACCCTTGTGATATGGAATACATGCTGATAAACAGTCAACACATGATGCAATTTTTGCTCCTATGTACTTATAGTAGGCCGCTGTTTTCCCATCTACGGGGATTGTGTTAGTGCACGTGGAACGTAACACGACAAATTGAACAAATAGTAGCTGATGGAGTGGAAAGAAGTGAAAACCTGTAATTTTGAGGACTACTTAGGAAGGAAACTAATTGCGCCGGTTTTCCTCTCAGCCAGTTACACTTGAACTTGAATTCTGATACCACGGCCACTATACTCTCGCAGAGACCTCGCAACGGCAACAGGAGAACCAGTAGTTAGTGGGACTATTGTAAGATGGCTGCTAGGGACGGGTCGGACAGCTTCAAGGCCCAGATAGCATCGATCTTCTCAGGGGGGACTTTGTTGGTAGGTTGAGAACCAACGTAGTATGGTAGTGAACGCAACGCAGTCGCCAATAGGGCGAACCGACGACGCAGCGTATGTATTTAGTCCAGCCATTAGGGCACGGTTTGACATACGGGAGTACTAGTAGAGGTACCGGGGGCTTCGAGCCTACGGCGTATTTAATAATAAATGAATTCTGATGGTTGTAGCTGCAAGCCGCATCGACACACCTACAATATAATTCAGGGGTACCGCCGATCCTAGTCTTTCACATACGTACATTTGATGACTGCGATTTTAGAGATACTAGTTATTAATGCGCACTTCAGTAGTCTGGATCAACACCAGACTCGGGACAAGTAGACAGAGGAAGTCAGTAATCATTGTAAGAATTTGTTAAATTCAACGGGACAAATTGGATTCTTCACTTAGCCCTAAGTTACTTGGCGAAGTATTCAACCACCCCCGAACGGCCACGTGGTCCACCTCTTAGAAAAACAACCGGGAGCAAAGCGTTTAGCAAATTTCTCGGATTTTCTGGACCCTGGGAATAGAGAGAATATTTGCGCCAATTCCCCTAACCTAGAGCCTAGGGACGGCGGTGTTTTTTTTGGCTCATGGTGGGCTCTGTCACTACGAATGAATTAGTCGGTAACTTTTATTCCGGGACGTCAAACTATACCAGTCCTATGATGCCTCCTTTCTGTTGAACAATCTTTGTTCAATGCGCGGCTCGTTTTGACTTTGCGCCCTTGTCAGGGATTCTCCTGTACTCGCAGGAAGTAGTTCCGAACTGCGGATCGGCGAATCAAGTTTCAGGGCGTCCAATTAAACGTTCCTAAGGTATCCGAGCAGCTCAGTGAGGAATTAGTTGCATGAACTGACCCGCGCTACAACCAAAGCTTCCCTATGGCTGCATGCTGTGACAGGGTAAACGAACGCGGGCCAATGAGGGAGGTTCGTTTCGAAGCACAGCCACCATAGCTGAAATGCTTTATCTCGATGATAGTCGGTTTCATGGTACCGAAATCCGACTTCAAATTGTAAGGCCGTAGTTTGTAACTTAATTTAGATCAATGCCCGCGACCATCACGGTTTACTCGTTACAGATGTCTCTCGGGGTGGAGGGTGCAAACTGGATCGGCGGGCGCCATTATACCAAGTACCCAATCTGCCTGCCTCACGGAGAGAACTGTTGATCAGGACGATTTGGGGTCAAGTTGAAGCCCCTGAATCTAGAGTGACTACGTTTCATTCAATATTGTGCTAAGTAGTGCACCTTAGCCTATCAAATCAGTTGACTCAACGTTTGTTATAGCTCCCTCCACCACTCAGTGCAAGCAACAATATAGCATAAAACATGCCGGGAACCACCTAGCCGTCTAGTCAGAGCACGAAGCAACACTAGGCACGTTAGTGCAAGACCCATAAGTCTTGCCCCCCGTGACATCGACGTCAGTCCACGTCCAGCTGGAGCAAGCCCCGCTCCCACAGGCAATGACGACGTTATATCCACTGCTGGAAACGGCGCCAACGCCCTGGATGTTGTCGATTGTCAGCTTGGTAATCGGGATGCCGCTAGACGGGGTTCCGCCGTCGAGGTCACCGCCATCGTAGTTCTGTTCAATGAGGATTCCGTAACTGTATGAACAAGGTCAGTACTGGTGGGGAATCGGGGCTTTTTTTGTTCCCGCGCGGGAAATTGAGGGGAGACGAACCCGGAGATGGCAGAAAGGGTGATCTGTGAATAGGTGACGCCAGTGATGGAGCCGGTGTCGCCTTCGGTTGCCTTGATGCGGATTCCTGTCGTGAACTGGTTAGTCGGAGTCTCTGGTAGTGGGCTGGGAATAGGGGCTGTACCGTTCACTGAGTTCTTGACTTCATTGTCGTTAAAAGTGACAGTGCTGACAGTGTTGTCATCTCGGCCACCGACGGAACCGATGGAAAGGCCGTGTCCACCGGAGCAGACACCGCCGCTGAAGGTGATGTCCTAGACAGTGTGTTAGAGTGGACACTGGAAATTGGATAAAACGTATACTTGCGGTTCCTGAGTTAATAGCAACACAGTCGTCTTGATTATACACATTGGCCCCTGTGATAGTAACACCAGTGCTGGACCCAATATCGAACCCATCCGTGTTGTGGCCACCACCAGTATCGCCAGCAGAATTGTCAATGGTCATGCTGGTTATGGTCAAGTCGGTGCAACCGTTGACGCTGACAGCTTGGACTGGGGTGTTTTGGATGTGCAGGTTAGTAATCGACGAGGAGATCAGATCATGGGCGTAGAAGAACTTGGGCTTGGTGACACCACCATTGCTGCCCTCACCATCCCACCACCTAGCACCGTCGGGGTTGAGATAAGCTCCCGAAGCACCCTCAATGGTGATCTTGTTGCCCTTGATTTGGAGAAGAGGCCCGGCCCATTCGGAGTAGCCCCATGTTGTCTCGCCCTCGAAAATGACCTGTAGGCCAAGGGTTCAATATCACAATCAGGATTATGGGGATGTCTGGTCCAACTCACGGTGGTGTCGTCTTCGAGGTCAGAAAGATCCAAGGTCACTCCGGAGGGCACAGCAACGCTAGACAGGACAATGGTGGCGCATGACTTCTGCGACTTGCTGGCCGAAGCTGCGCCACTGGCACCCGAGAAGGTACAGCTGGTTGCTCTCTTGACGAGGTCGGGCTCGGGCGCAGGAGTGATGACGGGTCCGGCAGGGGAAGCGAGTGCGGAAGCCGCGAAGGCAAACAGGAGGGTGCAAGTCAGAGAAACCATAGTGAGGGCAGTTGGTTCCCACAGAGGTAGTGAAGGGCTATTCTGGCTCTGGACAGGAATCCACTCCTTTATCCTAGGAACGTGCTGCTTTATACTTAAAGCATCCTCAAAGTATTTCGTGGAATACTGCAAACGAGGCTACCGGTGCAACCATCAGAACGGGAGCTTGAAGTCCTCCAATGATGATCGACCTGTAAAATCGGGTGGTACTGGTATGGCTACGTTGATAGTGAACGAACATCCTAGCCACGGAGTGCTTCCAGTGTTTGTGCCGCCAATCAGAGAAGGCGAGATATCAACTCAAGGTGGTGGTCTCCCCTGACTTCCTGGGAGCAATGTCACTTGCGACATTGCAAGCGACATAGTTTTCAAATATCATGCACTTTGACCGCAAGTGGCATACGTATGTAAATTAGATCAGGACAGATGCCCATCTTAGTGAAGGTTGTCCGCCTGATAGTGTCCGCTTCTCCACGATGGGTGAAAGCTGGGTGGCCGGATGCCGGGTGTCTTTCTACTATAGGAAGGAGTGGTGACCGAACCCTTATCTAGACTTCTTGTGGAATCAGCTCCTGGGCGAGTCGCATGGCGAACACAGCTAACCGATGCGGGGCACTCCGCAAACCCAGGTTATACTGCTCGAATCCCCACTGGACTAGGTTTCAACAAGGTGTGGACGTGTGCGATCACGTTGTCTCCTCCACATGCAGCTTCGGCTCTTATGTCGAGTGCTACGGTATTCTCCCCTGTCCATTCTAAATTACTTACTTGACAGCTACCAGACTTTCGTCTACATCTTAGGGTTTCTTCTTCCTTCCTTAGCAGTAATGCTCGTGACCTGAAGCCCTTCCCTTCATTGACACTATTTAAACAGATCCGAACCCTCTATCATTGAGATAGACAGTGTAAGCGGTCTTACAACTGGCAGCGGTGCTAGTTAGTGGGGTAGCGATGTACGAATGCAGGTGCGGCACGCAGTTCCGGCTGCTGGAAATCAAAGTCGCTTGATTGGTGGTAAAATCCAGGGTCGATGATCCGTTTCATTAATTATTCCATGGTGCAAATACTTGTCTCGTAGCATTTCTTTGCTTAACGAAGTTGTGTTGATGAAATCTTCGAGAGTTATCAAAGAAAAGCTAAGGATCTTGAAGAGGGTGGTCTGGTGATTTCCGCGATATCTTGGCATTCGTCACCGTCTCGCGTTCTATGGCATCTTGGCATTCGGTACTGTTGAGTGTGGCATCTTGGCGCACCTTGGCGACTTGGCATATTCAGCTTTCAATATGCTTATTTCAACATCATTCTACTCTGTTGTCTACGGTGGTCCATAGCTAGATGTCTGTCAAAGCCCCAATTCCCCAAACCAAGCACTCATCTAACTCCAAATTTTACACTGTTATTGCTATAAAGCCCAATATTTGCCGATCCTGCATATTTCCATTTGCGAGCGTATTCGGTCAAACAGGGCTATTCTCTTTTGTAAAAGAATTCGCTGTGCGTATAATAGCAAATAACTATCTAATGAAACGATTGATGACTTTTGGGACTTTGGGCTTGTGACAGACATGTAGTATGGAACGCCGTATATATCCAGATAACCGCTCAGATGTAGGGCTGGGAGACTCGAACAACCATTGTTCGTTTTATCTAATAGCATTTTCAAGAAACCGGTCTATAGCTGAGACACCACTACGACACTATATTCAAGCTGCTATCCCTCACCACCCTTATGGGCTTCTAAATCCGGAAACACCATATAAACACCCCAGATTACTTGCAAGGGTATGTAGCCGATTTGAACCCGGTTCGCATAACCACACTAATTTATAGCCTTTTAGATGGAGTTTTCAGTAATATAATTTCTCGAGGTGCGGGCCGTCTCGCCCCTTAGTGTACTAGTAAAACGCATAGTAAAATGTACACTTTTCCGCACTCCTGAAGTTAGACCCTTTCTCTATGTCGATGAGAGATCTATAGCCGTTAAGATGCCTCGCTACTAGTACAGTCAATATTATATGGGTAAAGCTATATTAGCCGATACAGGCAATGGTCTATGGCTAACGACAGTCGCGCAGAAACAAAGCATAACCAAGAGCATACTATCACGACAAGGAGGCCGGCCTTTAGAGCAGATACAGCTAGAATCACGTCTATATTTGTAGCAAGAAAATAATATTGTGCAGTGAATCTTACCGTAAGAATCTCTTAGCTTTGCATCAGCATAAAGTTATATAAAAACGGTGGTTACTAGACTATTATAACGGCAAGGGGATACTAAAATATTAGACTAGAACTAGCTCAATCGCTTTATTCAAGGCATACGAGATCAACATCAACATAGGAAGGCCTGAGGAGTCTGCTAAAATCAACGGCTTTAAAAGGTAGTCAATTAGTACTTCTACATACGAGAGCAGTATAACTATATTAAGCTAGAAACTGTCACGACCTGGGTTGCATCGCATTGGTAGAGACCTCGATTAGGTGCTATCGACGAAGATTCTACTCTAAGGAGCGAAGGAAAGAAGATGATAACTTAGGTTTGAGGGAGCGCGACTAAGTCATCCACGCTTGGCGGGGCTCCTACAAGGGTTATGATTGGCTTCCCATCTGACACTGCCACGGCAGGTGTTCCAGCTGTAAGTCACCTGGTTGTAGTGAGTCTGCGAGGGTTGACCTTCACAGAAACCAATATTAGTATCGACAAGGAGATGTATATGCTCCGAACCGTTGGCAGTCCAAATAGCCCCGCAGGAATAAGAGCCAAGGAAACGAACTGTGACAGGCTGTGCCTGAAATGGGATCCGGAGCTGCAAGGACCTTGAGTCCGGATCCACCAAAGGAACCATCGAGGGCATATAAAAACATGGTTTGTGTTCTCGGAAAACTCGCTTATTTTACTTTCCTCCTCAGTTAGATAATTAACAGTATTTGGCCATGTTGAGCTGTATAGTTTCGCAGTGAGCCCGTCACACGAACGAATCCTAAAAATTATAGTGATTCTCCTTGATCGCAGGTGACCTCTTATACGGGTCACTCTGGATTATTGCCGTTCTTCTAATCGGTTGTAAACAGTTACGCGACCTCGAGTATCTCTTCTTCCGACCTTGGGTTCCTTAGTGAGATTTCTTTAGGTCTGCTAACGGGGCTGCTGCATTGGTTAGACTTTGAGAACCAACGATTCGTAATGTTCGCTTAAAAACTGGGTAGAAGAAGCCTATAGTATATAAAAGCGCCCGGCAGACCATTATATACGCGGCGTCTAAGTCCTGGACGGGTATAGTAACTATATAGGGGTAGAATAATTAGAAAATATACTACTATTACTTACTATTATACACCTCATGTATGCGATAGCTAGCTAATAATAGGTTGTTTAACATAATGAAAGCAGCTCTAGAAAGGAACTTGCTAGGTATAATTACTTAAGCATTATAGTACCGGTGAATAGGACAACAGCAAGTTGACCGGATGTTGGATCCCTTGTGCAAAAGGTCCTCTAGTGCATTAGCCACTGTTATGCTTAGATTTGACCAGCACTCTTGAATGTGTAGTCAAAGAGGCACACTTTATGTCCTTAACGCCCTGATGGCTAACTTTACTTTTTGGCTTTTCGACTTTGGAAGGACAGAAACGCATCCGATCCAACGATTTGTTATAGCTTAAAATAAACCCGATAACCATACCGCTCACAATCCTAATTAGTCGCCAATGAATCTGTTAGGTGCGCCAGGCACACTGCCTATGCTGGGCTTGCCCGTAGATAGCCCTTGGGACTTAGTCCTATCAATCATCATCACCAGTACATCCCTCTTCCCTGTATTTCCTACATAATCGTATGTGGCGTTATATAAAGGTGTACAACCGTAGGAACACCCTAATATACACCTTCTTATGGATAATGAGGCGGACAGAGAGACGATGAAGGCTAGGACCCAGGAGGTGTGGTAGGCAGAATCCCAGGCATTTATTAATCGGCTGACCGATCAAGGTTTCCCCCAGGCCTTTTTAATCTCATCAGAATTGTAGTTTCCGAAAGTAGCTCAACGGATGATACCCGAGTGGATGGAAGCACTGGTTCCACAGAACGCTTATCCCCAACAGATACTCGGATTATCAGTGTTGATAAGAAGGTCGCTTTGGGCCATAAGATTGCAACGGTCGATTACAATAACCGTGTTGGGAAGCATCATCATCGAAAGAAAGAAGGAACCCCCCGAAGGTGAATGGCTGCAGGAATCAACAGAGACGCAGAAGCCACAGGAGAAGAGACGCGGCTCGAAACCTGAGAGGGGGAAGACAATTGGAGATACCATGGGAATCGGGTATACGAGTTTAATCTTAGCCTGGAGATGGCGAATCAAAGGTGGACGAAGGTTGGGACCTGACTCCTCGAACAGGATGTTCGTTATAATTGAAATCTGCAGGACAGCTTGGGGCCATGAAGAGACTAAATGAAGAACAAGGGTGAGTGGCAGATGCAAGGTCGTTGAGCCAAGATATTCAGATAAACACAGAAACTAAACAATTAACGAAAAGCAGTCTGAGGTGGGTAACAAGGTGGTCACTGGGCACGAAACGGTCATTGCCAAGTCTTGTTTCGCGAAGCGGTACAAGTCTCGGCAACAGAAAACATCAGAAAGTCACGAGATGATCAAAATCTTGAAGACATTCCCACAGTAGCCGGCATTGGTTTGACGGACCCTAAGACGCGATCTACCCCTGAGGTTTCACCTACTCCGCTAATCACGGTCCATGTCACTCACAGTCGGTCGACAGGCGCATTGTAAGCGACCACAAAAGATTGGCTAGTTTGCTATTGTCAGATAACTGTGGACCAGAGGAATATACAAGTCAAGTGGCACGTAGGATACAAAGCCGGCCTGGTAGAGGACCATCATATTCCTAAAATATGTGCAGAGGAGACTCTTGGGAGACAAGGACCAGCACTGGAATCTGGTATGGTTGGTGGAGGAAATCCGTATGCATCATTTTGATGACCTGCAAGTCGTGGGGTATATTGCCCAAAAAGCTTGCATACGGGCGGTTTAAAATCGAGAAATTGCGCAGTGTCCAATGACGAAGTCACAGCGAGTAGTACGGGTATTACATATGCGGAATATAATCAATAATGATGCAGAAGAGTGGGGGGTTCCAATTGTTCTGGTTACCGTAAAGTAGTTAGGGTCCTAGGCCAAGGAAACACGATTGCTGTCATGTAAACTATGCAAATAATCCAGATTACATCAAATTATAATAGTCGTTATGCCAATGAGAAAAATGGAATTTCCGTATGTCAGCTTTCATTGTGGATGTCAGATGGTGAGAAGCCTTCTCTTGTTGGCCCCAAAAGTTGTAGGCGCTCGGCCGGAATAACACGAGTTCCGTGGAATTTCCTTCTACACCACTGAAAGCCCCATCGCCACACGTCAGAGGTCCGGCTACCCGATTGGATTTGGCGCCACCCAAACTTCTGGGACCCTGGCAAAAGTACAGATATCGCGGCGCCGAAAACGAGAAGTTTCCATCTCAGGCATTTGGATACTTAATCACGTTCCTTTCTTCCCGACGTCAGGAGCAGCCGCCTTTGGGATTTATGATTCCATCACGATGGCTCCTCTTGTCGACAACAGCCAGATAAAGAGCGCCGAGCTCCTCTCGCCGCTCCCCACTTACTTTCACCTATACGTCTGGCCCTTCGCGATATTATGGCCCATCTTTGCGCGGTACTACTACTCGACCGATCTGTATGAGAAACACATCTCGTCGCAAGAGTGGACGTTCGTCTGGTGCGGCACCATCATCACCCTCCAGAGCTTAGCATGGCTGTGCACCAAATGGAGTGTCAACCTGCGAGGAAGCTTCACTGCGACAAAGGCCAAAAACGTCGAGGAGGCGCACTTAATCAAGGTCATTCCCATCGCCAATGCTGGATCTTCTGATATTTGTAAAATAGATCGAGACCAGGTATGTGACACCCCTCTATTCATTACAGCAGGTTGCCGTATTGAACCCACTCCATGCAGCCCGATAGGGGGTAATCGTCAATCATGGCCCATTTGCGAATCGGCAGACAGAATCTAAACAACACCTGGCTAATCATGTAAATTCCAGGTTGCTGGCAAAACCAGCCTGTCATTTTTGTTCCAGAAGCGCCGTTTTCTCTATGACGTAGAGAAGAAATCTTTCAGCCCGTTGTCCTACGAAATTGACGCCGAACCGAAGCCGAAACTCGAAAAATTCCAAAAGTCGAGGGGCATCACCAGTCAGGCTGACCTGACGCGCCTAGAACAATACTATGGTAGCAACACGTTTGATATACCCGTTCCAACCTTCACCGAGCTCTTCCAGGAACATGCTGTGGCTCCCTTCTTCGTCTTCCAGATCTTCTGTGTTGGGCTTTGGATGCTTGATGAATACTGGTACTACTCGCTCTTCACTCTCTTCATGCTGGTTGCCTTCGAAAGCACCGTAGTCTGGCAGAGACAGCGCACGCTGAACGAGTTCCGCGGCATGAGCATCAAGCCCTATGACGTGTGGGTATATCGACTTGGCAAATGGACTGAGATCTTAAGCGACCAACTTCTTCCTGGCGATCTGGTATCTGTCGGTCGCACTAAAGAGGATAGCGGTGTCGCTTGTGATATGCTTCTCGTTGAAGGCACTGTCATTGTCAACGAGGCTATGCTTTCCGGTGAAAGTACGCCATTGCTAAAGGATTCGGTCCAACTGCGCCCCGGTGATGCGTCAATTGATACTGAGGGCTTGGACAAAAATGCTTTTCTCTGGGGCGGCACCAAGGTTCTCCAAATCACCCATGGAAATCCCGATGAAGAGAAGCCAAAGCTTGCTTCCGGAGTCCCTGCCCCCCCTGACAAGGGAGCAATGGCGATTGTCCTGAAAACCGGCTTCGAAACATCGCAGGGCAGTCTTGTTCGAACGATGATCTACTCCACTGAACGGGTCTCAGCAAACAATGCCGAGGCATTGTTCTTCATTCTCTTCCTTCTCGTCTTCGCGATTGCAGCCTCTTGGTATGTCTGGGACGAGGGCGTCAAGAAGGACCGCAAGAGATCTAAACTGCTGCTGGACTGCGTCTTGATTGTTACCAGCGTCGTCCCCCCTGAGTTGCCCATGGAGCTTAGTCTGGCAGTAAACACTAGTCTTGCTGCTCTGGCCAAATACGCTATCTTTTGTACGGAACCGTTCCGGATTCCTTTCGCTGGTCGCATCGATGTCGCTTGCTTCGACAAGACGGGCACGCTAACAGGTGAGGATCTGGTTGTCGAAGGCATTGCAGGACTTGGTCTCGGTCATTCTGGTACAGATACTCCCAAGGAATCTGACGGCGCGCACAGCCACATGACACCCGTCAAGGAAGCTGGTATGGCCACGACGCTTGTCTTGGCCACGGCGCATGCACTTGTCAAGCTTGATGAGGGTGATATTGTCGGCGACCCGATGGAAAAGGCAACTCTCAGTGCTCTTGGATGGTCCCTCGGCAAGAACGACGTCCTATCTGCTAAGCCCACGGTCACGGCGGCTGGAGGCACATCCGGCACCGTTCAAGTCAAGCGCCGGTTCCAATTCTCGTCAGCCTTAAAGCGCCAAAGCTCAGTTGCAACTGTTCACGCTACAGACCCCAAGACCGGCGACAAGATGAAGGGTACTTTTGTTGGTGTCAAGGGTGCCCCTGAGACAATTATGAAAATGCTTGTCACGGTCCCTAAGGATTACGAAGAGACCTTCAAGTACTTCACCAGACGTGGCTCTCGTGTCTTGGCTCTTGCGTACAAGCAGCTTACCACGGATAACGAACTTGGTTCTGGCAGGATCAACGAGCTAAAGCGAGAGAAGGTCGAAGCTGATCTCACGTTTGCTGGTTTCTTGGTATTGGAATGCCCACTGAAAGATGACGCAAGGGAGGCCGTTCGCATGCTCAACGAAAGTAGCCACCGCGTCGTCATGATTACTGGAGACAACCCTCTTACTGCTGTACATGTCGCCCGCGAGGTCGAGATTGTGGATCGTGATGTCCTCATCTTGGATGCGCCAGAAAATAACGAGGGAGGCGAGAAGCTGGTGTGGCGAAGCGTGGACGACAAGGTCAGTATCGAGGTCGACGCATCGAAGCCGATTGACCCCCAAATCCTCAAGGGCAAGGATATTTGTGTTACCGGGTACGCGTTGGCTAAGTTCAACAATAATGTTTCCGCTTTTCGGTCCCTCCTGCGATACACATGGGTATATGCCCGTGTTTCCCCGAAGCAAAAGGAGGAAATTTTGCTAGGACTCAAGGATATGGGCTACTACACTCTGATGGCCGGAGACGGCACCAATGATGTCGGGGCGTTGAAGCAGGCTCACATCGGCATTGCCTTGTTGAACGGCACGCAAGAAGATCTGACTCGGATTGCTGAACATGCCAGAAATACCAAGATGAAGGAGCTTTACCAGAAGCAAGTTGATCTGATGAAGCGTTTCAACCAACCCGCACCTCCAGTCCCTGTTATGATCGCTCACCTCTACCCGCCTGGACCTACTAATCCCAACTGGCAGAAGGCAACCGAAAGGGAAGCCGGCAAGAAAGGTATCTCAGTTGAGGAGTATGCTCGGCAGAACGGTACCAATATCGAGACGGTCACATCTCCCGCTGCTCAGCAGTTGATGAACAGTGACCCGAGAGCGGCCAAACAGCAAGAAGCTGCCAAGAAAGCTGCCGGATTTGCCGACAAGCTGGCATCATCTATGATGGAAGACTTGGATGATGGTGAGCCTCCGACTCTGAAGCTCGGTGATGCGTCTGTTGCCGCCCCGTTCACCAGCAAGCTGCGGAACGTCATCGCCGTGCCCAACATCATTCGCCAAGGCCGGTGCACACTTGTCGCTACCATTCAGATGTACAAGATTCTGGCATTGAACTGCCTGATCAGCGCCTACAGTCTCAGTGTGTTGTATCTCGAGGGTATCAAGTTTGGTGACGGGCAGATCACTATCAGTGGAATGCTCATGAGTGTGTGCTTCCTTTCCATCTCGCGTGCCCGATCTGTGGAAGGGCTGTCGAAAGAGCGTCCTCAGCCGAACATTTTCAACTTCTACATTATTGGCTCCATCCTGGGACAATTTGCAGTCCACATCGTCACGCTGATCTACATCTCGCAGTACTGTGACACTATCGACAAGTAAGTTGTTGGCCCGGCATTTTGCCTCTGGACGATCACTGACCAAATCGTGCTCTAGACGCAGCGACAATGTTGATCTCGAGGCCGAGTTCGAGCCATCCCTTCTCAATAGCGCTGTTTATCTGTTGCAATTGATTCAGCAAGTGTCTACCTTTGCCGTCAATTACCAAGGCAGGCCATTCCGCGAGTCGCTGTCGGAGAACAAGGGCATGTTCTGGGGTATTGTGGGCGTGACGGGCATTGCTTTTGCTTGCTCTACCGAGTTCATCCCGGAGATCAATGAACAGATGAAGCTGGTCAAATTCACGCCTGAGTTCAAGAGCACCATGACAGCTGTCATGATTATCGACTTCCTGGGTTGTTATGTCATTGAGAAGGCTCTCAAGTTTCTCTTCAGCGACTACAAGCCTCGTGATATCGCGGATCGTAGGCCTGAACAGCTTCAGCGCGAGAAGGAGCGCAAGGCCATTGAGCAGGCAGAGAAGGACATCAAGGCGGAGAGGGAGAGGATGGCCAAGGTAGAGGAGTTTGAGAAGAAGGTTGAGGAGCGGCGACAGAAGATCCGAGAGTGGGCGCAGCCTCAGGCTCGGCCTACGAGGTAACAGGAGGGAATAAGCTCCTTAATGCATTATATCACTAGAAGCACCAGAGGAGTTGCTGTTGAGGCCAGCGACCCCACTGAGGATCATAGACTTGTTTCATCTTAGGCTATGCTCGAGTTGTAGATACATCATTCTCACCCCATCTGACTGCTCATAAAACAAAAGAACAAGTCTTCGTTTCCAGCCAAGACTTAATAGAGTGTGTCTTGGCTCAGTGTAAGCAATACGATGTACCCATGGTCTCGAAGTTGGTTGGGTGTTCATGGTCCCCTGATTCGCATGCATCAAAGCTAGGTCCATCCCGGTCAAACTTCGGGAGGACATCACGGCGTCGACTTCAAGCCGTCTTACTTCCGGAATTCATTCGTCAAGAACACGTTGCGATCACCAATAACAGCCAGGGATCTAACTTAATCAGGTCGTCGTAGTTTTGTATAAGAGCCAGTTTTCGTGTTGGAAACTCCAGCGATGTGATCCAGCCGCCGAGATCCCGCAACATCTCGTTTCGCCGGGACTGTAGAGGCTTACCGGCTTCCACCCGAAGCTTTGAGTTACCAGGCACCTTTTCCTACTACATTTCTTCGCATCAACACCGCTCGCCGTGGCGACATCCAAGATGGAGACTCCAAGACCCAAGGGTATCGTTATCTTTGGCGGAGGCACGGCGACCAACAGCTTGGTTGACATCTTCAACGAGTTGCGGGAGAGCAGGAATTGCTCGCTAAGCTACATCATCCCCATTAGTGACAACGGCGGTAGCTCTTCGGAACTCATCCGCGTTCTCGGCGGGCCTGGTATGTGGCCCAGATCTCCGTGGTTGAGACATAGATACTAATCGAATACAGGTATCGGTGATATCCGCAGTAAGCAACCCTAATCCCGCGGCCCTGCCATGGACCATCACTACTTGATTTCATGGTGCTAGGAAAATGACACTGATGCGCCGTGACACACTACAGGTCGTCTGGTCCGTCTCATCCCCAACTCGGAATCCAACGCCGATCTGGCAGCCACCAAGGCGCTGTTCAACCATCGGTTGTCTTCCGACCCGGATAAAGCGCGATCAGAGTGGCTTGATGTTGTCGAGGGGAGACATGAGCTGTGGGGTCAGATATCGAGTGATAAGCGTGAGCTAATTAGGTCGTTCTTCAATCTGGTCAATTTGGAGATAGTCAAGAGGGCTAGGCCGAGTAGTACGTTTAACTTTGGACGGGCGGCGGTGGGCAATTTGTTCTTGACGGGGTGAGTTGTCCTTTGGATTCCTTTCACCATGATATCATTCCATCCCTGGATCGGCAAGCTGGACTTCCTTGATCGACTACTTCGGGTTATTGCTATCCCTCAGGATGGCTTCTTTCTCTATTTACCTCGTACCTCAGTTGCCAATCTGTCGCTATCAAATACCAACTCACGCATTTTGACTAAACATACTGCCTGTACTGTAGGGGCCGCCTTTTCTCGGGATCACTGGAGTCTTCTATATACCTGCTTTCCCAAATTTGTGCCATTCCTCCCAGCACCGCCGTCGTCCCCGCCATCAATAGCAACTTCACGCACCACATCAGCGCCGGACTTACCAATGGCGACACCATTACGGGTCAGAACAACATTTCGCATCCCAGCGAGCCGACCGCCTTGCCTGATGATCCTACTCTCGCGGTACGAGAGACAGATGCGCACGACCAGATTGAGGACGCCAATCTGCCTGGAAGCTTACCGACACTGCGGAAACAGTATATCGAATTTAGCAAGGCGGCTGAGGAGGATCTGCCGGCCAGGATCAATAGGGTCTGGTATATCAACCCTTACGGACATGAGATCACGACACGCGCCAATCCCAAAGTCCTTCAGGCTATGCAGAATGCATCTACTGTCGTATACTCAATTGGATCTCTATATACGAGTATCATCCCGAGTTTGATCGTCAGGGGCGTCGGCGCCGCAATTTCGAACTCCCCTGGGGTCAAGCAGAAGATCCTCATCCTCAATTCTTCCAACGACAGAGAGACGGGTCCAAGCACCTCCCCCTTTACCGCGACGGACTTCATCAAGGCCATTGTGAGGGCAGGCGTCGAGAGCCAAGGGAACATCAACACTTCACTAGGAGAAATCTCAAAAAACCCAAACTCTGAGTGTTCCGAAGTAAGGAAGTACGTCACGCATCTCATCCACCTCGAGGGCCAGGGCACGCCTAAGGTAGATAAGGAAGAATTGGCTGCGCTGGGAGTTGACTCTGTCCGAGTATATGGACGGAGAGTAGATGGTGCGCTTAGGTATGATGAGGAAGGATTGAAGAGAGCGCTGGAGGCTGTTGTGGGAAGGGCGGAGATGGGGAGGAGTAGGAGGAATACGAAGCAGTAGCTGAAAAACATATAAGGTTACTTACCTAGTATACATTGATCTAAAATAGACCCATTAAAGGTAGAATCTCACCGTAGCATAATATGAGTCAAATATTATTATTATTATTAAATACGCCGTAGGCTCGAAGCCCCCGGTACCTCTACAAGTACTCCCGTATGTCAAACCCTGCCCTAATGGCTGGACTAAATACATACGCTGCTACATAGGTTCGCTCTATTAGCGACTGCGTTACGTCCGCCGTAATACTATGTTAGTTCTCACCCTACTAACAAAGTCCCCCTGAGAAGATCGATATTATCCGGGCCTAAGCGCTATCCGACCGGTCCTGAGTAGCCACCTTGTGATAGTCCCGCTGACTGCTGGTTTCCCTGTCGCCGTTGCCAGGTCTCTACGTGTGTGTAGCGGCCATGGTGCGATAGTGGCCCGTAGGAGCTCTCTCGATCCTTCCAGCAGGCCACAAAAGAGGATTACGTGCTCTGCCGTCTCGGGGGCCTCTCCACAGCGACATAGCGGCGAGTACACACCGAAGGCTCCTATCTTAAATAAGAAAGCTGATAGTCCTATTTTTCCGGTCCTGATCTGGCATAGGGTAGACGCCTCCGGTCGGTTTAGGCCTGAGTACTTGCCCTGTTTCGGCATTCGCATCGAGGGACCCTCCGGCTCCTCGGCGATAGCGCGTCGCTGGCGGTCGTGTTGTGCTGCCCCGGAGAGCCATCTCTTCTCCCAGTGGCCTAGGAGGGCGACCGGGGCTTCCTTCTCCTTGCCTATCCACTCGGAGCCCTTAGCCTCCTTCTCCATCGTGTACCCCGCTGGTCTGAGCGATTGTGACGCCCGCTTCCGTCCCGCCGGCGTATCCTGTCGGAGTATGTGTGACGCTCTCGCGCTCGCGCCCCGAAGCAGGCTCCTTTTGCCGTTATTCCGTAGCTGTTCTTCAAATTTCGCCGCCCGGGCACTGAGATAGAGGTCTAGTGGCGGGATCGCTGCCTCTATTTCCAGGTGGCGGACCGGTGTCGCTTTGTAGGCGCCGCAGACTATTTGGAGGCACTCATTCTGTATCCCGACTAGGCTCTTAGCTGGTCCCGCTGGTTCCTCGCTTATAGTGTGCCACGCAGCCGCCCCGTGAGTCAAATAACATTCATGCGAGAGACAACACTTTCATTGATGTAATAAGCCTGCGCGAAAAACCAAGCCGCCCATGTTAACGCCCCCAGCCAGTGCCCACGTTCATGAACCACTCTAATCCAAATATTCGCCTTTCGCCACCCGTTGGCAAAGCTCATGCAGTGTGTGCCCAGCCCATTCAAAGTCCTCAAGATCCAAGTAGACTTGAGCACTCAATCTGGTCCACAAACGATGTCCATGCGGGTACACGACAACGAATGTCTTGTAGTCGCGTATCAGAGTTTCTTGCATCCACTCCGTTACGCCCAACACTTCTTCTTCTGGGAGCCAGTATTCATCTGCTTCTGCACCACCTCGGAGGCTTAACTCGATCTTGATGGACTCCGATATGCTTATCTCACCTGAATTTCGAGCGTTCGATGTGCCCAAGCGCTCTCCTTTTGGTGATGCAGTTGAATCCGTCTTCGAAGCAGACGTATTTATCCGAAAGGGCAACGCCACGTTGACCATAGCACACTGCGTCAGCGTGCCCTTCCTATTCTCCATAACCTCCGTCCCGAGAATCTCCGCGACCCTTTTGCCTCCCTCCCTCGCGAGATTCTGCATGTATTCACGAATCCCCCTCTCCTCACCCAACACCTGTTCTCTCCAATCTATAGCATCCTTGACACATATGTACGGACTATTGTCAATCGTCCCCATCCACTCAAAATTTTTCACAAACGCCGACTTCCTTCCCACCGGTAGGGGATTGGCCCGCTTCGGCATCTTGGAAACATACCCGTGAGACGTAGGCACAGTCGACCGTATCAACCCCTGGTTCCTAGGGGGTACGTAGAACGCTGCACAACCGCGCGGGACGTACAGCCACTTGTGGCAGTTGCTGAGGAAGAAATCCGGGTCCAGAGTGCTTAGATCAAGCTCGATTTGCCCAACACCGTGGGCGCCATCAATGAGACTTAGGATGCCGAAATCACGGCACAACTTTGTCATCGCCTCGAAGGGGAATCGTACACCGGGGATGCTGGTTATGGTGTCGAACAGACAAATCTTGGGTCGTTTTCCCTCCTTTCGGGACGTCTCCACCGCGGCGCAGAAGAGGGATAGGATCTCGTCGTCTTCGCAGGGGTACGTTAATACGATTTCTCGAGACGAGACGAGGCCTCGGTTCGACTCGACCATGTAGTCTATGGTAGCGCCGCAGGCACCGTAAATGGTAGTGAAGGAGAGGATTTCATCTTTGCCGTCGGCGTTCCATTGCAGGTTCCGAAGGACGGTGTTCACGGCCATGGTTGCGTTGGGGACGAAGACTATTGTGTCAAGGGGCGCGTTGAGGAGGTTGGCAGCGGCGGCGCGGGATGAGTCTAAGAGGAGTGGATACTTGTAGCGGATGAAGGAGTCTGGTTTTGATTCGGCGAGGTCCTGGTAGTGCCGTAGCTTTTTCTGGATCTCGCGAGGGTAAGTGCCGTAGGAGCCTGACAGTCAGGTCAGTTGTATGCTGAGAATATGTCACAAGTCTAACACGACTTACCGTGGTTAAGGTTTCGATAGCTCAGGTCGAAGAGGAAATTCTGTAGCATCGGCTTTCCGAACTCAGGTGATGGCCTCCCATCATCGCGAGATTCTCGCTGGAGGATTATGTCCTTTGAAGGTAGTGATTTTACGTCGTCCATTGTGATATGGGTGATGAGGTAGTTCAGCGCAGGAGTGTTGTTCAATGTCTTAATATTTCAATTTATCAAGTAAAATATTCCGGCAATGAAACATCGAGGTTATTTCTGTAGATCCCGGATGACTCCACAGAGATAAATGCCCGGGCCGGTCATCGGATGTTGTCCCGTACAATCTCCGGGCCCCCCTGGCTACGGAGTGTATACATGTCGCCGAAACTTTGACTAGTCGGCAATTTGGCAATGACTGGTTCATGCATGTTAGTCGAAGGGCGCGCCTTTCAGATTAATCATGATGCATTCTACTCGATAGGAGACCATATCAAAAGCTGCCCTGTCGAGTACCCGTGGGCCGTGCTAAAAGCTAACACCATACTAGATAAGCCAAGATCGACGTATTCTTGGAGCTAGGCCTACTCTCGTCAAAGCGCCGGATGCATGGCGCCGGGAATATGGGTCCTAGAACATTGTGGGGGGTCGTGAAATATCGTGGAACCCGCGTGAAGGTCAGAGATCAATAAGCTATTCTGGACATACCCACCTGTGACCACCAGTGAACACCCGATGATCAACAGCGGTAACGCCTGTTTCTCCCCTTCACTATGGACTATTGCCCTTGCGGCCTAACGATTCCCGCCACGAGTACTCAATTTGATGTCAGGGAATTCTATTGAGTTGAATCTAGCGAAGAATAGGTATGCCATATCAATCAACTATTGTACATGCAGTACCTCGCTAGGAAACTAGTAACAAAATATTGGGAATGAGAGCAATCAAGTATCTCGTTCGGAGTGTACTCTATCGATGCAGGATATCTTTATGCCGGAGTAGATTTCTGTCCTAAGAGTATGCTCAATCACAATTTAGAGGATTCGTGCCCCATAAATATGTACATTTCTCTGCGCTCATCAGGAATGCGCTGGTCATACCACCATAACATTGTGACAAAATAACCAAAGGCATCTGTCTAGAAACATCCCATCCTTCTGTTAGTCAGTGCCCTATAGCCCGTCCAATATCCATCCGAGCCACATGGAAATCCCAATACAAATCTCCTAGCCTGCACCGACACCAATACGAATACCAAATTGTTCTGCACCCAATCCTCTGTAGCTCATTCTATCCTTTTACCAACGCAAATCTGTCTCTGGCAAGAAAATAATGTCGTGAATTGAGATTCAGCATGTCTGCCGATCTGTCATGTTCATCCGATCAAGCATGCGTCTCACTGCTTAGCAATCGTATTTTACAACACCATGCCTTTCCCATATCTTGAAATAACTAGTAGTGAGTACCAGACGTTAATGCACTCAGCGAGAAATAGTCATTGTTGTCGATCCACCACCCGAGTCTACTTACATCCCAAACATCGCTCTCTTTCTTCACCCAGGCTGCGCGGGCCCAACCCTGCGCTTCAATCTCGCATTCGCAAAGATCAAGTGATTCTTTCTTCAGTGGATATATTCAGATTGTGGGTAAGGATTCATGGCATGATTCATGGAAGCATGTTATGGCCATCTCGTCGGCTTTCTCAAGGGACTGTGCAGCGTCTAGTATGACAGGAGGTTCGGCCTTGTTACTGACGTTATCTTCCTCTGTACATGTTTATAGTGGCGTGGATTGAAGGTGTCGGGTTGGTCGGCGGGTGGTGGGTGAGCTTTCGTTGTGATGTCTTGTAGGTTTCATTCAGAAAGTTTTTGGGCAGTTCATTCCTGAGTCGGAATCATTCTCTCTGTTCTGCTTCTTTGCCTTGTTGAATTCGCAGCGTCCTTAAATTGAGATTCTTTTGGGGTTTGGAGCTGACTTCTCTCAAAGATAATGTAAGTGTTGACATGGATTCGTAGCGCTCGTTTTAAGCTTCATCGTGGAAAATAAATACGTGAAAAATAACAAGGTGGAAAGGATTCGCCCAGGTTGGGACTGTGCGTTGCTGCGTCTAATAGGACAACGTGTTTTATTTTGGGCTTGATTACATACATAGTAGCTTTCATATATATGAGCTATGTCCTCCTAGACCTTGTCTCAAAGCCGCTAGGAGAGGATTCATCATCAGAGCAGTCAACAACAGGCTCATTGTCGGTTGTAGTTCGAAGCGAGTTTCTTCCTCGTTCAATTGAGACGTTAAGTGGTCAGCACAGAAATCCCCTACGCAGGAGGAAGACTCAGTTACACCGACCTGAATCTGAGACTGCTGCGAGCTTCTGCATAAAACAATATTGTCTACATGGAGTCGTCAAATTTAGCTCACTGGTCTGTTAGGTGGCTAAATTTTGCTGGTGAGAATCCGTACTTGGCTAGAGCACCTCTGTTCACTGAGTTTTTGGCTCCTCAGATGGCTGGATATAGCCGAGAAGAACCCGTACAGTGCTAAAGCACTACTCTCAATGTCTCTCTGCAGCTTTCCCATCTCCGAGCTGATATGTTCACTTCCCCGTACCAATCCCCACAAATGGGAAGGTACGGCCAAGTGCACGGTCGAAGGCCTACAAAACCCCGCATCAAGCTAGAAGTAGCCATGATAAGAGAGCTAATGTCTCTTTTTGGCCTTCGCATCAATTCTCCCACCACCATTTCGATTAGGTAATTTAAATATTATCCGCGCAAGCCCAACTATTACACAAGCGTTGTTCGCAATCTTTGAAATTATTCACAATGTGGCTAGACATGGAGAGATAAACCCATAGTGTGTATTATTCTGCAATTGCTTTTGGAGTTGCTCGTTACCCCGCACGGTGACTAGAAGTAGCGTTGAAAATATGTGTTCTATCCACTTGACTCAAGGTGTTTCTCTTGATACGCTTCCGCATCAACCCGGCAAAATGTCTCCCTGGAACCGCTACACTATACAGAGATCCATATGATTGATTCCATCTTTGACATCACTGATGACGAAATCTCATAGCATTAAATTCTCAAAAGAAAAGATACGGCGCACCACAGGATAGCAGATCGACTTATGGTAGAGGAGCTCCGATTATGAACAAATCTAGCCAGAAGCACGCCTAACCAATAGTACAGGACGGCACATAGTTAATTGGAGCTCGAAGCAAAATCTATAAGCTATGCCCCAACTTATAGCCGCGTCAAAGCGGCTATTTCTGCCCTTCTACAGCAGTAAGGGGATGCAAAGCTTCTAGGCAGGATTGACTGGACAGTTTTATTAATTGGCATCCGGAGATAAAAAAAAGTATTGGAAGACATGGCAAGTTTCAATAGATTTACCCTAAGGCCGTTAACTGGTATGTTGATATTGGTGAAAGGCATTGTAGCTGGACCGGACCGAGAATACAGTTCATGTCGACAGGGGTGGCATAATAGCTAGCTTTAGTAACCTCTATATTCGATTCAACCAACTCAAAAATGTAGGGTTTGATTTATTTGTAATTAGCAGCGCTAATCCGAAGTAAATATATTTCTAAAGAACTCCTACTATGACCCCAAAGAGGGTCACCCTGTAGCTATACATAAGATAAGGTAGGGCGGCAACGGTGCGAGTTAGCTAGACAACCAAGCTTTCCCAATACACATAATACACACATTTTACCCCTATATGCACTCGCATCAACTCTAAAGGCCGGCAGTAAAATTCATTTATTAAGGCTATAACTATAGATAGACGTACGAGGGAAATTTTCGGGAGTCTTAGACGTTGAGAAGCAGAAAGGCGTCGATTTGGGCCGGAGCGTCTGCCCAGTGTGAGAAACCGAAGAGCAATCCTCGAGTATTAACCGAGGTGTCATCCCCTTCACGCCAGAGAGACGGGCAACGTTAGAATTCTTGATACGACAGAAAACAAGCAAGTCGTATTTCTGGGTGAATAAGTCTTAATCTGGTTGCCTGGTTCGACGGAAGGAGACGCATGTCAGTAAGCGCCATCTCCGTAATTTTCACACTGGATCAGATATATCTGTGAGCCAGCATCGGAATGAAATGACGTCAGACGAGCCATAGAGACGGAAGAAGTGGCAAAAGGTATTACATATTTATACCTAAATGTCAGATCGTGAGCATTAAGGGCTGTGTTGGTGCTACGAAGGGGCATGGGACGAACCACCACATCGGCCCCTAGGGGTTCCTAAATAGACTAGTTCGTGCCTGAGTGTCTTGTACCTCTCCATAACTGATGCCACACTTGTCCATACACTGGACGTCATGATATTCCCGACTCCAGCCATGGTTGCGATTCTTGATTTATAGATTGCATGGTATCGTAGAGAACACGCGGTGGGAACCATGCATATCTCTTTTGTCTTCCGTCCACTTCTCCTTTTCCTGTTCCTACTTCTCTCTCCTGAACCTAGTATTAATGGCTCTTCCCCTTTTCTATTTCTCTCCATTTTTATATTCCAGGGAAGCAGTCAAGGAGGGCCGCCGCAGTGTTGAAGGGTGGAACTGGGCGATGGCGGATAAGTGGCTCATCGTAGCCGAATCAAGCCAGAGATTTATGAATTATTTGCCGGTTGAGACGATAACGGAGTTGGACCAGGCTGTTGACTGGGTTATCCGGAACCTCCAAGAGATCGCCGACGTGGCGGTCCCGAGACGCACCGTTGGCCGAGGCGCTGGGGTCCCGTGGTGGTGCCCGCAGGTTAGCAAGGCTTGCGCTGAGACGAAGAGACGACGGCGGGACTACCTCCAGGCAAGGTCGCAGACCAACTGGGACGAATATACAAGAGCCGGCCAAAAACAACGGCTCGAAATCAGCGAAGCGCAGACGCGTAGCTGGCACGAGAAGCTCGAGGGGACGGCGAAGGATCACAAAAGCCTGTGGGCACTGCAGAGGTGGGCTAGGCTACGGAGCTGGGCCCCCCCTGAGGCCCACGGCTTGCCAGATCTCCGGAGGGACGCCGGCGACACGCTTACGGCACGTACACATGATGAGAAGGCAAAATTACTAGCTGAGAGGTTCTTCCCAGACCCGTATATAGATCTATCGGACCTCGATCGCGGCCTATTACAGACGAGACCAGAGCTGAACGTCCCTAGGGAGGTGACCACAATGGATATCGAGTCTATCATCAAAGGAACGGCTGCTCGGAAGGCTCCCGGCGACGACCTGATCCCCACTGGCCTGCTAAAGGCCTGCGGTGAACCCCTATGGGAGATCCTAGCGGATCTGGCAACAGCTAGCTTTAGGCTGGGGTACTACCCGGAGCGCTTCCGCTCAGCGAGGGTGGTTGTTATCCCTAAGCCTAATAAAACGACAGCCCAGAAGCAGACCCCTGGCGGCTGGCGCCCCATTGCCCTGCTTAGCACGGTAGGGAAGGTAATAGAGACGGCGATGAGCCAGCGTATCACCAAAGTAGCTGAGGCGGCCGGCCTACTACCAAACGGCCAAATGGGTAACCGCGCTGGGAGGTCCACCGAACTGGCAATACGTATAGTTGAGGACGTGGTCTATACGGCGTGGAGACGCGGGGGCATCGCCTCGCTGCTACAGCTAGACATCAAGGGGGCATTCGATACGGTCAATTACAGACGGCTGATTTCCATATTAGCCCGGAAAGGCTACCCGGAGTGGGTTCAGGAGTGGGTACGCAGCTTCGTGGAGGATAGGACGGTACGCCTCCGGTTCGATGGCAAGGAGTCAGAGCCAATCCCCCTACGAGCTGGCGTCCCCCAGGGGTCACCGCTATCCCCGATACTGTTTATATTATACATTTCAACGCTGTACGAGGAGCTAGCGGAGCAGCACTCACTACTTTTAGTAGTCGGGTTCGCGGACGACACGAACCTGCTAAGCGTCGGCACCGATCCAGACACGACCTGCCGCCGGTTGGAGAGCGCATGGGCTACGTGTCAGCGGTGGGCAGTGAGGCACGGGATGGAGTTCGCTCCTGACAAGAGTGAGCTAATGCACTTTACTAGGGCCCGAGAGCCCTTGCCGCAAAGTATTCGCCTTGGGGACGCCACAGTGTCGCCGGTAGTCTCAGCCAGGTTCCTAGGAGTCTGGTTCGACCGCAAACTGACGTGGCACGCCCATGTTGAGCGTGTTAAAACAAAAATGGCAACTCAAAAGCTAGCCCTGACAAAGCTAGTCAATATGTCGTGGGGCTGCGATCTTATACGGGCGAGGCTGTTATATACGGTGGTTATCCGTAGCGCGATTGCCTTCGGGGCGACTGCGTGGCATACTATAAGTGAGGAACCGGCAGGGCCAGCTAAGAGCCTGATGGGGATACAGAACGAGTGCCTCCGGGTAGTCTGTGGTGCCCACAAAGCGACGCCGGTTCGCCACCTGGAAGCAGAAGCAGCAATCCCGCCACTAGACCTCTATCTTAGTGCCCGGGCTGCTAAGTTTGAAGAACGGCTACGGCTTAGCGGGAAGAGAAATCTGCTTCGCAGCGCGAGCGCTAAAGCGTCACATATACTCCGGCAGGATAGGCCGGCGAAGAGGAAGCAGGCGTCGCAGCTACTCCGACCGGCAGGGTACACTATGGAGAAGGAGGCCCGGGGCTCCGAGTGGATGAGTGAGGAAAAGGAGGTCCCGGCTGCCCTCCTCGACCACTGGAGGAAGAGATGGCTCACCGGAGCAGAGCATCACGATCGCCAGCGACGCGCTATCGCTGAGGAACCGGAGGGCCCTTCGATGCAGATACCGAAATGGGGCAAGTATTTCGGCCTGAACCGACTGGAGGCGTCTACGCTGTGCCAGATCAGGACGGAAAAAATAGGACTAGCAGCCTTCTTATTCAAGACAGGGGCTTTTGGCGTGTACTCGCCGCTATGCCGCTGTGGCGATGCCCCTGAGACGGCAGAGCACGTAATCCTCTTTTGCGGGCTGTTGGAAGGACCGAGGGAACGAGTACGGGCCACCATCGCACCACGGCCACTATACTCTCGCAGAGACCTCGCAACGGCAACAGGAGAACCAGTAGTTAGTGGGACTATTGTAAGATGGCTGCTAGGGACGGGTCGGACAGCTTCAAGGCCCAGATAGCATCGATCTTCTCAGGGGGGACTTTGTTGGTAGGTTGAGAACCAACGTAGTATGGTAGTGAACACAACGCAGTCGCCAATAGGGCGAACCGACGACGCAGCGTATGTATTTAGTCCAGCCATTAGGGCACGGTTTGACATACGGGAGTACTAGTAGAGGTCCCGGGGGCTTCGAGCCTACGGCGTATTTAATAATAATAATAATAATATATTCCAGCTTTATAACACTGGGTTACGTCTCAATATACAGCCTGCAAAACAACGCGTATCGAGGGAAGGGTTGCGATTGGATCCTTGCCTAGATGATTTCCAAACCAGTCGCAACAAGTCATAGAATTAAGCCGACGATCGTTATGCTAAAATACGTAAAGGCTGTCTCGCAATGTGATGAGGTTTTGTGTAGAGGCCGTTGCAATGAAGCTGGTATGCCAGTTCTCAACGATCCAAATTTCTAACTTGGCCGGGAAAAGGCTGGAACCTGGCACTCAACGGAGACTAAATTCGCGGGCGCTTGATGATTGCTGGGAACGCGTCAGGGGAAAAATACATAATCAAAGACCCAAACTGATTGCGTTGGGAAAAAGTGGCGGCTGCTGCTGCTTGCTTGCAAACTTTGTTGTCGTCGAACATAGGTCACACGTGACTACGTGTTGGCGGGTCTTGGCGGTGTCCTGAGTCAGCAGCCCTTTTGGCTTGAAGACCACGCTATTTAGCGGTTTGCTTTTTCCCGCAGGCCGCTGTAATCGCTAGCCAGGTTGTTTGACAGGGTCCTGTGCTGTGGGTTATGGGATGGAATGGGACATCATCGTCAAATCAATGAACTCTTGCCGCGCAAGCGACAAAACCCTAGACATCCTCACAAGATGCCATCTTGTCCGTACCTTGAGGTATCGCTAGAATATTTCCAGTTTCACTGCATTCCGAATGAAGAGGAAATGAGGGCAGATAGCCATTCAATTGCGTGTTCTAGATCGACAGAAAGGAACCCTGGAACCCTGGGACGTGCTGCGGGACGCTGGGACCACGTGGTGGGATGGTAAACCCTCGGAAGCACTGCGCGAGACGACTTTTTGGGCTGTGAGCGCACCTTGCTTGGGTGCAAGTGGAGGCGTCGCGACTTGTTGACCGCGTAGACCGCAACGCACCTTCCAATTGCCCCCAGCAGGTGGGTGTTGCCAATCCAGGCTCCCGCACTTTGTACATCCCCATAAGCGGATCGCATTTGCCCTCTTCCAACCTCGTCTATTCAATGAACCCTGGGTACACGATAGCGACCATATCATGCTCAGTCGCGTCTCTACGAATACATCTCACTGTATCTATATGTGCCGGGGCTGCTGCATGTGTTGCATAATTGGCATCTGACTCGACTCCGCCAACGCGTGTCTCGCACACACAAAGGAAAACCCGCATTTAGCAGAGAGAGGAATCCTCGCATCAGGCTTTCCCGGAAAGAGCGACGCGAGACATTTTTGACCCATATTCCCATTTTCCTTGCCCTCATCAGACACGAACGCCATTAACCGGTCTCGCATCTTTGCAGACGACGCGACGGCTTCCTGCTTGAGCTCAAGCATTGCTCCTCAACCCAACCACCCCTCGGTCATGTCGTTCGTCGACGGTAACGCCTCGCAGGCAGCGACCGAAACCCCATCGCAAGAAACGGTTCCTCTTTCGCAGTCGCAGAAACCGTCCAGTAGCCAAAGCCAACGGCTCAATCACTCTAGCAATGACTCGCAAGACACGAATGCTACTAACGGACTCGATCGCGTCTTCACCCCACCAGCAAGTGACAGCGGGAGCAGCGCCGCCCATGCAAGTGGCACTGGAAATGGCTCCAGTCAAGAGTCGCAGCTCTTACAGCTGTCGCAAATCGCCGCTGCGCAGCAGAAGATGACCGACTCAACTGGGCCGTCAAGGAAGAGAATGGCGGATGGCATGGTAAAACACGCCAGGAACAGCTCGAGTATATCGCCTGTCCGTATGCCCGGTCACTCGAGGAACACAAGCACTGTTAGCGTCACTTCTACGACTGGAAGTCGTATTGGAGAGGTAATTTGGCCCATGGAACTACCACCAATTGTCTTGGGGACACAATTGGCTAATTACTATGCATCTGTAGCTCTCTGCTGAGCTGAAGACCAAGCTGTCATATGCGATGGTCAAAGTAAACCATGGTTGGCAGGGTCACTCGATTGACGAGGTCGAGTCCCTTGCTTCTCAAGCAGCTTCTCCTACGTCAAGTACCTCGACCCTGCACGGCCGACACGGAGCATCTGCAAGTCCGAGTATGCCCATGACTGGAGCACTTCAAGGGACTGCCAGTGCGGGTGTCAGTCCTATCACCCAACAGCCACCTCAGGGGCGTACCTACGAATCTTTTTGGCGAGAGGGCAACGGCGGCGTGCCTCATAAACCCGCCTCGCCTCCTGCTTCCCATGTACCTACATTAGCTCCACCAGCCGCGATACAACCCCGACAGCAAGGGCAACTCAACGCACGCCGCAACTCTAACCCTAGATATGCACCAGTGTACCTCTCAAATTCGCCTCACACGCCGGCCCAGCCGAGTCCTCTGCAGAGCACACCAGGAACAAGAACTGCGCGAACGCCAAACATGGATCCTATACTCTTCTCACCACATCAAAACGTCCGAGAACAAGAGGCTTTGGAAACTCTCATGTTCATGAGCAGTCCCAACAATTCGGGGAATCTGAAGCACAGTTTCCCGTCATCACAACCCAGAAATGGGATAAGTAGCCAGAGGACCGCGCTGCCGACGTCGAGACTGAACCCGAGTACAGAGGGGCGCAAAGCCTTGCCTGCCGGGCGGGGGCAGACTCAGGCATCACACAGCAAACGCGTGGGGTTCGAGAAGTCTCCCAGTACCATGGGTGATACGGAAGTAGATGATCCGTACGCCTCTCCACAAACCAGAGGCACGCCCCGCCGCAGAACAAACGGCAGCGGGCCGAGACCACCACTTTCTATGCCAGCGGGCTTGAGCGGTATGTCGCGAAGGAGATCCACCCTCCGGGACGATGATATAGATCGCATGCTCGACCGGGTGGCTGCAGATGACAGCTCAGATTCCGAAGGGGAGATCACTCTCCCACGCGATAGAAGGCGGGAGGGTTCCGGGTTTGTGGGGGCCGCGTAAACTCATTCATATGTCTGCTTTGCATTGCATATATATATCCCCCATATACTTCCTTCATGGGAGACACTGGCGCTGGTTGAACATGTCTTATGATCATGATGCATTATCATTCACACGTTCCGGATTTTGGGGTCATATTTCGGCGCTGGGAATTGAACGAATAGTCTGAGGCTATCTATGGCATCATGATGAGTTGGGTCTTGGGTTGTACGTAGCTGAAATCGAGTTTGGTACATTTGGTTGACTCATTCAGCAGGCCGTTCCGGTTGTTCCAATCATGCCGGTGTCATCGCGCTGAGCTTCTTCGAGGCTATGGTCACCCCAGGCGGTGCCTTTCAGCACAGGTAAGGCTGTCGTCTACCAGGGAGTGTGACTGCAGCAGATATCTCCGTGGTGAAGGATTGTTGACCCAGGCCTTGGAGAACCGAGTGTGGGATATCCACCCCTTTCGTACCGAGATTTGGTAAAGAAAGTACGACGACGATAATCCATCATGACCAAGCCACCATCAGTTCAATCAACTGGGTTGATGCTTGAAGAACGTCGTCTTGATCCCTCGGCCGGTCAAAAATGCCAACGGACAACGACTCCCCCACATGTTCATCCACACTCTCTGTCTGGCCAATGATCACGCAGACCGATGAAAGCCCCAAATGCTGCGGCTTGGCGACTACGGAACCTCCGAGCCACGCTAGCCCGGATCCCGTAATCGGATAGAACAAGTGAATGGACAAAGAACTTGGACAACGAGGCTTGGCTTGCCTCGCCACAGCCTTCAAGCCTCATGACCGCGACAACGAGATGCCACAAACCATTCCATGCTGGCATCAGGCTGACACTCTGGATTCGCCGCGCGTGATTTGCATATTCGCTCCTCATTTCACCCGCGGGTCTGACTCCGCCCCCCACCCCACATCCATTGTCAACCATACAGGTGTTGCGTAATGCTGCGGCCTTCTTGAGCTGCGGTAACCTTGACGTCGTGATGAACTCTACGGCATTCGGCACCGGTCAGATTTGGTTTGTAATGTACAAGCCAAGATGGTGGTTTTGTACTTAAGGGTTTCTTAGTCTCGCTTTCTCGATCGCGGACTTTGTCTTAATAATCTCATTCTTACAGTCGAAACTGCCGCTGATACCCTTCTCCCCGTTACATCACCACGTATTGCATCATCTGAAACAGCGCGAGCTTGATCTACTGTTGCGAACAACTCTATTTTGGTATCGCCGCCTCCCATCTCCTTGGTGGTTCTGTCAGCATCAATAAGTTTCACATAAGCGACATCATGTCTGCAGCAGAGTATTACGGATCGGGGCCCGGCTCACCCTACGCCCCTCCCGGACCTCCTGCACCCCACCATCACCGACCACCTCCATCTTCTCCGCGACACCATCATCACGGTCCTCCCGCACCCCGCCGTCACCACCACAACGTTCCACCCCCACCACCCGACAACGGCCTCCTAGTGCCCTATGCGCTGCATCGGCCAGGCTCCGCTCACTCCGATCGACCCCCGCGCTACGATGAACGCGGCTCGAGCCCGTACCCCCGACCCCACAGCGCAGATCCCTCCGCCAGCGGGCGTGAACGGGGTCGGGAAGAGCACGAGGAAGATGGGGAGCGTGGTCTAAGGGCGACGCTTCTGGGTGGAGGCGCGGGTGGGTTTGTAGGCCACAGGCTTGGGAAGGGAAAGGTTGGGACGATGCTGGGCGGTATGGTTGGCGCTGTTGCTGCGAATGCAGTAGAGCACAAACTCCAGGGCAAGCACGGACATGGGCACGGTCATCATCATTCACAGAGCCCATATGGACATCATGGCAACGGGCATCACTCTGGTGGCCTGTTAGGAGGCGCAAGCCGCTTGCTCGGTGGGGGAAATAGTCACGGTTCTCATAGCCACCACCACTCAGTCCCACATTACTACGGCCATCACGGTCATCACGGGCATCATGCGCACGGCCACCATAAGTACCACGGTGGTCCTCCTTCTGGCTGGTAAAAAAGTATCGAAGGGAATGGCAACTGTTCGGGTGCTTGGGTGTGTATGTTGGGTTTCTGGCGCCGTGGGAAAAACGCCAACACGTTATATCGTGTAATATATTCAACGGGTCTCACGAAATATGTCTAGCTTATGGCGCAGTAGTGCTGCTAAGCGGACAATGATGAAAATAACCTAATTACATTCTTGTTTCAATGAAGTGATCAGTAGATGGACACGATTATCTCGTGAGCCAGGTGGGATTAATCGCAGGGTACTTGTTGAGCTCATTAGTCTTATCGGGATATTTCACAGCTTGTGTGTATCCAGTATCTATTGCTTCAGATGCAATTATTATTATTAAGTCTTGATATTTTGAGTATGGAATATTGAGATGGGGACATTACTCGATGCGCCACGGGAGCTAGTATACTACGTGCTTCATTGGAATGCTCAAGGCTGTATGTAAGATCATTCAAATTGACATCGTCCCAGAACGAGCCCTAGACCGAAAATCTCCTATTTCGGATTGGGCTACGAGGGAAGCTGGAATTCCATTCATGAATGCAGATGCTTCATGCATCATGCATCATGTGGTATAGCCATAACTCATAACATCATTCAAGATATGAGATAGGTGATGTATGGTTAGCCTCAACATCAAGCGGCGATATCGTCAAACAGTACACGCAGCCAACACTTAATCTGTCTACAAGTAGTGGCGCAATAACCCAGGAGCGTAGTAAGGCAAAAGTAAGACGGAAGTGCAACATTCTCAAGCGCTGTACCCAGCACACAGGTGGTGTGCCTGGGGCACCCAACAGAACCTAATGTAATAATATTAGGTTGCAACATGCCGACTCTATATGTTCACCTGCATTAGAGTGCACTTGACAGAGCATATACCCTGTTTCTTTTCAAAACATGGAGCAGTTAATATTTCAGAGCAAACGGATAACAGCATATGTCGCGCAAATATTTGACTATACGGAAAATTTACATTTTGAAGCCCTTCGACATCTTGATAATGATGGCCAACGGCAAGTCTAGTTCCGTTCTATTTATGCATATTTCTACTTGTACTCTATTTTATTACCTTCCGATTTAAGTGGTACCGAGAGACCCGGTAACGTATATGCGACACGAACCTGTGTCAAACAACTGCAAGTGCAGCTCAGGCATGTTCTGGCCTGGGGGCCTGGGTGCTGGACAATCATAAGCCCGTCGTGCGCTCCTAGTGGTGAGGTTTGCGTCCATAGGCGCCGACCCTGTCAACAAACATTTAGCAGTGTCATCAAAACGAGGCACCAACCTCACCGCAGACAAGACTCACACCGTTCCATACCAATGTATCTTTCATACCAGCGTATTCGCTTGCAACTTTGATATTGGTTCCTCAATTTCCTCCACCATCAAGCCGAGACCATGACGCAAGATCTTCAGGGAGAGCCCCCCCACCCAAACTTGGCCATGTCTTCCCCGCGAACTGGCCGATGATTTTGTGTCTTGGATCCTTGGCCCGCATTGATCAACTGTATCCACCTCTGATAATAGGCCTCCTCCAACGTATCGTCAATGCAGCTAATATTAACAGCACATCTTGATACCCGACATATCTGCCCGACCGCAGGTTATCGTAAATATTCCTCATACCCCTTACGTTCATTAAAGTAAGTGATAATCAGACGTAGATGAATGTAATTGGACGCCGTCTGCAGGACCAGTCATCTCGATATCCTCCCTCGCAAACGAGGGATTCGACAACGCCGCGTGCACGTGCTGAACTTGGCTCAGATCGGTCCCAATGACTTTGGAACTAGGGTGTTCTTCCGCAAACTCCACGGCCCATATCCTCGTCCCCGTGCCGATGGCGAGCACGTGTTCCGGTTCCTCCACCGGGGCCATCTGAGGGGGTCCACGGTTAGCCGTTGAATTTCGCAGGTCAACGTCCCTATGCTCGGTTCGATTCCGGCCATCATGGAGCATATTTGAATACATTATCGCCGCCCAGGCCACGCACCAGGGTTCGTCAGCTCCGCTACGTCACATTTACTTTTTCAAGCACGCCGCAGGTGAATATGCGGGTAAAGTAGCCTGTTGAAGGGATTTCGGGGACGTGATGGATGACTCGGTTGTAGACGGTGAGGTCATGAACAAACGGTGAAAACCAATAGAAGCAAGAGTCTTGGGGAGGCCGAAGGGGCCATGCATTAAGGCACCGTTCTTGCGGCACAAATATCGAACTGATTGAATGCCATTGGCGGGGCAATATAAATGCCCGGTTTTTGGGAAGTGCCGCAAGCCCGAAGAGCCCCAAGGTTACAGCAATCAATGGTGTAACAGGCAAGGTGAAAACTCTCCAGTCCTCAAAGCTTTCTTCATGCACTCGCGTAGAAAGGGAATGCGGTGGCAGGTCGCTATCAGTCTTTAACACAATCATTTCCATGGCGCGCAAAGAGCAGGCACGACGCCAAGACCGCCACAGATTCCCACACCGACGTCACCGACGTTGGGTGGCGGGGGTTCACCAAAGTGCCGGACGGTATTAATCTCGGAGAATTCCAATGGAGCTGGATCGTGGGGGTTTCTCGTCCCAACAACTGGACGACCCCGTACATTTCCTTGTCGATTTTCATCGTGAAATCCGAAGTCATCATGTCGTCTCCAGTCCACCAAAACTCTTCCTTCTCTACCCCGCAATGGTGGAAGGAAGCCGTGGTATATCAGATTTACCCATCCTCGTTTCAGTCGCACTCGGGCGCAACCACGGGATGGGGCTCGATTCAGGGCATCGCTTCTCGGCTCGACTACCTCAAGTCGCTCGGAGTGGACGTAGTCTGGTCGTCGCCCATCTGCAAGTCGCCCCAAGCTGACATGGGCTACGACATTGCCGACTACAAGCAGATTTACCACAGGTACGGCACGCTGCAAGATGTAGATAATCTCATCGCTGAGCTGACCAAGCGCGGCATGAAGCTGATGATGGACTTGGTCGTCAACCACACCAGCAACGAGCACGCTTGGTTCTTGGAGAGCCGCAGCAGCAAGGACAGTCCCAAGCGAGACTGGTACATCTGGAAGAAGCCCAAGTCCGTCAGTGCTGATGGGGTGCCAGAACCGCCCAGTAACTGGGCGCAGATTCTGGGCGAGGCCAATTCAGCCTGGACGTACGATGAGAAGACGGGCGAATACTACCTCAGCCTCTTCACGCCCGAGCAGCCCGATCTGAATTGGGAGAACCCCGAGGTGCGCGCTGCTGTCTGGGACGTGATGCACTTCTGGCTCCAGCGCGGCGCGGCTGGTTTCAGGATGGACGTCATCAACCTGATCTCCAAGGTGCCAGGGTATCCAGATGCGGAGGTGGTCCTCGGCGCTGGATGCAAGTTCCAGCCGGCGTTCAAGTACTTCGTCAACGGGCCCAAGATGCACGACTACCTGCAAGAGATGCACCGGGAGGTGCTCAGCAAGTACGACACCATCACGGTGGGTGAGATGCCGGGCATCAGCGACGACGATGAAGTATTGAGAACTGTCGGCGCCAAGGCGGGCGAGCTTCGCATGATCTTCATCTTCGACCTGGTCGACATCGACAAGCCGCACGTGCGGATGGCGCTCAAGCCCTGGGACGTTAAGGAGATGAAGTCCATCATAAGCCGATGGCAGCGTGTCATGATCGAGAAGGACGGTTGGAACTCCGTCTTCATCGAGAATCACGACAACCCAAGATCCGTGTCGCGGTACGTCGATGATAGCGATGAGTGGCGACACATCGGGGCCAAGCTCATCGCGCTCATGCAGACGACTCTTGGAGGTACCCTGTTCATATACCAGGGCGAGGAGATCGGTCTTCGCAATATTTCGAAGTCGTGGGACATTGAGGAGTTCAAAGATATCGAAACCATCAACTACTGGGCGAAGGTCAACGACCTGTACGCCGATAACCCGGAGGAACTAGCTTACGGCCGCAAAATCATTGACATGAAGGCCCGAGACCATTCCAGGACACCCATGCATTGGAACGCCGAAGAGAATGCAGGCTTCTGTGATGCTGGGGCGAAGCCGTGGATGCGAATCATGGATGACTACAAGACCGTCAACGTCGACGCCCAGATGAAGGCTGATTTAGGTGACGACCTTTCGGTCTGGCAGTTTTGGCAGCGCGGCTTGAAGGACAGAAAGGAGCACGCCGACGTGTTCGTGTACGGCGACTTTGAGGAATTGTCCGTCGAACATCCCAACGTGTTCGCCTACGTAAGAACGAGCATCAAGGGCGAGAAGTGGTTGGTCGTGCTCAATTACTCAGGCCAGGAGCTCGAGTGGTTGATGCCTGACAACCTCAGCGTGCAGTTTTGGGCGTGCAGCAATTATGTCAAGGGTCGGGCGGAGAAGCCATTGAAGAAGACTATTCCCTTGAAGCCTTGGGAGGGTATATTGGGTCGGTGTGTCTAGAATGTTTTGGGGAGGCGCTCATCGGGGGTTTGGGGATAGAAACTCGCAGAGGTCGGCTTGGAGCGGTTGCGGCTGCATTAGATCGGCATCGCTAGATGGCTGGCATCTACACAACGGGGCATAGACTATCGGAGGTTGTAGGAACAAAGTGTAATTTAGACTACTTCAGTAGAATAACCACTAAGTTCAGAAATTTTACGCTTACTATAGAATTGGTGACATGAGGTCATGGTAAGGTAAGGTACACCTGAGATATTTTGGTACCCTTTTCTTGACTGCAACAGTACCATGCGAGCAAAAAAAATCTTGTAATGATAAATAGTGGACTTGGATGTTATTCTCGGATTGTACCCGTAGCCGCTGCAGTGACCGGCCATAGAGGTGTTGAATGTGTCGAGTACGACGATGCCAAGTTCGCCAAAGCCGATTCCTTCGGTTATGATAAGCTCAGCAAGCCCCAAAGTCGCCCTACGACTGAGATCAGCGACGTCAAATTCTGGCTTGTGACTGGCGATGTCAAGCCTCCACTCAAGGAGATCAAATACGAGGCTCCGTCACAGTCCTGGGGCGTTGGATCGCCGGTCTACTTCTTGTTGATTCGCGAAGGGGACCTCAAAAGGTGCAAGAAGGACTTCCAATGAGTGTAGTAGGGCTATCAATTTCATCAGTAATAAGATTCTCCGACTTCAGTGGTTAGATGAGTTTTGCACCGATGAAGCCGACTCGGAAAAGTGGCAGTCACTTTTGATGCTTATGCAGAGGCAGTGGATTTACCGATGATGGGTCAGGAGATTGCTTTGACCAAAAATGCCGTCATATTCTATGGCCCAGACGAAATCAGCTGGTGGGTCCTCTCTGTTGCGGTTGAACTGTTTGTGAAGGTCGAGATAGCAACACATCGCCTCTTAGAAATTATTAAGGACCCTTTGAATTTGTCTCGGCACTCGGTGCGAGTATGCTTATTCAGGCCACAGGTATGATTTCGGATACTACAAATCTGACAGAAGCTCAGATGACACGAAGATCGAAAATAAAGCAACGGGATCAAACAAATACAGAAGCCCCGCGAAAACGAGACCACCCAGGCGTTCGTGTATGTTAAATGGTATTGAAGTTGGAAGCTTTGGCGCGAGCCACTTGGAAGATGAGAGCAAAAGCTACAGATGAAGTGTCCACAGATAAGGAGGACTGTGGCGCAGGAGATAAGATGGAAAAATGGCTAGAAAGGAGCAGGAACAAGTCGAGGGAGATCAAAGGCGCCTTCTCCGAACAGAATATGCAGTGGAATAGCAAGTAAGGAAGTCTAGCCCGGCGACCTTGTATGTATCTTGTACAACCGCAATATGCGTGTGATCCCAAGAAAAGGGGAGAAATAATCTTGGCAACTCGGAGATGAAAAACAGGCTGACGAATTCGAAGCAGCCGAAGAGTATCCCGGCATCTCACGGCAATTGGGGCAGCCGTCCAAAGAATGAAAAACAAACAGGCCAGTATCCCCCAAGCCGCAACCAGGACAAAAGGGCAATTAGTTGTGAAAACCCCCTCACGGACATGCCAAGAAATCGACGAAGCCGAACACGGTTCAACAGAATCATCTGTGGAGGAAGACTAAGAAGCAGGATCAATAGTACGAATTTATGGTGAGTGCTACATCAATGGCACGATGGATGGGTTGGCAATCCGGAGAAAGAGCAGAAGCGACGACAAAGTGGCGGATAAGTGGTCGAAAATAACGATATAGCGGTCGAATAGCTTAGCTAATATATAAGTTTCGAGAGCAGCGCCGGCGAGGCTAACGATAACCTCATTCCTCATTTCTTGCTATTTATAGCAAACACCTTAGTTCCCAGTCAACCCAACCCAAAGTGGATAGCCGGTTGATCAACCCAACGGTTATTTTGCTTACTAATTTGATCGTCAACCTAACGGAAGGGGATGGTGAGCTTGGTTAGGTTGCGTCAAGGCTTGGGTACTTAAAACGGCGGTTATACTAGTAGCTAATAGGGCTAAGATGTTCCGGCCCTTGCTTATAGTCACTAGCACACTAAATAGCGTATTAGCGAAATAGTGATACTATTTAGGACTCTAGTATTGTGAAGGTCAACCCTCGCACTCACTACAACCAGGTGACTTACAGCTGGAACACCTGCCATGGCAGTGCCAGATGGGAAGCCAATCATAACCCTTGTAGGAGCCCCGCCAAGCGTGGACGACTTAGTCGCGCTCCCTCAAACCTAAGTTTGTGATCTTCTTTCCTTCGCTCCTTAGAGTAGAATCTTCGTCGATAGCACCTAATCGAGGTCTACCAATGCGATGCAACCCAGGTCGTGACAAGTATTAGGGAAGCACTTGAGCGCTAGAGGACCGCCGAGATAGCAGCGAAAGTTTCCACGGCTAGCAGGAGCCTCTAGTATGTGCAAACTATTAAAATTAGGGAGCCCTTACCCTTAGCAACCCCTTGGCATTAGAGTTATCGACCAAGTCTCCAAATTGATATTGCCTAGCAACCAAAATCTGGAGAATGGTGGGTCGGGTTGTTTGGTTGACTTCAACCCTTGGCAACCAGGTTGAAGTGGGTTGTCTCGAGGCTTGGCCACAGCCAAAGAGGAGACGCCACCAATCTCTACCCAGGTTCGAACGAAGAACTGGTATTAGCACATGATGTGAATTACACATCGAGAACATTTGAAGAAGAAAAGTCTCAGGAACAACTCAAAACTGTGGCTGAAATAGAGGCGGAGATTGAAGAGAAGGCGTGGGTTGAGTGGAGGTCGAAGAAGCTTGGAGGCTGTCTTTTTGATGTCGCTTTTCAGCTCCGGTGAGGAGTGCATGATCGGGCGTCGTACGTGGTACATTTGTTTTTGGCACGGGGTTATCCTTACTGTTAGCGGGTATCCTCATAATAGCAATCTCACGGAAGTGTATACTTGTGATAAGCCTCCTAAAGCCGATCAAGTTAGAGGCTAAAAGCTAACACATCGTAAAGGGAGTTCCGAGTGCGCTTGGAGAGATGGGGCAGAGCCGCTGTGCTATTACTTGACAAACCAGTAGTGGCTACTCTATTGAGACGTCACAAGGACGTCATTATTGGAGTTGACGGCACCGGGGCTTGAAGGTAAACTCTACACGATATTCACGAAACAAATGTTGAATTGCATCGTTCTCAGAATTGATGTAAGGCGTCTGACACTTTGATTCCTCTCCAAACATGGACCGTGAGGGTTAACGCTGGTGAACGCATTTCTACCCAAGATTCTATCCCTTCTACGCAATCCAGAACCAAATCTTCTCCCACACATTCTTCGCGACCGGTATCTCATCCATTGCCTCCAGCTCGTCCATTTCCTTCACACCCGTAGTCACATCAATATCCTCCAGCCTCCTCGCCAACGGAGTACGGTGGAAAGCCTTGTGGCCCAGGTACAAGGCCAAGAAAATAGGAATAGTGATGTACGCAGCTAAAAAGTCGGAGACGCTCCACTGCGAAGGAAAGAAGACCTGGAAACCGTTTGTGAGTGTCAGAAGACTGATGAGGAACAGCACGACGTAAGTCGCGTAGGGCTGAAGCGGTGTCCGGAATGGGAGACTCGGCAGCAGTCCTCGGGAGTCCATGGCGGATCGGAATCGCAGATAAGTGGTCAACACTACGATCCAGGCGATAAATCCACTGATTGTGGAAATATTTGAGAACCAGGCGAAGACAACAGCGCCGTTGTTGCTAACGTTGAGGTAGGACAACAGTCCAATCGCCCAGGTGATGAGAACGGCACGGTAGGGAACTCCGTTCTTGGTTGTGTGGGCGAACCATGGGGGTGCCTGGCCGGACAGCGACATGCTGTACAGAACGCGAGACCCGGAGTACAGGAATGCATTGCCAGCTGACCAGGCGGAAGTCAAGATGGCGAAGTTGATGACATGGTTCAATCCGCCGATACCGGCATGTTGAATGGCAATGACCCAAGGACTGGCAGATGCATCGCTCGTCTCCGACAACAGTTGCGGGTTGGTGCTCGGAACAATGCATCCAAGCACCAGACTCGACAGACCGTAGAAAATCGCAAGACGCCACACGAACCGCCGCGCGGCCTTGGGGATGTTACGGCGGGGGGCAACGGTCTCGCCTGCGGCGAGGGCGATGAGTTCGGGGCTGGTGATGAACGCGAAACCAGCCCGCACAAAGGCCGTCCAGTATGCAAGAAAGCGACCCGTCGCCCCTGTAGTCATGTACTCATTGAAAGCCCCCGGGTTATTCCAATACCGGAAACCCAACGCCTCATGCTGTGGTCCTCCGCCGGCCATGAGCACGATGCCCAGGATAATGAGGCCGGCAATGGTGATGAGCTTGATGCTGGCAAACCAGAATTCAGCCTCTCCAAAGACCTCGACAGCGATGATGTTGAGAATCAGAATGACAACAAGAATAATCGTGATCCACGCGGCCACCGGCACTGGAGTCTCCCAGTAATCCAGCAGGATCCCCCCGGCTGTCGCCTCAGCCGCAACCAAAATAGCGTAGGCGTACCAGTAATTCCACCCCGACGCGAAGGCTAAAGACGGATCGAGGAAGCGATGCACGAAGTAGGGGATGGAAATTCCCTTCAGGGGCAGGTACGTCGCCATCTCTCCCAGGTCATTCATCACGACCCAGACAACAGCCATCATACTCAGATAACCCAGCCACAGCGGTGCAGGGCCCACGAGGGCGAGAATGGCCCCTGAGCCAACGAATAAACCGGTGCCAATGCTGTGGTGTTTGTCAGTTGGATCTCGCTGATTTTTGGGATGACATGAGAGAAACCCACGCGCCACCCAGTGCCATGAATTGAATATGACGACTCTTCAACCCTCGTTGCAGCTGGTCGTGTTCGTCCAAGAGGGTGCTTGCCCCGAAGCCCGTTGAACGGGCCGCTGCAAGGGGGGTTTGCCCACCCATCTCGGCATCGCCGTACTCCTTGTCCCCCATCCTAATTGACAACGTCGGGACGCAAAAACAAGTTGCGATGAACACTACTACTTTGCCGTACGAAGCCCAGCAATTCGATCCCTGGCGAGCCGTGGGGAGCGTGCCAGCGTTTCTTGAGAGGCGTCGTTTCGTGGATAAAAGGTCTCGAATAAAGCTTCAGCGTTTCATATTGTTGATGGGAACTCTACAAGCTGGCCGTCGTTGTTTCTCCAGATTTGAAATTTCGCAAATGCAGAGGAAGTTTAGCATTACTTGTAGAACCCAATTCTCACCCATCCCACTCAATTCCTTGCCCGCATGACTAAAAGGGTGCTCACGACCTTAAAACTCTACCTCACCCCTCGGCCAGTATCGGGCTTGCTAGCGGATCCAGCCTGCCGGTGGATGCCCACAGTCAATAAATTGCCGCTGGTTATTATTCGTTCGGCGGGACCGGCTGGATATGGTAGTGAGGGGAGCCAAGAGGCTAGGGCAGGTCCTGTTATAACATTACGTCACAACTCGCTTCTGCGACGTGAGAAACAACCGCTGTTGGGTTTGTTGAGCTATGCTTGGTATGCAATCGATAGCAACAGAGTAGATATGAGTATCAAACTCTAGATACCACGAAACCTTATGCCCTCATGTTCCTCATCTACGTAACGTTCTCTTACCGACTCTGGGTATCAACACCAGATATGAAGCACTCAAGGGTATGTTTGTGGGGTCAAGAATGTGATTCCAGGGTTGGCGTATGAATTTCAGGTCTACCTGCATTGCATGCTCCCGTTGACACATTCCTTAGCTACGGGAACCATAGCGGAGTGCTACTATATTCATCTGAATTCCTACAGATATTGACTATTATTACCACTAATACCAACGATAGTTCACGGTTATTGGCCACAAATTACAAGAGGACAGGATCTTGATAACGATGTGGCCCCACAGGGGGGGCACGCGGCATGGCGTGGCCGACCCTGCAAGAACTAGAGGAGTAGAGGAGCCTGGGAACTAGAGTTCCCCCAGACCTTTGCATAACCAACTGTCGCGTTGATATATCGGTACGCCCAAAAAGGCTCATGTCGAGGGCCTATGTCGGTGAAGATGAGTCGCAGAAATATTCATCTGCATATCTCGCTTGGCGTCGGGAAAGTGATCTCGACTACGATTCAAGTGGATGAAGCTGCAGAGCTCAAGCCCCAGCCTTGGAGTTTTGGCATGGTCAATTGGCAGTTGCCCTACGAACTTATTTCTTGTCAGTCAAAGGGTCTAAATTTGGCCAACAATCAGACATCTAATCCAGGAGTTCCTGTCATGGACACTGAGTCTGCACCTTGTGTCTTTGTTCTAGCTTTGATAGGTCCCTCCTCGGCCCTACGCGCTCCCTTTCCCATATTCCTTCGAACGTAGGCCCGAGTTGCATTTCGTACGATTCATCCCGTAAAAACTTCCCCTGGCCGCCTATGCAAGTGGAACTCCTGATAAGCATCAGCTGACTTCCATGTCTGTGACTGCTTCCGTGGTTGCATGTCCGTCTCGCACCCAACGTATCATACAAAAGGAACGGTATCAGGTACTGCATTAGATAATGCATGCGTGTTGGATTTACAACACTGTCTAATAGCCCAGTACCATATTGCTGGGACACGAATTCACTGAGCTGGCCCACAGGGCATCCATCAGTGGCCAGTGCTAGTCCAACTCAGTCCGCAGAACTCCCTCTATGGTCCGCCCATGCCTAAGGACCTCAACGTAGAGGATGCGGAAAATGGAACGTCCAACAAGTGTGTGGGATTCGATGAGCCTTCAAAGCAACTGTCTTTACACAATACCGACCTGGTTGTGTGCATTCTCCATTGAATAGTTCAATGTAAGAACGAATAGCACACGCAAAGCCACAGCTGACAAATACTGCCAATGGGCAACCCGAGCCTCTGGCTGCCCTTGACCTTCGCCGCTACACCAAATGTGTTATTTGAAGAAGCACTATAGTTGGCCAAGACATGTGCTCGTATGCTACCGATTCCAAGACTTGGGCTAGACACTGTCGACGTCTTCAGCAACTTCTACGATATCTGCAACTTCGGTTTCCACAGGCCCAGCGTAATACCTGACTCGAAACTGCATTCCATCACAATTACTGTCCTAGAAGTCACAGTCAGTCACTCAATTAGGTAATCGAAAGCATCCTCCTCTCTATACTATGGTTCCCCCATCAGCACCTTCCTCAAGGTAATCTAGAGGCGAACATAATTTATGAGGGTTGCTGTCAAGCCAAAAGAGTGTGGTCCATATATCATGCTTATAGTCCTTGTGCGTATGCGGTTCCAACTCCTGCCCTTATTCCGAACTATAATGCCCGGATTCCTCGTGTTTAACGAAATACCAAGACTTCTATAATGTTATATGGCCCGCAGGCCCCCACGGGCTGGCTCCCTACTGGTACTATGCGCTCGGCGCTCTCACAACGTCCGACGTGAACGACTGAAGAAGTCAAGTTCTTGGAGAAGGCTTTCCTTTCGAGACAGAGGAGTGGAGCATTTGATTTGATTTGATTTGTCAATGAGTTGTCTTCTTTACTTGAGATATCAATGCTTTTAGCGCTGAATTACATGTCGAGAACGCAGCTGGACGTCCACTCACAGAGCCCGAGGCTAGCGATGAATTGGGAAACGATAGATCTGGAACTGAGATATATTCGAACTGGCTCGTCGTTCAAAGGAAGCATATGTACGACGGCTTCAACTATGTGCAAAATGGGCGGGTTCTGTCCCCTTCCCAACAACTGTTATGCCACTGCCAAAGTGGCAACCTGCCGGATGTCCCGACTGCTAGCACCAACGGTAATGTTGAAATCACCGCTGGGAACAACCCAATTCTGCAGACTCGAGTCCCAGTAACTCAAATCCTTCCGTCTGAGGGTGAAGGTCGCAGTACCAGAGGCACCAGCAGCCAATGGCAGCTTCTCGAAGCCACGAAGCTGCTTGGGCGGCGCAGAAGCCGATGCTGGGTATCCAACGTAGAGCTGCGCGACCTCGGAACCAGTCACTGCGCCTGAGTTGGTAATGGTGCAAGTCACGTTGGCGATGGTTTCGAAAAGATCAGCTCGGCCGCCGGGAACCACGTCGCCTGTCGCGGGGCCGGAGGTAGGGGCCCCAGTGACTTTGATCCCGGCGTAGGTGAAGTTCGTGTAAGCTGTCATTCATTGTCAGCTTAGATCACTGAAGAAAATGGATAGATGGCGCAGCTTCACTTACACAATCCAAACCCAAACTCATACCGCGGCGCAATACTCGCCCGGTCAAAATGCTTGTAATCAATAAACAGCCCCTCACTAAAACTATCCGACCCCGCAACAGTTGCCGTCCCATAATCCGCTGCCGTCTTCGCAATCGTATACGGCAACTTTCCACTGGGAGCCGTGCTCCCATACAGCACATCGACGAGCGCGTTCCCGCTCTCCTGGGAAGGGAGACCAGCCCAAACGATGGCCTTGACCTGTGGTAAAGCGAGGATGGTCTCTAGAATGATGGGACCAACCGTATGCACGACGACGATGACGTTTTCGTTTGCCTGGGCGGCGGCTTGCACCAGGGCGTTGCCTCCGTGCCAGGGGTCCAGATTGTTGCGGTCGCCAGCGTTGCCCTCGACGGTGATGTAGCCCTCGCCGCTGTCGGCCGTGATGAAGACGATGGCCATGTCGGCACCGCTTGCGGCTGAGGCGACACCGCTGGTGCTGTCTGTCGTGGAGGTGCTGATGGTGGTGCCGTCGGATGTGGCTCTGGTTCTGATGGCGTCGGCGGGGGCGACGAAGTAGGGGTATGATGCCGTTCCCTGTGATGGTCAGTAAAGAGTTTAGACATTTTTGAGGGGCAACAGAGAAAAATGGCTGTCCTAACCGATCCCCATCCCATACCAAGAGCACCGGTGTTGCACCCCTGATCGCTGCATGCATTCATCCCCTGAGGGTTCACAACGGCCGCTGAACCTATCAGTGCCAGTTTGGCTGGCTTCTTGAACGGAAGAATTCCCCCATCATTCTTCAGGAGCACAATACCGTCTCTCCCAACAGCCCGCACATTCGTCTTATGTGTCCCCTGCACATTTGCATTGAGGTTGATGGACGGAAAGCCTGTGTCCTGCCCCGTCAAATACCACGCAGCCAAGATCCGTCGCACCATATCGTCCACCCGCGACTGCTGCACCTGCCCACTACTAACCGCACTCGACAGTGCCGACCCCCACAGCACAGTCCCTCCATTATAATCCGAACCCGGCATCGTCATATCCAACCCAGCATTTGCACTCGCTGCCGTCGAATGCTGTGCATTCCAATCCGTCATAACATACCCCTGAAATCCCAACTCCTTCTTTAGCAGCTGGTTCAGAATCCTGTCATTCTCACACGCCCATGTAGAATTCAACTTGTTATACGAACACATGACCGACGCAGCTCCCGCCTGCACCGCATCCGCAAACGTCCACAGGTACAACTCGTGCATGGTCCGGTCATCTATGTTGCTGCTTATCGTGTCGCGCTCCCGCTCCTGCTCGTTTCCGATGTAGTGTTTCGCCGAGGCCTGCACACCCGCTCCCTGCATCCCCGATATGGTCTCTGCCATGGCGATACCAGCCAGGTACGGGTCGACGCCGAAGCCTTCCCAATTGCGCCCGCCGGTGGGAATTTTACCCAGGGGCCCCGAAACGGGGCCGAGGAGCACGTGCACGCCTGTGCCTTTGGCTTCTTCGCCCATGAACTTGCCGCGCTCGTTCATGAGGGCCCGGTCCCAGGTTGAGGCGACTTGAATGCCAGGTGTGAAGGCCGTGACGCTTTTGCCGTAGCGGATCCCTAGGGGGCCATCTTGTAGGCAGAGCTGGGGGTACCCGATGGTGCTGATGGCGGGGGTGTTGCCCACACACGGGCCCTTATTCCAACCGACGCCAGTGACAATCTGGACCTTCTGGGCTGAGGACAATTTTGCGAGTGCCGCGTTGGCCTTGGTGTACGCAGAGGCCCAGTCTGTCGTTTGGCCGACGGCTAGCGAAGCGCCTGCAAGTGCTGTGAGAACTTCAACTCGCATCTTGGTCGGCGGGATTCTAAGAAAGACAGCAAGGGTTGGGCTCTAACGGGCTCTTTCAGCTTATTACTTGTCACACGATGGGTGCCCTCGCCCGTCTTATAGTTATCTACCAGCCGTCTATTTTCTTATTTGGGGTATCTACATGATAAATGACAGCTCCAAAGCATCCGGCAGATCAGCGCATCACGAAATGGCCTGAATGGCAATTCACGGAGCTGCAAGCCACGACCCAGCCATATAATTTGCCGGTTTCCGTACCTGGAACAGATTGTCCGCCGTGTCCTCCCCTTGGCTTCCGGCATGACTTCGGCATTGGGTCTGCAATCCTATTAACAGTGCATCTGACATGCTTCTTATGACGGAGCCAAGAAATAAGAAGCATGTTCGACGGCCGGCCCGCATAGCCTCTAGGCTGGTTGTAGATTAATTGCAGGGTTGATTCAACAAGGGCACGGGCAGCTGCAACATGGTCATAGGTCAGATGGGGCACCCCGCTTTCCGGTTTGGGGCATTGGGGTAACTGGTTCCGTTTCCTTCCAGATTTACAGACTGAGAAAGTGAACGTTTCATGATCGTCTCCTGAATGTTCCTTTGGACGAGCTTGGCGTAATGTAGTCGCAAACTATGTTGGCTCGTGTATGTCGTGTTTGTCTGGAGCGCCAGACTCCGAATATTGGATGGCATTCAATGTGCTGGCACCATCGCTCAAAAACTTGGCCTTGGTTCTGAGGGTGCTTCCTCGCTGACTATCAACTGTAACTCTACTCATTGCCTACTTTACAAATATTCCATACTCTTGAGGCTACTCTGAGCCCAAAATTGAGCTCAAATTTTTCATCGTCTTATGTCGAGGAAATAACATAATTGTTCAAATGCCAAAATATGAGGACCGATAATCAATTATCTACTGGAAAGCCCTGTCACTCAGTGCCTTCAGGGCGACATGAAGAAATAACCATAACTGGACATAGATGCATCGAATGTTTGTGAATGCTTGAGTGTGAAGGGGGATCATTATGGCTTCAAACATGGTGTTCAAAATTCGTATTACATAGTCAAAATGAAGCCCCGAGAACGATGATGGGCATGCGATCAGTTGCTATGCCAACGCCACCGGTTCACTGGCGTATGTCCAAATAGCCTATTGGGATATGGAGTCTTCCCGTATATAGCTTATGCTCTCAATAGTTGGCAACAGACCGGATTTTGCTGCCTTCTACAAATTTTCAAGACATGAGTTTGAAGGATGACCCCTTTCTCAGATCGGGCTGCTAAGCCGCGGAACATGCATGCAGGAATGCAAAGTCGCAACCTCGTGTCATGCATGCACAAATTTTAAAAATAATATTAAATACGCCGTAGGTGTTAACCCTCGGTACCTCTACAAGTACTCCCTTAAGGGGCTATAGATGATATAGCGGGCCCTTAAGCCGCGTCGGGCGGTTATACAGGTAAACTTGTAGCCAAACGACTACTAAACCTCCTGTCCCTCCCTAAGTCTGTGCTACAACCCCTGCCTGAACTACCGATAAGTGTGGTAATGTGGCACTTAAATGCGTCCTCAGGGGTGGGATGCTACTGATGTGCAGAAGATGCTCGACTATTTTTTGTCGCGACAAGTCGTAGTATCTGCTAATTGGGGTTCTCGTCGAGCGTATACACCTCAACCATACGCTCAAGTGGATAGACCGTAACGTGGTCTAGACGCTCGCAAGAATCGCGGCGAGAGGGGGTCCGATAAGGGGTCGGATTAACGATTCGAATTCTGGACCGGCTGTCGAGTTATATTCCGCCGACGTAGTGCTTGACGGTCGACTGGCTAGGATGCTCGTAATCCTAAACTGCACCAATCTCCCTATTATCGCTAGGTAGGCGAAGTCAACAAGGTGGGCAGCGCGCCGTAAGGGTTGACTAAACCCCCTTGTGTGTCAGCTGCGGGATTCGAACCCGCGACTCGTCACCGACCCAAGTGGGTGAGGCTCAAATCGGGACTTATCTACCAGCGAAGTGACCAACTACACCAGCCGACATCCAAGAACCGTAAGAGGGAGGCACAAATTTTAACTCAAACAAGTTTATAACTTCATAGGGGATTTCTTAGTGTGCTACCCAAATCTAGGTTTATACATCCACCAAGTGTTGCAGAGATTTCATTCGTATTGTCGAGTATTCAATGGCTGGCCCGTCGCGTGGTCCATAGACATGTGCTCCATGCTCCCCCCTCCCCCCCTCCGCTCAGACCGCCTCCTTACACTAGCCCACTTTGACTGCCTTCGCTCTGGTCCCACCACTCCGTCAACCCAAATGACGGAGAGAAACACGCTCTCCAAAGCTGCGATGGACAAGCACGCGAGACCAGAGAGCTCGAGCGTCGCGTTCATGCGCGTCAACGCAAAGAACGAGCGTTGACACGGGCAGTAGCTGAGCCGGCCGTCCCCGCACTCAAGCCTATTTAGGTAGATGCCATTATATCCAGAGCCAGAAGACTGGACACAGTTGGTTCTCATACGTACGCTCCGCGAAGAAAGTCCCAAAATGGGCACGCTGTGTCGAATATACGTGTGAACGAATAACTTCCGAAGCAAGAGTCAGGACGAAGATGGTGCGCTGAGTAGACGAGAGAACGCCGACGTTTTGGATCCCATCTAGAAGCGAGAGCGTTCAGAAGTAGACGCAGAGGTGCTCAGACGTGGAAATGAGCACACGTCGAATGTAATCGCAACTCCAGGAATGAATATTATGTATAGCCTCGCGTCAAATATAAATATGAGAAGAACCGCATTATTAGTGATCGCTGGCACAGTGATCATTCATGTCAGTACCAACTTATCACACCCGAGCCTCCGGATAATGCCAAGCCCGAGGATTAGTATATATGATCGCACCAAAGGCAGAAGAAGAGGACGCACAACCCAAACCTATCCCCGTTCCCCAGGGAAGATTCGAAAATATAGCGACGGCAAAGGACAGCCGGCCGCCCGATCGCAAGTTCGGAATCAACCATCCAAAGGAGCTCTTCATGTATATTATGCTTTCCATAATCGGCCTGACATATCTTCGCACGGATAAGCGCGGGACGCCTGGATCAATGCCGATGGCTATGTCAAAGACCTCGGACCTTTGGCGTAATGGGTAACGAAGAGCGGTCTGTCTCAATCAGTGCTGCGCTACCTTCCATTAAATACCAGACTGTCATTCGTGTAAGAGGCCAGGACGTCCTGATATGAGTGGCGAATGGCAATAGGGCACGGAATCAGTCAGCATGCCAACCATGTAATTCACACATGGATATAATAATCGGGATGATCCCGCGACGGCATCAGAATGAGACTTTATCCCATGGCACTAAGGGAAACTTGAAGGCTGGGCATTTAGGTACCGTGGACACCAGAATGTAACAGAAGGATTGAAGGAACTCGGGCTGAGGGTTTGGCTGGTCAGGAAACCTGAACCTCAGCAATGTTTAAGGAGACCATTACCTTCGTCATTTGTGCGTTATTATCCTTTACCCCTGATAAAGCGCCAGAGATTTCTAATCATTGCGAGGGCTTTGGAGCCTAGGCTTTCCGTACATGATATAGTTGTAAATAGAACGTATCAAAACTGATATATATGACGCCTTGTACTGTCCTTCTTCGACGTATTTATGAACCATGTAGAATTTGGATCTTTATATAACGAGAATTTATGTTATACCGCACCTCTTTTCATCTCAATGATCGTAAATAACAACTCAAACCAGCGCGCATGCCATGAACATAGCCCATAGCACTTCTATCCCTTCCAGGCTGAACTCCCAGGCAGCATGTTTCGAGCAACAGAAGACAATTCAACCAAGCGCGCAAGACGTCATACCTATAGCGCATGGTAGTTATCTATCATTCAGGCTGAACCCCCTGGCAGAATGTTTTGTGCCACCAGAGCGTGACTTCGAGGGAACGATGGCACCATAAAAGGTTCCCGCGCCCAGTCATTCTGCTTTCCCATTGCCAGATCTGTCCCAATATTTTACAAACATTGCATCAACAGACGCGTACACGTCCCAAACCACAAGGAATCACACCAGTCACTTCATATTCGGAGCCCCAGTTCCAAGCCCAGTGACAGCCCCAGCCCTGTGGGGAAGTACTCCACCGAGTATATTCAGGCATTAAGAGTCCAGTATGTGTGGAGAGCGTCCAAAGTTCTCTCTGGGTGACACACTAATCACACTTGGGTTACCGAGTGCTTATAGCATCAATGACGTATGATACGCACAAAGAGACGGACATTGAGTGTTGTTGAAGAGTGGTAGTATTGAAACAGATTAGCCAGTACAAAGTCTACAAGAGTACAGTTGAAGCTATCAAGGAAGCAGCCTGCGTTATGAATAGTTTATGAGTACCAAAACACGCCTGAAAATTCAGCTACTGCCTGCCGTCTTCTCAAACTCTGCGCAAAAGAGTTGTAAAATCGAGAGAAATATATAATTGCGAGGAACAGGCTATGCCCGTGTAGTATACAGTGTCCTGAAGTGAAAACTTAAGCTTAATAAATATACAAGTCAGCCAGCCTCCTCTGTTTTGAGAGCAACTCTGCGTCCACGCGCAGTTTCTGGTATCAGTGTAAGTTCATGTAGCTACAACAGTACTTCAAGTTTGAGGATGATATATTTTCAAACCCCTGAGAAACTTCACGTGTCTAAAATACATAAAAGATGGCAGATGACCCATAAAATTTCATATTCAGATTCTTCTGTAGTCATGATCATACTGTCGTTCACACCTTTTATCACCTTTTGCCTTCCTGTCAGATCCTTATGCCAACCAAAAGTTGAATGAGGCCCCGCTCAGACAATGGTGGTCATATTAGGGGAGATACTGTCGGACCAGCACTTACATGTAGAGCGGTCTCGGCACATGCGATTACTCGATTTCAACAACCCCGCAGTGGTCGTCAGACTGTCCAAACAATTTGCTCATGTTTATGCCGTGTGACCCAGAGGCGCGCCCTATTCTTGACCTAAGGTATGCAGTGCCAGGTGCGCTGATAAGCAAGTTCGCTTAAGTCATCAGCTGATTTCGTGGTCGAGTCGCGGTTTATCACTTTCTCCCGTTTATTTCCCCCTTTGTTTGCAAGTGTACTCTCGCCTTGTACACTTCATTACATCCCATGTGCCCTCATGCGCAATCCAACCCCAGGCAGACGACAAAATGACCACAAAGACTATTACGGCGCAATGCTATTGCAAATCAATCCACTACACTCTCACTCTGCCCGTGTCTGCCCTTCCAATCAGCACGCACTTGTGTCACTGTAGCCGATGCCGCTACACCCATGGTACCTTGTGCATCTTCCATGCAGAGATACCCGGGGACGTCCACCCGCGTTTCATCGCGCCCTCCAGCCTCGAGAAATTTACCACACTATACCCATCTTCCGAAGACAACAGCGGGCTCCATTTTTGTTCCACCTGCGGTTGTCATATGGGCGACTACAGCGAGCGGGAAGACAAATGGGTCGTCGCCACAGCTTTGTTCTCCAAGGACGAAAGTGTCTTCATCTTTAACGAGCACATCTTCACAAAGTCTTCGCCAGCCGGACTACAGGATTGGCTGCCCAAGATCGGAGATCGAGAGATGAAGGTCTGGAATCCAGATGATGGAAGTGCAGAGCCAACCATCCCCGAAGCTGAAGTTGGCGCGAATGGAGAAGAGCGACTGCGAGCTCAATGCCACTGCGGTGGCGTCTCATTCACTCTTCCCCGCCCAACCAAAGAGGTGCTTGATGATGATTGGATGAGCAAGTTCGTCTCGCCAGTCGACAAGGCCAAGTGGAAATGCTGCATCGATGCCTGCAATGACTGTCGCCTGATCAGCGGCGTTGAGATTAATGCCTGGCTTTTCGCTCCCCTGATGTTGTTGGAACCCAAGATCGATCTGGACTTCAAGCATGGCACTCTAAAGTTGTACGTGTCTTCTCCAGGCACCACCCGAACATTTTGTGATGTGTGTCGTGCTACGGTGTTTTTCTGGTGCGAAGAGCGGCAAACAAAGCCTGGGAACAATATCGTGGATATATCGGCTGGGTTGTTGCGAGCCCCTGAAGGGGTGAGAGCAGATAATTGGACTACGTGGCGCACATATGAAATAGGCTGGTTGGAGGCTGGATACAAGTATGACAAGGAGCTCTATGAGAGCCTGAATGAAGGTGTTCAGAAATGGGGAGCAGAGACACAGGGGCAACTGGTCGATTTCAAGATTGACTAGACGTGCGTCCAGGAAAGTTTTACCATATTCACAATTATTACTAAGGGGTAGATATACTTTTGCTAGCAACAAATTAGCTGCATTTGCCCCAAGACGGCTGACACCAATTCGCCGCTCCACAGAAATCCGTTCCGGTACCTGCGTCCTCGACTGTTAGCACAATTCTCACCATTTTCTTTTCGTGCGTCAACTTACCACAGAAATTGCTTCCACTGCAACAGAGTCCAGAAGCGCACTTCTTGTTCACGATCGGGCCGCACGTCTCGCCGGCCTGAGAGATTCCAGGGGTGCCACTCGGCTTGGGCGGCTTAGCCACACCGACGTTGCAGTTGCCGAACCCGGCTTGACAGCCTGTGCCGCAGTACAGACCTTGATCTTGGATCTAGAGCATGTGTCAATAAGTCGGGTGGGAATGCAGGTTGGATGTAACGTTACTTACGTCGTTCTTGGGTCCGCAATGTCCGGCCGAGCTGCAGCATCGGTAGAAGTAGCTGTTGATGCCGGCGCCGGGGCAGCTTACTCCACCTTGGGCGGAACCACACACATCGATATTCGGGACTTGGGAGGCAAATGCTGACTTGGTCGTGGTAACGGGTTTCGCAACTGGACTGGTAGTTGAGAGTTTCTTTGTCACTGATTAGAGCGTTTCCACACCATTTCAGGTGCAAAGATGCAACATACGGCACAGCTCGATCCCTTGCCTGAGAACTTCTGGAGGCAATTGGCGGGATCGCAATGGGCAGCATCTGAGTCACACTGCATTGCCGGTTAGTCAAGCACAGCCGAGCTGCAGCGTTCAGATACGAATCAATCGCAGCCCATTGGATATTAAACAGGTTGTGTAAGTCTAGTGCTGCTGACGTGCAATGTGAAAGATCACATGACCGTTGCAGGAGGATCATCACGGAGGAACTAGATGAATCTTACCCATCCATATTGGCTACCTGGTAGAAATCAGCAACTGAAGGATGATTCGGCGGCAGGTGCAGACATAATTACGTACAACAGTCGCCAGCGGCGCAAATCTGGTTTCCGAACTTCGGCCCACAGTTTTCAATGAGAACGGCCGATGCGGACAGCGCCAGGGCGAGTGAGGAGAAGAGGAAACGCATGATAATGGTCGGAATCTGTAATTACTTGAAGGTGACGATTGGAGAAAACGAAGCAATGAAGGATGTGGAACAGAGTGACCGTTTAAATAAAGCCTTGACAAGATCACCACAAATAATTGGATCTGACCGCTGAGGCACATACTAGATCGGCATATACGAGGATCCCTTCATGTTAGTCAATATTACAGTGGAGTCATGTGGTTGTCAAAGTCCGAGCTCCCCTAAGTAGGACTGCTAGCTACTTTAAGGCGAAATATTAGCAGAGCCCCTAGTAAGCTCAGCTGAAAACAAATGAAACGGCCATGTTCAGCCCTCAAAATACCCGACAGCCCTGAGTTGTGGCCAATGCTGCGACAGCTTGAGAACCTGACGATCAGTAACTGCCGTCAACTGGCCAACGTCAGCTCGATGGGACTACCTGGTGCATAAGGCTAATAGTATTTTCATGTCAGAATATTTGTAGACCGGCAGTGGTGCATCTTGTCATAAATCACCTTGGCTATGCTTTTGCCGAAAGGGGGCTTTCAAAACCATGAGCCAACATTAAAAACGTTGCAGGTTACTGGGCTGAGGAGTCGAATTGGAGAATACTGTCGCATGAAGAGGTGGATGGACCTGCATTTTGGCTCTACACTGGTACTACTTTCTCATTTGATAACTTGAATTGTACAAGGCCCATTGAAGCATTTGATTCAGTGGTCAGCAGCGTGAGGTGTTTGAACATTGCAAGAAACCCATGCCGTCTTAATCTTTCTGTACGTAGAGCATAGATTTGTCCCCTTTCAAAAATCAGGCACGCCTGCCACTACCCTAGAGCGGAAGAAGTCGCAGACACAAGGTGTTTTGCATCAGGTCTCGTACTCCAGATCGACCCAGCCCTCCGACGTTGCTTCGAAATACATGGCTTCACTCCCATCTTCATCGTCTTCGAGACACAAAACCCCCATAGCAGTCTCATGTATATCCTCACCGTCGCTATCTGTGTCGATATCCTCGTCAACTTGAGTCTCGGCATCCGAATCGACTGAAGTGGTGGGTGTATTGGAGAAAGACTCGGCGACAGCATCGGCAAGGTCTTTCAGGTTCGCATCAAGCTTCACTCCTGGATACTGGCGCGCCGTCTCAGCGTAAAACTTGGCAACCACGTCCAAGGGACCAGTAGGTATGTGGTGTGCTCCAGATGTTTTAGTCGCGTCAGCTGCATCAGTCTTGCCCACTCGAGTCACAGCATGTATTTCATTTTCCCTTTTCTCCGTTCGCAAGATTCCCCAAATAGCTATTGCTGAAAATATCGCACAAGCTATGAGCCCTATCGTAGTAACGGCCACAATTTTCCAGTCTGCGTAGCTATTGGCCGACTTCAGCATGGATTCGAGCTCGGCAACCCTAGCTTGTGACGCAATCAAGGCAGCGCGTGTGCATGCACCCTTGTACATGTACCTGTTGATTTTTCTGCCTATGAGATGGTAATACTGAAAGTGGTCGGGAGTTGACGAAGCCAGCAACACTGGTTCAGCGACTTGGACAGTTTTGTGGTGGCGAAGAAGGTAATCAAGACCGCTAAGGCCAGAGCAATCATTGCTTCGTTAAATATAGTGCGTGTTATAGCTTTTGCGGTCGAGTGGATTACTGTTGGAAAAACGTTGTCTGGGGTGACGAGGGAGGTTGGTCGGTAATATTTGCTGAAATGGTCTGACGAAGTTAGACGTATAAATGGGGAAGGAGAGGGTATTATACAATCAGAAAGATCCCAGTTCCTGGAGATCATATCTGAAAGACATCAATTTCAAAAGAAGTATGCTTCTCTGATTAAGAACCGAACGAATAGGGAAATTGGTTGACATTTTTGCCCGTGGTCGAGATTGACGCAAGCTGATGATGATTAGGGCAAACCAAGCCATTAGTCAGTGAAACGGAATAGCATCTGTCCACAGCTTCAAAGTCCCACACAAGCGGTATATTGATAAAGGCAAAGAATCTTTTAATATCATACATCCAGATCTGTAGAAACTTAGCATGTACTTCGTCAATGGCTGAGTCCACCAATACAAGCTGTCAAAATGCACCACTAGCTTCGCGTGATGCGATGTTCCACATAATGAACTCAATTTTGGGGATCAAAAAGCCAGAAGGCTGAGGTCTTATTCGTTTGGTGGTCGTGTGACTTTACCAATGCTCAGCCGAGTACATTATGAACAGACCTGGCGGTCCCGGATTTGATAGTCTTCTATCACAAATTACAAAATATGACCTTCATAATCCAATATTATTTAGTGTGAGCGATACAAGCAAAAGAGCTACATTGGTGATTGTGATTGAGCTAACTCAATTCGCCCATACGTCATACCGATTGTGCAGTGAATCCAAAGACGAAGTTACAAAATATTCCGAGCACTGGGTCGATTTAAATGATCCTTCGCAAATTGATAAGGAGCCCAAAGAGCGGATTTATGGTTGGGTACCACGCTGTGTCAACGTTGAAACCCCAGAAAGATATAGACCCGGTGGTCTGCACCCAGTCCACCTCGGCGAATCCCCGAGGTAATGAAAAGGGACCGTTTTATCGGCATCCCTTCCGACTAGTGATGGCGGCCATTGGCCCTAGTCTCTTCTCTCCGCTAGCGGAAACAGGCAGAGATATATTTGATCTCCTAACATATATCTTCTTCCAGGGCTCTGTTGACGTACTCATCTTCATAGGCACGGCATTTGCTACGGTGGTACGTATAGAAACACACCCAAAACGCTTCGGTTGGATATCAATTTACTGACAAGATGTAAATATGCCTCCATAGAAGGTCCTGTCAAAGTTAAACCAAGAGGGCATGAATGGGCTCCCGGGGAAAGAATTTAAGAGTTACATCCATAAACCACGCATAAGAAAACTCGAAACACCCGACGGAACCCTGATTCCTCGGCAGGGGCCTGAGTACCTCGTAGCTGCGGCTACCTGGCGCTATTGGAAAGGAAGTTCAGGACAGGCCACATTTCCATTGTCGACTTCGGACGGGCTTATATGGCCCAGAGTCCGTCCTCCTACAGTGATATCGGCCGATCGAACTTATGTCACCGCCCCTGAGAGGCAACACGCAGAGATTCATGGAGGATTGGCCAGCCATATTTTGTCTCTAGCTGCCTGTATATATGGTTAGGATTCCGAGATAGCTGCTTGAAGGGGTGAAAGACTTTGCAGCTTTAGTCTTGTGGCTATCGTGAGCTTTTGGACTTGTTCCTAGCCAATTGATCATACGAGAAAAAAGCTTTTTACCGAAACACTCGGCCATGCTCGTTACCGGAAAGTCTCATTTCCCAAATGAGAAAGGTGGCTGGACCCGGACCTGCGAGGGACGACATGCAAGCAAGGAGAGACTGGCGAGCTGCTGTGAGACATATCCGAGAATAACCGGATCATTATGGTTGGAAGGAGTTGGAACGTCTAGTGCAGAGGAAAAGCCCGAAACACCGTCGGAACGGCCCTCGCTTAAGTTTGATAGTCAACTCAGAGATCAGTCTTCACCTCCAATTAATACTGGAGATAAAAAGGTCTTTGGGCAAGAAGTTGGTGGTGGTGTGCGGAACTTCATCTTCAGTGCCTTCAGTGCCGTAGGTTCATTGCAGCGGAAACAGGCAGATATACATATGTGCCAAGATAAATAGGGGGCAACCAAGTGTTAAGTAACGTACTCCACAAGCAAGTTGGCCACTTTTTCTTGGCACCGTACGAACAACCTTTTAATTAACATCTTTACACATACCAAGATGGGATCGAATTGGAAAGAAAGCGACATGATTCTAGCGTGTCAGGCGCTTCAATCGAAACCCGAATTAAGCATCCGACGCGCTGCCCAACTCTACAATGTCCCTCGTACAACTCTAGCTAACCGAAAACGCGGACTACTATCTCGACGCGATACTCGACAATCTAGTCAAGAAATTGAAGACCTAATACGGGCGCATATAACCCATATCTCGAAGGAGGATTTCTTTTCGGTATTCTATAGGGCGTATCGTACGACTATAAATAAGTCGAATATCCAGGCAGGTTTCAGGGGGACAGGACTTATTCCGTATGACCCGGAATATGTGATTTCACAGCTGGATATTAAGCTACATACGCCTACACCTCCTGGGAGCTCGTCTGGCACCCCCTTAATCTGGGAATCAAAGACTCCAAATAACCCAACCGAGGCGCAATCCCAGTCTGAATACGTTAAAAACAGAATCGTACAGCATCAGAATAGCTCCCCGACAACAATACTTACGGCTATTGACCAATTTTCACGTGGTGCGACGGCTGTTATGCATCGGTTAGTTTTACTTGAGGATGAGGTTACTAAACTTCGGAAGGCCAATCAAGAGCTAAGCCGTCGTCGAAGGACTCAAAATCGACAGCTACAAGATGGAGGATCTCTTAGTTTACGAGACGCTCAGGACTTACAGTCTCAACGGGATATTGAACAGCAGCTACAGGATGATATATGTGTAAGTCGTCGTCGTACGAGACCGGCCGAACCACGCCGACGGCGCTGTAGGATCTGCGGAGAGCCCGGACATAATGCTCGTACTTGTGAGAATGATAAAGATACGTACGAGGAAGAGGATTCCGATTAGTTTGAATTATTATTTTTTAGTTCAGTTAAGTTATTGAAGTTATTCATACGGTGCCAAGAAAAAGTGGCCAACTTGCTTGTGGGGTACGTTAACGTAAATTCATAATATATTAATCATTGTCCAATTTAAGTAGACTTTTCGCTTTCTCTCAGCTGTGGTATCATGCCAACTCCCCTTAATGCTTTGAACTCTCTGTATATAGCACGCTATCATCAACTCAGTTCAATCATACTCGGGTATCGCCAGGAGCCCGCTTCTCCTCGCAGTGCTCGGCACCTTCTGCTATCTCCTGCTTTTCGTTCTCAGCTGTATCCATACGGTTGGCGTCGTCGTTTCCGTGCAGACCAATCTTGTACTGTTCTGGTATTAGTAATCATTACTCAAGAGGAGGGCCAGTAATACGGGACGAGAAAAGAAAAACTGCTTACCCATGGCAGTTCAAACAGCCGATTCATAGACTCAAGAGAACGACCCCCAGTTTCCGGTACAAAGAACCAGACCCAAGCACCCCCGAGAAGGGTAATAACAGCAAACGACCAGAACGTCCCCTTGGGGCTGATACCGCCTTGTCCGGCAGGCAACAGCATGTTAGGCACCGCACGGGAGTTGCCGTACTGGTTGACAAAGTGCAGCATCATGGCCATGGACGTGGAAACGGCACGAATGCGCAGGGGGAACAGCTCAGCAGTCAGCAGGTACTGCATCGAGTTCCACCCCAGCGCCCATCCGGCGCCGGACACGTAGATCATGGCAATGGCGCCACGGCTGGGGCCGAGCTCGTGCTTAGGCATAACGTAGTTCTCAACTACGCCGAGCTCGGGCACTGCGGTGAGGAAACCAGCGATGTAGAGCATGGCTATGGACTGCAGGCTAATGCCGATGAGCAGAGCGCGTTTGCGGCCGATGACATCAACCAGGAACAGGGCACAGATAATGGCGGCCACGAGCTTGACTATGCCGAAGACACCCGAGATCAGGAGAGACTCATCCTGGCCCGTGATGCCGAGCAACTTGAACAGGTCGGGCGCGTATAGGGTGATGGATCCGGCGCCGGACCATTGCGACAAGAGCTGCGTCATGAAGGCCATGTGGAGGCGGTACAGGTTGCTGGGAATGAGGAACATCTCCTTGAGGATGCCGACGGGTCCAGTGCCCTTGGTAGCTTCGAGCTCCTCATCGTGGGCCACTTGAATGGCGTTGATTTCTCTCAGAACGTAGGGATCATCAACAGTTAGATGGCGGATGTGCGCCATGTTCACGAGAGCCTCCTCATGCTGGCCTCTCTTGACGAGGTAACGAGGCGACTCGTACTGGAAAAATGAGAGGATGAAGATGATGCCAGCAAATATGATGTGCAGGCTGGTCGGCGCGAGCCAACGGACGTGAGTGTGGTCGCCCAGGGTGACTTGCGCACCGTAATTGGCGAAGTACGCCAGGACGATGCCGAGATACACAAATCCGGTGAAGATGCAGGTGCAAAGACCGCGAATCGACGCAGGGGCAATTTCGGCGATGTAGATGGGACCCACGACGGGAGTTTGGCCAACACCCATGCCGGCGATAAAGCGTCCAGCATAAACGGCACCCAGGCTGCCATTGTTCCCCATGAACTACAACTCGGGTTAGTATTTTCGATTTTAAGGGGGGATAGACGATGACTTGGGACTCCTAAGCCATGTTTTGAGAGTAAAAACTTCTAATCAAGGTCTTCTGGGCAGCTTCTGCTCCCAAGGACGGCTAGAAGGGGGAGGAAGAGACATGGGAACTTCGTACAATGGCAATACCCAGGATCCAGAGAAGACACAGCTGGCGTGTGGCCCATATCCGACCAATGCGATCGCAGATCAGGAAAGCGCTAAGAGGATAACGGTTAGTCAGGTACTCGGTATACATATGCCTGATCTGAGCGATGCTTACAAGAGTGCGCCGGCGACGGAACCAATCTGGACCATAGCCGAGACGTTGGCCTTGATGTTGGTCTGCTCAACCTTGCTGTACGAGTCGTAGCTGATGGTGTTCTTGAAGTCGGCCGAGTTGAAAGCCCCCGAAATCAACCCCTCGTCCACACCTCGGGCTGCCCCCAGCAGGGCAAAGGAAAACACAGCAAACCATAACCGCCAGTTGAAGACATTCTTGGGCTCGCCCAAGTCCTTCAGCTTGAAGATATTGACAGGTTTCTTGACGCCAGCCATTGAGACGGTGAAAGGAAGGCGAAGAAGGTATGGATGGTGCCAGACCTATTCCTCATGGTGGGAGGGCTTGAGTTGTCTTTAAATGGGAATCTGGCCTCGTGGTTCTTTGGCTTCTGCTGTGACCGCTGTCGCTTGTCGCCCGACGGGTCAGCTTCCCAATCTGGCGGGCGGACCAGATCCGTGGATGGGGGAACTAAACTGCCTCTTTTCCATTGGCACGTACGACTCGTAAAGACCAGGAAGACCTTGCAATCCTCTCTCCTTACCCCATGGCCATCTAGACGTTTTTGTGTTGTTCTCAGACGAGAGAACCGACCCACCGCGCTGTGGATTGGGGAACATCGAACAGCCAACCTCCGACTATGTCAGCGTCGAGACCCCGCAGTCCCCACTACCAAGATGGGTTGAGATTGCAAGGAATGAAGATTGACCAGTGAGCACGTTTGAATACCTAAGTCACCATTCGTCGGTTTCATCCGATACGAAAGGAATTGGAAATAAATGGCAAACCCGACCATACCATTATAAATGCCAAGCACATCAGGCGTGTTTGCACATGGGATGGCTTTCACTCCGCTTCTTGGCGTCTGAAGCCACTCACCCAACAAACATGTTGGCACCAAGACGGTCCCAGCAAGTCCAGCTACTGATGACCCGCTAGGCTTCAGGCTACAGTAGATAAGCACCAGAAGCCTTTCTGTTAAGGCACCACGCCGAATGCCTTGAGGTACGGCGAAAGTCAAGTATCACCCACATTCGCCTAGGAAAAATTGAGATGAACTACAACGTAGCCATCGAGTTTGCACAGGTCGCGAGGCCAGATTGAAGAGCTATCATAGCTGTACTCGACGGTCGCCTATGCTCCTCACGTATCTTCTGCGAAGGATGTAACTCGATTTACGGTGTGAGCTGGTGGCCCCGGGGGATCGTTGTCAAGTTGTACCACTGTGCAGAGGTGAAGGAGTCGGAAAACCCGATAACATACGAGTACTTTGTACTTCACGTTTTCTTTTTCGTCACCTGGCGGTCATTCCCCTCACCTCTCCCCACGGGGCTTTTGGGGATCCACTTCCTGTCGCCACAAAAGGCCCGGTTCCATGGATGATCACTTACCCATGGGCTCTGGCCGGCTTCAGATTGCATGCAGTATTTCTCAATAAGTCGTCGTTGGGTCGGTTTTGGTGTCATGAATTGGTTTTTGAATATGCTGTTTTGCCAGTAAATCCTTTGGTTTTGCCCTCTCGATGCGGACGGAGCACGATGCGCAATGCTCAACGAGATTGGAATCATTTTCGGGGCCGAGAAAACACCCCTACTAGACTGCCGCTAGACGCTGTGAGGCTCTTTCTACTTACCTAGCAATGAAACCCATCCCAGGTTCCTGATTCCCGTTAGTACAGAAGGATGATGAATGTTGCCACTGTCGTTTAGTGACCGAGGCATGCGACAGGGCTTCTCTTCCCAGCTGCTTTCATCGGGGGGTTTCACTCAAAGCGGTTCTAATCTCCACCAACGGCGAATTTGCAGCGACCCCAGCATTGGCATTCTCTCCAGGGGTTGGAAAGTGGGGAGTGGGTTCGCTATCGCATGCGGGGTGCGACTGACACGATGCAGTGGGTTAGATCCTGGAGCTATGCCTTATCTTTAAAGCTGTCCCAGATTCCAACATTCGGGGCAAATGAGTTGAGTAGATCATTCTTATTGAACACGTGTTTCCTACTCTTCATTCAACAGATCACAGGTAAGCCCTTGCACAGTGGGGAGAAAAACGCTGCAGATTGGCTCTGGGAATTGGCTCTGGGAATTGGCTCTGGGACATGATTCTTCGCGCATCGCAAATTGAACGCCGCTCTAGCTTTCCACTTGACCTATTAATTCCACGTAGTTGAAGCAGTCCTGTTACACACAAGCTTGGAAGCCAAGAACGACCTCAATTTAGTCACCCAACCCTCTCAGTCGTCGGGAACCAGTCTAACACTCCAGCCGCGGGCGAACATTTGATTTTCCGCGCCAAGCCGCGGCACTAAGCGATCATTTGCTCAACATTTCTGATAACAGCGAATATTGGCTAGGCACCACGTTCTTCCGGGTCCGGTTCGACCACCGGGCGAGCGGCGAGCAGGGGGCTGCGGTAGTCACTAGAGCTGTAACTGACAGATTGACTCCGAACTTGTGGCCGACCCATTTACGCCAAGGGGCACATGGGCTGATATTTTAGACAATCGTCCAACTTCCAAGCCTTGGTATCGACGACTACCTTGGCGAAAGGCGTCAGACGCTCTGTCAATTGGGCAATCTGCCCTGCAACAAAGGCTAAAGTTTCGGTGCCGCTTCTCGGCTACTTAGAACGCGACTGAAAGGAAACACGTTCGGCAGATGGACGGACATAAGCTGTTTGTGTAGCTATTCATGCTCCAGTAGCTGCGAATCAAAGGTCGTGGATGTGAGACAACGCGGAGGGGGCTGCCGGAAGATTAAATGTGAAAAGCTCAGATTTATAACTCGTTTAACTCTGGGTGTATAGTAAGCAGGTCTGGTTCTGAAACATTAAGAAAGCTATGAACTATTTGTTATTGCGCGTAGATGCTCAGTGGTCTTTTAGGGCTATTCTAGCACTAAGGTTCTAGCCTACAGAGGAAAGGGAGACTCGGAATCAGGAACTGAAAAGCATACGTTTTCACTTAAATTACGGGGTTACAGAAGCGACGTTGAAAAATGCAGTACCCAATTATTCAGTCAATCAAATATCTAAAATACCAAGTATGATCAAAAACAGGTTATTATGGACTGAATGAGCTTACGCGAAAGCTGAAGTGTTTTCACTGGCTTGTACCCGACCCCGGCGCGTTTCCAATGGCCGGCGACCCAGCAGGGCAAGGTTGTTCTCCAGGTTCCCAGTTTTCAAACTGTTAATCATAGTCCAGACTATTGAACTAGTTATGCCCGTCTTGGAACAAAGCACCGGTTCTTCGTCAGCTGTCCAAACCTCACTAGGTACATCGGCTTTCCCGGAGTGATCTTTTGCGGTGAATTTTAGCCGATTAATAGAAACCAGCTCAGCATTTGCAAAAACCTCGAGGCCGACCCGCCGTTTGATGCTTTATCGAAGAGCCGAAGAGCAAAAGTCTAAGAGAGCAGGGCTTATTTATACCGTAGCCTTTCTCTAGATGCTAGCGTCTGATGAGGTATTAGGCCTACATAAGGGACCAGTGCTTGTTGTCGTCGTTGGACTTGCTACCCCCTGCCAGACATCTTCGACATCTGTGGGATGGCACATTCTATGGTTTAGGGTTCACTCATTTGTAAATATTGAGTTGCAGAACCAGAAGGGTTGTATAGCGCGACGGCTAATTGTATCCCACTTCGGCAAGCCATGCCGCGCCAGTAACCATGGGGTTCGTGACACTAACATCTAGCCCTACCCATACAGCCTCCACCACATGGTCCTCAGTATCATTAACCACGACGAACTCTCTTGACCAGCCCAGAATAACGCGTTGCAATCGTCAAGCGATTATAGCCACAAACGCTTCCAGCGTTTTTATAACATCGACTAGGGCAATAGCGAGGCTGACGCCCTCCGCAACGTTGCCACCAATAGCACGGAAAACTGCATAGATCCCTACGCCGCCGAAACTGCCTGTGAGGGTTTTGTATAGGGAGACTCAGGCGAGGGCGGCGAAGAGCGCGCTTACTATTTAAAGACAAATTTAACTAAGTCGCAAACCGCCGATACTGTCTGCTCATTTGGTAGATTATTGGATTTCCACGGCTGCAGATGATAGTCTTATTAAGTCGTGATAGCGCTAGGCCGGATTAGAAGACATGAAAAGTCCGTGGTGAAATATTTTGACCCGCTGAACAGTTCATACTATGTGTTCCTGGTAGCTATAACCAAATGAAAGCATAAACTTGATCCCTGACAACTTTATCACCATAGCACAATGGCGAAATCGAGAATAATTATCACAGATTACTTCATTAGTGTCAGGGTACGGCTAGGCCGAAGGCAATAGTACAGAGTGATGGGGAGTAACGGGCGTCCCTCCTACGTAGCACCGGGTGGTCACTGGCGGTCTCAGGTAGGGGTGCCCACGGTGATGCATTGATCTCTGCCCTCTCTATCTTCCTCCGTCTCGACTCCTTACTTATAGCCAGCCGAGGTTCTCTCTTGGATTCTGGATGTTTGCTTCCGTATGTCTGTGTTCCTCCGACTTCGGCCAATATCTTGGACAGCGGCTCCTTATCTGCAACCAAGCGATTCCCTATCCGCTGCAAACGGCTTCAACGGCTCTCATTCGCCACAAGCGGCTCTCTAGCCGCCACAAACGGCTTCCTACCTGGTGGAAGCCGGCCCGCCTCGGATGACACTTGTGGCTCTGACAACTCCTTCCCTATCCTACTTCGAGATGGTCCTTATATAGATAGCTAGGCCGCCGCTTGAACCCGGCATAACAGCAGGGTCGGCGATGCCAAGGATCTTGACTCTCGTCATCCCAAAGCTTCACATAGATTGTAATCATGACTCGGGAGTCTTTTGTCCGAAACACCCCTCCAGCGGCCCGCCGGTGTCCTGCGTTCAGTGTCCTGACACCCACTGGTGCCTATGGCATTCTGTTCTCTGACAACAATGAAGGTTAACCGAGATGTTAAAATGCGGGCAGATCCAATAGTACGTATACGGTTTTGCAGGGCCTCCATCGCACCTTATAAAGGTCTTTAGTGTCATTCAGGTAGCATGCTGAGATAGATGTTTACTAACAAATGATGATAGAGATGTCTATTTTAGGAGATACAGCTAAATTTCCTCTTAGTTATCACATAATATGCGTAACTAGTTACTTTCGTAGTTAAATAATCGCCCACGTAAATTAACCTGTCTTACTATCTAGTTTATAAGACACGGTATTCATTAATCATATAATACTTGTATAGTACCTTCTATTAATTTCCTTCACTAGCAGCCTTCTTATTCAAGACAGGGGCTTTTGGCGTGTACTCGCCGCTATGCCGCTGTGGCGACGCCCCTGAGACGGCAGAGCACGTAATCCTCTTTTGCGGGCTGTTGGAAGGACCGAGGGAACGATTACGGGCCGCTATCGCACCACGGCCACTATACTCTCGCAGAGACCTCGCAACGGCAACAGGAGAACCAGTAGTTAGTGGGACTATTGTAAGGTGGCTGTTAGGGACGGGTCGGACAGCTTCAAGGCCCAGATAGCATCGATCTTCTCAGCGGGGACTTTGTTGGTAGGTTGAGAACCAACGTAGTATGGTAGTGAACACAACGCAGTCGCCAATAGGGCGAACCGACGACGCAGCGTATGTATTTAGTCCAGCCATTAGGGCACGGTTTGACATACGGGAGTACTAGCAGAGGTACCGGGGGCTTCGAGCCTACGGCGTATTTAATAATAATAATAATATATTATCATCCATGGATTCAAATCAGGACTTTATGTGCACATACATACATCCGAGGGTGCTTGAACATTCTTTTACCATTCCAATCAAATGCCACAAGGTGCTTCATCCTAATGAGGGCGGTACAATTGATGTAAAGCAACTGCTAATTTTTGGGCTTTGGTAGCTCATTGAATTGGACTGTTTCAACCTTATAGATTACAGCAGCACTTATCTACTTGACTAAAATCAAAACTGGCTACGTAAGGTCGAACCCTTCCTGATGCTCGAAGAGGGCGCCCTCTACGATACAGAGTCTACGTTACAGCAACGGGCTTTTATAAGCAAGGTACTCTCAGCAGAGAAAGTCGTGGCAGTCCACACACGACTTGAATACGGCATTGGATAGAGTTGATCCACACACTGGTCTAGACTTTGCCGTCCCTGACTATCATGTGATCATTTTTGTAAAGTCTTCCTGAAGGCCATGGTAGTGTCTTGGGCGCTGTACATCTGTTTGATGAGCAGAAATACCACATATTCACCGTAATTCGCGCCCATTAAGGTGACCCTTACCAGCCCCCAAGAGAACCCCCTTTCGTGGATTGGGTTCTACTTCATCATTTTCGGCGACGTAGATCCTGAATATCGAGACTTGCTGGATAATATTCGTGTTTCAAAGTAGATTTCCTGCGATGGCGACAGAGTTGTCTATGGCAGGCACTGCATGGATTGTGACCAAGGTTTGGATCATTTGACACGTAAGCCTGTCTTCTACTCCTCTTTAATATCAAAGTTGGGGAGGGTTTTGTTGGACCTTCAAGGCTACTCCATCAAGACTGTCAAGTCAAGGAGAAAAGTAAAGCCGCAAACCGTACGAAGTATGGGTCAATATGACCTCTACCCATTGAACCACACAAGTCCTGGCTGTGGGGCAGGCATCAGTCATTTCTATCTATATAAGGCCCCTATGGCCGCCGTTCACTTCTCTCAGGACTCTCCAGAGATCATAACACTTTCAATACAAGACCATTTGCCCATAATCCAATAGGTTTTGTCCGCGGGTACTACTTACGGCGGACCCTGCAAATCTACAAATGGCACTGAGCATTCATTCAAGATTTCTATTGGGTTCCTAACGCCAGTTGATGAGCCGGCTCAGAGCCAAGGAAATTTGACGTTGATTGAAGTGGAGCGGTCCAAGATCAGTGTTAAAAAAAGCCAGGCATCGTTTCACTCCAGTTATCATTCTTAATCATCAATTGACTATCTTAAAAATCATGATTCAGACCGCACCAAGTTGCAGCACAATCTTTTATTCCGAACCCTCCTATCCAAATGCCCGTGTCATCACTCAGGAAACCTCAGCTCAGCTTTCTACCTAGCATCAATAGAAGATACCGTCCCACTACTGGTCGAGATATACAAAGTCCCCTTATCCCCCGCCCCCCTGCCAAACGCACAAGAAGACGGCGAAGAAGTCGAAACAACCCTACTTGACTTCCCATCCGGCGTTACCTTGATCACACCTGCACTTAGCGTCGCCATGAACGCCGACCCATCCGCGCCAAGCACGAAGTCTTCTGGATTCGTAACCGACGCTAAGACGGGCGTAACGGAACTTGTACTCTTTCCCGTCGTGGGGTCGATGGCGACTTTGTAGAACCCGTTCCCGAACGTGTTAGTAAAGTACACGGTTCCGTTGGAGTACTTGATCCCGTGGATGCCTTCTGCGATGGGGGCGTTCGAGGCGGCTTTCATAGTGGCGTCTGAGAGAACGACGCTGTATGCGCCAGTGGAGATGCTCAGTTGGTACAGCGACCCTTTTCCCGCGTCCGCGACGAGGACGGTATCGTTGTTGAAAGGAGTCACACCGATGAGGAAGCCGGCCTCGGGAATCTGCTTCACGAATGTGGTTTTGGGGTCCGAGCTGGTCAGGTCCACCTTCCAGACTCCCCATGTTCCCGGCGTGTAGCTAATGGACCCCTTTACGGTCATGTTTCCGGAGACGACGGCAAAGACATCTGGCGAGATTTCGGTGATGCCAGTCAGTCCGAGAGCATTAGGGAAGCCGGCGAGCTTGGAGGTCTGCTTGGCCGAGGGGTCAAGGGTCCATAGCTCGGGAGTGTCGAGGCGGCTCAGCAGTAGTTGGCCATTTGATCGAGCGAATATACTTTCGATCCACGCGTCATTGGGCAAAGTTGCTATCGTGGTTCCAGATTGTCTTCCAATTAGGGCTGCTGAAGCAGATGAGGCAAACAGAACGATTGCTCTTACTCCAACCACGAGATGCATGTTGAATCAGGTGATGTTTACCTAGACGTGATGGATTTGATCTTAGGAATAGGGGATTGGATAAGATGACATCAGACAGTCTGACTGGAGAGGAAAGCGTATTTAAGCTTAGCTTTCCCTCTGATTTCCCGTCGACGGAATTTTACCCGGAATTTCGTAATGCATCTTGTGATACAGAAACGATGCAACTTTCGTATCATAGCCAGGCCTTTGCTCGAATAAGCAATTTGCAACGGCGTTGAACAACCCCAAACTCATGCTCCCCGCACCCTTCGATATTGAGCTCATTTGGACTCAATATACAGACCACGTCTTGGCTAAATGTTATATTGCTCTATTTAATCTTGAAGTACATTTAGCCATCAGCGAACCTGACATAAATACCAAAACCTGGCATGCATTACTGAAGACCGTAACGATGTCCACACATTTCCAAGCACACATTTTCAAGCAATGACTTTTGCAACTGTAACAACGATATTCAGCCAAAAACAGATCATATAATACATATAATCCTCCCAATCCAATTCTTAGTGTTACAAGTGTAAGGAATTACAGATTCCACAAATTCCACCGCTTAGACATAAGTCCACGGCCCCCGGATGAAATGTCAAAACTAGAACGCGAATGCCGCGAGAACCACAGCCAAGGCGCCAGATGAAACTCCCAAGAAAGAAGAACCAGCGGTGACAACAGGGTGTGAAACACCAGTCTGAGTGGCATTCCCAGTGGAATTGCTGTGGGAACCGGTAAGAACTGTCGTAATCTTGCAAGTAGCTGAAATGCACTTCGACAGTTTCTCCTCCATATCGTTGAAGATCTTGGTGAAATGTTCAATCTCCTTGCCGCCCTTGCCCCCCTGGGGGAATTTGGTCGAGACAGTGTTCATGAGAGTGATGACGTGGTCACCTGATTTTTCGAAGTCAGTTCATGTTCGCTGTGGGAGTGGAAGGAAGAGGATAAATCACGTACCAACAACTGTAACCAGCTCAAAAACCGGCTCGCAAACACAGGCCTTGGAGAACAAGTCATTCTTCCCATTAAGATCTGCAAGAAGCTTGTCGCCAGCGACATTGAGCTTGTCCGACAGGGGCTGGAAGCCCTGGGCCTCCTCAACGCTCAGATTGGTCATATTGCTGGCGGCAAGGGTGGCCGTCTTGATAATGCCGACCATAGTTCCCGAAGCACCCTGGAGCTGGCTCACCTGCGGGCCACCGTTGTAGTTGATGATGGCAGCGTCAAAGTTGAGGATGCCGTGCAGGACCTGGGTCATGATGTTGGTGACTTCAACCAGGTTGCGCTTGGGGGTGGTGGTGTCAACCTGGCTGGCGCTGACGGCCGCGGTAATGGCGATAAGGCTGAGGAACTGCATTTTGATAGTGCAAATGGAAAATTGGTAGTAGAAATAGGAGTGGTCTTGAGAAACTGGGAGATGATTTCTGGAGTAACTATTGTTGATAGGGCGAGTTAAGCTATGAAAGGCTGAGGACTGATGAGCGAGTGAAGTTTTTTATTGATGAGGATGCTGATGCTGATGCTGAGGATATTTTGCAAGTTGTGGACAGAAGATGTCGATTCTTATAATTCGACATCTCGCTCAACGAGCGGTATATCGTCAGCTGTTAAGACTCCGCCTGCATCTGCGCGATCACATACACTTCTCCGTAGCGCTGGTATGAAAAGAGGAAAGAGTCCCCCACAGACCAGGCCAAGAAAGGTTGGATCTGCGCTGGATGACAGGATCTGGATTGTTCTGTTTCATTGAAGCCTCCGAATGTCTGTGGAAATCTCGATGTGTGCTTGGACTTGAGCTGTAGAGAAAACCTCGTTGGTGGATTGCCTCAAGGTAACTACATTGCCAGTAGTAGCACCAACTAAGTTGGGCGCTAGTATGGTATAGCGCGCGGGATCTGCCAGTGTACTATGTACGCCGCAATGACATCGTGGTGATGGTAAGGTAACTTAAAGGCTACAAAGTCTGAGACCACCAATTGTCTAAGCGAAAGTGTGAGCATGGCTGAAAGGCTGAGGTACTCTGTGCCACTGCCAAAGTTCAACTTTTGGGTCCTTATCATGAGGCTAATAGCCTTGATTCCACTTGGCAGAAAACCAGCTGGTGACTTTTAAAGATTTTTTGCACAAGTTTCGGGAAGCCTATTACCATCATCTGATAAACCACCTTTCCGAAGCAACCTTTTGGGCCTGGCCTTGGTTCCTTTTCTTCCGGCCTGCTACAGCATCTGGGCAACGTTAAGGATACTTCCGTTCGAGCATTAGCAACCGGAAATCGCGACTTTCCGTCCAAGGATAAGGATTTAACTTTGTTGTCCAACACCTCAGCTTCGACGATAAATCCCCGAAGTCCGCCGTTAAGATACAAGTAGGTAGCTGGGAGAGGATTGCGGGTTGTCCACCCCTTATCCGAAACGCAATCTGCCTATATACGAACCAATTGGCACCGCGACGGGACAAAACCTGAATGTAATGAGATGCTATTACGGATAACGCCGCCAAAAATTGTCATGATGGCGGTATACGAAACGATTTTCATTGGAAAACTGACTTTGAACACATCAAAGCAGTGTATATAGTATGTGAACTCTGGTCGTGTTCCCCACCCTTACATTCCACATCATCTACTTACCAAAGTCCACATCAGCAGGTTCAGTCATCGACTACTCTACCTGACTTGAAATCCTGCTCCAGCCTATGAATTCATATGAGTGCATTTGAGATTCAATATGGGTATTTGATTTCACCAATAGACCGACCACGCCTAGATGCAGCAAGGTCAAACCATTCCTTCGCTTTGTTCGCATACCTGCGATGGGAAGGTATGGCTAAGTGCAAGACTGGAGGCCTATAAAACCCCGCATCAATCCATAAGTAGCCATCAGACACGAGAAATACAACATTGTTTTTTGGCCTTCGCACCAAATCTACCTGCAGTAGTAATGAACCTGTGTATCTTGAGCCGCTTTGAACGCATACCCACAAACGTCATTCTCCTTCTCTTTGGGAATTATCTTCTCGAGCCTCTCGGCATTAAGTCGTTGCGGTTGAAAGTATACGTCACTGGACAAGCAAGACTCCTTCGAGGTACCTTAATAAGCTCGACGCAGAGTACAACGCCAGAATCTTCGCGATGATCTATTCTGCACAGAAAGGCGCCCGGACTCCTCCTTCGATGAAACCATCGGGAAAAGTTTTGATCAACTGTTTTATAACACTGGTCATGAAAGCCAAGTCTGGACCGCGTCCGCTTCCTTTCCTTTTCAAGGGTTGTCTGCGTGTAAGAGTTTCGGCAGCTCAAAAAGAAAAATGAAAATAGCCATTTGGTGAATTTGATCTTGGTCTGGTTTAGACATGAGTGGTCAAGACGTCCATAAGTACCGCATCAGCGTCTTGTATACCAATCAGCCTTTCTTGTGAATCCATTAAATCTTGGATACGATCGAATGCTTTGCATAAGATCTTGCAGTTTAGAACACATTAGGCTTGATTATCCAATTCTGCCATAAACCTACTTCTAAAGTTGTTTCTCGAAATATCTTAGAATATCCCCCTCATCACTCTTCTAGAGCACCTATACATATCCACTCCCAGCGAAGGATCTGTGCTCGTCGTGATTTTCGTGCACAGCTCTCAGCTCTTTGGAAATTTTAGTCACTTTGCAGTAAATATATCATGGCCTGGTTTAGTTTTGTATCGCAAATTGTCAAATAAGTGCGGCTAAGGACTTATAGGCGCTTGAAATCCCCTCAAAGGGAAGCCAACCGGACATGAACCAACCAACATCTACCGGAAGCGGCAATCATTCTATAAATACGATTTCATACATAGCTCCACAATTGTCCCTTCTCCAGTTTATCATTGGTTTTTGTAGTGCTATGCGTATCTCCGTAATGCGTCTGTTGGACAGCTCTTCGAATAATGGAGATCAAGTCTGTCTGACTGGTTAAGTACTTGTCATTAAGCCAGGCTTTTGTCTAGTTTTAATTTCGTCTGACGCTATATGAGGAACTAGCGGAGAAACACCCCCTACTCTTAGTCGTAGGGTTCGCGGACGATACGAACCTACTCAGCGTGAGCACAGACACGGGCACGACCTGCCGCCGACTAGAGGACGCTTGGGCTACGTGCCAACGGTGGGCCGCCAGGCACGAGATGGAGTTCGCTCCGGACAAGAGTGAGCTGATGCACTTCACTAGAACCCGAGACCCCTCCCCGCAGAGTATCCGTCTTGGAAACGCTACAGTAACGCCGAAGGTCTCGGCAAGGTTCCTAGGGGTCTGGTTTGACCGCAAATTAACGTGGCACGCCCATACCGAACGGGTTAAATCAAAAATGGCGACTCAGAAGCTAGCCCTAACAAAGCTAGTGAACATGGCGTGGGGCTGCGATCTCATACGGGCGAGACTACTGTACACGTCGGTTATTCGCAGCGCGATCGCCTTCGGGGGGGCTGCGTGGCACACTATAAGCGAGGAACCAGCGGGACCAGCTAAGAGCCTAGTCGGGATACAGAATGAGTGCCTCCGAATAGTCTGTGGCGCCTACAAAGCGACACCGGTCCGACACCTAGAAATAGAGGCAGCTATCCCGTCACTAGACCTATATCTCAGTGCCCGTGCGGCGAAATTTGAAGAACGGCTACGGAATAACGGCAAAAGGAGCCTGCTTCGGAGCGCGAGCGCGAGAGCGTCACACATACTCCGACAGGACACGCCGGCGAGACGGAAGCGGGCGTCACAATCGCTCAGATCAGCGGGGTACACGATAGAGAAGGAGGCTAGGGGCTCCGAGTGGATAGGCAAGGCGAAGGAAGTCCCGGCCGCCCTCCTAGACCACTGGGAAAAGAGATGGCTCTCCGGGGCAGCACAACACGACCGCCAGCGACGCGCTATCGCCGAGGAACAGGAGGGCCCCTCGATGCGAATGCCGAAACAGGGCAAGTACTCAGACCTAAACCGACCGGAGGCGTCTACCCTATGCCAGATCAGGACCGGAAAAATAGGACTATCAGCTTTCTTATTTAAGATAGGAGCCTTCGGTGTGTACTCGCCGTTATGCCGCTGTGGAGAGGCCCCCGAGACGGCAGAGCACGTAATCCTCTTTTGCGGCCTGCTGGAAGAATCGAGAGAGCGCCTACGGGCCACTATCGCACCATGGCCGCTGCATACACGTAGAGACCTGGCAACAGCGACGGGGAAACCAGTAGTCAGCGGGACTATCACAAGGTGGCTACTCAGGACTGGCCGGATAGCGCTTAGGCCCGGATAATATCGATCTTCTCAGGGGGACTTTGTTAGTAGGGTGAGAACTAACATAGTATTGTGGTGGACGTAACGCAGTCGCTAATAGAGCGAACCTACGTAGCAGCGTATGTATTTAGTCCAGCCATTAGGGCACGGTTTGACATACGGGAGCACTTGTAGAGGTACCGGGGGCTTCGAGCCTACGGCGTATTTAATAATAATAATAATTTCGTCTTTAAGAATGATTCAAGAGATTATTTAGAATTAGGACGGATAATGTGGCCCGCACACAAAGTCCCTTATTAATGACCAACAACGTGCCATTCTACATCGCTGGTCAAACAGTTGCAGCCCAGCACCGGTCCAGGCTCCCCTCCGTTACCTCTCGTGATATAGAGTGCTAGACCACTATAAATTAGCTGTATTCTTTGGATAACCCGCTCCCCAGAACCTTCACAAGTTGGTCTGCCAGATTCTTGAAGTAGACAAAGGTAAAGTTTACTGAACACTCGGACCAAACTTTAGATCTTTTAAACGACCATTCATGTGCTCTGATCCAACAAGTTCGCCTGGATTTGGCCAATCCTTCGTAATATGCGAATTTGCACTGTTTCCCCTATCGTTGTATGCGAAGCTTTCATCGGAGCCGAGCGCCATTGTGAAAGCTCTTGATGTTGTGCAGCGTTTAATGACATGGAGTGTACACCTATTGAGGTCACTGGCCTTGCCTTCTCGTCTGTGCCAACCAGTAAGTCCGCCCTGTCAACTATGGCGACCTATCCTGGGCCGACGATCCTACAGATATTTCTGAGGAGCTGGAGACTGCACACCGCAAGGATCGTCGCCATACTTAATTTTCTTTTCCACTAGTCCTTTATAGGCTCAGTGTCGCTGGTTTCGAAATTTGGGGTAAGCATGACTTCTAGTTTTTGGATGAGCGTAAATAGTAATAAAGTGATCTCGAGTTCGCATTACCGTTGATCACTTTATTGGTGTACTCGTTGTTTTCAGCTACGGTCGCATCCCAGAAGAAGATCAGACCTGTCTGTTGTACTATTTAGTACACATGCGAGTGCAGAGGAAGTAGGATGTATTTGTGATTTGGACTGCTTTCCAAGAAATCGAGAATCTGATGTCGCATTTCGGCCCTTCCTGTTGAATCCATGTCTGCATCTGCTCGCAGACCGTTTTAGGTAAATATATACTCAATAAAAAAGTCGAGGTGACTCTTATGTTGGTATGTGGCTGTTGTCGGCTCGAATTAAAATAGCGAAGTTGCGAGATGTCTCTTTCCTGGCTGCGTCACTCAACGTTTAGGGTACAGTACCTACGTTTACATTCGTACAACATTACACCATGACGGAGTGGACGACTTGAAATATTGCACATACGCAGCTACCAGGAAAAATGAAGCGCAAAGGTTCCGGGAATTATCGTTAGTACCATAGCTAGCGTCAGGTGGGAGGAAGTTCGATTCATATATGCAGTGTGAATCGGTGGACAAGAAACTGCAATGCGTTGCTTGACGTGTCGGTAGGTTGTCAACAGCTTCTCAAGCAGGCAAAAGGAATGGCGGCACATGACACGCGAGAGGGCCAACGTACCAAAACACCATGCGATGAACCAACTAAATAAGAGAGCTCAAGCACCAAAATCTCAAAAGAAAGAACAGGTATCATTTTTCATCACAAGACCCAACCGTATCACAGATCTTGGCCTCATGCAGACTATTTACGTATACACATCCGTCTCTCACTTCGCATTACATATCCCGCATCTGCATATGAGATGAACCAACTCCAATAACATTCCAAAACCATTGACTTACACAGGCATCAGGGGTCATCGCGTCATCTTATCTCGCCAAACAAGACACCCGGAACCCACTGCCCATCATCATCGTCATCATATCATCATCTGCTGACCCGACTTCCCACACTACTCATGGCCTCGCTCATCTTATCGCTGACCTTGCTCCCCAAACCACCCATCCACTGCGGCACCTTGAGACTCATCCGGACTCTACCCTCTACCACCATATTAATCACATTGGTCAACGCGAAAGCGCTACTCCCCAACGCTCGGAACAGTGCCAACGTCGCCACGGACCACATGATGAACCGGAGGTAATAGTTGTCCCCAAGGCCGCTGCTGCCGTACGCCTCGCTGACGGCCATGGCTAGCACAGCGTTGGCCATCATCCAGACGACCACCATGTACGTTCGCACGCTCTTGTAGTAGTCCTCTTGCATCTGTGACTCACTGATGGCGGGCTCGGGCACCTCTACACGATCTCGCAGGTTGCGCAACGCCTCGTCGTAGCCCGAATCGATATCAAGTTGTTCCGAGGGCATCTCCAGCTCAACGACACCGTTCTTGCCCATCGCACCTCCGAGATCCGTCTTCATCACGTTGTCGCCCTTGGTACCCCATGTGACATCGTGCGTGTTGCAAAAGGCGTAGACCTGAAGGGTGCAGATGTAGCTGGGCAACAACATGAAGTATTGCGCCGAACTGGTAAACATGTGCCAGGGCTCCAGGTAGAGAAACGACATGAGGAAGTACAGACCAGTGGTCGAGCCGACGGAAACTGTCAAGTTCGTGAACACGTTGCTCCCGAGCGTAAGCGTGCCGTCTTCTCGTGTCTTCACCTGTCGGACAATGATGTAAATGCATGCGAATACCGTGTACATCATGATAATACCGTAGATGATCATGCTAGCGAGGTAGAGGCGCTTAGCACCCTGTGGTCGATTGCCGAGCGAAATGATGAATTGCATGCTGATGAGCAGAACACAAGTATACCGCAATATCGTAAAGATGTACACCCCAACGTGGTGACCGAAGGGGTCTGCCGATGGGTCGGCGATACCTCCAGCGATGAAGAAGAATGTCAGGTAGAAATTGGCGAGGGAGAAGTAGGTGAACATGAGCTGCAAGAACTGGTACACGAACTCGATGTGAAGTAAAATCTTGCGCGCTAACGTGTGATCCGTTGCCCAGAGCTGTTTGAAGTGGACGATGGAATAGACGGCGGCAAAGAAAGCGCCATTCAACCAACGGCGTCGCTGTGAGATGAATTCAGGGACACTATCTGTGATATGTGTTGGTTGTGCAATCAGAACAACGACAAAAATATAACCACTTACCAGGAACATCAGTCTCGCCAGTGCAGCCTTTGACGTACTTCAACACCCATCTCTCATTTCGCTTTGCAACGAGCTCCCAGCAAAGAATACGATCCTCGGCCAGGTACATGTTGGCAGTGAATACGTCGGCGTCCTGGCCGTGTAGCGTCTCCCCCTTGAAATACTGGCTAAGCGGCCCATGGCCCGTCTCATCGTTTTGTAGCGCATGGTAGCGGTAGGCGCTCAGAGCACCCGGTAACACGGTGATATAGCCAAAAACAGATTCGAGGGGCTTGTCCAAAATATTAGACATCTTGTACTCGAAGTTTTGCGATGCCACAAGAGGATTCAGGAGCGATAGTCCCCACTTGCCCTTCATTGCCTTGATCTCACCGCAAGCACCGGCAACGTTAGAGTCTGTGTCGAAAGCTTTCCAAAGGTGATACAGAGAGTTGGTTCCAGGCTTGGTCCCTACGTCGAGCAAGATGCAGACGTTGGGATTGAGAGCCTTCCCAAAAGCATTGAAGAACCATCGATGCGAGTTCAGCTTCTTCTGGTTCTTTTCCTTGAGGCAGAAGATCATTTGGCACGGGACGATTCCCTTCTCTGCACCCTTGAACTTGAGATCGGCGTCAAGCGAAACTTGCGTGGTGTATTCGTACACATGGGCTTGCACCGCTTTCTGGTTGACGTAGTTCTTCGCAATACCGTGCTGGTACACTCCCATGGCGGCCAATGCGTCCAAAGTTCGAGGGTGGATCTTCTCTCTACCATCGGACACGATGCAAACCACAATTTTGTGCCACCCTAGCTCGCCCCAGGTCCGGGACTTGTTGCGACCACAGAAATGGCTGATATTCTTCATGACGGCGTGCATCGTCCGCGTGAAGCCAATCTCATCCTCGTTATACATGGTCACGCAGATGAAGAGCTCTGTCTCCCGAGCTGTTCTTCCAATATTCTGTCGCAACTTGTAGCCCTTTTCGACATAGTCATCTGGATCGCAGGTCACAGCTGTGTAACGCATGTGGGTAAATTCAACCTCATCGCGCCGGGGAAGGAAACTGTACAAGATGGTGGGGATCTTGCACTCAAGGATCAGCTCGCCATTGATGAGCTGCACCTCCTTTTTCGCTGTTTGGGGTGCGCGGACTCCGCGACGCTGTTGGCTCCCGTCGGGTGCTGGGCCGTAGAATTCCTCCTTGTTGTCAAAGGGTGTCCCGGGCTCCTCGCTAAGGGTGGTTTGAGATTGCCGTGTATACGTCTCCCGATGACCACGTGAATAACCAAGATCGGATTCGGGCCCGAAAACGTCATCATCGTCGGGATCGAGTGGAATATTGACAGTGGCATCATCCACCGTGAAGGTCGACTCCTGAGCAGCTCCGTTAGTATACAGGGGCGCTTGTGGTAATGGTCGTCGAGGGCTTCCGCCGTATCTGGAGGATGGTGTGCCCGGTCGCGGGCTGCCATTGATATCCGAGGGTTCGTACTGCGCGGTGGACGGAGGCACACGTCCGTATTCAGAGCTATTGGTGGACATCCTCGATGGAGACCAGGATCGTGTGGGCGACTCGGTATCTCTAGGTTGGAAGTACGACGACTCTGGAGGGGGGATGTACGGAGGGTCGACAATAGACGAAGTTCTCGAGTGGGTTGAGTATACTGATGGTTGGTATGAACGGCGTGGTGTCGGGCGGATACTGCTAGTGTTCTTCTGTGAGCTTGTGCTGTTGGGCGTGTTGCCTTGACTAGGCAACAGACTATGCCCGTTAGGAGGTGTGCTGAGAAGCGAACTTCTTCTCAGCGATGGTCCTTCAGGAATTGTGGGCAGATTTTGGACAATCTCTGCATCCGACACTCGCGTTGGCTTCTTCTTCTTCTTCTGCAGCTTTACAGTTGAAGTGCGCATTGCTTTGCGCTGCGGTGAGCCTCCCACTTGGGGTGGAGGATCTGCAAACCGAATAGAGGGGGGTGAGACGGCTTCCTCTTGCATCTTAAGCTTCTTGAGGTGCTCGGGGGTTGTAACGTGGGTAGAGTCCTTCTTCACAACAGCCAGGGGAGGAGGCACAAGAGTTGGAGAAAGTAATGCGGAGTCGGGTTTTACATACGGTCGCGACTCTGGTAACGGTTCTTCCATAGATGTCAACAGCCTCACAGCGGCCGAGTTTCCTCCCGTCGGGTTGTGGTCATGCTCGTCGTCGTACGGAGGAAGCATGTACTCGGGAGGCCGAATTGGGGGGGTCTGACCGGCCATAGCGGTCTTGTGGTGTCAGCGATTGAACGCCGACCAGATTGTATGTGAGACACCCTTTTCCCGTTGCTGTAGAAGGAATGCGACGACGGCGGAAGTGTAGGCTGCGTTTCGGCGGGGGTTGCTTGCGCGCAACGGCGAGTATTTGGATATCGTGAGTTTGACACTGAACGAATGGTACCTATTATCTGGCAGGTAACAATGAAGCCAAGCCAAGCAATACCAAGTGAAGTTGGGTATCTCAATGCGGTGCAATGCCACCGCGGGAGCTCCAACATTGACCTTCGCAATTCGAGCCGAAAGTTATTTGCGACCAAGCTGAGCGGCAGGGTTGGCCAGACAACGGCGGTGGTAAGCCGCGATCTGCGCCGCTGCACAGGCCAATGCGGGCAGTCGCCAGCTAAAACGGCCGCTACTGCTGCAACACGAGACGGACTAGATTCAAACAGGCAAGCCAGTCACTGCATCTCCATCGAACACTCCATTCAGCGCGTTCGATGCACGACTTCGATTAGTTTAGGGCTGCAGCATCGATATTTATTTGTGGATGCTGAAGCCGCCGATGTGTCGAGTACCGAAGTTATTGGACAAGCTAAGCTGTTCGACTGACTTAAGTACCTCGATGTGAAGACAAGGATTGACGAAAACCATCAAACTTCGAAATGGTGCCCGCATAGGCCTCAAAGTTGCCTCGTAACTTAGTAGCAACAGGGTGACACTACTGATGGGTAACACGACCCCGGGACCGAATTTTCTCTTTCGGCAAGGTCATACATCTGGTCACGACAACATGGAGGCCCCGGATGTCTCGCAGCCGTAGTTACAGGATCATAGCCATTTGACAACAAATCTTTTGTAAAAAAAAACATCATCAGCATCCAGGGATGCATTTGTTGGTATCATACTGCTCGATCGATACTTCTAGGTGACTTGAACCCACGCCATACTCTTGTGAAATTTGCTGTGTTCTCACTCGTCTGTCGATACAACTGCATCCATCCCTTGACTGCTAAAGTTCTTTGCCGCGACCCAGACGATCGCAGCAGTCAAGACGAACAACAAAGGCACACCAATGCCAACGCCAATTCCCATGGTCTTCTTTCACTTGCTGGCTTCGTCCTGAGTTGCCTTGTCTGCCATAGCCTTGCCAAATTAGGCCGCTGTTGATCTCTCGACTCAGAACTGCTAAGAAATATATTTCCACCGAACCTGCTGCATGCCCATTTCCGTCGGCTTCGCCGGTTGCGAAATAGTGATCAAGTTCCAAATGTCTGTGGTCTGCCAGCTTGCAGCAACCGCGCTAATGCCCGGCGAGAAGTGTCGGTGAGGAACGACGTAGGATCTTGCCTGGGTTGAAGCCGCCGGTCACGTCTGCCAGCTGATCAGCGAGATGGTCATTGAACATGAAATAATTGCACATACTTATGGCCCGTCGGGTCGGTACCCCCGGGAAATTGTCGTCGTCGCCAGAAAAACGCCACTCACCCAGAACCGGGTAGATGCGATGGTGGTGAGCCCAAGTGGGTTGGTACTCGGCCGAGTCGAGATGCATCACGGGGTTGAGGCCGTCTTTTTATTGTAGTTGGAATATGCGTTGTCGGGGTAGGAAAAATCGCGCAAACCACTACCATTGCACCACTGGAAGAAGTGAGGCAAATGGTATCGCAATTTGGAACATCGACTGCCTATGTCGATAGCAACAATAGCTTCCTTGTATGCCACGGAGACTATGGACAACATGCCTGACTTTGGCAATAACATTGGGCAGATGGTAATTTGCGGAAAAGAGACAGATGATTGATGGATGGGGTAAACTTGAATGGAGGCTCGATTGGGTATGCCTGCAGTCAGATACAGACATGAATTTGGATGTGTGCCGCAGATTGAGGTGCGAAAAATTGGAAGCCATACTCACAGGGTGAAGACATGGCATGTCTACAAGTGAACTTTTACGTAACAAAACTCGCTCATTCTTAAATTTTCCAGCTACCTGATCTGATCGTGGAGACGTGAAGCTGTCTCAATGTCAGTTGAACGGTAAAGACAGTTAATATGGATTTAAAGATTCGATGCGCCGACTCGTTTGAAGAATGTCTATGCAGTGGCTGCCGAATAACTGCTCGGCATTTGCTAAGTAGACTAACCCGCAACAACCAGGACGTGGCCAACTTTACCGCCACGGAGTCTCACCAGTCTTTGACTTATTGAAGATAGCACTGCCTTGGGTTTGACCACGACTTTGAGGATTTTTCATGTTGATTCAGAGTGGCTTCGCAGCTCATTCGTGGCTCACAAAAGCAAGAGGGGACTGGTACATAACACGATGGCGTCGATGTGAAATAAAAGGACAACTGCCGCCATACAGTAAGCTTGATGGGGTCTCGTATCATGTTGTCCATACCGAGGGCATCCCAGCTGAATACGTATTGGTGCCGGTCATTATGATCATCGATAACGAGCGCCTGTGAATACAAAGCTGCTCGCTGGTTCAGTGGACACTCAAGCAACAGAAGCGATGAAGCATTTCCAAAGTTCGACGCAAATCACTGCTTGTGATGATGTAGAAGCTGGATTGCGAGTGGATGGCGAACTAGAAGTCCTCGGGACGAGTGACGCACGATGTAGGCTTTGAAGGCGGCTTGGACGAAGCCATTATTGACAGATGAAATGGTTTCTTCTAACACTTTGACGTCCGGATGCGAGGTTTGGATGATCTCCGACTTTGTCGGAGTCTTGGATAAGGCTACCGATGAGAATATCCCGAGACATCGTGCGAACCTCAGAATGAAACGGGAGAGCCCCGTACTCACCGACTTTGATGGTGATGGGCATTTTTGGTGAGTGGAATTACAACGCACATCAACCTTTGTCCAACGTTATGTTGAAATGTGTTGAGCTTCTGAGCTTGCTGTGCTGTAACCAAAGCAAAGAGCGATTGGAATTCGCCCGTTTCTTGCGTCCCAAGGTGTTGGGTTCGGATATACAGTTATGGCAGATCATCTACGAATGTCAAATTATCCATCTTCCTGGTTGACATTCTCTATCCAATTTACCGCCATAAGCCAATCAATATTGTAGTGGGGCCAGGCCGGACGTCAGGGAAAATAGGTGACAGGAGCAGGAGGACGTGGATTTCTCTCTTGTTAAAAGGCGCAGAGACAGAGCAGGACATCCTTTTCTCAAAAATCCCCATTATCCATCCTTTTCATTATCTTCTCCACCTTCGCTTTTCCAGCCTGTCAGTTAGTTTTTTCAGTTATCCAGTTTATCTTTATGTGCATTCAGACACAACTTTCGAGAATCCAGTGCCAGTGACAGCTTCAATTCGACTCCCAGAGCCAGGCGTCCTGTTCTGTGAATTGTCCTATCGCCAGTTACAGAGACACATCCGACCAACTTGCACACGAGACCTGCAAGTGCGAAGTTCTCGCAACTAGCAACACGAGTCTGGTCTGATCAGATCAACAGATTCCATCTGCTGGTACTGGGGCCGTCTTTTCAGTGTGTTGAAAAGGGAATGGAGACGGCACATGGATCCATTGCGATGAGACTAAAGACAAGCTGTTCCACCTCACACACACAGAAGACCCATGGACGCTATGGCAACAGCTCGAACAGAAGTGCAGATACAAGTCCACAACTACACAATTCATGCCATACCCGAGTTCATGAAGCTGCGCTACGAGCGCTTATCGTCAACCGAAGAATTCGAGGCCAAAGCTTGAGTGATCAAGGCGAAGCTTGAGTTGAGCGGAGCAGAGTTGCCCTCCTCGCTTCTATCGGCGTGTTTTTTAAAACTGGAACAAGGCCGGTTTCCCCGAATTGGACAAGGACATCATGAGGCTTGCTCATGAAGCTCCGTCATTGGATATGATGGTAGTGCTGTGCATCAGGGAAGCTTTGGCCACTGTGCTCAGACAGACGTGGAGCAGTCTATTGATGAGCAAGGCGATGGTGAAAGGGGTTCCAAGGATCCACGATTGCCGGGACTCCGGCATGCCCGCGACGAAGACTGGCAAACAGGACCATACGACGTATAGCACATTCAGGGCTGCTGTAGGCTAAGTGGAACTAAGTCAATTTTGGTATTTCGGACACCATTCTAAGCTGGTACTAATACTATTGGTCATTATTAAGGATAAAACGATCTAGAAACGAGCAAAAGTTTTATGTTGATCGACAGCATATTCTCATCACGATCTTGAACGACATAAAATCCAGCACCGCGAAATTTTCTATCGGTTCTCTCCAAGGCTGGAAGCCACGTAAACTCTTATATTCCTCCCTTTCTCCAAGCTTCTTTTGTTGGGATTGTTTTTTGACTGGCCTTTCAAAAAGTCTTAAGGACACCTACTATCGCCACCCCAGCTATAATTACAGAGACGTAAAGTTTGACCCCACCAGCATCTGACTCTGCAGTGGTGGTGGTTGAACTTTCACTGGTAGTCGAGTTGGTTTGGGAGTAGTCGTGGTCGTCTCCATCGCCGTGGCGCCTGACTAACTCCGTCCGCGCTCCTAAGCTTTGTGTTATGGTTGCTATAGAAGCTGTCGCGGCTTTCAAGTCAAGGATAATGAGTTTGGTCTTCATTGCGGGATTTCGAGATCAAAAGGAGCTTATTGATGCTTTATCAGTTGTGAGTTGGAATCAAACAACAAGTCATTCGTAATTATGAGGGCCAGTTCCGGCTGGCTAGAAGTTCCTTTACCTGTATTTCAATATGAATTGGATGTATGATCATCATATTAAGCTCTGCCAATGGGGCGCGCTCACAGAAGGCCGCTTTTATATGTCTATACACGTTTGGTGGCTGTGTTTTTGACTCGCGATGCCTCACCCTTACATAAAATGGCTCGCCTAGAGAAGACATTGATTGCCTCAGATTTCTTTCCCATAAATGCCATATATCGGATGTGGTTAAAATCAAGTGCTGCAACACCAAACCTATGAGCCAAGAGATCTTTAGGGTCGCATGGATCTCACTCAACTAAACGGACATGACCTGCAAAGCTGTTTTATGGGGCGGTAAATGTGACTTGCAAGTTCAGATGAAACCGACATGGTAAGGAGATTCCTTTAAAAGGACTATCGTATCTAGCAATCTGTACTTCTTCCGATAATTCAGCTTTAGTAGTGAACACAACCTGATAACATTTTGACTACCTTATTCAACACGAACATGACACATGTTAAGTCATTTCACAGACATAGCTTCTCTTCCACGCCGTATCTGTCACGAAATCCAACTAAAGCAATATGAA